CCAGCTGCTTCTCTTTCATCGACCCCCGTACAGAGCCCATCATCTAGCCCTGCCACATCATCAAGTCCTGCACCTGCACCTTCATCGAGCAGTGCTGCCGCTTCCTCTACCGCAGCTCAGAGTTCATCTTCCAGCCCTGCAACATCTTCAAGTTCGGCAGCGTCCCCTTCTTCAAGCTCAGTTGCCGCGCCCGCGCCCAGCAGCTCCGCAGCATCTCCATCATCGAGCTCTGCTGCTCTTCCGTCTTCAAGTGCTGCAGCTTCCTCTAGCCCCGCTTCGTCTTCAGGCCCTGCTGCTTCGTCAAGCCCTGCGGCCTCTCCATCGTCGAGTGCTACTGCTTCACCATCCAGCTCTGCAGCACGTTCCTCTTCGAGCGCAGCTGTGGCTCCTTCGTCGAGCTCTGCTACTTCTTCCGCAGCATCGCCAACGGCTACGTCTACTGACATCTCATGCCCAGGTGATAACGGCAAGACTGTCAACACAGCTGCAGGCGCTTTCGTGGTTGAGTGCTATATCGACCGATCGGGCGGTGATTTCAGCGTCCAGTATCCTTCTGGCGGCTTCAACGGCTGTATTCAGCTTTGCGCCAACACTCCTACGTGCGTTGATGTCTCTTACTCACCCAACGGTCCTTGTTACCTGAAGAATGCTCAGGGTACTCCAAACTCCAACTCCGGTGTTTGGGGTGCTAGCTTGGCAGGCGGATCTGCCTCTTCGACAGTTGCAGCTTCCTCCTCTCAGGCGGCTTCGTCCCAGGCGGCTTCCTCTGCAGCTACCTCGACTCGTGCAACCTCGACTGCTGCTGCATCGACTGCTACAGCTTCATCTCCTGCTGCAACCTCGACCGGATTTGCGGACAGCCCCACTTGCCCTGGTTCCGACGGACAGATCTTCTACTACAACGGCGATGTCTTCTATGTCGAATGTTACACCGACTACGCCGGTGGAGATCTCACATCCGAGTACTTCAACAGCTTCGGAGATTGCGTCAATGCTTGCGCAACCAACAAGGCTTGTAACGCAGTGTCTTATGTTGGTGGCACCTGCTATCTTAAGGGCACAGCCAACCCTGGCAGCTCCAACCTGAATGTCTGGGGTGCTAAGCAGATTGGAACCTACGATGGATCCACCACTCAGATCACTACAACACCAACTGCGCGCGCTTCGTCTTCTGCTGCGGCCACATCGGCTGCTGCATCATCTTCCGGTACTATCTCTACCCGAGTATCATCGTCGTCCGCTGCTTCACCCACATTGACTGGCTCAGCTGGTGCCAACCCTGCTTGCCCTGGAGACGATGGCAAGACCTTCACGACTTCGGCAGGCACATTTGTCATCGAGTGTTACATCGATCGCGCCAACAACGATATTGGCACAGCAAGCTCCAACCCAACCAATTATGCCGACTGTCTCAACGCTTGCGCTGCTACTCCTAGCTGCCAGGCTGTTTCCTACGTTCCGAACGGCGCTTGTTACTTGAAGAATGGTCTTGGAGCTCCCAATTCCAACAATGGTGTCTGGGGAGCCAGGCTCGCCTCTATAGTAAGCTCCACTGCTTCTGGTGCGACCTCTTCCTCGGCTGCAGCTTCTTCGAGCCGAGCGGCTACTGCCTCCTCCACTACCGGTACCGGTGCTACCACCACTTCCACAGCTCCCGTCGCAACGTCCTCTGTTGTTTGCCCTGGAAGCGATGGTCAGACAATCATCACAAGCGCAAGAACATTCCTCGTTGAATGTGGTATCGACCGCAGTGGCAATGACATGGCCAACTCGCCCGTGTACCCTGGCTCGTACGAGGCCTGTATCGCTGCTTGCGCTGGACGCGATGGCTGCATGGACGTTTCTTACTTATCCAACGGGCCTTGCTACCTGAAGAGCAGCGCTGGCACGGCCAACCAGAACGCCAACATCATTGGTGGAAGGTTGATCAATGGCCCCTCGAGCTCCGCTGCTGCGGCTTCGTCCTCGGCTGCGGCTTCATCGCCAGCTGTCACATCGGGAACTGGTACGCCAGTGCAGACCGTAACTGTTACGACTACAATCAGCGGTACAGGATACCAGTGCACTTGCACACCAACGAGCGGACTTGGCTCTGGATCAGCTTCTTCTGCTGCTGCTGCTGCTTTCTTGTTCGCTGCTCGCGCTGCATCTGCGATCCCAGGCGCGACACTCGGCTGCCCATCATCCGATGGTTCGAAATACACAAGCAACTGTGGAGCTACATATGCTATTGAGTGCTACTCCGACCGCTATGGTGATGATAGTATGTATTGGCTGTCCTCATTGAAGAGGAAACCGCTAACAACTTTTCAGTTACTGGAGGTACATCATATACTAACACACTCAACGAGTGTATCGCGGACTGCGACAACACTAATAGCTGTATTGATGTGTCATACATTCCGGGATCTCCCGGCCCTTGCTACAAGAAGAGCAGTATCGCTGAAATCCGCCAGAACGACAACGTCTTCGGTGCTCGCCAACTCACGGAGTGCACAGCGTCCACCAAGCTCAAGCTTCATCGTAAGCGTGTTGTCCGCGCACCAACAGTACCGAAGAAGAAGATTCAGAAGCGTGGAGTATACGGCCCCGACTTCACGTTTACCCAGGAAGTCACCACAACGACCCAGACTACTACTTCTACCTCTGTTTACTACACCACTGTGTAAGTGACCTCTCTTAACGTTCAAACAGCATACACTAATCACATCGTAGCACCGCGATACCTGCCAACGTCGTTACTACCACCAGCACTGTGTACACCACTGCTGCTGCGACCGCTACCGTCACTAACGACGCTACGGTCACGCAGACTCAGCAGACCACTGTCACCACATGCCCTGCTGTCATCATGCGTGCAGTCCTATAAGTGAAGGTGCGGCCCTCGCTACCACATTCATGAATAAACAGGTAGAAAGAGTAGTGTCAAGTCGCTCCTTAAGTAGATTAGATTCCTGTATCACGACCACCCGCGTCGTGATGCCTAACCCACTAATGTAATGTGTGCTTTTCACACTTCATCCAATTAACATGCCATGATTGGCCTCTGATCATGTGTAACTGACAGAATATCTTTGATCTTTTCCATGATTGACAAATCTTTACTTGGGAGGTGAAGGTGAAATTACAAGACGGTAAGTGTGACAGCTTGGAAGATCGATATCTACTCGACAGACCTGCCAACACAGCGTCATCAAAAGCCTGACCACCACACTCCTCAAGGTTATCTTCACTCCTGACACGACCGCCTATTCGACTCTTGATGGCATAGTCAAAGGCCTCCTTCGCTTACCGCAATTCCTCTGGTGCTATGCCTCTGACGAACACTCGCCCGAACAAGGCATGGAATAATGTTTAAGGCGCAGTGCTTTCGGATCATTGGAAGATGAAGGTTCTTTGGAGTTCGGGCGTAACTTCAAGCCAACCGATTCCGAAGAAGACAGACAGGAACTTGAGCTGTCTTGCAGACGTGGCTGAACAAACCAGAGGCCATGTGATGGATATCATTTTGCAGCCTTGTGAGATTATGAAGGAGTTGAGGGAGTATAGGGGGCTGATGTATGCGAGTAATAGGTTGGAGCGGCTTTTGGGAGGATGCTGTGTGAGTTCCATGGGCTTAAGGGGGTGCGCAGGTAGACCGGAATAATGGTCTGGCGGTCATGGCGCGGACAGATTCGTATGCTCAATGCGATTGTGTGATTTTGAAGTCCCCTCTGTCGTGCAGGTGTGATCGTCATGCAACTCGAACTACCCTTGAGGACGGTCTTTCATCAGCCAATCAGGTGCTCGGAAGTTGCGATACGAATAGAAGTTAGATCGTTTTGTTAGCGCAAGCCTAGCGCCGCACCTATCGGTCATTGGAGGCCTTGACTCCCCCCACCACTCTTCCACTTCAGTACGAGAGGTCTTCATGCAGCACACTCGTGCGATACGAAAGGCAGCTAGATCATCACCTTTTGTGCTGACTGCGATCGATCATGCCGGCGGTCGTGTCGAGACCCCGGGTTGAGACTGCTCGGAAGAGACGTGCTCATGCGAAGTCAAGAAAGGGGTGTGGTAACTGCAAGCTGCGACGTATCAAAGTGAGTCAGATCAATGGTGGATTCCATTGTACTTGATGAAATGACTACGAAACAGTGCGACGAAGCTCAGCCTTCCTGCAAGAAATGCAAGCTCTATGGCGTGTCTTGCGACTACTCCGGCCTGGAAAGCTCTTTAGATCTCGATGCTCAGGGATCTTTCCAGGTACTACTCGAGCCAAACACTGTTGTGGAGTCATGTAGCCTTGACGAAGGGGACGTTGAAGCATGCGTACTGCATCAAGAAAATGGTATCAACTCATGGATACCTCCGCTTGACTCTATTTCTATTAACTCAAGTTTGACCACTGTTATCGATGATTCTCTCCGTTTCAACACATCGAACCCCAATTGGATAAACAAGTCTTGGCACTTCACCAATAAACGACTAGTGATCCTTTCGAGGTTCAGGGAGCGGACCTCAGTGACTATCGGCAACCCACAGATGGCGCCATTATATCGCGATCTCATATGTCAACTTGCATGTAAGGTGAGATTAGGTCTCCGAATGTCCATAAACTGGCAGTGCTAACAGTACGATAGCACTCCTTTCTGATGCACATGCTTCTCAGTGTAACTTTGATGCACGATGCCCATCTCGCAAATCCTTTAGCAGCTGCTTCTGCCACCAACAGCAGCCAGATAGCACTCGAACATTGGAATACGGCTTCGAACCTCTTTAACGATGTCCTATCTCGGCCAATTCCGCCATCGTATCGTGATGCCATTTGGGCCACCGGAGTGTTTATAGGTGCTGCATCATTCTGGTCGATCAGCTCCACCAACCCATATGACGTGTGGCCATTGAAACCGGAAGAGCCAGACGACCTCTCCTGGCTGAGGATCGGCGAGGGGAAGAAGCACCTCTGGCGACTTGCTCAACCTCTGAGATCGGACAGCATCTTCTGCGGTCTTATCAAAGACCACAGCTGCCTCACAGTACCAGAGTGGACAGCTATTGAGACAGCTACCGAATCAGGACCGTACATCGCTGCTCGCGTCATGAAGATCTTTGGTATTACACCTTTGTCTGACGAAAATGATAACGCCTACTATCATCCTATACTCGCATTGTCGAAATGTCCTAACATCAAACTTACGCATGAGAATGCGCTGAACTTCTTGTACATCATGGCAGTCATCACACCCGAGTTTCTCAAGCTCTTGGAAGCCAAAGAAATGAGGGCGGTATTCATCATGGGATGGTGGTACCTCCTGTTGACGACTGGCGACTTATGGTGGATGAGTCGAAGGGCCAAAATCGAAGGACAAGCAATTCGCATCTGGCTGAGAAGGCAACAAGGTGGCGAAGAACTTGCAGACCTGTTGGATGAGATTGAGAGGCATGCCGGGGTCGAGGAGGTAGCAACGGCATGGTTTTTCGAAAAAGTTTAAGCTCAACCGGCGAGGCTATCGTGTATCCCGAGAATTATGCTCCGGCGTCCAGCATTGGAGACCAGGTCGCTAGAGACTAGGTTTCCAATGCTTCTGAATCTTAAATGCGTCACCTGGACCAAATCGACTGTCTTATTGGCTTTCCAGATGTAAGCGCTTGGCTGCATGCAAGTGAGCAACAAATTTGCAAGGCTTGGGCGTCTAAGGCTGAGCACTCATGACCTGATCTTGTATATCCCCGCGTCATTGCAAATTTACCCTCACAATCGGCCCAGGTACTGCCGTGCAAGAGTAGCGCATTGCGGTCTGTGACGGTGCGCATCTAACTTCGAGTGTAACAGTCGTGCGCATGCCTACCCGATGGCAACGCAAATTCACGAGGAAGAGCCACTTAAAGCATAGGTTCGAGATGCCTGTATCTTACGCGAACGACAACCATTTATCGAAAATGACTTTCAGGAAATAGCTGCGACTCTATAGCGCACGCCGCAAAAGACCTGGAGCCGGATACCGAGGATCTACACGCTAATTCGATTGGTCAACCAGCTGGAGGTTATAGAAGGCTTCATTGCTAACGACATCACCAACTTCTCGTTCCCTTTCAGTTCACGCGGACTACCAGATGTGTTAAAGAGCCATATCGCCAGGGACCAGTTCATCAAGCTGCAACATCTGGTATGCGACACCAAAGCTCTGGCCCTGGAATGAGCAGATGCGCCACATGGCCACATCCAAAACTTGGATGACGTTCCTCTCAAGATTTGTGGGCAGTTGGGTAAAGGCGGTTCAGGATTTGTCGATCGAGTGATCAGCACTGTGACTCACAGGGAATTTGCTCGGAAATTGATACCTCAAGGCAAAACGTTTCGAAAAGTCAGAAAGACTCTGCGGGAGTTTGAGAATGAGCTTTTGAATCTCAAAAGGCTGTCACGATTTCATCGGCACATTGTGGATCTGGTTGGAAGCTACACTGACCCAAAACATGTCGGAATTCTCATGTATCCAGTCGCTGGTTGCAACTTGGTCGAGTTCCTGGAGGAGCCGAACCTCGATGGAAGACGGTGGATACTTCGAACATTCTTTGGCTGTCTGGTCTCGGCATTATGCTTTCTGCACGACAACAAGATTCGACACAAAGGATATCAAGCCATCAAACATACTGATCAAAAACAATAGCGTCTTCTTCACCGACTTCGTTGTGTCCATTGACTAGGGCGAACTGGGACACTATGGGTATTGGTGCCATGGCGCCACGTTACTGCAGCCCGGAAGTGGCAGGAACTCATCATCGGACATCTGGTCACTTGGATGCGTCTTCCTAAAGATGTGGATAGCTTTGAAGGATACACCATGGACAAGCTTAAAGCCCACCTTACTATCGAGGGACAACTCACCCCATATCATGCTAAACAGGTTGATCTTGCTTCTTAGATCAGTCAAATCTGTTGTGGTGTATATACCTTTTAGGACCCGAGGGTCGAAAGGTCGGCCTTTTGATATCGCTGCGGGGCCGCGACAAAATCAAAGCACTTCTTGGGCCGATATCGGACGACATACCAAGCGAGTGGATTGGACACATGCTCGAACGAGAGCGTGGCTTTCGCTGGGACGCACATCGCATTGCCGAAAGTATCAAGGACCTCAGCAGCGATGCGTCTACACAATTCTTTTACAGCGGGGCCTGCCGTATGCATGATGAAGATAGTGCTGAAAGTGTAGTTTCTCATGTCGAGAGCACTGAGAACGATATTACCTGAACACCAGTCGCCAGTGCGACCTCACAGATTACCATGACCGAGACTTACGATAATCACTTACAAAGACCCGCAGAATCATCTGCAACCGAGTTGCAAGAGTTGGTTTCGCCTGTTACTGTTGATGCCCGGGGAGCCATCCCGGTTCGGCTTGTAGTAATTGAAGGCAGTGTGTACATCTTGCGGTCCCGCGGTCCTTGACTCTTTTGCAGATTGGACAATTTGAGGGGTATAAGTCGCAGACACGATGCAATTGCTGGCTGTGAAGCCTAGCAATCCCGCTTGGACGGCCATAAGTGTGCTGGCCAGATATCCAGGCTTTCGGTATGTGAACTCCAAGTAGATTTCCTCGCCTCCAAATCGAGGTAGCATGCACAACAGCAAGCCCGCAAGCTACAATGACTGCGCCGAGTACCCATAGCGGAAAGACTGAGGCCGACGCTTCCAACCGCCTTTACATTGATGCCCGTTGTTGCGAAGATACCGCTGCAGATAACGCGTGAAATGACGAGGGTAAAGGCGCTTGACCAGGTAATTTTCGTCCAAGCGTTGAGGTCTCGGGTAGCACATTGTCCCCAATGGAGCGCGATGGTTGATGTAGTCGTCTATCATCGCTTTGGACGTAAGTTTTGGTACTGTCGGTCTGTGAGAAGGTAGGTGATAGTAGGGGCTGGTTCTCGTGTGAAGTCATTTTGAGTGGTCATGTAACATCCGTTACAGCAGTTCTGAGTACTTTGAAGGAAGTCATACTATTACAGGGACGCGCCGCGAAGGAACGCGTCAATTGTCAGCAAACAATGCCATCATCGGCTCGCTGGATGTCGCGCTCGCAGAGTGTTGATAAAGTGTGATACCTGTTCCATGAACGACGCATTGATTGGTGCACAGTCGTCTTGTGTCACAGCACGCCATCGTCATGACAGTTGACGCAGTGTCTTCGATGAGGAACACCAAGTCAGCATCCACTGTCGACAAATACCGTGAGCACTTGTGTAACGTTTCTGCCGTCGATGATCTTCATCAACGAAGACGAGGTTCGTTCAATGGAGCCCGAGGTTGGGTGAGGTCATTGTGCGAAGGGCATTCTGCTAGCAACGGTGACAAGAACTATATCATTACTGCTTAATTCCAGATTTAGCTTCAGAAGAAAGTTAATGGCATGGAAAGTCGTTCCAACACAACGAATACGAACACAATAAGGTCGTGATGGAGTTTATAGAAGCAAGGTGGGCCACAAAAGGTGGGGCATGGCACGTGCTACCGTGTTAATTTTGCTTGGCAGACGCGTCATGGTGTCTTCTTTTCTCGACGAATGAACCCATCAGCAGCCACCCCCAATCATGACCGACAACGATGTTGTGCGGGACTTCCACCACCCGTATGAGCCATATGACATTCAGAAACAATTCATGAATGCAGTCTACGACTGTCTTGAGGATGGCAAAGTCGGCATTTTTGAATCGCCGACAGGAACCGGCAAATCGTTAAGTCTGATCTGTGGCTCCTTGACTTGGCTACGTGATCACAAACGCCGCAACTTCGAAGACGGCTTCGAGGTCGACACAGCAAACAGTGATGATCCGCCTTGGATGCTGGAGCATGCCCGAAGGCAACGGAAGCAGGACGCGTTTCGCCGCCGGCAGGAGCTCAATGAACGTCTTGCAAAGATCAAAACCAAAGAAAAGCGTGCCAAAGAGCGCGCGGCTGCTGCAACTCAGACCTACAAACGACAAAGGATTGGCTCAGACGATGCCAATAATGAGGATGCAGAGGCACAATTTGCGCTCGACGACTATGAGTCTGATCAAGAAAGGGTTGACAGTGCGAAAGCTAGCAAATTTGATAGCTCCGGCCTCTCTGCAGAAACTCAAGCGTTGATGGACAAGCTCGGTTATGCTCTCGTTGAGACGAAGACAGACGACGGAGAGGTGCTCGATGAGACAAAGATCTTCTTTTGTTCGCGGACGCATTCGCAGCTGACACAGTTTTCAAGCGAACTGTCGAGAGTCAAAATGCCTCCTGCTATCACGATGGAAGAAGACGCCGACACCAGAAACATCGACAGAGACACGGAAGATGTGAAACACTTGACCCTTGGTTCGAGGAAGAATCTCTGCATCAATCTCAAAGTCAGCCGCTTGGGCAACGCAACAGCGATCAACGAACGATGTCTCGAACTACAGCAATCCACGTCGAACGAAAGTAGATGCCCTGCTATGCCCAAGAAAGACGACGAAGCTCTCTTGAATGAGTTTCGTGATCACGCGCTTGCGAAGATACGGGACATCGAGGATCTGGGAGTCCTTGGTAAGAAGCTGGGAATCTGCCCATACTATGCTTCACGGCCAGCTACCAAGTTCTGCGAGGTGAGTATTATCAATTAGATTAACAAGGAGCTATTGCTAATTTGCTAGATTGTCACCTTACCGTACCCTTTACTCCTGCAAAGGTCTGCACGTGAGGCATTGGGCCTGTCACTGAAGGGCCATGTAGTGATCATCGACGAAGCGCACAACCTGATGGACGCCATAGCTGGCATCTATTCCGTCTCCGTGACCCTGTTTCAAGTACAGCAAGCTCGAAGTCAGCTCACGGCTTATCTACAGAAGTTCAGAAATCGGCTCAAGGGCAAAAATCGCGTCTATGTTGCGCAGATCATCCGCATCCTTGATTCGATCATTGTGTATCTGCAGTCAATCAGCACAAATTCGAAAGCGGATGATGGCTTGGTCGATATGGTCTCCATTATGTCTGGCAAAGGCGTCGACCAGATCAACATCTTCAAGCTCAACGCATACCTCCAAGAAAGCAAGTTGGCACGAAAGGTCGACGGCTATACAGCGTACTCAGACGAGATGGGCGAATCACCAGCAATATCAAAACGAAAAGACGAAGCAACTCAAGCTCCTCGACACACTGTACCAGTGCTCATGCACGTACAGTCATTCCTTCTGTCGTTGATGAACCCCTCAGCAGAGGGCCGCTTCTTCTACTCGAAGGAAGATGGAAACGAAGAAACTCTGCGCTACATGCTTCTTGATCCCACATACCATTTCAAAGACATTGTGGAAGATGCAAGAGCTGTGGTACTGGCAGGCGGGACGATGTCTCCAGTAAGTACTCATTACCCAGAGCAGAGTTTTGCCATTGACGTTGTCGAGATGAGCGACTACGAGCATCACCTCCTCCCTTACCTCGATCCTGGGAAGATACAGACTTTGTCTTGCGGCCATGTCATACCACCATCCAACCTACTGGCAGTACCAATAGTGAAAGCCTCGAACGGCGCTGACTTCGACTTCACCTTCGAGGGTCGGAACAAGGAAAGCACCGTAAGTTTCTTTCCTCCTTTCTACTGAACATATATTGACTATGTGCAAAGATCGTCAATCTTGGACAAGCTATCCTTAGTGTGGCTCAAAGCATCCCTGACGGTGTAGTTATCTTCTTCCCGAGTTATGCATACCTGGACATCTGTATTGCATCGTGGAAGCGCCTGTCTGCTCAGCCTTCTAAAGTCACATTCTGGGAACGGTTCACGCAAGTAAAGCCCATATTTCTCGAGCAGCGAAGTGATCAACGATCCGCTGGCAACTCCTTTGCGTCGAAAGAGGCGGCAGTGGACTCTGTTCTTACAGCGTATAGCGCTACCGTGACATCAGGCAACGGCCGAGGCGCACTTCTTTTTGCCGTAATCGGAGGGACTCTGTCCGAAGGCATCAACTTCAGCGATGCTCTAGGCCGTGGTGTCATCGTTGCTGGCTTGCCTTTCCCCAACCCCCATTCAGCCGAGTGGAAGGCGAAGATGCAGTATGTCACGTCGAAAGAGAATGCGCGTGGTGGAGATGGCAAGGCTGCAGCGAGAGACTTTTATGAGAATGCCTGTATGCGCGCTGTCAACCAGTGCGTTGGCCGCGTGATTCGACATAAAGGCGACTACGCGGCTATTATGATGCTGGACAAGAGGTATGGCGGTGAACGCATCCAGAAGAAGCTGCCGAAGTGGATCAGAGGAAGTCTGGTCGTAGAAATGAATATGAAGGAACTCGAAAACAGATTGGATCAGTTTTTCAAGGCAAAGAGATGAGTTGTGGCCATCGATTGCGAGTTGATCGGTGCTTCGCTGGATGATAAGAGCCTCTTAGTTTAGTCCATACCTGGTACACAGCGTCACAGGGCCTTCCACCGACATCAGAGGTGTTGCAGCGGTGCACATTCGGATTTCGGCGGCTAACGAGTGTTTCACAATAGTGCATGAACTCATATCTTGAGGAGCTTGGCTGTCCCACATCTTACATTGACAAGGCTGCAGATCTCGGAACAATTACACATGCCATGTCACGATACACAACAAGAGTGCGCGACGATGTGGTTGGCACAGCCGCGGGCAGCAGCAGGCAGCTACAAAATTTGAACCTCCTCTTCACCGCCCAAAGATTACGGCCTCAACATCTATCGACACATGCTTCGTCCTTATCGTCATGCCTGGTAGTTGACGCGCGTTCGCTACGGGTGCTTGATTTGCAACCCGCGGCGGACGCAGCGGCACCGATTCGTTGCAGGTTAAATGTCATCGCTTTGCAAGAATATCCACCATCTCATTCGCAATGTACCGCGCTGGGTTACACATAGGATGGATAAACGCCGATCTGCGAGGTGGACTGCGATGGGGGCACTCTGCTCAACACGCCGAACTGTGATGTGGGTGTCAGACTGGGTAGACAGGGCTTCGACCAAAGTGACTGTCGACACGGCGTTCTTCGAAACCATTTCGCAGCGTCAGGGTTTGGTATACCATTGTGGACGTTCTCATATGACCATAGGTCTCTCATCCTCCGTGGCAAGGTGGTTGACACCGTCTTCTACAAAACAGATGCTCTTCCCAGTGACCCAGCGTCATCTTCAGTTTCTCGATTTAGGGGACGACCACTTCAAGATCGTCAGACTTACCCAGGCCCCACAACCACTTGGTCACCACCATCTTAAGAGGCTGGCTTGAAATTAGCAAGTGGACCGACTATTATACAGACGAGCCCTCTAAAGAGGCATTTCAACGCACAATAGTCAACGATTATGCCGAAAACAACGAGGCAGCCACCGGAATGAACGCGTTTGGTGACTGGTACCAGAGGATATGTATTTCAGATGGCGGAAATACGACGAAGGCTGCGCACGATTCAGGTAACGACTCGAAGGCTAGTCGATAGTTCTTCCAGGCGAGTCAGAAAGTATGTCGCAGATGGAGAGCCATAGCAGGCAATGAAGAATGCGACTTCAAACTGTTTGGTCGTAATTTCTTCCGTCAATATGCACAATATATGTGTGCGTCGAAGTGCTTCTTTCACAACTACTTCGGCACTGCGTCAGATCCTTTGCCGGTCTTATGCAGGAAGGAGACGTAATCGCGGTTGTGAGTGGGCTGCAGATGTCGCTTCTATTGAGGCCGGTAGATGGAGATTACAAACTCATACACATGTTTACGTGCACGGGATCATGTATGGCGAACTGTGGCCAGAGGACATGGATCGACTGGAGGACGTCGTGCTGCTTTGAGCTGAGGCACTAGAGGCAAACGCCCGAAACCTGCTATACCCTCTTCAACTCAGATCCTGAAGGTCTGAGATGATCACTGCAGTCCAACATGCAGAAGTAGAACCTAGGTAGAAGTGGCTCGTGCGGTGGCGCAGTATTGCCATCTCTTTTGGGACTAGTCCCGACGCGTTGCCAGTCTCACCTCCGCCAAACTGCATCGTGTCTTTCAACCCACACGATCAACCGCTTCAGAACCTCGTTTTCCCAATATTCTGTGGAGTGCCTTATTTCGTTAGTCAAGATGGCATGTCGTTGAAGCTACGTTGGCAGGGGAAGAGCTCGTATAGAGGGCCTGATCGAGTCCGTTGACCTTGAGCCTGACATAGCATCGAGACTACAGCGCAATGGCATCATCATGGCGCACACGCGATGCCGAGCAGCGCGGTACATACACTACAATCGCACAGGCTGAAGACCCACGTGCAGAGTTGACAGCGCACGGCAAAGAGCTGGAACACCGCCAAGACCACGATCTCGAAAGCGCGCTGTACATCGGTTCCAAGCCAACACCAGAGGATTTGCTTTTCCTCCCACGAGTAGCCGACAAGCTGCCGTATGGGGCCTTCCTCGTCGCCATTGTTGAGCTCTGCGAGCGCTTTGCGTATTACGGACTGGCTGGCCCTTTCCAGAACTACATGGCCAACTCTTATCACGACGCTAACGGACTGCCCGGAGCTTTGGGATTGAGTCAGTCTAGAGCAACCGCTTTGTCGAACTTTTTCCAGTTCTGGTGTTATGTGACGCCGATCCTAGGCGCAGTGGTGGCTGACCAGTACCTCGGTCGCTACCTCACCATCAAATGTTTCAGCGTAGTGTACATGGCAGGCATCGCAGTTTTGTTCTTTACGAGTCTTCCTTGGAGCATTGAGCGCGGTGCAGCATTTCCAGGCCTTCTGGCGGCAATGGTGATTATCGGGCTTGGAACAGGTGGGATTAAGAGCAATGTCAGCCCTCTGATTGCAGAGCAAGTGCGCAGTACAAGCGCCTTCGTCGAAACAAGGAGAGACGGGAAGCAAGTAATCATTGATCCGGAGATCACGGTACAGCGTATCTACATGATCTACTACATGTGTATCAACGTCGGCTCTGTCTCCGCGATCGCTACTACCCTGCTCGAGCTGCATGTTGGGTTCTGGAGCGCCTATCTGCTGCCTCTTATCATGTTCTGCGTTGGGTACGCTGTTCTGGTCTGGGGCAAGGACCGTTATATCATCAAACCGCCTCGAGGTGGTGTCATTGGGAGCTGCTTCCGTGCACTCTGGATTGTAGCGCGCAACGGATTTGACATCGACAAAGCAAGACCTTCCGCCCAGCGAAGCCGTGCACACGCAGTCTCGTGGGACGATAGCTTCATTGATGAGTTGAAGACAGCTTTGATGGCTTGCAAAGTGTTCCTATTTTTTCCCATTTACTGGGTTGCGTACTCGCAGATGATGAACAACTTTGTCTCGCAAGGTACGTCTCATCGCACGTTTTATTTGTTACTGAAGCTAATGTGCTGCCCGCAGCTGGTCAAATGCAATTGCATGGTCTCCCAAACGACATCCTACCCAATATCGATCCGATCACAATCATCCTACTGGTACCAATAATGGATCGCCTCATCTACCCTTTCATACGCACAAGATTGCACTTCGCTTTCACACCGATGACCCGCATCACGCTTGGTTTCTTCATCGCAGCCGTCGCCATGCTGTACGCTGGCGGTCTTCAATCCTTCATCTACAACGCCACGCCATGTTACTCGCATCCATCCAAGTGCGAAGCTGGCAGTATCGGCGAGGGCAAGTTCAAGCCCAACAACGTCCACTTTGCGTGGCAGGTGCCAGCCTACATTCTAATTGCCCTGAGTGAGATCTTGGCAAGTATCACTGGTCTGGAGCTGGCGTATGCGAAAGCGCCAGAGAATATGAAGAGTTTCATTATGAGCTTGTTCCTCCTAACGAGTGCTGGAGGTAGCGCTCTGGGCATACTGATCGCACCGCTGGCCAGAGATCCGTACTTGCAGTGGCTGTACTTTGGGCTGGCGGGCGCAGCAGCTGTCACAGGGTATGTTTTTCATCGCACCTTCAAGAATGTCGCGGACGATGAGGCAGGGAAGGTCGAGCGTGCTGAAGAGTTCGAGCTGAGAAGTAGGGGTAGCTTTGGAGACCCCGAAGATGTAGAGTTGGTTTCCAAGGCTGCGTGAATAGCAGGGCTTGGTGTCAACTTTCGGACTACACATCCGCCTGCAGTTGGCGCTTAGCTCGTTGTGCATCGAAGGTTATCAATAGGTCACAGGGGTGTGGCTGCTGACTGCATAAAGCGACAAGGCTGAGCCAACCTGGCCCAAAGAAAGCATATGCGCCACGCGGGGAAGAAGCTACATCAAGCTCTCCACCATCGCGGAGCCTCAGTTTCGTCAACGTTGTCTGGAATCGGACGTCGCATTACGAGAGCCCAAGAAGGATGGTTGGCGTCCAGCTTGGCCAAAGCTGCGAAGTGCGCGGGGGCGAGCATTCAACGTTATGTATGGTGTCGAACCCTACACCGGGCTTCGCTCGGATAGTCATATTCGGAGTGTTACTGTTCTTCCAAGGGAAGATAATGTGGATGTTCAAGCACTGCGCCGACGTACACGGCACGGTAGAATCAAGGCCCTGGAAGCCACGCAAGAACAGTTTGACCTTGCTGCCAGCGGTCTGATTTCTTGATCAAGAGGGTTTGTAACTGTAGGGTTTGATAAGTTAACCTGGCATGCTGGGATTTAGGGCTGAATCGAGGTGCAACAAGGTCTTGAACAAGGATAGTCACAGTACGATAGACGCATTTCAGATCCTCCTCACTCCATCACAAGTCATAGAACACCTTTGGTCGATGCATCATCATGTGTGAGGATTGTGATGTTGATGCGGGAAGGGTCAATAGGGTCCCCAACCCAAAGCCCAACTGCATCCGACGCCAATCTTCAGGCCGCCATCAGCCTCACACCAGCAACAAACCACATGACCACCGCCTGTAAGCATCTCCATATCCCCAGTTCCCGTTACCAACCTTACACCACCTCCAACAACCCCATATGACTTTGAATCGTCTCACATATCCCCAACACCAAAGTTCCAAGTATCAACCAGCATCACCTTCCGCGTACCCACCAACTACCCCTAGGAGATTGAGCATGGCGACAACAACCCTCTTCAGCCTGACCCCCCTCCCCCCCCCCCAAACCGCTTTGACAGCGCTCCGCATCCTCCCGCTCATCTCAACCACCGCATCGCTGACCCACGCGTACATGGAATGGGTGACCAACTCCTCGTTCCTCGGACCAGCTCCCGTTGATTCATCGCTTTCCCACTTTCTGCTGGCCCGGATGCGGCACCCAAGAAGGTCACTGAGGAGGAAGGAAATGAACCTGGGAAGGAAGCGGAGGCAGGAGTTGAGAAAGCCAAGGATGTGTTTGTGCCGGAGTGGTCCACATCCTTTTTCAACACGGGCGTCCTCAGCGTCATAGGACTCAACACCGCGACCCTCGTGTCTGCAAGCCTGAGCCTCCTCACCCAACTGAATCACCCTAGCCCAGCATAGGAGGAGAGTAAAGTGTTTTACCAGATAGGACTGGCGAGTGTGGTCGCGCATTACGCGTTTGTTCCGCTGGTGGGCCGGAGTATTAGAGATCTGATCGGTATGGCTGCTCAGAGGCGAAGTGGGAAGGCGGAGATGGTGGGAAGAACGAAGGTTGAGGGGCTTGAAGGGGAGAGAAAGGTGGTGGAAGGGGTAAGGGAGTGGGTGGGTTGGCACAAGGTATGGATGGGGACGGTGGATCTGGTGCTTGGCGGTGTTTTGCTTGGGGGGTTGTGGGGGCTGTGACGGTATGAGGGGCGGGCAAGGACAACTGTGTCATGAGCAATGGCTGCGGAGTGAGAGAACAGATGAATGATCAGTGGGTATCTTTCATTCATCTACAATACAAATGCCATACTTTTCCTCTTTCAAACGCCACAAAAATGTTAGTAACGCCTACAAATGCTCACGGCAATGATGACTTCACCACCCCCTCCGCTGCCCCCTATGCTCAGCCCCTTTCTCTTTCCTCTTAACCCTCTTAACATCATTCCTCCTCTTCTTCTCCTTGCCCCACTTCTCCGGATCCGCAATCGCCTCAACCTTCCTCTTCCTCCTGCGCTCCTCCCTCCTCTCTCTCACAGCTTTCTGCACATCGCCCATGACTCTCAAATACTCCTGCGTACCCATGCGCTTCTGCAGGGTATTCATGATCTCCCGCGCTTTGTCAATCAGCGCTTTGTATAGCTCGTTAGGCTCGTTGAGCGATGTCGAGGATGCGTTGGTGTGCGCGCGCGGGATGGTAGTCGCGGGGTCGACGAGCGTGTTGAGGGTTGTGAGGAGGTGGGGGAGGGAAGTGGAAAGGGGCTCGAGAGGGAATTTGGCGGCCATTGTTTCGAGGAGATTCATGATTGCGGTTTTAGCGTTCATGGAACTGGTGTCGCGGCGGATGATGCCGGAGAGGCGGATCATGAGGCGGTGGATGGCTGCTGATGGTGTCTTCTTGGTTGTGTTGGCATCTTCGTCTGAAGAGACGTCACCATCTGCGCCGTTCACTTCTGGCGCTTCTTCGGCCTCGTCTTCGTCGTCGGCGTTGTGCCATTGCCACTTCGCGCCGTTGACCGCTAGGCACCTCGCCAGGAAGGCGATGTTCTTGACACTCTGTGTGCAGAGCTGCTCCGAAACATCAGGGTTGAGCAAGTTCCTCAGCGATGCATTGGTAAGCTGTATCATGTTCTGCTCGGCCAATTGCAAGCCACCAGATCCCTTGAGCGGAAGCGCACCAAGACCAACATCCTTGTGAGCAATCGCAAGGTGAGCAAAGTACGTGCCCATCAGCTCGGCAGCCTTAAGCTTGACCCAGGCGTGAGGATACGAAACGCTGACCTGAACCGCAGTCCACAGGCTCTCCTTATCGGCGGAGAGCATGGTATCTTGGTATTTCTTGCAGATCTTGGAAACGAGTGTCAGTGAGTAGTACAGCAGCTCCCAATCGTCCTCATCGCGCCGTGCCAAAGACTCGTCAATCGTAGAGTCGAGCCCTTCCAGCACGTAGGATAGCTCCTTCGGCTCATCGTCTTCAGCATCAAGCATCTCGAAGTAGAAACCCCAACATTGTATGCCAAGACGCTTCAAGCCGAAGTTTTCGTCTTGCTCAAGCCAGCTCCTCAGATCGGCTGTGAAGTTCTGCAGCCGCTTCTCGCTCGCATGCTGGAACAGTCGCTTCACAAGCAGACTAGCAAGCTCTCGGCACTTGCTCGAATCATCGTTCGCGAGAGTGTTGATCAGAGGTAGGAAAATCATGCCGTGATAGTCGTACTGAGCCTTCTCTGGGAATCTAGGCAGAGCCTTGGTGATGACGAGGTCCAGAGCTTCCATGACAGACTGGCGACCTTCGACGTGCTCGTAGCGCAAGTTCTTGAGCAAGAACTCCATAGACTTCTTGAAACGCTTCTCGCTTTGTGTGTACGATGTCAAGAACTGGAAGTAGTGGCTTCGAGCAAGATCTCTGGCCGATCTTGTCTGGTTGGTTACCATCATTTCTGCGACCTTGTCCATGGCTTCGTACACCTCAGGTACATCGATGTGACGACTCATGACAGCCTTGAGGAACCCAAAGCTAACACCTTGGCGATCAAGCTCATCGAGATCTGGCAGCAGGCGCTTGATCAAGTGGCCGATGTCTCGCTCGCGGATGACCACGTTAGGTCTCTCACGAAGCACAGCCGCCACCAGCTTGAGCGACGCTTGGGCAAGCTCGGTGTTGGATGAGTGTGCACCCTTGATTGCTCGTACAGCCTCATCGATGTACACAGGGCAGTTGGCGTCCATCTCGTCCATAGGCACCTTGATGATGGTAGTAAGCAGACGAACAGCCGACACCTGCACCTCCTCCTGTCCCTGTACCATTGCGTCCCCGATAATTGGTAGGAAACCTGCCAGGTTCTGGGGTGTCTGGAGATCGTCATGCTTGCGCAGCACGGTTCTGAGAATGTCTAAACTGAAGCGTGTCATCTTGTAGATGTAAGACGATGTTGACAGACGCGCTCCAGACTTGGCGGCACCTCTTCTGTTGACCAGGAACCGCTTCAACTTAGGATCTGTCTTGTCGCCCTTCTCTGTCGTTGCGCTGGCTCTGTACACTTCCTGGATCAGCTCATAACAGAAGACTAGGATGTCTCTGTTGTTAACTGTCGGATTCTGCAAGATGCCCAGACCGATGCGGCGTAGTAGCTCGTCGATCTTCTGTACCATCTTTGCATTGATTCGTTCCAGCAGTAGGGACTTGATGGGATTGACCAGCTTGATGAGATGAGCAGGCGTGCTTGATCGTGAGATAATGTCCATCGTGTCGAAGCTCTTGCTGCTCTTGACTTCCTTCATCTTGCTGATGTACTCCTCGGCATCCTTCTCTTGTCCAGTAACGCCAAAGGTATCATCCATCACGATGTCGACAATGTCAGCAACGCTGTAGTCGAGGTCACCAGGCTTCAGCTGGCTGGCAAGGTTGACCAGAATGTAGTGAAGGGTGTAAGACAGCACGTGTAACTGGTAACCCCGCTGAAGTGCGGTCCGCAGAGCCTTGACAATGAACCCAACGTAGTTCGGTCCAGTAAGTACTGCGATCTCACTGAGTGTCTTTCTTGATTGGTCGCGACTCTCTTGTGTACGGCTCTTGAGAATGTAGCAGATGTCGAGAAGGACGCCAGGAAGTCGTCCCTCGATCTCTGAGGACGGAAGAACAAGTAGCACCTTTGTCAGGGCCACCGCGACAGGCACTCGAAGACTGGTAGTTGCTTCGTCTTTCTTGTGTAGGAAAGCTGTCAAGTCTGGCAGGAAGTTATTGACAAGGTCCTTGGTAAGTTTGTCCTGCTGAGGGAGCGTCTTCGACAGCGTGGAAGTAGGTGTGTCGATATCCATCGCATCTGCATCTGCCTCTACGATCGCTTCTGAAGTCTCATTGCCATTTGATGCGGGCTGAGAAGCAGTGACATATCCCTTCTTCCGACCGGCCTGGTTAAGCCCATCCATCAAGCCACCGATAAGTCGCACGATAGCTTTTTGCATATCCTCTTTGCTGGTCAAGTAGCCAATGTAACGTTTGAACAAGGATCTGAACTGGGGCCACTCTAGCCACTCGACCAGAGCAGCAAGGGTACGAATCGTTTCTCCGGCGAGGTTGTCAGCACTGTCATCATCTGCTTTGTTGAAGACGAAGTGCTCCAGCAATGGCAAGAGGATGTGGTACGTATTTCCAGGTTGCAGATGGGAAGCGTTGGCCGCCAGTCGACGAAGAGCCCTCAACCTTCGATGACCTTGGATGTGCAGGATGTTGCTGAAGAACGACGCTTCTTCATCGTCTGAGACGAGGACGAACAAGTCAGCTACCGGTGTCCACTCGCGGTGCACCTTCACCAGCTGTTCTGTGACAGCCAAAAACTCTGTCCTGACAAGCTCAGACGGCTCGCGCATTCCGTGCTGAATCCCAGGGATAATTGCAGCCGTAATAAACTCTTTGAAGTCATCGCCCTGTGACACTTCGATGAATCGGCGGAGTGTCGAGGATGCGTTCACTCGAATACTCAACTCATCGTTATCTTTGATGAAGTAGAGCATGTTGTAGACCAGAGGCTTCCACTGCATGAGCGAGAATGACTGGTATCCTTGGTCGTTGATCTGGTTGAATGCTTGTGAACGGCGCTCAAAGTCAGGTTCGTCCAATCGGCCCTTTGCAAACGAATTGAGTTCCTGGCAGAGCTTTGCGATGCCTGCAAGTTCCTCCCTGGTGTCAGACAAGTCCTGGACAACATCGCAAAGTACAGTGCGGGCAGCTCGGTCCTGGAAGAAAGCGAACATAGGGCAGATAGCATCATAGATACCTTCGAAGAGCTCGTCCAGACTTTCAGAGTCGCATCGTTGAATGAACTCGTGGAGGATCTTGAGTAGGCCTAGCTTTGTCCTTGGGTTGACCCGCTTTGATGGTTGTCGAATAAGGAAGGTCGCAATCTCGATCATGCTGCGGGAATCGGTCGAACCAACAACGTGAGGAGCAAGTTCTGCAATAGCCAATACTCCTGATTCGAGCACTTCTTTGCTTGGACTCTTCCGGAGAAGGCCACCGACTCGGTTCAGAATCGCATTAGAGTATGGCTGAATGATATCTGTGTGTATGCGGTTCCTCTGGATCTTTGCATCTACAGATGATGCCTGATCTTCATTAGCAACAAGCGAGAAGATGTTGCGAAGAATTTCGTCCAGAACGAACTGCTTCACCTCGTCCTTAGCCGAAGGCACACCCAGACAGTCGATGATCTTGATGAGGATGTCCTTGTTGTGCTCGACCAAGAAAGGTGCTGTTGATGTAGCCTTGGACCAGGATGCAAACAGTCGGAGAAGTCCAGAGATAGACTGAGCAGTCTCGATAGGGAACTGCTCTAATCGTGGTTCGACAAGCTCCTTGACGATTGCTGCTGTGTATGGGTGCCAGTCGAAGTCTGGACAACTCTCAAAAAGTCTAGCCAGAGATTGCAGGGCGCGCTGACGAACCGTTCTGAGCAGCGATACTTGAAACTTCTGGCTGTCGTCAACATCGGCTTCCTCCATTGCTGCGGCCGTTTGCAGGTCTCGAGATGCTCTGACGAGACAGTACAAGATGGGATCCACAACATCGGTAGTGAAAGGTGTAAATGTCGTCTTGAACGTGCTCAGCAAGTCATCAAGCATGTTCAACATACCGACCTGCTTGCGGGTGTCGATCAGACCCTTGCGCAACAGATCTTCGTCAAGTACGCCGTTTCGAAGCACTGAGGCGCCACTCAGAGGTCCAAACGCAATACTCAAGAACTGATGAATAGCGTCATCGCCAAACCTGTTCTTCAGTCCGATGAACACAGACTTCCTCTTTGACTCTAATCCTCGCTTGCCAGCGATAACTTTGCCGTACAACAGCCGCAGGATGATAGGGAGAACTTCAGTAAGGTCACTGTCCTGGATCTTGCCTTCGCTGAGGAAGATGGGCAGCTCGTCTCGGAAACGCTGATCATCGAGCAAGCCAAACAACTCTTCCTGATAGGGCATCACAGCACGATCCTTCCAGACCAGAAGCGCTTGGAGTGCAGCCTTTTGTATTTCGACATCACCATTGCTCAACAGTGATAGTAGAGCGTCGCGAACCTCACTAGAGCGGTACAAGACCTTGGGATTGTTGAACTTCGAAAAGACAGACAACATAGCTTTCTGGTCTTTCCGCGACCATCGTTGCTGTGATAGCTCGGGCGCATCATCGTGTATATCGCCCTCGTTCTCGATCTCTGCGACAGGTAGGTCCAACGCCCAGTCTAGGAGTACGGGAACGAGCAGACGCGAACGTTTCTCGGCGACTTGCGGTAGTGCGTTCAGCAAACGCAACGCTTGCGTTCTGCAGAAAGCGTTGATGAACGGTATCTGTGGGTGTTTGTCGTCGAACATGGCCTCAAGCTTGTCTTCGATGTTGTATGATAGCTCCTGGCTGTTAGAAACTAGGTCTTGTAACTGGAACACGTTCGTGCACTCGAATTCGTTGGCATACCGCTTCTGTGCAGTGTTCTTGGCGAGTCCGCTAGCGGAGTTTTCCAGGCTCTCTGGCTCACCCAGCCATGCGAAAGCAATCTGCGAGACAAAGCCTTCCCCTTCCTTGGTCTCGCACATTGCCTTCAACGCTGCACAGGTGTCATCCCAAGCTGACGCCATTCTGACGTGTAGAAGTCCAAAGCAGAATGTAGGTACCGCCTCGCCCACCCACTCATCGGCGCAGACATCCGGATATAGTTTCGCAAGCTGGCCTATACGCATCGATATGGACCGTTGATTTTCGAGATCCAGTGGGGTCTGCTCGATCATCATCACGATGGAGATGATATTTCGCAATTCCTCGCTCGTACTCGCGATGATTTCCAGGATGTAGATCGCTGTCAACCTCATGTCGTGAGACGGCGAACCCAAGCAACGCATAAGCTCGCATTTCAGAGATTCCATATGAGCGCCACTCGTCGAAATGACCTTCTTCTTCTTCTGCACCAGAGCGAGGAGCGCCTTCCAGAACGAGAGAGAGTGGGCGTAGATTGGTGTGGCTTGGCACAAGGTCGGCCACAAGCTGAGCGCAAAAGCCTGATCATCGATCGACTTGTCAACCAGGTACTGGAAGCCTTTACCGATACCAAAGATGTCGGTCTTGCGAGCGTTCTCGGTCAAATCTACCCTTGCGGCTGTGTCTAGTAGCTTCTTCAGCTCCTCCCAAATACTCCTTGTCTTGTCGTCAGGAACGGCCAGGATCTCTAGGGCATCGAGTAATGCGTTGCAGTGGTACGTTGACCTATCCAGTTCTTCATTTTCGGTTTGTGTTTTCGAAAGCTCTTGGAATGGTTTATCGAGAAGTGCTTGCCAGCGGCCTGAGGCGTGAACGGCTCCAGCGGATATTGTGCCGCTCTGGTAGAGTTGAGGAAGGATGATGCAAAGCTCTGACCCATATTCGTGCGCCTTTTGTGCAATGAATCTACGAATTGTTAGAAACTTAGTTTGTTCGGGCTGAGTGATTGGCTTACCGCTTGAAGTATGGTAGTAGAAGGGTCTTGAACCTCTCTGCGCCAAGCTCGGCAAACATGTTGCAGAATGGCAAGAAGTACTCGTCCCATGATCCTTTGGTGAGGCCTTCTAGAAGCTTCTCGTAAGGTATCGCGGCATCTAGGGCACAGTACTGGAATACAACGGTGGTCGCCGACAAAAGGTCCCAAACTTCGGTAGACTCAAGGTTCGCTGGCTCGTTTGCAGTGCTGAGAACATGTTCGAGGGAACTGAGCACGGGCGTCCAGTCCGCAATACGAGTGCCCTTCCTTACGCCACAAACAATGAATAGCAATCGAGCTGACAATGCTGCGTGCCGTGAGTCTGCTGACAGGATCTGCGCAAGAATGACGTCGAGGAGAGGTTTAAAGTTCTCGGCATCCGTGTGGTGAATGACCGCGGTAATGACGCCCACTAGGACTGGTTCGAGCGGTGGCGCTTGAACAGACGCGTAGTCTTCGTGATACGCTTCAGCCAACAGTGCGTGAACTATCGCCGTGGCGCTTGAGTGTATGCCGCGCTGCACTCCCTTCAGTGAGTCTGCGAGCAGGAACATAATGCCCTGCTGAAACTCGTAATCCTTCTCATTGTCCTGGAGCTCCTTCAGCTGCTCAGAGATGTGCCTGATGATCAACTTGAGGGGTGTCTTGTCACGATGGTATCCAGCTCCGGCCTTGCGAACGAGGAAGCTGAGCGACTCAGCGGCAAAGCGCGCCACGAAAGCCTTCTGTTGTGCGCGTCCCAGCAGAGGCGAGACCAGATCGAAGGTCGGTCGCAGATCCGGTACTAAGAGCCTGGAGAGGTACTTGAACAGCCATGCCAGGCACGTGAAGCTCCATTCTATGACCTCGATCTCTGCGTGAGTGGCCGCCAGGCGCGCCACAGTCTTGACAACCCTCTCAAAGTGTTTTTCGAACTGCTCGCCGAGGTCGTGTGCCAGATGCGCCAACAGACTCAGCAGCGCCTCCTCGCTGTACTTCTCGCCCTTCTCAATAAACTCGACAAGCAGGTCGACTATGCGGTCGCTGTGGTGGAGGACCTGTGGGAGGCTGTCGCACAGCGGCGAGACCTTGCGCGAGAAGTGCACAAAGTTCTCGGACAGGTTGAGTTCCTTCCACTCGAGAAAAGAGTCCCGGAAGTACGAGAAGGTGGTTTCAAGCTCGGCATCGTCGATAATCGTGTTGCGCCCACGGCGGACCGGTTCGATCTTGAGCTTCGCGATGCGCTGCGAAAAGCCCTCGAAGCGGTGGTTGCGGGACGAGACAGTGCCGCCTTTTGTTCGTTTTGGTGCGCGCACCTTCGAGGACGGCTTCGAGAACGTCTTCGAGGACGACCTCGCGCCGGATTTTACGGAGGATTTGCCAGTTGCGCCCCGCGACATTGCTGGCATATTGTGTGTGGAAGTTGCGACTGCTGAAGTCTAGGTCGCTACTACTTTCTCGAATGTCTCCACAGAATTTTGTCACTAGCGTCTGCCACTTTTTGGGCGCTTGGACGTTTTTGTTGCGGACTTGGGCAGGACCTCCGAGGCTGCTCCAAAACACCAAAAGCTGCCATCTCCAATTCATTACATCATCATGGCTTCCAAAATGTCAGCTTCATAATCTTACCTCAGAATTGTGCTAACATTGATACAGTGTGGTCATTGGCGATGTGGATGGTCAGTTCCAGGCTGTCTTCCAGAAAGTGAACGCGCTGCACGTGAAGAACAACTTTGCTTTCGCGCTCATTATTGGCAACTTGTTTGCTAGCACGCAGAGCTCCAGCGATGTAGCTGAGCCGGATGTGCAGTCGCTCGTGGATGGCAAAATCGAAGTTGCACTCCCAACATACTTCGCTCTTAGCAACCACGCCCTACCGCCAGCAGTCGTCGAAAAATTGCAGTCTTCACACGATGAGCTATGCCACAATCTGCATTTCCTGGGTAAACGAACGACTATGAAGACCTCAGAGGGAATTCGCATTGTTGCACTTGGCGGCCAAATGGACCCCAACATCATTGCAGGCCAGTCCAAAGACAAGTACCCACCTTTCTACGGCGAGACAGATGCAAAGATCCTCCGTGGAGCAACGACAGCCGACATTCTTGTGACCTGTGACTGGCCTGAGGGTATTCAGAAGCGTTCGAAGGCCGAGCTCAGCGCAGAGGTTTCGCCTTCGGCGCAACAGTGTATCGCCGACCTTGATATAGTCCTTAAACCCAAGTACCACTTCTCGACATCCAAAAGCTCTTTCTGGGAACGAGAGCCATTTTTCCACACCCCGAGTGATGATACCGACAACCTTTACCCAGTCACCAGGTTCATCAGTCTGGCCAAATACGGCAACTCTAACAAGCAGAAGTGGATCTACGCCTTCTCATTAGATCCCACAGCGAGCAATCCTATCGCGCCCCCGCCTGGTTCTACAGCCTGTCCTCTTGTTCTATCAGAGAAGAAGCGAGCTGCGCCGGAGCCACGAGAGCAAGCTTTGGTGTACGATGACGGTACTCGATTCGGCAGACGATCGCACAAGCGGCGCAAGGGTGAGCCTCGAGGACCATTGACTGCAGCTGAATGCTTCTTCTGCCTCGCCAACGAGAATATCGCAACACATTTGGTCACCTCCATTGGCGACAGTTCCTACGTGACCACAGCAAGGGGACCACTATCGACATCACAAACATACCCCAAGCTCGGCTTCCCATGTCATATGCTCATCATTCCCTTCTCACACCAACCCACGCTCGCTGCAATGGAAGAGGAGGAAAGGCTCGCCACCTACGCTGAGATGCAGAAGTACCGAGTCGCTATGAACAGCATGCTGAAATCAGTTGCGGGCGAAGAGTACGGATCCGTGGTGTGGGAGGTGAGCAAATCGAGTCTGCCGCATACGCATTGGCAATACCTTCCGGTCCCGGCAAATCTCATTGGCAAAGGTCTTGTCGAAGCTGCCTTCAAGGCGTTGGCCGAAAACCTACATTGGCCGGCCTTCACAAAAGAAGATGTCGGTGATGGATTCGAAGAAACAAGCGACTTCTTCAGAGTCCTTGTGTGGGACCCAAAAAACGCCCCAGAGAAGCAGACAAGCTTGGTCTTGCGCTTCGATGACAAGATACGCTTCCACAACCAGTTCGGTCGAGAAGTACTAGCCAAACTGTTGAGGCTGGACGAGAGGATCGATTGGAAAAACTGCGGCCAGACACAACCCCAGGAAGAGCACGATGTTGAGAAGTTCAAGGAGGCCTTCAAGACCTTCGACTTCGCCGCCGAGTAGAGATGCTTCGATTCCGTTTCTGCCAGACACCTGTACGCATACCATACCTCTATCAACAGAACAATTGAACATGCGGCGATCGCCGACGGGATTGAGAGTTGATATCGACCTTCCTACCTGGCGACGCCATGTCTACGTAACACCTCCTTTATCTGGCGCGCACTTCCTCGATACCTCGAACAAGCCTATCAAACAGCATTCAGATATTGCCAATCCCAGAGTCGCAGAGCATACATACCCGAAACGGCATTTTCTTGAAGCGCTGTTGAACATAACACCATCAGGCCAAGACAGCCCTTGGCATTGGTGATTTTAGACTTTGTCATGTGCGTGCTAACGCGGGGTAGGATCTCCCATCTCAGCCCTGGCCGTTGGTGACACGGCAGTTTGATAGGATTTCTCCGCTAACATCTCCCTAGCGCATCGCTTTTACGTCAAGACACCGCATCCTCACGTTCCGCCGTCCTGGTTATCTATTCGCTATCTCACCTTCCACTAACAATGCCGAGTATCCTCGCTCCGAACCGCAGAACCGCCGTGTCTTTGGAAGTTTCATCTATTGTGCCAATCAAATAGCGATCTACATACAACGCCGAAAATAGATGGCCCAATCAGATAACGCGATAAGAGCACCTGCACCCAACCTTCCCAAGCCTTCGTTCCTCAGCACGCTGGTCGAAACTCTTGTAATCTTCCGAATGCCCAGTCAGCTTACACGAAATGCAGCTTAGGTCGGTCCCGAGACCCGTCCTGGCAGTTGCAACTTTGCTGTATCAAGCAGACTGCGGATGATCAGGTACGCTTCTCCTACTCCGCCCGGACAGGTAGAAGATGTGCAAGGCTTCGCATCTTGGCTGGGGTCTTCACCTGCCACTCTGGGTTCGTGAGAGCGCTGGTGCATGTGCGAGCGTGGCACTACAGTGAAGGACCCAGTGAAACTGTGAGCGCGTGGCTCCGAAAATCATTGTCATTGGCATGCTGATTGGAGCCCTTGGTGTTTGTGTGCGACTTCGCTGTCTGTTCCGAGAACTATTGGCAACGACTTGGGAGAAGGTGTATAAGAATGGCGAGCATCAACGACTTTGAAAGACAAGACAGGACATCCCTCGCTTCCTTCTTCAGGTCCCAGCTTCGAGCAATCTTGCTTGACTCCACCTCGCCCTCTCTCTTCTCAAGGTCACTTCATACAGACATATAGTTCACCATGAAGACTGCCATTCTCACCTTCGCTCTGGCGACTCTCGCCTCGGCCGCACCAGCACCTCTCGTTCCCCGCGCGCCACCGGGTGTTCCTACCACCGCTGCGGCAAAGACCCAGCTCGCTGGCCTCACCGTTGCTGCCCAAGGTCCTCAGACCGGCTACTCTCGTGACTTGTTCCCCCACTGGATCACACAGTCAGGTAAGTCACTTACTCCAACACTAATCGAACAGAGATGTTAACATCCGCAGGCTCCTGTAACACCCGTGAGGTCGTCCTCGCACGTGACGGCACCAATGTCGTCCAAGACTCTTCTTCTTGCGCTGCTACCTCCGGAACATGGAAGAGCCCCTACGACGGCGCTACATGGACCGCCGCCAGCGACGTCGACATCGACCACATGGTTCCCCTGAGCAACGCCTGGAAGGTACATTCCAACCCCACTCCCAACCCTTCCCCCAAATCCTCCCCTCGTACTAACACACCCCAGTCCGGCGCCTCGTCATGGACCACAGCCCGTCGCCAGGCCTTCGCCAACGACCTGACCAACCCCCAGCTTCTTGCTGTTACGGATAATGTGAATCAAGCCAAGAGCGACCAGGGACCTGAGGACTGGAAGCCCCCGCTAACAAGCTACTACTGCACTTATGCGAAGATGTGGGTCCGGGTCAAGAGCGTGTATAGTCTTACGATTACGAGTGCGGAGAAGACGGCGTTGACGAGTATGTTGAACACTTGCTAGGCTTGAAGCAAAAGCTGGGATGAAGACTAGGGGTCTTTGGATAGATGTGTCATGCAAACAGAATGAATTAACAACGCTATGATCGTGTTAGACCGTTGCCCACGAACCCATGTTTCGATTGAACTGACTTTTGTGGCCGAAGGAAAGCGCTTGTCTGATTTGTCCTCACAGTATTCTGATCTTCTACTCGAACTGCTTGATCCCCTCCCCTCAACATACCATACTATCCTCGAAACACGAAAAGCAAAATCACAAATACTGAAGGAGCGTACACAATTGCCCCAACGCAAAACGAGCGCAAACCCCACCGAGCGCTCCTCGAACTCACCTGCCTCACGTCCACCCGATCCTCCCTATGAACTCGGTCCCTCCGTATACCGACACACCCACATAAAACTCTTTGCCTCCTACAACCCACAAGCCCTTACATCCAGCGTCAAATCAAGTCCGGGGCCTTAATATCCGGACATGGCGCATTCGAATCATCCGTGGTCCTAATACACACACTCCTCGTATCGCCATTCTGGGTAACCGCCACACCTGCACAGTCCGCTTGAAAGAACGCTCGCATCTCGCAAACGGTATTTTCGGGCAGCCCGTCGAGCTTGTACGCGATGAAGGCGCGGAAGCCCTGGGTATTGGTGCACGAGCTTGGGGCGATGTGCGTGAGTATAGTTCTCTCGTTGTCCTCGCTGATGCCGCATGAGCCTTGGCCATAGAGAATGGTTTCGGCGGTGGGAAGCTTGGTGATAGCTTCTCGGGGGATGATGGCATGGCGAGCTGCGAGTGCGAGGGCGGAGTTCAGAAGGTTGCGAGAAGCTTAGGCTTGGTCAGCATGTTTGTTCTGTTGAGGCTTTGCTTATTGTTTACTGCAGTGGTGGCTTTCATGTTGGTCGATAGCGTTGGTGCTGGAGCTTTGGGATTGTAAATGCGTATATTGTGTGAGTATCCGATCGCATGGGAGTTAGTATGCCTCTTTCTATACACGAGGTCTCACATCGTTGAGTTCATTCTGGTCGAGCAATGCAGAGCCAAGGACCACACGGTCGTAATGATGCTGCGGATATGATTGCTTCCAGCGGCAAGTACGACTGCTTCTCCGAGTCCACAAGTTGACGAACGAATGCCATGTCAGGTGTGTGAAGCTCTTCTTCGGCTTTGTCGGTTTTGGTTCTCTGTCTCATATCCCTTGCGTGGAGCCATGTACACATTGAGTAATTGGAGGGCAGCCTCGCCGAACATGATTGTTTCACGCGTGAACTCAGCGTCTAAGCGGAGGAACAAATAGTAACAATCCGTCGACGTTGTCGTCCGTACAGTGGATAGTCTGAGACAGCAAGGCTGCAGATAACACAGCACGGAGAACATGCACTTGATTTGAGACATGACTGCCCCATGTCTTGCGCCCTCACCATCATCTACATATGAGAAGCGCTGTCGATTTGCATGTTCCCACAATTGAATAATCAGTAAACTCGTACAATTCGAAAGCCACAACACCAACAGCTCACTCCACACAATGGCATGAAAGAGACTCATCAACAAGGTAAAGCCAGACGGCTTACCACAGGCCGGTACTGTCCAGTCCACCTCATACGTCCAGGCATTGGGCAAAGGCTTGAACCACATGACTGTGGCAGCACGCGACATGGCTAATAAGTGGAAGCTGGCTGAGCCCGTAGAGCCAACTGCACCGGAAGTTTTGAGCGAGTCTGTACCATCTGCTGGCATTCTGGATGCACTAAGTGCTCTGAACGACCGAGCGGCACCTATGACTTCATCTGTACGCTCCGTGAGTAGTGCGTATAGTGAATTTGGGCGGCGGGCTGAGGATCATTATGAGGTCAAGATGCGAGGCAAGGAGAAGGATGAGAAGCGTTGGAATTGAGTGAGGCGTTCCTAAATGCGCTCGCTTGCTACGTATGCACCGCTTAGTTGAAAATCCAGGGTACGGAGAAGGATGGAATGCGCTACATAGATTGAGATGACGCAAGATATGTATTCACTACAGCAAAGCGACGGACATGCAGGCATGCTTATGAGTGTGTGTAGTTAGAAGACAATAGACGAATGCCTTTTCTTGCCTTTCTTCTTGTTCTTCTTCGCTGTGTCGGGATTGCTGTTGTTGACGGCTGGTACAGCATCTTCTTCCACGACTGAGTCGGCTCGCACGTGCTCGGATTCCTTGACCTCGTTCGGTGGTATGTCGACGGTCTTCAGGACTTCGGGCTGTTCGATGATAGGCTCAATGGCTGGGAGACCGAAGTCATCATTTGAGGCAGTATCACTTTGAGCATTCGGATCATTCTCCCTAGATTTAGCTTGAGGTTGAATCTCAAGGTTTGCTGCAGTCGATGGGCCCAGGTCTAGAGTTTCTGGCTCGTTCAGGTCGTCTGCTTCTTTCGAGTTTGACGGACTGTCCACGACAGATTCAGTTGGTGAAGGAAGCTGATGCAGGCTATCTTGGGTGGGCACTTCGCTCTCAGTAAGCAAGCTCTCAGCCAGTGGGGTCTCGGCGCCGCTATCCTGAGGTGGCCTAGTAGAGGATGGAGGTACGGCTGTATAGCTGCTCATGACAGTCTTCCAAACGATTTGCAGCAGGCGACTGTTTCCTTCAACCTTGGTGATGAAGTCCGGTCTTCTGAAGGGCTCGGGGTCCTTCGCCATCGCCGTTTGTATGACATCTTCGAGGTACCCAGAGTACCACACATCGGTTTCGGGGAGCAAAGGGAATGCATGATCTCGCGCGACTTGCAGAACGTCAAAGATGGGTATGTAATCACCTTCAACAGACACCTTCTCTTTCGAGAGCTTTGCAAGGCCGTGTAGTTGATAGCGAATGGCAGCGCAGTAAACGCAGGTTGCAAGCTTGAAACGCTCGTAAGCGACCTTGCCATCACTAGGTGCAGGGTGAAATCGTATCTGGAAGGTCCCCGCGTAAAGGAAATGGACAAGTGTATGTGCAGCCGATTCATCGAGCTTTGGTAGAGACACAGGCTGGCCGTTCGAGGCCAGAGCAAAAAGTGGAGTACTCTTCCGTAGCATGCAGCTGTGAACCAAAAAGCGGGTTGCAGAGCTTCCTGCATCTAGTGGAATGATTTCGGACTCGACATAAGGTCTAAGCGACGCGATGTCAGTGAACATCGATTGGCATGGAAAATGGTGCCCTACTAACGATTTGTTGAGTGCGACATTACTTGTTCGATCAAATTCAGGCTTCTCTTCACGTGGAAATTCGTATACGATATCTTCATCGTGTGGCACGGCCACCGTAGAGTTGTCGCTGACCGACATAGTGAACGTTGGCTTCCTCCTGGGTGGACTGACTCTAGATGCCGGACACCAACATTTATCCTCGTCATCCAGAGTATGCCAAAGTGAGGCTCAAAATTGCTGAGTTGTCACCTCTTTGATATCGTGAGGAGTGCATGCATCGATGTGTTGTCAGTCGGACCAATCTTCCAGCCTGATGGGAGAAAGTCTCCTGTTGGCCAGCCTCGTGTGCTTCGCTGCACCACTCACAGGATCCGATCAAGCGGGCGCCACCAGTAGCTCCAATTCGTCGACCTCATGCCTTGTCATGCACCCCAAGTTCTGTGAGCTCGAATGTAAGTAGTTGGAGATCTTGCGACCGGTGAGCGTTTGGCTTGGTTGCAGCATGCGCTGTGATGGAACGAGCCGCAAGAGAGCCCGAAAGTTGCCCTCTGTCAAAGCGCGTCAAGCCAAGAGATTTGAATATTACTGGATCATTCAGGTCGGGTGGGCGTTTGTTCTCCGCTTCCGCTATTGATAAAGTTTGTGTTTATCAGCAATGCTGTCCATCCCAGGCCGATTTTCCCCACAGTACTGCCTGAATCCATATCACCCACTAGACCTGGCACATTGTTGAGTATGTGACACTCTTCAGTTTCTGCCGCGCCCGAAGTTTTCTGAATCGACTGTTTGTGGCTTGCCTTCAATCCGTTACCCAGCCTGAACAGTGTGTGTCCGTCGAGGATCGCACTCCAGCGTCTCCGAGACCCGTACAGAATGCAGAGTGTTGTACTCATCAGCGTCCAAAGCGAGAACAGCGGGACAGGTAGTCCGGCAGACATTACACTCTGTTTGACGACCGTGTCGGGGATGAATGACGTAGCGTTTGGGTTGATGAACGTAACGTGGCTGCCATCGCGGGCTGTAAAGCCTTGTCCGTCGTTGTACATCAGTTGCACTGCATAGGCGGCCTAAGCTCGCAGCATGCTCTGTCGAAGCTGTGAGGCTTGAAGATAATTGAGCTGTAGCAGGTATCCGGTACCAAAATCAACGCTTGCCGGATCGTCGGTGTACGACGCATAGAAGGGAGGCGGAACAGCGATAGACGTGAAAAGTGTGGATAGCCATTCATCGTCGATCGGCCTACGCGATCATGAACGTTCGACTGATGCCATCGTCTTTCGGGAGCACGGCAGAAACCCTCTCAAGGAAGGCGTGTTGTGGGCAGTCAAATCGTGCTGGTGTATCTATAATGCCTTGTGCAGGAATGCGCGCATCTAGGGTGTTCTTCTGTGTAATATCAGCGCCGGGTAGACATCAACGCCGTTTCGTTCGTTAAAGTTTGCGTATGCGGAACCGGTGACATTCGAACCATCGACTGGTTTGCCGTGAAGAAACCCCTGCGTCGTGTCCAAACATAGCCTTGATAGCGGCCAGGCAACGAGAGTCAGTATACTCGGTATCACAAGCACGAACCATAATCGACCTGAAAACTTGTGCTGGACACCGGCCCTACGCGTCTGTGCGATCCAGTTCAACCTCTTCAACCAGCCCCTGGGCCAGACCATGTCCTATCGGCATGCATCATCAAACGCATTGCATCCCCAACATTCCATGCTGGTTCCATCAGCATGGCAGCTTCCACTCCGGCCAGTCCGTAGAGGTTGAAGTTGAGCCCCACGACACCAGCGGCGAACCAGCTGTAGAAGACCCATGTTGCACCTGGCGACCCAAACGCCAACGGGCCCTGCACGTCGACAAGTGTTAGATAAATGCGCCATATTGCAATGAAGTAGGCAGAGACGATGATGGGCCCTAGCACGCCAACTGCTGAGCGAAAGTAGAAACGATTTAGAGGCTGTCCTACAGCGGTGTTGCTGAAGCTCCTGTTGACTTCTGAGATATCGATGAAGGCCTGCTTGCCGCTTGATTTTGTAGTTGAGATTTGCTTATCGACGTGAGCACGGCTGTATCTTTGTAAGTAGTTTATCAAAAGATCTGTTAACTATGCTCACTGAGCGTCGGAACCGTACCCATCAAGTCGCCACACATAGCCGGCAGTGGCATTGAGTGTTTTGGAGCGTTGCATGCTCATGTGAGAAACATAGAACGCAGTTGTCCACCGACAGGGCAATGGGCCTCAAGTAAATGCGCGCCTCCCTCTTTCACAGACTTGCTGTCCACAAATATTTTGTATGCACTCCCAACTTCAGATGGCGAGCGGCAAGTAGTGGCTGGCTGCAGGATGTAATGGCATTCAGGCGAATCTGGGGTATTCTTTCTCATTGTCGTTGCACAACGTCAACCGCAACCCCTAGCCACGACTAAGGTTTTGATCAATAGGAACAAACACGATTCTTGAATCATTTCGACCCAGTCCTTTTTGTTTTCCATGTAGTGCAGGATCTGAAGTACAATGCGAGTAGGACACGTCGTGCCTGTCAACCAGCAAACACTAAATCGTGGTGTCCAATCAGGTGCTCAGAAAAGCGGGAGGACGCAGCGAGGCTGCACGCGTTGCATCTTTCAGAGCAGTGACAACCATTCCAACCCAAGCAGTGACGATCATTCTCAAGCTCCAAACTTCATGTCGTGACGGTGCCAGTGAAAGTTGATGGTGTGCTGCTGTGGAGGAGGTCGGCGATGACGATGTCGGACAGATCAGATCCGTTCACCGAGCGCCTGGCGAACTGTGCCCTGCATGCTTGGCAATAATGATGCTGTATCTTTGGCTTTGCGACAGCAGACGACCGCTCACTAGCCTGTACAATACGTTTCTGCGCGCGTGTGTGTTTTGTACTTTGTCGAGAAGTAGCAAACGTGTAATAGTAGTGGTACTTGGGCATGCTTAGCCGGTACCCTGTCGCCTCAGCCTGGAAAAGAAGTTTCTCGTCGCCAACGCCGCCGTCCTTTACCGCGACCTATTTCTTCAGCAGACCGGAAACTCGCCTTCCTTTGACTTCGTCGTTCTTTTACCGCGCCTACACCGCCTCCAACCGCCTATACATATCCCCGCCCATGGAACAAAATGGCGCGCATAGTAAGCGCAAGCAGCCGCCTACCCCCAGCAACGAGCGCCCAATGAAGCAGATCAAAGCCGAGACGGATGCCCACAGTCGCAACGGGGTAGCTGCGTCGCCCACACCAGAGATGGATGTGGACGATGCGCGCAGTGACGTCAGCCTTGAGCCCATAGCTGTTGTGCCCGTCGCTGGCGCAGTGCACGACACGGCTGAGTGGCAGAAGACGATTGAGGGCGTTGTGAAAAGCGTCGTTTCGATCCACTTCTGCCAGACATGCTCGTTCGACACAGACCCGGCCATTGCCTCAGAGGCGACTGGTTTCGTCGTGGACGCTGAGAAAGGCTACATCATGACGAACAGGGTATGACAATCACTACCCCTCGAGACGATACGGTATACTAACATGCCCAGCACGTCGTCGGCGCAGGACCCTTCATTGGCTACTGTATCTTCGACAATCACGAGGAGTGCGACGTTTACCCCGTATACCGCGACCCTGTCCACGACTTCGGCATTCTGCGCTTCGACCCCTCCAAGATCAAGTACATGCCCCTTACTGCGCTGCAACTGAAGCCAGACCTCGCCAAAGTCGGTGTTGAGATCCGCGTTGTGGGTAATGATGCTGGAGAAAAGCTCAGTATCCTGTCTGGTGTCATCAGTCGACTGGACCGCAATGCGCCAGAGTACGGCGAGGGTTACTCTGACTTCAACACAAACTACATCCAGGCCGCCGCCGCTGCAAGTGGTGGAAGTTCTGGCAGTCCAGTCGTGAACAGGGACGGCTATGCTGTTGCGCTGCAAGCTGGTGGGCGATCAGACGGTGCCGCGACCGACTACTTCCTACCCCTCGACCGTCCGTTACGCGCTCTCGAACTTGTTCGCCAAGGGGAATCCGTGTCACGAGGCACAGTACAGACACAGTGGATACTGAAGCCCTTCGATGAATGCAGGAGGCTTGGCCTATCGGCGGATGTCGAAGAAGCAGTTCGCACCCAGTTCCCCAAGGAAACGGGCATGCTGGTGGCTGAGGTTGTCCTCCCACAAGGGCCTGCATCCAGCAAGATCGAGGAAGGCGATCTTCTGACGCATGTGAACGGCGAGCTCCTGACTCAGTTCGTTCGTCTGGACGCGATACTAGACGACCACGTTGGCAAGAAGATCTCAGTGACGATCCAGCGTGCCGGCGAGAACATGAGCGTCGAGTTGGATGTGGGCGATCTGCACGCCATCACACCAGACAGGTTCGTGTCAGTGGCTGGAGCCTCATTCCATGACCTGTCGTACCAACAGGCTCGCCTGTATGCCATCTCACTCAAGGATGCAGGTGTCTACGTGTGCGAAGCAGCAGGCTCATTCCGATTCGCCGATGGTTACGCATCCGGGTGGTTGATTCAAGAAGTGGACAACCAGCCTACGCCGAACCTCGACGCCTTCATCGAAGTCATGCGTAGGATACCTGACCGCAAGCGCGTTGTTATCATGTACAAGCATCTCCGTGATCTGCATACTGTTAACACAAGTATCACAGCCATCGACAGGCATTGGCACGCGAAGATCAGGGTAGCTACGCGCAACGATGCCACAGGGTTGTGGGACTTCAAACCGCTAGCTGATCCCGTGCCGGCCATACCGCCCGTGCCGCGCCGTGCCAACTTCGTCACGATGAACTCGCAGTACCCTGAAGCAGTCGACATTGTTCGCAGTCTTGTACGGGTACACGTCTCCATGCCGATCAAGCTTGATGGTTTCCCCAAGATGAACAAGCAAGGCTATGGTATTGTAGTAGATGCTGAGCAAGGTCTTGTCCTTGTCTCGCGAGCAATCTTGCCGTATGACCTCTGCGACATCTCCTTGATCATCGCAGACAGTATCTTCATTGACGCCAAGGTTGTATTCATGCACCCATTACAGAATTACGCTATTGTCAAGTATGATCCATCGATGGTCCAAGCCTCAGTCAAGACACCGAAGTTCTCGACAGAATTCATCAAGAAGGGAGACGAAACGATCTTCTTTGGTATGAATCAGAACTTCCGCCCTGTCGTAACAAAAACAGTGGTAACAGACATCACCACCGTCGCCATTCCTGCCAGCGCCATCACACCCCGCTACCGCGCGACAAACTTCGATGCCATCACAGTAGACACCAACCAAGCGTCTCACAGTGGCTCAGGTGTCCTGATCGCCGAAGACGGCACAGTGCAGGCCCTGTGGCTGTCCTACCTCGGTGAGCGGACATCACACAGCGGCAAAGATGTTGAATACCACCTAGGTCTCGCAACACCGAACCTCCTCCCCGTCCTCAACGAGATCAGAGGCGGCAAGACCCCCAAACTCCGCATCCTCAACGTCGAGTTCCAAACCGTGCAGATGAGCCAGGCGCGCGTCATGGGCGTATCAGAAGAATGGATCGAGAAGACGGAGCACGCCGATCCGGAGCGACACCAGCTCTTCATGGTTCGCAAGGTTGACTCTGGACACGGCGATGGTCTCCAAGAGGGTGATGTGCTCCTCACACTCAACGGCAAGCTCGTCACAAGAAGCCCCGACCTCGATGTCATGTACACCAACGAATTCCTCGACGCCGTCGTGGTGCGCAAGCGTAACGAGATGGCCATCAAAGTACACACCGTGCCCACCGAGGATCTCGAGACAGACCGCCTCGTCAGCTTCTGCGGCGCTACGTTCCATCGCCCTCACCAAGCTGTAAGGCAGCAGATCAGCAAGGTTCACTCTGATGTGTACATCTCGTCGCGCGCCCGCGGTTCGCCGGCGTACATGTACGGTAAGTCACACACCATCTCCCCATCCCCGCCGCTTCCAAGCCAACACTAATGATTGATGCAGGCCTCGCACCGACCAACTTCCTCACCCACGTCAACAACAAGCCCACACCCGACCTCGACTCGTTCCTCGAAGCCGTCAAGCAGATCAAAGACAACGAGTACTTCCGGCTCAAGGTCATGACGTTCGACAACGTGCCGTGGGTCGCGACGATGAAGAAGAACGAGCACTATTTCCCCACCATCGAATACGTCAAGGACAAGAGCGAGGAACTTGGATGGAGAAAGATTATTCATGAGTGTGATGCTGGGGGAGCGAGGGAGGAGGCGGTGGATGGGGGAGAGGCGGAGGTCGCGGAGGGTGAGGGGTGTGATGAGTAGTTGGTGGAGCATCAAGAGCAAAGTGCGGAGCAAGAAGAGTGAAGTAAAAGTGGTGTAAATATGCATTGTATGATAGGCCGAGCCTTGAGATGGAGCGTGCACTGCTCATCCTATATACCACCTGCTGCAGTCTTGACCGAAAGCTCTTGTGTGTTACGATATGTGAAGCCTACAGAAGGACGTTAGAGTACGCCTTCCTGAGTCGACGGGCGACGACAGCAATGGCCAAAGCTTCTTCAGAACTGGCACCATTGCTTCATCCCTGCACCCCACTTCCATTGTCAAGCCCTTGCATCCAATGCAGGATTCAGGGCCGCGTAGCACTCACTGCACAGGCTCTCCCGGATCATCGCCAAACTACACGATGCTTTCGATCAGTCTCGACCTTAAGATCGATCTGTCGGTGCTTGTGGTAATCGCAACCACCATCTCCGGGTTTCAAGCCAGGAGTCTCCAAGTGGGTCACAGCAATCTGTCGGCAATCACAGATCTCTCACGAGCCTATAGCCCGGCGACTGACAAGCCCTGATGACAACCGTACTTCCGGCAACTGAACTCACCCTACGTTTGTTGCAGCCACCGTCACCACCTGTGCCTTCCTCCTCAAGGCGATGGACAAGTCGTGTGCCCTCGGCAGCTGTCAGTTTGTCTCAGGGTCTAGTCTGCATGGCACGGACCAGTGATCTGCGGGGCCATCCGCACTTGAGGCGCAGTCAAGCTCGCCCTGCAATGTCCGTTTGCGGGCGCAATTCAATAAACGGCGAAAACCTCACACGTGCAATTTTCGTATTCTCTTACCCATATACTCTTGTAAAGTGCAGGCCGCTCTACGTTCTTCGGTCTGCTCTTCATCCAGCAAACGTCCAGCGCTCCTCACGCCTACACAGTTCATTATCGCAAACACCCGCCCCGCAACCTCTCCGCCCACCTTCACAATGGGCGCATTAAACCTCGTTCCGCTAGTCATCCTCTTCCTGATCGTCGGAGGCGTCGGCTGGGTCGGCTACCAGGTAGGACAGGCCCACTCTCTCAAGATCCTTCCTCAACTCCAGCAACTCCACATTCTGCCCACCTGTTCGCTCCACCGCCCTGCGCACATGACTGACGGCGAGCCTACAGATCTACCTCTACTCGAACGAGCTCGCAGAGCGCGGCGTCCGTAAGATGGAGAAGAAGAACCTCGTGCTCACCAAGGACGGCGCGAGGGTTGGTGTCAAGGAAGTCAGCGCGGAGCAGTATGCGGACAAGACGCAGAGAGCGTTTGTCAAGACGTGGAATGCTGCGCAGGACAGCCCGCAGACAGGGCACTCTGCCAGGGCGAGGAGGGCATGAGCATGGGTATCAAGCCCGGCGATCGACATCTTCGAGTTCGTACGGCGACTGCAAGACGATTTGAGCAGAGCGAGCCACACGACATATGGACACGACGTCCTCTCTCATTCTACAGTTTTGGATGCCACCGCATCAGGGCATACGGTTGTGCCAAGGTGGTCTGGGCCATGCAGACTGCCTTCCCTGGCAGAGGGATAACAAGGTGGTTCGACAGGATATACCAATCGTCTGGCAACGGGACAGGCACCAGACTGAATACCACAATTCACAACTCAATCAGCGTGCACGATGGCAAACCGACTCGAAAGAATGCTGATATACATCACAGTATCTGCACTACACCGAGGACTCGTACCAAGACTTTGGCGTATCAGCAGTTGTCACTCGTCACAGTCATCAACAAGCGCGTGGCGTCTACGCGGCTACAACATCACAATACTACTCCTACTTGCGGAAACATCATTGCGACCGCGCGGTGCGTCGGCCGCTTTGACCTCAGATGATTGTTTGGTAAGTAGTGCTGAGGTCAGCTACAAGCTTTCCCCTCCAACGACCATACCCGAATCGCCATCTAGGAACATGAGCCGCTATGCGAGGACGTCCTAGCCATAAGTGACAAAGGCTCCAGCCGTTGCTAGGACTGGTCGTTGAAGAAGCGGGATACAAGAATACGTGTCTGGCATTAACAGTTCGTTCCAATTGCGCAAGTCACACGTATTTGATCATACCAGGAAAAGCACAACGATGTCCAACCAGCGTCAACACAATCATCAGACCCAGGGCCGCGTGCTGCCGCTCGGCTGAGGCCGACACCGCTGTGGAGGGGAAGTGGATATATGACCTTGCTGATCTTCACACTAATCCTCACGCTAGGGTCACCTCAGCACAATGCCTCCTCTAGATTGGATAAAGCATGGCGCCTGCTGTCTCACGCTGATTGTGGCCCTTTCATTCTTGCGTACGTAGCAGGAGCGGAGATAGATGAAGAGTAATCTTTCGCCCGGCTGTAACGGAGCTCCAACCTTGTCCAACATCAGCATATAAATGCCTTGAGCCGCTGTTCTATGAGGAGGGAGCAATTCAGTATACACCGTAACAGTATTGGAACCTCGTTGACAGAGCTCAGCTCTTGTGATCGACATTATGGTACTCGACCACCATCTGTTCAACCTCGTGGGCATCGCGTTCTCCTTTGACATATTACTGGCTTCTGTAAGTGTCTCGAAGAGCGGTTGCTGGCCCATACATGTGCAACTCGTGTTCTACAGGATGAATATCGCCTCCGAGTGGCATCACAATGCACTGACTTGACAAATGCTGACTTTTTCTCGATCGCCTTGTACGCCATCGGCGCCATCATCTACAACCTCTACTTCCACCCTCTCCGCCACATCCCCGGCCCATGGCTCACTAGCTCTACCGGCATCCCTTACGCCCTGCGCATGCGCTCCGGCAAAATCCTCCCCTGGATCCAGCACCTCCACGCCCAATACGGCGACGTGGTCCGCGTGACGCCCACCGAAGTATCCTTCATCAGCGGCGAGACCGCCTGGCCCGACATCTACGGCTTCCGCACTGGCAAGTACAAAGATACCGGCGCCTACCTGAAAGACAAAGCATGGTTCCCTACCCCAATCAACGGCGTCTGGTCGATCATCACCAGCACCGAAGCCGACCACTCGCGCTTGCGCCGCAACCTGTCGCACGCATTCAGCGACAAAGCGCTGCGTTCCCAGGAACCCCTGATCATGAGCTATGTCGACCTACTCATCCACAAGCTCAGCCAGCACGCGGAGAAGGGTATGTCGGTGGATATCATGCGCTGGTACAACTACACAACCTTCGACATCATCGCGGATCTCTCCTTCGGCGAGCCGCTGTACTGTCTCAGAGATAGCGGGTACCACATGTGGGTCAACATGGTGTTCATGGGCCTCAAGGGGATCCCGACAATCGCCATTCGCAACAAATACATTCTCTTCCGCTGGCTCGATAGGTTCCGGAATCTGTTTACAGACACACAGGCTGTTGTACGCGCGAGGAAGGAGTTCTTCGCTATGGCATCTGCCCGCGTAACCGCCCGTCTTGAAAAGGAAACAGAGCGTCCGGATTTCTTCACGTTTATACTGCAGAACCAGGATAAGGAGAGTCGCGCGCTGACGAGGGGCGAGATGGATGCGAACGCGAACATCTTCCTCATTGCTGGCTCCGAAACGACCGCGACCACACTTTCCGGAAGCACTTATCTTCTCCTCAAGAACCAGGCCGCGTACAAACGTCTCGTGCACGAGATCCGGAGCGCGTTTAAGAGTAGTGATGAGATCTCCATCGACAAAGTGAACCAGCTTCCCTACCTCGTCGCCGTCCTGCAAGAAGGCCTTCGCTACTACCCACCCGTGCCAACAGGCTTTCCACGCATCGTCCCCGGCACCGGTCAAGATATCTCAGGACACTACATACCCGGCGGCACGGGCGTGTACATCTCCCAACACGCGAGCAACCACAGCGCGAGAAATTTTACGGACGCGGATGCCTTCGTTCCGGAGCGCTGGCTCGACGCCGAGAGACCGGCCAAGTACGAGGGAGACAACAGAGAAGTCGTCCAGCCGTTCTCCTTTGGGCCGCGAAACTGCATAGGCAAAAAGTGAGTCTCATCCCGCTCTTCTGTCTTCTCTTCCTTTCTCTTCCCTTCCCTTCCCTTCCCCTCCCCTTCCCCTCCCCCTCCCATCCCATCCATGCCTCCTCCCTGGTCGTCGATGATGGCGATGCGAGTGCTGACGAAAACAGTCTCGCATACGCAGAAATGCGGCTCATCATGGCAAAGTTGCTGTTCCATTTCGACCTCGCACTCGTACACCCCGAGAGGGATTGGATGGAGAAGCAAAGGGTGTTTGCGCTGTGGGAGAAGCCCTCGCTGGACGTGCGCCTCACGCCCGTGCAGCGGTCTATTTAGGTCGCAGACACGTGGGACGCATAGGGCCAAGGTGTTCCAGGCGTTGGGCGTGCCTTTACAGGAGTGTAGATGGACGGCCTTGTCGCGCGTGGTGCCGGGGCTTGAAGGAATGCATTGCGCGCCGATCCGGTGGTGCACGTGAGAACTACCGAATGAAGAACGTGCCATGCAAAATCTTCTGTTTGGAAAGCACGAGTCGCGCCCAAGCGCCAGGCAAGACCTGGCCGTGCGACGAGCGACGAGCGACTTCACTGGCTTCTTACCGTGTTGATCCCACGCTGGTCCAACCAGGCACACGCATCAAATCCTCTCCTCCTCCTCCTCCCTCCTCCCTTCCTTTCCTTGCTTCTTGAGCAAGAGGAGCCCGGATTATTGGTCCGCAGGCTGTTGGGTAAATACCCTGCATCCTATAGAGAGGCGGCGCAATGTCTCACATCGATCAAGGTAAATCTCCATATCTCCATAGAATTTGTGAGCAGGACAGCAGGGTACAGGGTTCGTGCAATGTCGTTCCGGCCCGGCCCAGCTCCATTTCCTTCCCTTGACTTTGGTGTCAGTCTGACTTGTATCAGTCTGAGTGTGTAATTTCACTTCGGCTGCACCAATGAGTGGAAGTTGAATCGAATGCAAGTCTTGTACATTCATACTTGTCGCCGGAGCTGGACTCTGTTAGCACGATGATACGTGCTACTCTCGCTTGACCCTGCACCTCGAACCAAAACACCTTCAAACTCCATGCTGAGGATTTATTTGCTCAGTGTCAAGACTAGGTGGTTATGGTGTTGTGTTGCGGGTGAGCAGAGGCTCGATATAAGCTACCTATCACGTGCCGGCGATTCGGGGAGTCCTTCACCCGCCTCTCGCGGACACTCAGCAATCCTGGAATTCCATCAAGTCCACCTCCTTCGCATTGCGCGTTGACCGTTTCCACCATCGCGTACTGGCGTGATATCCGCGCGCTTGCGATCCCCTTAGATCCAGCTCTTCTGCATTGAGCCTTTTCTCTTTTCGATCGTCTGCTGGCGTGAGGGTGATCACGGGAACATAGGTCCGCACGTGAGCACGTGTCGTCTGGCCAGGACCAGCACTTGCGCACTGCTCAGCCCGAACTTTGTACCGATGACACTCAGTCTTCCTAACAACCAGTCTCGCTGACGCTGAGGCACTGTGTCCGCATTCGCGGCAACGTAGAGGGGCCAGACGAGCGAGTAGCCGCCGAATGCTTCAGCCGCTGCGACATTGTCAGTATGCTAGGTTCCAATCCAAGGGTTTTCAAGAGGACTCACCATACTGCTCCTGCCCTGTTTCCTTAGCCAACGGCTGCAACTCATAATTCAAATGAAACGGCACACACGCACTCAACTCATCCACCATCTGCTGCACCACATAAACACTCCTCTTATACTGCTCCTCCTCCTGCGCATTCACAACGCCACCATACCCCAGCCAATCGAGGCAAGCCAGCATCACGCGCCGGCAGAAGATGCGGCAGACGCGGTAGTCATTCATGATGGATGCGAGCGGCACATCGTGGTATGCGTGCTGCTCGCCAGGCCAATTCTCGGCGTTGGCGATGTCCGAGGGTATGGAGGATTCGACGCCGATGATGCGGTGTTTCCATTCGGGTGGGAGCGTGCGGTACCATTCCTCCAGATTCCCGTCGACCAGCTGCGCAAATTCGATGATCTGTCTTGCCTCCAACTCCTCAGTCGGATCATATAGGGTGGACGTGAGTTTGTTGGCGCGGGCGCGCAGGTTGGGCAGGTCGATGCAAATGAGTGTTAGGCGATTGGCGGCGTTCTCTTCGGCGATGTCGGATTCACCTATCCAGCCTTTTTGGCCGGGGAACGAGTCGATGGGTTTGGAGCGCTGGACGCAGGATGTTATCATCATGGTGCGCACGGCGCGGAACATGGCGTGCGACATGGGGTCGTTGAATTGGTCGGTGCCGCGGAGTTTTGTTAGGGCCACGGCGCCGTCGACGTGGTTACCCCAGGCGGTGATTGTGTCGTCAGTCGACATGATGGTCTGGAGGAAGTCAGTCATCAGTGTAGAGGCAAGTGGTCTGATTTGACCTACTTCGTATAGCGAGAACATCAGAATGGCAAGTACGGTTTCGTTCGACCTGCTCATCGCAGGATCCTTGAGGTCGCTGTTGAGCTTTCGAATAGCTTTTCCATATGTCTTGACAGCCTCGCCCACCAAAGCTTCCCGACCAGGATACTGACCGCAAGCAGCCATGGCGACAGCACTTGTGGCCAGATGCAGGACTGATGACGGTAACGCTTGATTGTATAGCGGAACGAGAAATTCAAGATACCCTCTTGTGCTTTCTGCTTGTTGTGGAAGTGTGATAAAGTTTTTGAAGAAGAAGGTGACGGCCTCGTAGTCCGGGGCCATCACAATAGACTGCGGGATCTGGTCGAGGTTCCATAGCCAATTGTCGAAAAGTCCTTGTGACGATAACGCTTCTGGGTATTGAGGTATGAGTATGAGCTGTTGATCTAAATTTGGTGTGGTTTGTGCTGTGGAGGAGTCCTCCTGTGATGAGTTGGAAGCATTTGAAACTTCGAATGTGAGGAAGGCAGGTCTGTTGGTGGTTAGTACATGGTTTTACGCTTCTTGTATGCTAGCAGAGAATCGAAGCATCAATATGATCCTGCATCTGTAAAACAAAATAAACATGAATATTGTATGTCTCGGGTCAATCTGCCTGATTGTGCCGTGGTTTTGGAATAGTGTACTCACTGATTAGGAGAAGGTTGCGAGCTCGAGCCACTGGGACTACTTCTTGCAGGCGTTGGGCCGGAGGTCTTTCTTGCTTTTCTCGCCATAGCCTTGTTCTCGTCTCTGAAGACTAGATCAAACTCGTCTGGATAGCCCGGGCAGTCGCGCCCAGATTTCTTGCAATTCCCACACGTTGGTCGCTTTTCGTCGCACTGAGACTGATTAGCCCTGCTGTGCCACAGTTTGCCAGCATTGATCGGCCATGCATTGAAGAACATTGAGGCCTCGCAAGCCGAACCATATGCAGGTGTCATACCTTAATCCTGCGGCTCTTGCATATGCCGCATCCACGGCTTGGCTTGCCTGTGTAGACCATGCTGCGCTTCTAGTTGATACAGCACGATTTCGTGATTCAAGATGTTCGATCGTCCCTGGACAAGTCAAAGGTGGCGTCTTGTGGTTTTCGGCTTGAGTTGAGATAATATACACAAGGCAGTATTGTCAGTCGGATTGTGTAACAAAGGTGCTTGAACACTCCGCCTCAGGGCCTACGTCGACCATCAGGCCAGCACAATACACTACGTAGCCTTTCTGTAGCGCTCGCCAGAATTCGAAAGCTTTCCAAGGAAACGGTAAGAGTACGATCCCGCGCCGGTAAGCTCGATCCTTGCAGGTCCAAGTATTTGGGGTCGAGCTCGTTGTAGCTTGGTTCCCGGGACAAGACGAAGCGAGGCGATTTCCCAATGCAGGTTGATTGTTACGCCGCAAGCCTATGAGAGTCGTCGAAGGGTGATGACAGAGGCAGCAACAGCATGTTCGTTTGATGAGACGATGATCTGGGGCCGCGTCGGGTTGCTTTGCGCGCCGAACAGCCTGCAAAGACTCATCCTGGAGGTGTGGTTGCGTTGAAATCCTTCGCAAGCTTCTCCCATTTGGGTTTGGCGTGCGCAGCTCGGCTCGTTCGGATTTGTGGCGCAGCACCGTTTCATCTCCTCCGACATCACCGACTATGCGGGAGGCTGCGGGAGAACGCGAGGAGAACGACACCAAAGGCGTTCAAAAGCTGCTGCCTGAAGCTTGGTGGCCGATGTTCAGGCACTGCCGTCGAGGTGTACGCAACGCAGTTTGCCGAATACGGCGAGCTGAAGTCCTCATTGGTGAGTACTTGTTCTGAGCGGAAGGACTTCAGGCCGAACGCTGGCGTTCGAGATGTCAGTATCGAATTCGTGGTGTAGAGGATAGGGTGAGGGAAGAGAAAGAGAACAAGCGTGAGAGTAGGTAGGCAGGAGTAGTCGCTCCCGTTTCTAGTGAAGAAGTCACGCTGCTCGGTGGAAAAATCAAGAAGCGAGACCTGTTTGTATGTTCATGTTCGAATGCGTTCGCTGTGCTCATGATATCGCTATGCAACATAAAAATCCATCGATTCCCATCCGGCCTTCTTCCATCGTTCTCTACCCATTTAGCCCCAGTACGATGTCCGCAACCCCACAAATTGACTTCCCATGCTACTATTGTCGATGTCTTCGCTCTTCTTCCGTTGCCCAGCGAGCTATCCGCCGTCAGATTAGCTTCGTTATTCAATTACTGGTCTTTAAGGCAGATCTCAGGAATTGCTTACCTCAAGCTGAATATGCCGATGCACATGCACCAACCAATCGACATAACTCTGCGCCTCATTATTCCGATCCTCATACAACAACCTCGCAAACTCATACTCCGCGCCATCCAGTCCCTGTCTCGCCAGCTGCACCGTAAGCGCCTTACTTGCCCTATTCCCCTCCAGGTACTGCAAGATATTCCGCACCTGAGCGTTGAGATGTGTGTCGAGCACAGGAAGCGAGGAGGCGAAGGGGTCGAGGGATTTGAGATCGCTGTGTTCGGCGCCGAAGAGGTCTTCGAGTAGATTCGGCGAGACGTGTTGATGGATCCAGAGGAGGCAGATTTGGCCGTTGTCGACGATGTATACGCCTCCTTCGTCGACCTTGGAGAATGAGGCGCGGACGCCAGAGGGCATGCGGAGATGTCCGTTTTCGTTGGCGAAACCATCGGCGTGGTCAAGGTTGTGTACTGCAATGACGCGCGGGTAGAGGTAAAGCGATAGCTCGAGGGGGCCCATTGAGCGGATGAGGCGCATGTCGTGGACACGACGGTCTGTGGGTTCCTTGCCGGCTTTGAAGGCGCGCGACTTGATCAGGCCGAGCATGTACATGGAAAACTCCTTGAGATTCTCGGGCAGGACAAGCTGACCAGGCGGACTATTCCCGGTGAAATTCTTCCTATAGCCAGCGAGAATGTCGACAGTCTTTTCTGTCAGTGCGCCGCGGATGTCCTTGAGGCTCTTTTCGGTCATGCGCGCACAGGCTTCCTTGGCGATGATGTTGATAACGGCATCTTGGTCGACGAACTTCATACATTCGCCTGCGCTTTGACTGACGCTGGCGACGATGTTGCTGCAGCGGACGCGGCGCTCGCCGCTGGCTGTTGTGTAAAGAAGAGCGCTCTGGAAATGTGCGTCCAGCTTAGGGTCGAGTTTGCCGTCGTAGCTGAACAGGACGCCGATGGCTTTGTCGGCATCGATGGTGCCAAACTCGAGGTCTGCACCGAAGTTGTGGTGGAAGTAGTTGCCGTGGTAGCCAGAGACCTGCAGACCGTTTGAGCATCGAACCTTCATCAGCGCTTGATAACCGGTTTCCCGCATAACGGTATGTGTGATCTCCTTCGATAACTTGAGGTTGTCTCGGGGTGAGTGGAAGTTGGGGTAGTAGAACACCTCACCACCAGTGGTTGCAGATACATGGCCTGCATGCGTTAGTATGGTAGGGAAGCAAGGGGTGACGAGGACACTCACCTATCGTTGCGATGTCGAGGTAGCCACCGCTGGGTGCGGCTAGGAAAAAGTCACATCCAATACCGTTCTCGACCATCTGCTTCGCCACTGTTGTGAAGCCAGGATGCTCTGTCTTAAGCAGCTTCCTCTCAGCATCGGTGTTGTGTACGTTGCCATCGTCTCGCATGAACAGCTTTCCTGGGCCAAAGGTGGGTAATGCACCTAGCGAACAGACAATCTTTCCACCAGTAGCAGTCAAAGCAGCAACCGCAGAGTTGAGCGTGGGCAGCAGAGCCGGCTCAGGGTGCCTGAACTCGCGGAACATGTTGGGAAGCGAGGTGAGCAGGGACGTGATGACGGTCCTCGATTCTTGAGGATCGACGAACAGGCCCTCGGTGAAGGGCAAGAACGGCTCCTCAAGGTCCGGCATGACTAGCATTTGCGCCGTGACGAGCTTCGGGCTGAGGTTGTAGAAGTGCATCTCCTTGTCGTATGTGACAATGCCGATCTTTACGCCCTTTGGCATCTTGAGAGCGCTCTCTGCTGCTTCGGTCGCCTCGCTTGCTTCGCTGTACAGCGCGTTTAGGATACCCGCACAGAATCCGTCAAGAAAGCCACGTTCGACGCTCTCTGCCGTGACATCGATCAGGAACAAGTATCGCATCCCGACTGGCTCTTTTTGGCCCCAGTACTCCTTTGGCACCACATAGTCGACCGTACCGAGGGTAAGCTCCGGTCGCTGGAGCCTGTCCACGCGTACGCCACTGGCATCGGTGGGTGCAAAGTACTCCCCCGGTACATCGTTGGGGAAGTTGCACATGTTGCAAACGAGCTTGTTGCCGCCAGCCTTGAATTGCATGAAAGGGTTGATGTACGCTCGACATCTCCTGCATCTTGGTGGACCTGCCTCGCCAAAGTCTAGGACAGGTATCGGCGTCTCCCCCTCTTGCAGTGGTGCGAGTGGCTGCAGTATCAGGCCTAGTGGCAGAGCTGTTGCAGCGAGCGCGTCAGCGGATATGGGGATGTTGTTGAGCGTCAGTCTGGCGAACTTGGGGGACGAATTGCCCTGATCGAAGGCCACGAAGGGCACGGCGGCGGGCGGCGGTATGTGGTGTTCCATAGTCGGGTAGATGTGGTCCAGGTAGTACTTCGCTGGCGAGTCTCGCGACCTGGGGATGCTCGGTATCGACTCGGGGTCAACTTTGCCCTGCGCGGACCCGGCGACGGCGGTGCCTGGCTGTGGTGTATGTGTCCGGGCAGCGTGCTGCATCGGCGAAGCCACAGCTCCAGGAGTGAACAGCGGTGTTGCAGCAGGGAACTGGTTCATGGCGGGCGTGATCTCTGGTTCTTGCCACTGCGGCCCACCAACTTGCGGGCTGTACTGTGAGGGCGTGCCCGGCTTCTGCAAGCCATCGAAGGCCTGCGCACTCCCTCCCGGCCCCTCAAGGTTGTGGTAGGCGTGTCTGTCCTTCTTCTTGCGCCTGTGGTCTGGTGGCGCGTCCCCGCCCAGGCCCACTGCTCCCATCTGCGCCGCCAACATGTTCGTGTGGAGGTCGCCCTGATACGATCCAGCCTGGTTTATCAGCGGGCTCGCCTGGGGCGGGAAGTAGCCCTCTTGCTGCACGGGCTGTTGCGGCTGCGCCGGCGAGCCATACTGCGGAGCTCCAGCTTGCGTGTACGGACTGCCAGCTTGCTCATAGCCAGCACGGCTCGCAGCGACGGGCGGGCGCCATCTTGTAGGGTCGTCCTTCCTCGGCGGCGCACTGGGATTCGGCGAGCCCTGGCCTTGGGCGTGGTACATCGAAAAGTCGCTCATGATTGCGCCGCGGGGGTGCTGGACTCGAAGCTGTGTTTACGCTCGTGCGATTTCACAATGGTGGGTGTCGACAAGGTTCGATGCAAATGAATCGTCGGTCGCGGAGGAACAGCCGAGGTGTCTATTTCATGGCTCGGGCACGGTACAGTTCATTTGGCGCGTTGTGGGCTTCAAGCCGAAGTTGGTGATCTGGCTATTACCATGGTGGTGGTGCACTCTACAATCAAGTCCGAGCGTCAGCCTTGCATGTAAGGACGTTGACCACGGCACATCGTGTCTTTGCCTTTAACGGAGGCATTTTGTCAAATCTTGCTCAGAGACAGTGATAAGAGGCCGAACATGCCATTAGGCTGCGGATACGCCTTCCGAGAGCATCCTGTAGCTGTCTCTGGCTACTACCACTGAGGTGGGGCAATACATGTGAAATGCATGGGGTTCAGCCAGTCGCGTGTCACGTCAGTGTAGGCTTGAAGCCCCGAGCAACTCGAGTCGATTATGTTGTTCATGCGCGCAGCCAAATTTGTTCATAGCACTGTGCAGGCTACCATGCTATCTCTCGCGCTATCGCTGCACGCAACTCACATTTGCATGCTCGTTGTCGTGCTATGCTGTGCTTCGGTGTGGACGGACTCGCTCTGTGTCGATGCCTCGGACGGCGTCTTCAGTCGTCTGTCGTACTCGGGCTTTCTCGAGTCGATCATCTGACGGCGGTCATGGTCTTGAGGCTTTCATTGTACCCTCCGTATGTCGTCTACTCCAGCTTGTCCAAGTGTGCCAACCTCGTCAACACAACCTGCTTATTCGTCTCTTCAATCTCGCCCGCTAGGAACACTTCGTCGAGGATCGCATACACCTGTCCCCCTATTAGCCTCCTACCGTCCCATAGCATCCCAGCTTCTTCCCTCCACAGCCCCCGCCACCTGCCACAGACCCTTTCCCAAATTACTACATGCACGTACCTTGTAGAAGTTAAACACCAAATCCAGCTCACACACGTTCCCAAAAAACGCATCCAACACCTCCACAAAGAAATGTATCGCCTCCAGATACGCCAACTCATTATCATTCGTATCGACGCAGGCGCAGAAAAACAGGCCTGCGTACCGCCGGTACACGATCTTGGACATGTTGCGGAACTCGACGAAGTTGGATTGGTGCTTTTGGTCGCGCGGCGCTATAAGGCGGTGCACCTAGCAGGCGTGGTCAGCGAGGATGGGCATGGGGATTGAAATTGCGGCGGCGGCGGGCGAGTGGTGGAGGAGGGGAGGGGAGGGGAGAAGTACCTCGCCCTTGAGCTTGACTTTCTCTTCATCCTGTGTGTGTCAGTATTCGCTCATACTATGCATTGGGGGGCTTACACTGTACGGCGCATACCATTTCGCCAGTCTTGTCTTCCCCCTATGTTGGGATGGTCAGCGACAGTTTCCTCCTAATGTTGATTCTGCCAACGCACTGCCGGTTCTGGATCAGAATGAACGAGAGCACCATCTTGCCGGTGGAACGTCTCCTCGGCGCATGGGCACGTCAGTCGTCAGGGACTAGAGGCGGCGGAGAGCGGAGGTGATGCAGCCGCACCCTTGTGCTGTTCAGGGCGGGCCCCACTTTCTGCCGCGTGGGGTTCCTGCAGCGTCTCGTCCTCCACCACACAACTCTAGGCTTGAATGCTTGAATCAACATCCAACCAGATCATAAGTCATATCCGATAAGGATGTGTTGAGAGGCATGACTTCCTCCATTCATGCCTACAGCCTTGTTTGAGTATGGCAGGCAACATCGTCTTCCATCGTGTCTGTCCTGCACTTCACAGCCTCTAGGATAGTCCGCTCGATATCAAACCTCTACTCGACTCAAATTATTGTGCTCAATGCAGTTGACTGGGAAGCACGACGCTCAAAGATCTTCACCCTTGGCAGCCACGCCCACAGTTCTCAGTCGAACACGGCAACACCATCCACTATCTCGCATCTCCATCCAATGGTTCGCTGTGCGAAGCCCTGGGTGCCAGCCACGAAGATCAGACTCCGCCCTGAAGTAACAAACGTCTTCGTCAGTGATTCTTGTCTTATTGGAGGGGTGCGCGAGCTCCGTCCAGAATAGGCTGCACATATGGCAGCCAGATTGAGCCGAGGGCTTTATCTGCTTGATATTGGAGACTCTGAACGTCCGAAGGAACCCATCAGAGGTATCCTCCATCCATGTCCAAGGCCCCCTTGCGGGAAGTCGGTCTCACAGGAGCAACACAGTGCATTGAACTCCGGTGGCTGCCCGTTCGCCATCGCAGCGCGTTACAGATGAGGCTTTTCTGCAATTCGGACGATCCCAGAAAGATCTTGTTAAGTTACAACGTCAGTTGTGCACAATGCGTGAAGCCTAGACAAGCAACGAAGAGGTGCATATCCATAACCGTAGGGCAAGTGCAGCCGGCAACCTCGCCAAATCTTGCACCTGTTCATGCCGGGCGAGCGAGTGCGAAGAGTGGTAAGAAATAAAGCAGCAGGTCTGGAATGTGGAGGTAACAATATTGAACGTAAGGTTGACGGAGGAGAACTGTCAATCTTGGAAAGCTCCCGACCTTCCCGGTAAACATAAACTAGTCACAATTAGGCACTCACCACCAAGGCTTTTGCGCAGGCAAGACCTTACGCACGCAGCAGGTGCGGAGGATGATTAAACAACATTGGAACTAGTCTTTCTGCAAAGTAAGATTACCTACCTAAAAAAATGCTCCTAAGACCACATGAAGTAGTGTTACGATATCAGTCAATCGATAGACCTGAGGTTGCACACATCAGACTACCCTGGACTAGCATGTTTCAGGTCAGGTATATCGTCGTCTTCTCCTAGCTAGAGAGCAACTCAGCGCAGTATTCCATCGACCCGATAGTCCTACGTTATCGTTTACCGTAGCTATCAGTATATTACAGCGGCCCACGCCGCTACAAGCAGGATCGCTACTAAGCAGGCAACCGCTCGGTGCTATGTGACTGCCAGTGAAGCGCAGAGTAGCTCTGAGTAAAGCAATAAGAGAAACAACGTTCGTGGAAGCGCAGTACCCTAGAAGACGTTGCTCAGAAGCGATGTGATAAGAAGAAGAAGAAGAAGAAGAAGAAGTAGAAGAAGAAGCAGGAGGGCGAACTGAGCATGAAATCCCCATGTCTCGTCTAAGGCACTACGAAAAGACTCTTCGTACAACTACGGATGCAGTATATCGCTGTAAACCTCATGTTCAAGATTGCCAGCGTCGTCAGAATCGAATAAGGGCCTTACCTCGGTCAATAATCTGCACCCACGAGCGCGTTATAGGCTACCTAACTTTCAACCAGTAGGCAGGCCTGGGTTGCGGGTGTTGTCGTGGGCGCGGGAACAGGAAAGTACCACCGAAAGTATCTCATCAGCGTTTACCGAACGCAAGATAGTGGCGGTCTCAAACCCCTTTGAGTAGGAGAAGTTGGTGTCATGATGCCGCCGTGCGTCCGCGGCTCTCTTATCTCCCACCCTTAAAACACCGTCTGCAGCCTGACGACGATGTACTCCCACCCTTGTCAATGAAGCCACTCCAGCACTGCCATTGCTGTCCCAACAAACGACTTAGCGGCACGATCGGATTTGGGGTGCAGCTGGAGTCCTGCTGATCCAAATGGCAGTGTTCGTATTGTCCAGATAAGGAACATCTGGGGATGGCTCGGCAACTAATGTGGTGTCCAAGGTTGGTGTGGCTGAGCGGGCTGAGCGCCATCTGACAAATATGGGAACCGATCGAGGGGTGCTGATAAGAACTTTGGCGGCATTGAAGACTGGCTGGGCGTGGTGATTGTTGGCGGGAGGATCGATAATCTTCACTGACAAGTATCACAATGCTGGTGGTATGATGGGAGCTCATAAAGAATGATGGAGTTGATGGCGATGTGCGATGGTGAATATGTAATTAGAAAGCGTACATCAAGTACGTATATAGCCAAATCTATCGCAAATAGTCTTTACATCCTCGTAAAAGGCACATAGGTGGTATCTCTGAACAGGCTGAACAACTTCAAACAAAGTCAAAACGAGCATCTAGGCATAATCGCGCGACGAAGACGGAGGTGTAGTCTTCTCGTGCTCGGGCCCTATGGCAACAGCATGGCGATCACCGCCAATGCCAGTGTGCTCGTGGCCGCTATGCTCGCTGGGTGTCTTACCCTCAAGCATCTCGCTGTGCTGAGGGATACCGTGGCGCTCCCCCTGAGGAACGCTGTGCTCGCCGTTCAGAGGCTCGCCTTTCGCAGGTGTCCAGGCGAGGTAGTCACGGCGGACCTCGACGTAGTCGTATGCGAACTCGCCAAGCTGGTCATCATCCATACCCAGAAGCTCAGCCTCCTCGGAGGCGCGCAGGTGCAGGCCGGGGATCTTGTTAATGACGAAGGCGAGGATGGCGCTGACGACGAAGGAGTATACGGCGCAGGCGACGATGTAGGCAATTTGCTTGTAGATGGCTTCGGGAGAGCCGGTGATGGCGCCAGCGGTCAGGCCGTTGTTGACGCCGTCGAGGCCGATGATGTAGTCTGCGCCGAAGATACCGTTGAGGAAGAGCCCCCACATTCCAGCGACACCGTGCTCAGCGAAGACATCGAGAGAATCGTCGATGCGGACCCAGAACTTGACTGTGATATATTAGCAATTATTTCGAGTATGTGAAAACAGGTCAAGACGTACTCTTGGTGGCAAAGTTAGCAACGATACCGGTGGTGATGCCGAGGATGACACTTCCCCAGGGAGTCAGGAAACCAGATGCGGGGGTAGCAGCAACGAGTCCAGAGATAACACCGGAACACCAACCGACCATGGACCACTTGCGGGCAAGACGCCAATCAAGAATAACCCAGGTCATCGCGGCGAACATGGCAGTCAGGTTGGAATTCCAGCAAGCCATAACAGCGCGAAGGTTGGCACCGAAAGCAGATCCACCGTTAAAGCCCAACCAACCGAACCACAAGAAGACGGTACCGAGGGTGATGAGCGAGACGTTGTGCGGGCGGAAGTTGAGCATCATCTTCTCCTGGCGGCGGCCGAGGATCATCGAGTAGGCGAGTGCAGTGCAACCGGAAACGATTTCGACGGGACCTCCACCAGCGTAGTCGAGTCCACCCCATACGAAGAACCAGCCGCTCGAGTTCCAGGCCCAGTATGCAACGGGGCAGTATACGATGGTGGCCCAAAGCCAGATGAAGACCATCATGGGGATCAGACGACCGCGTTCAGCAACGCAACCGACGACAATGGCAGCAGTAACGGCGCAGAATTGCATCTACTTACCGTTAGTGAATCTCAAAAGGGATTATTGAAGTGACATACCTGGTAGAAAGAGTACAGAAGCTCAGGAATCAGAGGAGATCCCGGGCTGGGAGCACCAAGCACACCCTTGAGACCGAACTTGTCGAGGTTGCCAATGAAGCCATTTGTCGAAGGGCCGAATGCGAGCGAGTATCCCCAGAAGTACCATTGGAAGGTGATGACGGAGGCAGAGAACATACACGCCCAGATAAGGGACAGAGCGGACTTTCTGCGCGCAAGACCAGAGTAGAGGAAAGCCAAACCGGGAATCATGACCATGACCATAGCAGAAGCCACGAGAATGTAGGCCTGGTCGCCGGCATCGTACCATTGATTCAAGTTCTCAGTCACTGCGATGTAGTCAGTAAGTGTTCGTTCTCACGAGTACCAAATCCTCAGGTTCTGAGCAATGTATATCGTACGCACTCGGCACGTGCGTGGTAACAGTATCTGTGGGTACTTACATGAGTCTCCACCTGTGATCTCGTTTGTTCCATTGAACTCGGCCGGAGCCCCAATCCACGAGTATGGCATGTTGACTGTGTCCCCGGGTGTGTTGTCGTGTGGTCAGGAGAGGGTCGAAGTGCCTTGGCCAAAGGAGGGTTGATGGTCGGGCAGGGCCTGATGGAGGAGGAGAAACACAATTCAACCTGGAGCAGTGCCAGTAATATACAGGCGTATGGGAGAAATCGGAGCCCTATAGCTGATCACGGCAGCTCCGCCGGGGTCTTTATGGCTACTACTCTTATCTATCCCGGTCCACGGACCAGCGCTTAAGGCAAAGTAAACGAGGCGCATCACCCACAGCCGCGACCGCCGTGGGGTTCGCGTTAGATCAAATCTGAAGCTTTGTTCTTTTTCTGCCGGGTCAATCGCTGGTGCTGCGTCATTGTTTAGTGTGCCTTATCTCGCCGTGAACGGAACTCTTAGGGTTGGTTCAGATAAGCGTAACACTGAAGAACAGCGGGCTGCCACGTCGAATGCCGTGCGTAGGGGAGCCCCTCGCCGACTCAACAACCACGCACACGACATTGGCTGCTCAACAGCGACATTGTGAGCGCATTCACGATCAAGCTCGGTTTCATCGATGAGGAGCGCTTGGCGGTGTGGGATTGTAGGTAAACGTCTTTTCAATGCGCTGATAAGTTGGTCGACGCTAATTGGGCGATAGGCGGCTCGATTGAAGACGAATCAAAGATAGGTCACTAGCCTCCTTTTGGCGGCGACCGCCTGTCGACCGTGCCTGCCGTTGTGTGCCCGACGCGTGCTCTGATCCCCAATTCACTGCGAACGCCACCCCGGACCTGGTTAATCTTGTGCATGTGCGAATGCCTTACGTTGGTCGCGATAATGACCACGGCTTAAATTGCCTATCATTGGTCGATAAATTGTTAAAATAAGATGCACGTCTCAAGCACAGCAGCTGTGCGTGCGCTGGTACTCACCTCCAAGAGCTGCGATTGGCGACGTCGCGGCCCAATTACCAGAAAAGTCTGCTTACATCTCGCAGCATGTTCGATGCTCTGTGAGGTTGCTTAGATCGAGCCTTGTTTAGCACCCGTGCGACCGAGTTGTTTCTGGCTTTTGATATGACCGCGGCCGCCGTTGTACCAAGCTCACACAGAAGTACCCACACGTCACCGCGGCTAGGCCAAGCACTGTTAGCTGAGCTGTAGCGTTGGGCCAGTTCCTAACTTTCGGTCGACTTTCCGGAGACATGAGGGCCTCTGGTTGTCGTGGAGAGGCTCGTTGTCAGGGATCACGCGTTGTGTTCAGCGACCCTGAGCGTGTTCCAGAAGCAATATCAATGCCGTGTTCCTGGTGCCAGCATGCCACACCACTATCATTCGAGGCGCCCAGTGGGCATCAGCACTTGGGATGCTGTGTTCTGTCTTTGTTCCACGCTCGTGCGACTGTGGCATGCGACAGGGCTGCGCCTATCTGCAGGTCAATTGTGCCTCACCCGCGTCCGCCCCGCGTCGCTTGGCAGAATGGCAACGCGAAAGCATGTGAGAGCATATCCCCGAGCCAGTGGGGAATGAGAGCCGTCTCCGTCGCAGTGGGCTCGTGGAGGTGTCAAGTGTTGTACAGACACGAGCACCGTGGGGATGTACAGGGACCAGGAACCACGCCCAATTAGATAATGTTCGACAACCGAAGATTCTCAACCCTATTCCTCCGCCGGGTGTTTATCTGGGGAAACCAATTCTCTTACGATTCGGCACGCTGCTGCGATATGTACCGATACGAGCAGCCATGAGCCTATGACCATGCGGCCGGAATCGGAGCCATGACTACGGGTCTGAAGTAAGGATCAGTGCCCTATCAATTCTCCGCCGATTGCAACTCATGCTGAGCCCTTGGAAATATAACGAGTCAGCTTGGCTATGATTCTCATCCTTGACTGACGTCCTTCACTTATGCTTCTCGGCGATCAGTTGCTTGGTGTCTGAGCATAATTCGACTTCAGTCCATCGGTCGATGCTGGAGGAAGCAGTGTTTGAGCTATCACCACTCGAGAAGGTATTGGTCCTTCGTCAAACAACTTAACGTCTGACTACTATCTCACATCTCAGGTGCGCCTGATTGAAGCGCCTGCACTATTCTTGACACTACATTTTACCACTGGCCAACTGCTACAATCTGGAAACAACCAGCTTGACTGCTATGGATAGCCTTGACAACAAGCACAACCATGCTGGGGAGTCAGACACAGAAGCAGCACGAAACGATTGCTCAAGTCAGCGTCAAAGCCTGTACTCTGATTTGTTCATTGTGCCAGCTGCCGTCAGGCGAAAGCTGTGGTCAGTCAGCTTACCGAGTCTGTCGCATAAGACATATGCACGACTGCGACACAAACCCTGATATCGATATTTCTGAATCCTCACGCGACATGGAAATGATAATTATATCTGTTGCATTCAGGTTCAGGCCTCCATTGTCCGAGCACACTGATCACACCGCTGCTCGGAGTTTACCAAGCAACTTTCCGAGGACTGCGTGTTACTGTCAGATTCTGAGGCTTCATCCCGTTTGGCTTGACATGACTGGTAGGCTCGCAACCACTGGAGTGATGGAGTTAAGACCAAATATAAGCACACTGTTCACATCACAGAGCATGTTGGAGAATACAGTCAGACTAGGTTGATAGGTGGGACGGTCAATTTGTATCAATATGCTAACAAACGCCAGTCGCTATGTATTGTATATGCAGCACGACGAGGTGGAGACTACCAAGTGATCACCTCAGTGCTAGAAAAGACCAGAAACTAGACATTCGAACACGTGGGTTCGCAAACAAATGAGGAAAGACGCAAGATTCTCTGCCATCTCCAGACAGATAAGCATAGGCCGAGAGTCACGAAGGGACATCTACTCGGCAGGCATCCTGGCTCTGAACGACAAGGCCGCTTACTTCTCATCCTTGTAAACGAACTTCTGGTCCTGCATATTCTCCCAGATCGTCTTAACGACCTTCTTCTGCTCCTCCTCTTTAGCATTGCGCACGGCAAGGTAGCAGTGACCCTGCAGCTTCGGCTCCCAATCACCCGGATTGCACGATGCAACGATACCGCCCGCCTCCTTCAGAATGCACCAGCCAGCAGCGACATCCCAGGAGTTGACGCCGCCCTCCCAGAACGCATCCATGATGCCCTGCGCCACGTAGCAGAAGTCCAGGGCCGCGGAGCCGTTGGAGCGAATCGTCTTGCACATAGCGCCGCCTTCGGACGCGTTGGTGAGGAGTTTGTTATGTGTCGAGGTGCGGCACGCCCAGTTCGCCCCCTGGCGCTCGTTGCCCCACTCCACGATGAGGAGGCAGTTGGGCATCTGGGGCATTGGGGCGCGGCGCATGGGGAGTTGTTGCGTCTTCTGGAACTGTAGAGGGAGGTCGAAGTGCTTAGTGTAGTAGGAGCCCTGACCCGCCATGCCGAAGTAGAGATCGCCGCGAGCTGGGTTGTAGACAACGCCGACGACGGGCACCTTGTCGAGCACAAAAGCCAGGGAGATGCAGAAGTTAGGGTTGCCGTGGGTGAAATTGATCGTGCCATCGATGGGATCAACGACGAAAGTTGGTGCATCAGTTATCACCTCCTTGTGGAGCTTGTGGGTCTCCTCACCCCAGAACTTGAAGTCGGGGAACTTGGCAAGAACCTCGTCGCGGACCATGTGCTCAATCTTCTCGTCGTACTCAGTGACCAGATCAGAGGTGTTGTTTTTAGTTTGGGCTTTGATGAGAACGTCTGCTTCAGCGTTCATCATCATAGATTCAGCCTTCTTAGCGACTGCAATCAACAGGTCGCGGACATCGATGAGCTTCTTGAGGGTCAAAGAGTGCTTCGCAAGCAGGTCTGTGGCCCAGTTAGGAAGCGGCGATGACGGGACTGTGATTGGGCTGAGAGCTGCAGCCAGAAGGGGAGATGACTTGTTAGATGAGTTGGCCGATGAATTGGGAGAAGAGCCAGAGCTGCTATCTGAGCCAGTGTTGAAGGCCATGAACTGGCGAGCGGGGGTTGAAGGGTTCATCTTGGGGTTGGTTGTGGGTGCTGATGTGTTGTGAGAACTGGTGGTGTAGTGGTTGGTTTGATGATGTTGACTGATCGGTAGTCATGAGCGTGGTTTATGAGAATCGTGTATACGTTTGGTTATATTGGTGAAAGTACTGTTGTGGGCTTGGGCGGGAGTGTTGAAAGTTGGTGGTGGTTGAGAGTGGTAATACGAGTGTGTTACGGCAGGTCTAATGAAGCGAAATTGTGTGCAAATTATATATCTCTGAGGCCCACTCTGAGGATGCAGTGAATGCACTGTGGGTCTGTTGTTGTACGGTGAACGTGAACGTCCAGGCCAAGACCGACTAGGACGTTAGTGAGGCGTTTCAAAGCTTACAGTGAAAGCCCATCGTTTGGTGAAAAGCGATGACAATGCCACACCTGGAGGACAAGGTGAAGATGGCATTGTGCTTCTCGCCTTGGATTGATCGCGAACAAAATACGAAAGACGCGATTTCCTTGTGACAGCCGCTTACTGCAGGCTAATGCACTCGCTTCCTTTGGAACGGGCGTAGCCGAAGGGGCATTGATCCTGGATCCATGCGGGAGTTCCATGCAGCTCGAATAATGAGGCTTTGCATGTTGAATACTCTGCTCAGAAGAACGTGGGCCAGATGCTTGTAACGTCTCGATGAATGCCCATCCGAAGGCCGAGGATGATATCGAAATCTGGGCCTCAGTGATCGACAGAATACGCACACTGTGTGATAAGACCGCTTCAAGGCTCTTAATAGGGCCATCTGCGTTTGCTCTGGCAATCTAGATCATCTGTACGCCATTGTCACATGTCACTTTACCTTTCCGCAGGTGCGCTGTGAGCAAACTGTTCGGTCTTTGACTCTTTGAGCATTTCGGAAGGCTTCAAATCTCAAATTCTGCAGATCCGATTCTTTCCGACCGTTTGACCGAGACGCGTCAATTCAAGCTCAACAGCGTACGTTCAGACTATGTTGACTTCAAGGATGAAACAACTTATGGCTTAATGCAATTCGGAAATATGTTTTCAGGTGTCAAGAGGAGCACATGCAAAGGCAGGGGAATGAGGTAGAGATCAGGTCCGTGCATCGTTCCCCGGCTGTTATTGCCTCGAGCGACGTCACTGCCACCTCGATGCGTTCTCCATCAACACTGCACGAATACTCGCGATGCATCAACCGCGCGAAATGGACTATACAGAATGACAGCCTTGCAAAACGTATCAGGAGATCGACATGAACGTCAACGCAACGCTCGCGCTGTCCGGCGTCGATTAGCAGACATCACACCGAGTAACTCCAGGATCCAGACACAGTCCCTCTTCTTTTCGCGATTGCCTGCGGAAATCCGATTTCTAATCTTTGAGCTCTTGCTAAGCCAGACCCACGATCACGACCGGCCTATCAACATTCATTCGATATCACCACTCTATCGCCCAGGTCATACCTACCGCACCAAGATTCACACAGCATTACTTCTCACCTGCCGTCTGGTCTATTATGAGGCGCATGCAATTCCCATACGAAGTTCGACTCACCATTTCCGGCATTTAGGGAGTACCTCCTGGCTCTACGAAGGCGATGTCTGGCTCCATCACATGACGAAGCAGCGCGGCGCAGATGTTTACCACTTACATGATAACCTGGTTGCCCTCAATCGTCGAAATTTCACCAAGTTCTTTTTGCCGCATTTGCGTTGGAAACGAGTTACGTGGACGATATGCGCATACCTCTGGCCCCCGATCCTGGCTGGCTATCGTGAGATCGATCGATTGGCCGAGACACTTGCGGGCATTGAACTGCTAGCCTCTTGTCAAGAAGTCAATCTAGAGTTCGAAATCCGGGAGGACGTACCAGAGTTCCGTGAAAGCCTCCAGCAGCAAGCTGAACTCTGTCAAAAGATTGGAGTGGCATCTGGCGAAGCCGCTGACGGACATACAAACATTGCTCAGCCTGGAGGCACTCAGCAGCCTGCAGGTCTAAGAAGGAGTGACGGATCAGTACTGCACTTAGACGTGACGAACTCGAAACGGTATACATGGGTCGGCAGCGGTCAAGCTCGATGGGGTACAAGCGCCCTCATCAGAGAGAAAGAGACTGTGAGGTACCGCACTATTAGGTTATGTTGGCGGGCGAGGGTGCCACGAAGAGAGTACATGAGCTATGATCGTATGAATTGCTTGGATCTGACCAACTGTGAGGAGGTCAAAGGCATCGATGAAGACAGTGTTGATAATCAGTTATCACGAATATCTGTATAGCTGAAAACCCGACGGATAACCCCTCGCTTTGGAATCGTCACAGTATAAGCGATATGAGCCAACTTAACAGAAATGCAAAGACGGTCCGGAGCACGAGTGAGTCTGCCCTAGTTATTGTATTGTTGGTGTTATTGTTGTGTTGTTGTGCGCCGCTTCTACCTCCAAGCACTGCTTCCTGAGCCACTACTCCTCCCTCACAACGTCACTGCCTGCTCAACGTAGAGCAGTAAACAAGCTCCCTCGCCACACTCGTTCACCACGACACACCTCCATGCATCGTCAACAACGCAACATTTGCCACACATGAGCACTGTCCACGTTTATTGATACAGATATACACCTAGCAACAAACATCACCGGTGCATACCATGCATTGCATCCTTATACCCTACTAATCAACCTTCGTCAAGCTCGAACAACAACCTCCATCGAAGGATCGATCCTAACTCCAACTTGCACCCACCAACAAAGCCACGCTCCAGACAGACCGGATTTTCTCGCAGACCTCAGACACTTGCTTACAGAAACCACGCGGCATCCGGGCCTTCCATCTTCAGTTGTCGCTCACAAGCTTCGCATCAACCCTCCGCTCTTTCTTGAAAGAGCAAGCTCAGCTTCTGTTTCCATTTGTCCCAACAACCGCCACAATCCTTGGCCCTCAAAGAGAAACTTCAAGTTGCAGCTGACCGTGTTTGGCGATTCGAACGAGACGCTCGACCCCAAGACTCAGACACAAATTAGACCTCAGTCTAAGTATCAGACCAGGACAAAGTCCGTGACGCATACGAGGATACACTTCGGAACATCATAGAAATCGCGACACCGAAGGGACAAACTCCAAAGTCGATCAAGCACTTTCGCTTCCGGCAGGTTCTAGACCATCAACAGGCACGGCGACCAACCTTTTATTCATGAGCTTGGCTCCTATTGGTCTGCAAGCCCCTGTAGGTCAACCCGCAGTATCAGCTCCTTTCCTCTCCAAGGAGGAGCAGGCATTCCTTGCGGCACGGGAGTACGAAAAGGCTTTTGCAAGGAAACGTCGAGAAGAGGAACTGAAGCGACAAGTGAAAGAAGAGTGCAAGCGGATCAAGAAGGAAGATAAGGCGAAAGCAAAAGCTCAGGCGAAGGGCCACAGGCTCGAACCGAAGAAAAACAAAGCACAGCGACTGAAGGCATACCTCAAGGTCAAGATATTTCGTCGTCGATCTTAACTGCATGTCTCGTGCAGCTACAGGCGCGTCAGGTTGTGCCAGCTCCTATTCGACCGGAGGTACCTGCACCTCGTCATCAACGGTTGCTGCTCCGGCCTTAAAATCAGGCAGTAGTGGTACCTCGAGCAAGCCTCTTACAGCTGAGCAGGAGGCACAAGCCAGGAAGAAGCGAGAAGCCCAGGAAAAGGCACATCAGGAGAGGCAAGCGCACCGCAAGCAGAAACGGGCTGAGTACAAAGAGAAGGCAAAGCATCTGGTTAGCAGAGCCAAGTTCAGAGTCACTCGCAAGTTTGCCTGATGGGTAGCGTTCGCTTTGCTATCGAGGCCTCTGTTCGACGACGAGACCCCGACATCAGTCGCTGGCCGGGAGTCTACGTTCATCCCGGAGAATTCAAGCCTGCTACGGCCAACGTTCAAGAGGACGGCGAGGCCTGGATTCGATACCGTAATCGATACAGAAGGCTCCAGGCGCACAGCCGTCTGCCAAAGGCCGAACGCAGACAGAGATAGCGAGAGCTCCTGGTGGTTTCAGATGGCCACTGCAGGTTTTGCCGCTGCACCTACTGCTGAGCAAGAAGGGACCTATACGGTGCATCAGACTATCACCTGTCATTACCACGTCTACGCTCCGACAACAGTCCACATGAACTCTGACGGACCGCGTTGCGTCACTGAGAGCTCTTCAGAGGCAACGTCAGACAGTTCACCGCCAACTACCATTTCTCAACCTTCACGCAAGCTTGACGAGACTTCTGTGCACGATCTCAATCTCGAGGCTGTAAATACGACAAAACCGGAAGGCAAGCGACAGGCTATCTTGCAGTGGCTCATCATCAAGCTAGTGTTGTTGTTGCAGAAAGTATCCCACTAGCACAGTTCGTTATACTTGTCGGTTGAGGATCGCGGTGGGTGTGGGGAGAAGTCAATCTCATTGTGGTCGAGGTGACGGACAGCGGAGGTGAGCACGGACGCCGCAATTGTTCGTTGCATCGCGACCTGCAGCTCCGCAGACGTCACACGATGCTTGCCAACAACACGCGCAACGCATTTGTTGCCGTCTCAAAACGGCCGTACATATGTCAATCATGCTTGCGCCGGGCTAAGCAGCTCTCATTGGCCTCAGCGCGCCTTCCCACACGATCCCCCGCCCGAAGCCTACAAACCGCCAGCCAGCCGCCAGCCCAAGACGATACACCTTTCCGAAAAGCACTCAAAGATGCCGCCAAACAGCAGAAGAAGGCATCAAAAGGTGGTAAGAAGTCTAAGAAAGCTATCGATCCTCGACTGGAGAAGTGGGAATTGACGGTAGGAATTGAGATACACGCCGAATTGAACACAGCACGAAAGCTCTTCTCAGGCGCTGCAACATCTGTCAGCGAGTCGCCAAACACACACGCCTCTCTCTTTGACACTGCCTTCCCTGGCAGTCAACCTCACTTCCAGAAGGAAACCCTCCTGCCCGCTCTGCGCGCTGCCCTAGCATTCGACTGCACAATTCAACCAAGGAGCAGCTTCGACCGCAAGCACTACTTCTACCAGGACCAGCCCAACGGTTACCAGATCACCCAATACTACGAGCCATTTGCGACCGATGGTCACGTCACGCTGTACGCTCACGACTTCCCCGCTGGGTCTGCACCGGAAGATTGTCCTATCAAGATTGGCATCAAGCAGGTGCAGATGGAACAGGACACAGCCAAGACAGTACAGCAGCCGCCCTCGACACATCTACTCGATTTCAACCGCGTCTCACATCCTCTGATCGAGATCATCACGCTTCCTCACATTCACGACCCTCTCGTAGCCGCTGCATGCGTCCGCAAGATCCAGACAATACTCAGGACCGTGAATGCATGCACAGCAGGTATGGAGATGGGTGGATTGCGTGCCGACGTCAATGTTTCGATCCGCGAGCGAGGCCAGACCCTGAGCGAAGGCGGGCTGTCATACTCTGGCGTGACCGGCCTTGGACAACGGACCGAGATCAAGAATTTAGCCAGCGTCAAGGCTGTAGAGGATGCAATCATTGCGGAACGCGACCGCCAGATCGAGCTTCTTGAGAGCGGTGGGTCTGTCGAGGGCGAGACCCGCGGCTGGACTGTGGGCAGCAAGACCACCAAACGTCTGCGTGGTAAAGAGGGCGAAATTGACTATCGGTACATGCCCGACCCAGACATTTCGCCAGTCTTTATCGCTCAGGTATGCACCCGAGGGACAACCAAATACCGTACTAACACGGGTAGGACCTTGTCAACCATCTTCGAAAGAACTTGCCCGTGCTCCCGGACCGAATTGTCGATGTGCTAGTGGAGAAGTACGGGCTGTCGACCAAAGACGCCGGTACACTCTTATCTTTCGACAACGGCGACCGTTTGGAGTACTTTTTCGAGGTCACGAACCAGCTTGCAAGGGCAAGGAACATCAGATCGAGCGACCCTGAATTTTCTGCACTCGGCAAGGCGGTAGGCAACTGGTACGCTGATGTCCCATGTACCTGCATATATTTGACACTGATAAAATGCAGGGTCCTAATGGAGCTGGGTAGTCTGTACAAAGATGAAGAATGGTCTGCAACGCGCGTTTCGCCCGAAGTCCTCGTTTCGATCGTCGACCAGCTGTTGCAGAAGCGCATCACATCGCGGTCCGCCAAAAGGCTACTGGCCGTAAAGTTCGAGGGCGAGGAGCGCCACGTCGAGCGACTCATCGAGGACTTCAACATGGTCTTCAGGCCCCTGTCACCCACAGAGTACCGCGGCTTTGCCCAGACCCTGCTGGACGAGAAGCCGGACATGGTCAGAGACATTGTCGAGAAGGGTCAGGAAAAGAAAATTAAGTGGTTCGTGGGACAGATGATGGCCAGGAGTCCGGAAGGTACTGTGGAGGCCGATGTCGCTGAGCAGACGATCAAGGAGCTTCTACCTAAAGCGAAGACTGCGGAGTAAACTAGATGGTGGGTACCTAATCATTAATATTCCCAGGTTATTGTGTTGTGACCCCTCTTTCTACCTGACATTGCGATGGAGCTGTTGGACCCCTGAGTTTGTTATACAATGGATTACGTCTACAGCACGACCACGGAACTAGACGTGAGTGCAAAAGCGTTCATAGGGACAGATGGAAAGATGTATGAGTCTGATTGCTTTCGATTGCGTCCTCCTTCGACGCCTGTTCCCACCATTTTCGCCAGTGCTCCTCACATACTACGCTCCTATCAGCCAATATTGCGTTCAAGCGAGCGCGTTACTTGCTCGCTTTTTAATCTGTCCAAACTGTACCCTGTAGGTATTCGGTCTATTTTCAACGCAAAGCCAGCCTCGTCGACCAAGTCTATGATCATGAAGAAGCAGTTCGAGTCGTGGAAAAAGAGCTTGAAGCACACGTTTGGTCGAAAAGAAAGGAGGGAAGTGCTAGCTGAGCTCAAACAAGCCAAGGAGAACGAGCAGCAGCAGCAACAGCAGGCTCATCCAAAACCTCTCACAGATGCCGAAATCATCCAGTGCTATGCGCGTGAAGCGAAGGCTCAAGCGCAAAGAGACGCTGCCGCCAAAGATGCGCGTGAGAGGGAGGCGTACTGCGATAGACCTTTCCGTCCTACGTCCACCACGAGCGCCCACAAAACCCAAACCAGGAAGCTGGAAGATGTGGAGGGGATTGATCACTGGAAGGCATCTGTGAGTCCACTCTCATTGCCTGCGCCGGTTATGGGAGCCCAAAATCTGCCGACCCCAGCAGCTCAGGAAGAGTACGAAAGAGTTTCGGAGCAAGGCCCGCACCCTCAGCCTCAACCCAAGTTCAAAGTCAAGATCCGCAGGACGGCAAGCGTAAGGAGGATAGCGATGGTGGGGAGTCGGCGTATGAGGCTTGGTCAAGCGAGGACGATCGTGTATGGAGAGCTCGATGGGTTGAATAGGTTGCCGCTGAGGGGTAGGGGGGAGCTAGATCAAGTGAGGGTGGGGGATATGGATGAGAGGGAGAGATGGGAGTTTAATCGCGGGTTGAGGAATTGGGAGAGTGTGTCGACACTAAATAGCGAGGGAGTGGGAGGTGGTGCGGTGAGATCCTTCGCCGGTCTGCTTCAGAGTCGACAAGGGGGGGAGGTAGGTGCTACTCCAGACCTCACGCAGAGTGTGGAAGACTTGAGTAGTGTGGATACCCCTAGGGGCGTGCAAGAGCATGGAAAAGGAAAGAAATGGGCGACCTGGGCCGGTACTATGAGGAAAAGGGTTGTGAAAATGTGCTGTGGTCAACAGATAGGGAGTGTTTCGCCGCCGCCGCCGCCACCACCACCGCCGCCGCAAATATCTGTATCTATTCCCACGTACAGCGGGGATGATGAAGAGCAAGGAAATTCTCCGGGGCAACAACATGGGGCTGAGAACCTCCAGCCTGCATCATCACGGGCAGGTATCCCTAGTGGAAGAGAGCCTGCTCAAGAGCAGCGAACGACGATAGTCCACGAAGCGGAGGGTGAGCTTGGAGTTGTTGGAGACCTCTTGGATGGGTCAGCAGAAGTAGAAACTGGGGAAGAGCTCTGTCCATGTCCAGAAGGCAACGGCGACCTTGAAGGTGCTGAAGACTTCCAAGCTAGATCGCCACGCGCCCCAAAAGGTGATGGCGAGGCTGGCCCTGGATCTCACACAGCAGCATTTCGAGCTCAAAGACTGGAAGAGACTCGAGAAATTGAGAGCGCTGAGTACGCTGAGTACCTCCAGAATGACACAGGAACAGTGCTCCGTGTAAGATCGCGGCCGAGGAGGCAGAGGACGGGAGCGGGAAGGTTGGAGTGGCGGCAAAATCTCCAGGATAAACTGGCGAGGGTTTCGCAGCCTGGACTTGTTGAGAAGGAAGACAACAGACCAGAAGAGCAGGAGCAAACGACAATCATTGCTCATGTTGCAGCCTTAGGGTCGCTTGAGGACCTACCGGCTGATACTCAGCCCCCTCAAACACAAGAGGCTGAGGTAGCAACATCAGTGCACGAGATACCAAGTGTCTTGCCAGATGCCGCTGAAGACCTCCCGGCTAGCACTGAGCCTTCTCAGAAGCGAGACGAGACCGAGGCTCCTCGAGACACAGGAGGGCTACGACCTAATGAATGGCTTCGCAACACCACGCTCCAGATTACCACGCTCCAAGACTTTACGCAGGCTGAGTCTGAATCTGAGGAGGTGGTGACTGCCTCCACGGGTAGTCAAAGTGGCAATCCTCAGCCTGCCATGAGCACCCGTCCCATTGAGAAGGAAGATCCTGACCCAGTGCTCGAGGACCTACAACTTAGAGCGCGAAATGTCAGTCTAAGGCTGAGGCACAGCTTGAGATTGAGACAAGCGTCTGTCTCGCCGGACGGTCCTTCGGTGCTGGGTGAGGCGGTGGATGCGTTGACTATCTCCCCGGCTCAGGCTGGACTGAGCAGAAATCGGCTGCCCGTCCGTTCGAGACGCGAAGACAAAGATGAGAGCAGAGCGCCCTCTGCAAGTCGCAGTGAGATGGTAGAAGGGTCGTTGAATACCTCCAGCCCTCAGGATTCTTCGTCTTTGCCGGACGCGAAACCCGCACAAGCTGATGCTCGGACTGAACGTGCGTCAGTGGAGATGGTGATTTATTGCGGTGAGGACTGAGGGCCTCCAGGCAAGGAGGTAATGGACAGCAGAAGTCTTGTATTTGGAAGGGAAAGGGGAGAGCGGAACTGGAAGATGAAAGATAAGGAGTGTAAGAACATGGGATGGATGTCGAGTTTGTTGTGCGTTGGAACAGGAGAATTACCCAAGTAGTTCTATGGTCTTGGGATTAGATGATATACAGGGCCTTGGTTGCTGATGTTCGTTGAAGTGAGTTAGCTGTTTGTGGTATTCGAGCAGGGATGATAAGCCTTCTTCAATTACCTGCGCGGGGCAAGTTGTTCGACGAAGACCCTCTGCGGTTGCAGTTCCTATTGGTAGGCGGCAGAGACTGATCATCTGATTCAGCGGTTATCAGAAAAAGGGCTGTAGGTAGAAACTACCTTGTTAGCACGCACAACAGAGAAATTACAGAGACAACACGACATCACTTCACATGATCGAGATGTCCATTGCAGCAAAGCCACAACCACTCAAAGAGTGCAAGCTCGATGAGCCCGGGGGTTTGTTCAGGTAATGGATGTATTCGCTATGAATCACCATTCCTCAGCCACCACGCTGCAAGAGTCGACGCGGGCCTCTCGGCGCCACGGACCCTATGTCCTCCATCATCCGTCAGAAATGCTTTTCCGTATCCATCCAGACGCCTTGAAGTCATGCGCATCTTATCATCCCAGCCATTTGAGTGCAGTCGTCGAGGTGTTGCGCTTATGCGACGAGCTGAACAACACCACCGGCCTCCTTGATCTTCTTCTCGGCCTCAGCGGAGAAGTAGCGGGCGCGGACGATGATGGGGACCTCGGGGAGGCGGCCCTTGCCGAGGACCTTGGAGTAGCCGAAGTCGAGGAGGTTGAGGACGGGGGCCTTGTCACCCTTCTTGGCGAGGTACTCCTCGCGCTTCTCAGCGGGGACGAGCGACCAGAGCTTGTCGAGGTTGATGACGGGCTTCCAGAAGTGGTTCTGCTGCTTGTGGACTGCGTGGATTAGTCGCTGCGACAGAGGCGGAAGTTGTGTTACTTACAGTACCTCATACCAACCTTTCCGAAGTAACCAGGGTGGTACTTGTCGATGTTGGTCCTGTGGTGGTGCTGACCACCAGCCATACCACGACCACCGGGGTGCTTCCTGTGCTTTCCGACACGTCCGTGACCGGCGGAAACGTGACCGCGGTGCTTGCGGGTGTTGCTCAATCTGGAGGCATATTAGATGTGTTGGTGGTGACTGCGCGCGAGAGTGCTGACCTGGTGGGCATGTTGACGGCTGTTGAGTTAGTATCGTGAACAACGGACGCTGCAAAGCTGGGAGTTTTGCTAGGTCCAAGCGAATTTCGAAGTGCGCGCTAAGGACGGGGTTAGATTGTTCCGTTGGCCCGTGCACAACGTCGATCCCTGCGTCAAGTTGTACTTCATATGCCGATGGAAAGTTGAACTTCAATTATCGTATCTCATGAATTCTATCGTCGTCATAGGATATCTCGCTAGCTGTATTGAGACTTCTAGCGCACGCGTCAGGTCATGTTTGTTTCTCTGGTTCACCGCTCATCTCTCGACCGGCGCAGCGAACTCTGCCGTTATATTATGCTCTCTAGAACAGCGCGCCTCCGAGAAGAGCACCACCAAGGAAGCCAGCTGCGATCGGCAGTCCAGCACCACCGCCTAGTCATGTCAGCTTTGTCTCAGTATAGAGGAGGTGAGGTCACTTACCGTATCCGTAACCGTAGGGTCTACCGTATGGCTGCGCTGGGCGCATGTACCGTACGTTAGGGTTATGTCCTCCGTATGGGTTGCCGTATGGGTTGTAGCCATAGGCTCCTCGCGGCGCATACCCGTTGGGTGGTGTAACATAGACGTCTCTGCCTTGTTGATCTTTGCACAGGAACTGGGGTTCGCCAGTCTCCATAGCGCGGATGAGGGCTTGACGTGCGCGAAGATGTGCTTGGTAGGCTTGACGCTCCTGCTCTGCGCGACGAGCGCGTTGCTGTTCGCGCTCTGTGTGCGTTGACCCAGTGACCTTGTCTTTGAGCTTGCGGGAGAACTTGTGGAAGCCTGTGAGCTCTGGCTCAGCACTCTTGCCGCGCTTCCCAGCTGGTCGTGGTGGAAGGTCGTGATCATCATCTGAGTCTTCGGCCGCCAGGTCCTCCAGTGTCACCGTCCTCTTCACACGACTGTGCTTTTTGCGCTCCTCTGGGCTCAGCGTGCTCAGGAACTGCTCATCGTCGTACGGATGCGTCCATATCGATCGCGGCGGGTCTGCCTTGGTGTCTACGAAGAACTGGTGGTGCGACTCGGGGTCGAAGGTGCGCACCCAGCCGGGAGGCAGCGGTCGAAGCTCGTCCTCCATAGAGCGTCGTCGCTCCATGGGAATGCCATTGCGTTCTGTGCGCGCGCCGGGTCCGTCCGTAGAGACACGAGCTATGCCTGGCGTAGGCTCTGTCGATGAGCTACCAGTGGCGCTCTCGTAGGACGGTGGAGGCTCGTGTAGGTGTTGTGTGCCCGACATTGTGGGTCGAGCTGGGGTTGCGATGCGATATAGGCAGAGGTTGCGGTATTGAAGGTTGAAGTAGTTTAGTGTTTGGAGCGCGATAATTCAGCTGTGAGGCTGCAAGTTTGGAGGCCAAGTGCAGTCGCTGTTGCTTGTTTGCTATATGTATGCGCTCATCGTGGCGTCAGCTCTTCCTCCGCCGGCTTGAGCAGCTTAACTCCGGGGAAGCAACAGGAGCTGCAGGTGGCTGTGCGGCAGTCGAGCATAGCAGAAGTGCCTCGCACTGTCTGAGCTTCACATCGTCAGTCTTCTTCTGTTTACGATCATCTTCGACGCCTCAGCTGCCTATTGCGGAGTAGAGAGGGTTTTGTAGTCTTTCGTAGGCGATCGATGGCGTTGATGCTTCAGCCCCTCCAAGGGCTGCTCTTCAAACCGGCAGGGGCAGGGCAGCGTTCTACAGTACCGCACTCGACCTCCCAACGGCGCGCCTAGGTCTTTGACATGTACCCTCTTACCACGCGCGCTTAGTTACTCAGCAGTGCCCTTCAGACATAGAAAGGCATGTCTCAGAGGTTTCGAGATCTGGTCCTGGGACTAGCGACACTGCCGGCAGCCGAAGGTCTTGTGCTCAGTGGTCGCGCGCTCACCACAGCGCCAGTTAGACTCGACTTGAACGTGTCAACGGCCCCTACGCCATCACCTGGCCACCACAGGACACTCACAGTTTCGCAAATAATCAACAGATCCTTTCATGGCTTCTTGGTTTAGCTGAGGGGCTCTCCTCGCGCCAGGTTGTGCTGCCTGCCTTTTGTCGAACCCTTTTGACAGTGCCATCCATGGATTCAAAGACAGCGGTGCCCGACCCACCCATCAGAATGTTCACACCGAACATTTATATTCTGGACCTGTTTCGAAGTCCTGGCGCAAGTTCTTAGCTTCCAGTGGACCGGCTCTGCGCTGTTCTTTCACAATGGTCAAGCGATCTGATGCGCACCTGAGCTAGCTAACATGACTTCCAAAGCAGCAAGAACAAGCCAATCACCGGACAAAGATGCCGAGAGCTCCAAGATCCTAGTCGGAGGTGTCAGACTGTCATTCTTATTCGACCCCTTACGTCTTCCTGCTCTTTTCGGACAAGCAAAGACCCCATGGGCCGTTGCAACACCGACCCAGAGTCAGGTGGGCTAGGGCAGTCGTTTCATGAACCGACTTCCACGGAGCCTTGCAATCGTTTTGAGCGGCGACTTTGGATGCGACTATCTCATGCTGATTCTGCTAATGCATTCTCAGAGTCTAGAGTTTCGCGACAACGTACGCTGGTGGTGGGTGGACAGTCAAATTCTGGACGGCCCGTACCGCCCACGATGTACCGTGGCACCTCATTAGCTGTTCCCGAAAAGCGGACTTTGGGACCAGTGTGCTACAAGTCCAGATACTGGAAGCGACTTGTACGACTTGTCGCAAAAGTACCTGCATTTCATCAATCTTCTAGGTAACGTGGGCGTTGGTGGAGACCGTCCAACCACCGCGCATGAACTCCATGTCTCAACTCTTTGAGCGGGCCTGCCAAATGAGAACGTCAATGGCGCCTTTCACATGAAGCATGATCTGGGAATCTGTCTAGGGAACCAACTCACCGAGTATATAGGTCCAGTATTCGCGGCATGGAGGTCCCCCCACAGCAACTCCATTCCTCGGTTCATTCCGCCGGCAATACCATAACAGAGCGACCTCCTCGCCCAAACTCCTCGACTGTCTGAGATCCTGTCTCCCGACAGTCACTCCTTTACTTCTTCAAAATGGCAAAGTTATATTTGCTGCTGGCAGTTAGCCAGCTTACATTCGTTTACGGCTTTCCAGCAAGGGACATCAAGCGACAACCAGACGTGCTCGACGAACGTGCTATAACGATATCCACGGACCTTGAGGCCACGACCAGTTACAGTACGGCGATCCAGACGCTACAAACCGCGACCTTAACAACCCGCCCATCGCTCGAAGGGGTACATTTTTACTTATCATGCTTTATAATGTCTGAAGCTAAGCTATGTATAGACTATCCAGACTGCACTTCCTACAGGTGGAGGGATCACGAAAGATCCGGCCGATCTACCTGGTGTCACCAAGACAGTCGATCCTCTGTGCCCTGAAGAGACACCTCTCGAACCAGGACCCACAGCGCCGGTCGGACCACCTTCGCAAAACATTTTCGTGCCTTTGCTATTAGCCACGCAAGTCCCTGCACCATCAATACCGTTCCGGGGTGATCATCCTGTTCAGAAGCAGAACATTGTCGATGGCAACACGCCCCTCCAGACAAACAAATTCTACGCGAACTTCTTTCTTGGTACCCGGAAAGAATCAGTATGGGCTCATCCCTACTCCCTGTCCTGGGCTCAGGGCCGGGGCGGCACGTACGGCATGGCAATTAGCCACACTGAGCGCAGTCAGTTCTCCTTCGGCCCTGATGCGAACAAACCACAGTACTTCATTTCGCCCATCGGAATTCAGCACATGGCACTCTCAGCGACTGAATTGAGGGAGGGAACAGTCATGACTGTCGAAAGCCTGAAAGCATTCTCTGCTTTTGCCAATTTTGCCCCATCTGCTGGCTCCCGAGTCATGATGTCTGTGCCTGTGGTTCAAGGCATGGGCTTCATCACAGCTGTCTACGATAACGCTCAACCCATACTCAGCAGCGGCGTCTTCTTCCGCAGCGTCAAATACGCTGGGTCGGCTAATGGCGCTAATATCACCTTCAAGTACAACACTCAGCTTGAGGATAACTCTCAATGGCTCATATATGTCACACCGCTTCGCGCCGACGGTGTCCCTCCCATGGTATTGGCAGGAAGCGGCACCATCCGTGGCCCGGAGGCGTTCACTGGTCTGGTACAAGTTACCAAGAACCCTGGCGGCCAGGAAGGCGAGCGCTACTTCGACGGTAGTGCAGGTGCATACGCGACCGAGGCGACAATCTCTGGCTCGGTCAATGGTCCATCAGGAAGCTACACATTGTCATGGACCAAGGGTGGTGTGCTCGATCGGCCTCTGATTATGTACGCGTTACCACATCACGTCGAGTCGTTCGATCCAGAGACGCGAGGTGCTATGACTGGCATCCAGCTAGTTACGACTACGAAGGGCGTGGCTACCGCCGTTCAAGCTGACAGGATTACTATGATCGAACCAGACCTTCCCACCAATATTGGTTTTGCACCCTGGGCTAAGGCTGCCAATGGTGCTCAGGGCGGTACGGAGAACGTAAATCTGGCTGCCTCGGCGCTCCAGCTCGTCAATGCTGCTGGAACTACCGAACTAAGACAGGACTTCATCTCGCAGACCAGTTTGAACAGCATGTACTACTCCGGCAAGGGACTCGCCAAGTTCGCTGGCGTTATCTACACCATGCAGACCATGGCTGGAAACAGCAACCTCGCCGCAGCTGGTCTTGAGAAACTGAAGGATGCGTTCAACGTCTTTGTCAACAACACCCAGCCCGAACCGCTCGTGTACGACACTGTCTGGAAGGGCGTTGTATCTGGAGCGTCCTACAGATCGCCCACCAGGGACCTGGGCTTGGATTTTGGAAACACTGCGTACAACGACCATCATTTTCACTATGGCTACTTCGTCTATACCGCCGCAGTAATCGGCCATCTGGATCCGGCTTGGCTCGATCAGGGTACTAACAGGCAGTGGGTCAACACGCTTGTTCGCGACTACGCCAACTCAGTAACAGACAATTACTTTCCCTTCTCGCGTTCCTTCGACTGGTTCCACACCCATTCCTGGGCCAAGGGTCTGTTCGAGTCTGGCGACGGCAAGGATCAAGAATCCACATCAGAAGACGCCTTCGCAACCTTCGCACTCAAGATGTGGGGTAAGATCTCCGGAGACGCCAACATGGAAGCTCGCGGCAATCTACAACTCGCCGTGCAAGCCCGCAGCCTCCGCAATTACTTCTTGCTGAAGTCGGACAACAAGAACCAACCTCCGCAGTTCCTGTTCAACAAGGTGACCGGTATCCTCTTCGAGAACAAGTGCGACCACGTAACGTACTTCGGCAGCAATATCGAGTACATCCAGGGTATACAGATTTTGCCAGTGAACCCCAGCTCGGCATACACCCGCCCTAAGGACTTTGTGACAGAAGAGTGGAATACGTTTTTCAGCAATGGCCGTGTTGACCAAGTCGCTGGAAGCTGGCGAGGGATCCTGTATGCTAATCTGGCGCTTATCGATCCTGAGACGAGCTACAACTACTTTGCTGATCCAAACTTCGACTATGGCTCGCTTGATGGAGGTGCGAGTCGTACCTGGTACCTCGCATACTCGGCGTCCATGCTGAACATTGAAGCAGCAAAGGCGGAACCAGATACAACTCTGCAATATCCTCCGCAACAGCAGGAGTCGCAGCAGCAGCCTCAGCCACAGCTATCCCAGCAGGCTGAGCCTACTGGAGACCTCCCGGCTACCCCACAGCCGACCCAGGAAGCACCTCAACCAGAAGTGCCGCAGCAACCTCCCCAGCAGCAACCTCCCGAACAGCAACCTCCACAACAAGAACAGGCACCTGAAGACCTCCCGGCTGCGCAGACACCTCCCGCACAAGAGCAATCCGCCAACGGCCCCTACTCAGGCGGCCCCTCATTCGACTAGGCAGACTACACGCCCTCCAACTGGCGCAGCTACTTCAACGCCTATCGTTAAAAAGCTCTGTATGGCGATGATCGTCCACGGCGTGGGAGCTCTTAGGACAGTCCGTACAATAGCCCCTACAACCGCGCGGTAGACGGGGATGCTGACGGAGAGGCCGAGGGAGACGAGGGGGGGGGGGGGGATGTGCTTGACTGTGGAGAGCAGGACAGTGAGCAAGGCGAGACGCGTTGAAGGGGAGAAAGTAAGGGTGGTTTGTGGCGCGGAGTGGAGTTGTGGGATAGCTGAGTACTTCCAAACCTTGGTATGACCGGTGGCTAACGACAGAGGTGCAGTGCTTTCCCGTATGTTTTTAGTTGATGAGTGATGACCCTGTGGGTAGATATTTTATTCATGTAAAGAGGTAGTTGAATGGAGTTTAAGTCATGACACATAAACTTCGTTGTAGTGGTGTGCTCCTTCCTCCGCTCCTCAGCGCCAGGGATCTGGAAGTCGGCACAACGCTATAATGAATCGTGGTCGCTTAATGGTGATATCCTTGTGCCATGTGCTATTCTGTGCTGCTAGGCTGGCCCCGAGGTTGTGGTGGTGCGCTCCTTCCTCTCTTGCTCCTTCCTTCCATTTGCAAAAGTTGGGCAAACGACCCTCTTCATTCACCCTCGCTCTATGCCTCGGACTACTCCCTTCTCAATGTCCTTGCATCGGCTGCAATCCTTTTCTCGCACTGATGGGTCACGTCAACCTGCTAGAATGGGCAGGTTTCCTCAGGTGTCGATTGCAGAGGTAGGGGAGTGTCTGCTAACTTTTGCCGCAAAAGTGATCGTTCATCCTTCGACCGCATTGTGAGTTTCGTGATGATGATCGATACTACTATATTAGGCAGGTTTGTTCAACTGTCGATCGCAGGTGTAGGGGAGTGTCTGTCAACTTCGTCCAGAACAAGCCTCGCTTGGCCGTTTGCGGTCTGTTCTGGCAATCGACTGCATCCTTCGGTTAACAACTGAGTCGCGTATAATGTCGCTTCCTCACCAAACCCATCAGCACGTAAGACTGCAGCAGTGCAGATCAGAGGCTCAGTTGCGCGCCTTCAGGGCGAAGCACGAAGCCTGTTTATCGCCAGCTGGGCTCTCAGCGACCAAAGACCTTCAATGATACCTGCGCTGCTCCAGACGTCTCTCAATACCCACAAGACCCATAGGAAAGCCGTTGACTCGGCAACGGATCCCTTCCTTCGTGATAAGGTGGGCCTTGGAGAGATGAAGCTCAATCAAACGACTCCAGAGTTAGATTGGAGGAGCGTTGTGGCGATTGTACGAGATTGATGGCGAAGTACCTCATCGACCTCTCAACATTCGAGTGCGGGAATTAAACCGGCACTCACCTGCGTCGAAGCAGCGTATCGCGAAGCAGCAGTGTGCTGGTTGAAGGCTGGAGGGACACTGCGCGCTGCGCGACAACTCTGGTGCGGAACAGCCACCATTTGGTGCCTAAGGGTCGCACGAGGACTTTGGGCAATCGTGAGACAGCAGAGACAACACCAGCGCTTGTGGAAGGAGCAACTCCGCGGTTTACGAGATCTTTCGCAGGTGCTGAGTGAGGCTTTGTGGTTGCGACAACTGCATACACGAAGCGTCGCAGCGTAACCGTCGCTGCCGGCTGCAAGGCAAAGTCAGGAGGCAGGATGCAGAACGCAACAGAAGTCGCTTTCAGCGTCAGCAGCAATAGCCTCCTTATATCGACTTGTCGTGATAGAAGCTAGGCTATCAGCCCGCATCGCACACACTTCAAGTCACCAAGCTGCACAACCTACTGTGTACAGCGTCGTCAAAAGATCTTTGTCACCCATGACATATCTCAAAAGATATTTCGAGCCTTGCATGCCATCACACGTCACCATCGACAAAGCATCGCTGAGACCGCTGTCGAAAACGTCTTGTTGACGGCCAAGATCTATTTTCGTTTCGCACAGCCACAAGATGCGACCGAAGAAGCATCGACGAGCGGACATGTGCCTTACCGAGTGCACAGTAAGCCAGGGGCAATGTTGAGACTCCTTTAACGAGTCTCGAGGGAATCAGGTGAAATCCGGCAAAGAGCAGACAAACAGCGGTCGAAGGCTTTATGGTGGCTTGAGGAGAAGTCGCGATGTCAAACGCGCTGAGGTGCAGCTGAACAAGCCCTTTTGTCTGTCAGAGAGCAGCTTTTTGTGGGATACGAGCCGGGCGACTTGGCGGATGTGCCTCGCGCCGTTAGTAACTGAGCCACGACGGTCTCGAGCAGACAGGATGCCTCTGATAGGTTCCCCTGCGTTGTCGCATTCTTCAGCTCGTGAGCATTTAGTGGGTCATCGTGGCCGAGCACGCGAGCGCAACGCATGTCTCGCTGCGGTATTGCAGTGCAGTGAGTTAAAAGACTCCAGGATCCTCGACCCGCGCACTCACACGAATTCGCACATCACCAATCTCTGCGCGGTTCTCGAACTCTGCCGCTCTTCGATCATCCTTCGATAAAGTCCTAGGCCGCCACGACTGTGCCATTGTCAGGTCCTAGCGCCGCGCGTCCCTGCTTGTTCGGGACGACCGTCCAATTGCCCCTGCCCAACTGCACGGCCAAGGTTTCAGCGGCGGCCCTAAACCTGCCATTTCTCCCCAACCCGTCTCCAGCGCTCCAGCTTCTCACACACACTTGCTCGGCGCTTTCCTACGTCGTTTGTCCCTCGTTTCACATTCGTCTTCTCCGCGCCATCTAGCATCTTCCTGGGTTTCTGCTTCCTGTTTGCATCATCATCACTTTCAGCGTTTCTGCCTCTCTACCAGCTTCTTCAGGCACGAGAAGGTTGAACCTGCGGCCTAACCCCGTTTAATCAGCTCTCGTATTTCCTAGTAACGACCATTTCATACACCGACCACCCATCACCGCATACGCACTCTTCATCGCCAGCAACTTTCGCACACCAGATCACTCCCACGACGACTGCCTGCGGGCGTAAGCAGGCTACCATGAAGTTTCACAGCTCGTACTCGAGCATGCTCGCACCATTTTTACTATTGGCCTCGGCGCCACTGGGCGCCCTCGCCAACGATGTTCTGAAGACCAATGGTTACAGCTCCTGCTTGAATGGTAACTCAGACATCACCGTCAACAAGCTCGACATTCAATTCGACCGAACGACGAAAAAGATCACGTTCGATGTGTCAGGTACCAACGGGAAGGAGCAGAAGGTTATGGCGACATTGAAGGTGAACGCGTATGGAAAGGAGGTGTACAGCAACACATTTGACCCGTGCGAAGGGTCTACGAAGATGGATCAATTATGTCCAGGTAGGTTGCCCAACATTGTAGAATTTGTACCATAGCTGACACCAGGTAGTGCCCGCTGGTACTTTCGGCGCAAGCGGAGAGCAAAGCATCCCCGACAAATACATCTCCCAAATCCCAGCTATCGCATTCAGCGTCCCTGATATCGACAGCCAGGCAACAATGCAGCTTACGGCCAAGGACGGCGGTGCGGAACTCGCGTGTATCACATCACAAGTCAGCAACGGCAAGTCGCTGTCGACAACAGGAATATCTTATATCGCGGCCGGTATCGCTGGCGCTGCTTTGGCGGTTGGAGGTCTCTCTGCGCTGGCCGGTGCTGGTCATTCTGGTGTTGCCCACTCGAGTCCCACGTTCGGCGATGTCGTTTTCTGGTTCCAGGGTATGGCCATGAACGGTATGATGAGCGCCGACGTTCCTGGTGTTTACCGAAGCTGGTCGAAAAACTTCGCCTTCAGCACAGGTCTGGTTTACTGGGAGGGCATGCAAACATCCATCGACGGTTTCCGTGAGAAGACTGGAGGCAACCTCACAGCCGACAGTGTAAAGTTCTTGTCGAACGCCACACTTGTGTACGTGGACCAGAACATGACTGTGACCAAACGCAGCTTCGACGGTATTAGCGATGTTCTCCTGTGGACCCGTGACGAGCTTTCGACCAACGTCAACAGCACCACCGAAGGCAGCGAAGACAACAAGATCATCCATACCGTCAAGGGTATCCAAGGCTTCGTCGAGCAGTACAAGATCCCCAACGGCAACACCTTCATGACTGTTCTTCTCTGGTTTGCGATCGTAATCGCCGCCATCACCGTTGGTATCCTGCTCCTGAAGGTCATCCTCGAGACCTGGGCTCTTTTCGGAACGTTTCCCAAGCGTCTGACCAGCTTCCGTAAGCGTTACTGGTGGACGCTTGCAAAGACCATCACCAACTTGATCTTGCTCCTTTACGGTATCTGGACCCTGTACTGTGTTTACCAGTTCAAAAACGGAGACTCATGGGCTGCGAAGGTACTTGCTGGTGTCACCTTGGCTGCTTTCACGGCTGTCCTGGCCTTCTTTACCTGGAAGATTTGGAGCATCGCACACAAGTACAAGAAGATGGAAGGCGACAACTCTGCCCTCTATGACAACAAGGAAGTCTGGCGCAAGTACTCTATCTTCTACGAGAACTACAAGAAGAGCTACTGGTGGATTTTCATTCCAGCCATCATCTACGCTTTCGCTCGTGGTTGCGTTATCGCAGGTGCAGACGGTCATGGTCTTGCCCAGGCTGCCGGTCAGCTCATCGTTGAAGCCCTTTTGCTCTGTGTCCTTCTGTGGTCGCGACCGTACTCGCTTAAATCAGGCAACTGGATCAACATTATCATCCAGGTCGTCCGCGTGCTCTCAGTCGTTTGCATTTTGGTCTTCGTTGAGGAGCTCGGCATGACACAGACCACAAAGACCGTCACCGGCCTGGTGCTTGTCGTTGTGCAGGCTATTCTGACCGGTGTTCTGGCTATTTTGATTGCAGTCAATGCCATCATCATCTGCTGCAAGCAGAACCCTCACCGCAAGAAGAGAAAGGAGGCCGGTAAGTCATACACATTTGTAATTGAATGTGCTCATTTTAACACCCATACAGAGAAGGCTCGCGATCTCGACAACCTCACCCCTCTCGATGCTCGCAACTCGCTGCTCATGGACCCCCAAGAGTACAAGCGCAGCTCTCTTCCTTCGCCATTTGGACCTCGCGCCGCTGGCTACGATGCGGTGCCGCTCGCAGAGCAGAACACCGCCTACAACAATGGCCGACGATTTGAAGAAGATCGTAGCCATCTCCTTGCTGATGCTTCGACATTCACTAAGACACCAAGTCACAACCCAAGCTTCAGCGACGACCGTGATCGCTCCACGAGCCCGCAGCCCCGACTGCCGGACCTGGAATTCGGTCACCAGACTGGCTACACTCAGCCAAACAACGCTCCGTGGCAACCTCAACGGGGGAACCAAGGCGGATACGCGTACTAGAGGAGAATTGATACCCAAAATGTTGTAAATCACGGGGTTGTACATGTTTTCTTTGTTTGCATGGTGGAGCAGATTCGAATCAGATGGAGTCGATATTTTGACATCTAGAGCGGCGAAATACCAACACATATTGTTCTGTCGGCAGGCCCTGGACATACAGCGACATGGCCAGGTGACTTGATCCATGACATGAGCATTCTGATACAGCATATTTGTAATCAATGATGCGGCCTGGGGCGCGCAGTGTAGTTCAGAGTATTTTCCGTAGGTAGGATGGAGTAGAGGTCGCAATACTATTACAACCAAACAAGTCGTTCATCCCCACAACTCCAGCGCTTACTTGAGCACATTCAGGGTTCATCTCGAGGCGTCTGTCAACCAAAGTGCAGAGCCCTGCTGTTCGACGCCTGCACAAGGTAATTTGATAGCTAAGCCTTACACAAAGAACGGAATGTTAGGAGCTAGCCTAGACACCCCTGAATCTAGCTGCCCAGACCCTCACACTTGAGCACCTTGGACCGTCGCACCGTTCTGCCTCCGCTGCACGAGCACTCGCCAACTCACCAGCCGAAGACGCAGAGCCTTGCCGATGATGTATATTACGGACTAGGCAATAGTTTACTTATCTGCGGAGCTGCAGGCGCTTTATCGAAGACGGCAGGTCTTTGAGCGACACACAATCAGTACGGCATCAAAGGATCAAAGCGTACAAGATGCGGTGATTCTTATGAGGGCGCGGTCGGCAGCCCCGGAACTTACATTAGAGGTACTTTCCACCCTGATGAGTGCGGCATGGCGCTTTTGGCAGCCGAACTGGACCGGAAGTGGATGCGCCTGCTGCAGGAACAAGACCCGCCAACAAGGGCGATCTCCCGCGGCGCTTTAAAGAGTGCCTATTTCGGGCGCGCCACCGCCTCTCAAGACAGCCTAAGGAAACACTATCCAACGCCTACAGATATCGATTTCTCTAATCGACTCGCTACTGTTGTAGCTGTGCTTGCTTCGCTGCGCTATGCTTCGCTTCGTTCTTGGGCCGAGAGGTCTGAAGAGTAGCGCTCGATGGCGTACCTGAGAGTCGAGGTAGGTTTGACATGATAAGGGTCTGGGTATTTCCTGCCTTCTAGACGCTCTTGCTCCTTTCGAATCTTTTCGTGCTTTCCTCGATTCCTCAACCTTGAAGACAATAGCTACTTCTTCTGATGTGCTTTTGCTCTTGCTGCGTCGACTGAAGAGCGTCCTTTCGTTTCCTTTACCCTTCACACGTCAACTTATCTCGACACACCCTTTACGCCCATTCTCTCGTACTCTATGCCGCATAATCAGTATAATTAATTCATATCACGACACTCTCGCTATAACAATACTGCAAACATGCGCTCAGCAACTCTTTCCGCCCTTGCAGGCTTCGCAGCCCTGGCACCCTTCACAACTGCCCAGTCCACCTCACCGAAACGCGGTCTCTGCTACGTCCCGTCCCAAAAGTACCCTGGCGATGACAACATCTGGGTCAGCGGCAGCAGCGACCTAACATGGTACTACAACTACAAAGCTGAGCCGGCGGACGTCTACAAGAACAACAAGAACATCCAGTTCGTGCCCATGCTCTGGGGCGCCTCGGACAGCGACACCGGTACACCCTTCTACGATTCAGTTAAAAAGCAACTCGACGGCGGCGCAAACATCAGCTACGTCCTCGGCTTCAACGAGCCCGACGGCCCTCACTCGACCGGTGGCTCAGCGCTCCCCGTCGACCTGGCCGCCACGCGCTGGAAAGCCGAGATTGAGCCCCTCAAGAAGTTGGGTATCAAGCTCGGTGCTCCGGCCGTCACTGGTGCTGCGAGCGGTTGGACGTGGCTACAAAACTGGTTCACTGCGTGCGATGGTGGGTGCACACCGGATTTCATTCCTGTGCATTGGTATGGCAATTTCGAAGGCATGGCGAGTCATATTGGACAGGTTATGGCAACGTATCCAAACATGACGGTTTGGGTTACGGAGTATGGGTTCCCGAACCAGGATCTCAAGGCTACGCAAGAGTTCTACAATATGAGCAAGAACGCTATGGATGGGTGGGGGTGAGTCTTCTTCTTGACGAATTGGAGTTAGGGACACAGACTAATGTTAAGCAGTAACCTCACGCATTACTCGTACTTCGGCGCTTTCCGCAGTGATGTCTCGAATGTTGGACCTAACGCTGCTATGCTCAACCAAGATGGCAAGCTCACGGATATCGGATCGTGGTATATGGGTGGTTTGTCGACGAACAACATCCCCAAGGGTGCTGGCGGCCGCATACAGACAATCGGTGTGGCAGGGGTATCTGCTCTGGCTCTCTTCTGGGCATGTGTGCTTTAGGATCGCCCCCTGGATCTCTGGCGCAACCTTGTCACTGCGGGTTCTATTAGTTTCCTTTGGTCATCGCCTGAATCCTGTGTTGAGGACTATCTTGGATGGGATATCTACTTTGAGCCAGAACGCTTCAGTCTCGGGCAGTACATGACGGGTCTGATGATTCTATGATACCCCGCATTCCAGTTCAACTGTCTCTTGGAGCATCCGTTTACCGGTTTTTGGCTGGCTTCACCCTCGTTATGGGCTTTCGCATTGCGGTGGATTTTTGCTGGCATCAAGATAGACGTTTTCGGGGCTCAAGAGGTACACAATTGAGGCACCAGCGCAGATAGCGTGGAAAGGATCCTCACCAGCGTATGCTTGCTTCTCGTCAGCATATACTGGATTCCTAAAGGTGTATACAAGTTTCCCAATAGGTTGCCGAGGATCACTGTGCTGCTGTCGTGGAGGCGCTCTCGTTAGACGTAGACTAAGATCATCATTTGCAATGGCGTTTAGGAGATATTCAATATTCATAGACATGTGAATTGGGATCGTACAAGTTCAAGTGCGTTGACTCGAGGGTTTTCGAAAAAAAAAAACCCCCCCCTTGAAAAGTGGTGTACATGTCACTTGCCAGCGAAGATCTCAGAATATAATGGTTGCTGAAATGTACAGACCCCCCTGAACTTGGTTCACTACTGCGACAGACTTACGTTATGTAAGAATGAAGGCTTCTAAGTGGCTGTTTCTCTCTTGGTTGACAGAATTGACAGTCTGGTACATGTCCTGCAGGGCAACAACGTGGTGAATGGCCACTCACAAGGCTGTTCGCCCTCATGAACCGCGGTACGTACCCCACTGTACGCATCACTGTACCAAGATCAGGGGGTCTGCACATTTTTGAAAGCACCGATAAAGCCAGCAACGGATATGTACAATCAAAATCCACAAACACCCCATTATCGATCATAGACTGTTCCAGCTCAAATCACGTTCACGGCACCCTCATACTAGCTCTTCACTCTCTCCAACGGCAAGAAGCCATCGAACTCCGACTTCGTAGGCGTAGGCGTATGAGTCCCCACCCTCTTCCCCCAACGACACTGACTCGGATAATCACAGTCCCCGCCAGCAATCCTTCACCTTCTTCCCATCAAGCTTTGCGCTTCTCGGAGGGCTGCGCGACTTTGGAGTGCTAGACGCTATGCGTTTCCACCGCCCCCACTCTTTCCAGTCCAAGTAGTTGAACTTACTCGCACACGCCCTGTGTCTTTTGATCTTCTGTTTCGGACCGTCTTTGCGTCACCTTTCCACCACCGTCGTCCCGGCGCAGAAGTGATGCCCATCATCTAAATACCTGCGCGTACCGCCGAGAGGGTACGCGCGTGTGCAGGTGTGGCATGTCCATATCCACTGCAGTGGTGTGGTGGGCACTGGCAATGGAGGAGCCTGGACGGAGGTCATCAAAGTCGTCAATATGCTGCAGTTCGTGGTGCGAGTTTGCTTTTCGAGTATCGGTGCTGGCGTGAGAGGGTTCAGGGGGGAGGAGGGAGAGGGTGGGATTGAGAGGTGGGAGGGCTTGGAGGGGGTGGGGTGGATGGCGAGGCGGTGGTGTGGCATGTTAATTCTTGGAGCTCGACAAGCTTTTGAGGATTGCGAGTTCGAAGATGGGCAGATATGGTGACGTTGTAAGTGACTCGGGGAGTTGAGATATCCGACGAAGTCCTGCTTTGCCCGCGAAACTGATTTTGAACGAGTTGGGAAGGAGACTTTGATCTAACTTTCGAAGACACGATCCCTGCTTCCGTCGACGACGCGGATGTATACCCATGATGGTGAACCCATGGGTGTCAGTGTTCGCAGCGAGATCCTTCGTCATTGATTCGGCGAGGCTGGGACAAAGGTCCATGGAGGCATGATCATTGTTCACCATCCACCAAAATAGTCATTGCCCCAAATGACCGACTTTGTTCAATTATTAACGTTGAGACTACTCGAGTTCCATGTGGGCGCCATCTATCATGCCGCCTTTCTTTGCATGTGTGGCTTTTCTGTGGTCGTCCTACTCAGACACCTACCTGTTCTTGTCGAGTGTAGGTGCCACGTGGATATCGAACCGCTAGAACTGCGGGAAGTCTTTTTCTGATCGGACGGTATTCGTTTTGTGTCGCAGTCTTGTCCTATTGCCTGAATGTGATGCTAAATCAATGTAAGCAAAAAGGACTGTTGCGCTTCACCGACGGCCCACGCTAGCGAGATCTGTTTCAAACACGGCTTCGGCGAGCCTCTAAGAGTACGTCGACTCGCAAAGAGTACCATTACCACATATCTACCGTGCTCTGATGGGTACGTCATCTGTCGGTGATCAGAGTGTTGATCCGATAAGGAGCCTGGAGGATGTCACCATACTTCCGCACGCAAACGTGCAAACAACGATGACCGGGGAGGACGTCAACGTCCTAGCTCAATCGCGAAAATCGTATGTGTTGATCTAATAGTACTTAATTAACCCATCGAAACTATGTTACAGCCTATCTCATCTTACAACACTCCTCGTTACTGTGACTCAGAGAAGCTCAGAAGCGGCTGATGTCGCGGCCGAACAGCCAATTGACAGCCCTGCTGCCGTTAGTACGTTTCTTGTCTTCGTTATTGGATCACTTACCAGTAAACAGGCACCAATATTTTGTTCCTCCAGCTGACCGTCCTGGTCAAGTAGGCACCACGCCAGATCGCCCACGCAATGTAGCCTTGCAGTCTACCCCACTTGCCACCCTGGAAGAGCGCGTCCCAGTTACCGATGTACGCCAACGTACCCAGATCCTTGAACTTGAAGCCAGCTTTGTCAAGGTCCTGCTTGTTGAGCCGCTTGGCCAGCCAGAGGCCCTTCTGCGAAGCAACCTGCGCTGTCGCGGGGTACCTCGTCCCTTCGATGATACCACAGTCCCCAAGGACGTAGACATCGTCGACGATAGCTGCCACGTGCTTGTCGTTCTTGCCTTGGGGCACAACCTTGAGACGCAGGCGATCATCAGTGATGATGGATCCAGATCTTTCGTCCTTTTTGACCTTCCATGCTACATCTTTGGCAAAGCTGGGGTCTCCTGCTGACTCGATGAGTCGGAGGTTGTCAGGGACTGCGCGTACATTGCTGAGAGCCTGGTGCACGAAGGGATTCTGCATCAGCCCGGTGCTCCAGACGCACATGCCCACACCGAGTTCGCCTTCCTCCTTGATCTTCAATGTGAACAGCCTGAAGTCCTTATCATTCTTCAGGTTATTTCGCTCGTATGGAGAGCCCGGGCTCAACTCTTCAACGTGATGCTTGGTCTTGATATCAATCCCTTCGCGCTTGAATTTGTCCATCGCGTAGCCTGCCAGCTTCTCGTCAAACATGGGCAACACCTTCTCTGCCACGTCATAGACGGTGATCTTGTGGTATTTGATCAGTTCAGGATAAATCTTAGCCATGTCTTCGTTAATCAGGTCGTGCAGTTCGGCGCTGAACTCGATTCCAGTTGGACCGCCTCCAACCACCGCGAAGTTCAACAGTTGCCTCTTCATCTCCTCTGGTGTAGTTGGCAAAGCTGCTGCTTCGAAGCACGCCAGAAGCCGGTTCCTGATCTTGCGCGCATCGCCAACATCTTTAAGGAAGAAAGCGTACTTTCTGACTCCTGGTGTTCCGAAAGTTTGGCTGTAGCAGCCGACTGTGACGATCAACTTGTCGTATGCCAGATCAAAGGTCTTGCCTTTCTCAATATCTGACTGCTTCTCCAATGCCCTCTGCTCTTGTGTCTCACCTGCGTGGCGATCTTGGGTCAATGCTAGTCCTTGGGTTGGATCATCCACCGCCTGCTCAACGGTGAGAGTCTTGTTCTTGAAGTCTACGTCGTCGGCCCAGCCCTGAACAAACTCAACCTTGGTGCGCCGACTCCTGACTGGCTCCAGAGCTGTTCGAAACTCGAGAGTGCCGACGGCTGTGGAGGCAAGTAAAGGAGTGAACGCGAAGTAGGATCTTGGAGATACCACTACGGTCTGATATTTCTTCGTATTGAGCTGTCTTGCGACAGTGAAGCCCGCCCAGCCGCTTCCCAGGATGACTACTCGTTCTCGGTCTTTAGGCTCATGTTAGGTTGCTGGCTTCCTCCAGGCTCTGCTCTGCAACGCAGTATGTATAAAAACTTACTGTCTCGTCCAGAATCTAATTGTTTGATGGTTATGCTCCGCTGCTGCTGCGAAAGATATACATTTGCCAGAGCACCGAGTTTCGGACGTGTTGCTGCATGTGCTAGCTGTCTTGTCGTGATAATCGAAGGGAGCGTCGCACAAGTCGCATTCCTGGCGATGATATGTCGAATGCCCGAGGGCAGTTGATGTATGCGCGATAGCTGGGTTGATGGAGGCATTATAGTGTTCAAGTACGTTCCTTAGGTGGAACAAAAGCCAATGGAACGTGATGATAATTCTGAACCAAAGTAGCAACGCAGCAATTGCGTACCAGAGCTGCTTCTTACAGATAACTTTTTGTTACCCTGGTCGGGTGCAAGCGGAAGTAACAATGACGCATATCGGCGTCTACGGAAGGCATCCGGCGTTGTTGGCGCCTCGGCATGCACACGGTTCCCTCCTGACTCGGCCATCACGATGCGTGTAACGCTGCGTAACTCATACTGGCAACTACGAAATTGCAGGCTACAATCTGTTTCTCGTTCATGAAAATGTTGGCCACAGTCCACGGGGGGATGCACTGGCAAATATGGTGAGTACCTGTAAGATCTACATTGCTTTACACGTCTAGAAATCCGTAAAACTGCCACCCAACCTCGTGGTATACATCTAGAAATGGCTTCGCAGGACTAGAGTCAACTACAACGACACTGCTCGTCGCTTGACATCTTACAAAAGGGTATCTCCAAGAGCGCAACGAATGATAGAGTTGCCAGCACGGATGGTATCGCTAGCGCCTACCTCGTCAAGGCTGGGGTTGACCTCAACAAGGTCGAGCGCGATCAGAGAACCAGTCTCTGCGACACACTCGGCGATGAAGTCTCCCTCACGTAGCGTCAACCCACCACGAACAGCGGTGCCTGTGCTGGGTGCCCACATGGGGTCAAGTGCGTCGATGTCGAAGGACAGGTGGATGGGTGTGTCGCTGCCGATCCAGGCCAATGCCATATCCATGACCTTACCGATGCCGTGCCTACAGATTATTAGCGGTCTTGATCAGTCTACATATATACAGCTGGAAACTTACCTGTCAACGTCGTGCATCGAGAATGCCTTGATGCCGTGCTCTCTTAGGATCTTCTTCTCGCCGCGGTCGATGTCACGGAGACCGATGTAGACAAGCTTCTTGGTGCTGAGCATGTGCTCTGCCTTAAGCCACCCAAAGCAGTCTTCACGTGTTTCTGTGGCAAGACCTGTGAGGAAGGAAACGGGCATTCCGTGGATGTTGCCGCTGTCTGATGTCTCAGGGGTGTTGATGTCAGCGTGGGCATCGACCCAGATGACGGCGATCTCTCGCCCGAGCCTCTCGCGCATAGCCTTTGCTGTGCCGGAAATGGTACCCATAGCGATGGAGTGGTCACCACCGAGGGTCAGGACGAGCTTGCCGGTCTTTGCGTAGTTGTACACTTGACCGCTAACTTCCTTTGTGACGGCGCTGACGAATTTTGGTCGCTTCATGCCACGGTAGTCTGGGTCGTCTGCTGGCAGCATCTCGGCGTAGTTGTGCACCTGTCCGTCGAAAGTGACCTTGAGGTCCAGGTCTCCTTCCAGCTCTTTGATCAGACCGGCTTCAATGAGGGCCATAGGCGCAGCATCAACACCTGCTTTAGGCTGATTCAAATTTTAGGCACTAAGTCAGAATGCATTCAATGTTGGATTCTTACCTGGCCACCGCTGAAACCGACTGCAACGACACCGACATCCTGGCGGCTGGGCAGGAACTTTGGTTGTATGGATGGTGCGGCGGACATTGTGGACTGTATTACGGTTAGATGTGCTGTCACGTGCGAGGACTCAACATGGGATAAGCTGCTCCTGCCAGCTGCGCAAAGGAAAATGGCGTGCTATAAAGCAAAGTCTAACGCTATCGACAGCAGCCATGGGCGGGATGTCTTACTGGCTGAGTAAAAAGGAGGCGGTGTTGTGATGAATTAGAAGTAAATCACAGTGTATGCAGACACGCTGAATGCGGACTGATGTACGGTTGACGTGTAGAGACAATAGACACGAACACAGAAAGTTGGAAATGCTGTCAGGAGAAGGCCAGCTGGCGGTATTTATCATTGTTGGTCCAGCCGCATTCTTACGTTATTGACTACACCGAGTTTATTCACCATCGTGTAGACCTTCACTTAGGAGCGATGCTTCGTGTATTTTGGCGTTTAGGGGAAGAGAGGACGCGCTTTTATCTGGGAACCCCCACTAGGCATTTCAGGTCCGGCGCGATGTCGGAAAGGGCAGCTGCTTGATGGAGAGCGGTTTCATCGCTGATGGCATTGCTTCAAAGGCCTCAGATACAGGAACCACAACAAAATGTCGCAGCAACAGCTTGGAGTTGCATGTAAATGTTGTTGTTCCCCGCAACATTAGGCTGTTCCTTCCTCTGCCTGCCTGGAGCCACCTTTACGTGATTGGCCGGCATACGGGCAACTGCGGCCAAACTTGTTATCGCTGCTCGGCTGCGCCCAATCGCTTTCCCTCGGCCTTGGGCTTCTTCAGCCGCGATCTTACCCAACGTGAAACCACAAGACCTTCACGGGGACCATGACCGGATGTAAGCTCTCTGTCACAAGCCCAACCCTCCGCAACAGCAACAGATGGGCTTAGAAGAATGTGGACAAATGCTGACGATCAGTTTCATAAATGAATGCTCCGCGGCCATCGCAAACCTCGAAAGGATCAAGAAACGGGGAGCTTGGAGCCGTCCCAGCTAATACGGCCCTCGAAGCAGTTGAGAGATAAGAAGCTTGAAGGCTTGCAATCTCAAGAAGCTTCTGGTCTTTCGTGATTGAAGATCTTCCGGTAGAGTCTCTAAGAGGTGACCATGTCAGCCATTCGATTTATAGCTGGCAAAGCAGCCAAAGGCCGCATCGCGACAGGCACCATCCAGCTCCTCTGCCACGTCAAACCAGGTGCCAGTGCGCGTCGAGAAGGTATCACCGCCGTGACCGACGAGATCATTGACGTCTGCGTCGCAGCCCAAGCAAGAGATGGAGAAGCCAACACCGCAGTGAGAACTGTCATCGCAAAGACACTGAAAGTACCAAAGTCAAATGTCGAAATTGCGAAAGGCATGAAGAGCCGTGAGAAGACGGTCGCAATCCAAATAGGATCGAATGTCACACCAGCCGAGGAGATCGAACGCATAAGAGCTCTACTATCGAGCAGTGTAGCTGAATGATTGTTCAAGTATGTACGTCTGAAGCACAACAGATGCAACCACCAGTTCGTCCCACCGATTACATTAGTCATTAAGTACTCGGTTGTTGATAGATCCTTGCCTAGAAGTCCCAGGACATCTAGTACTGCCACGCACCAGGCTGGTCGACCTCAGCTACACAGGCGTCAGTAACTGAATATAACATTGGACACCGGTATGAACTTACAAGTAAGAGCGCTGAAGCCAAGGCACTCGGAGCTAGCCTCGAAACCCTGAGTCTGGCCGTAGACCTGGTATCCCTGGCCAGCACCACCAACAGGGCAAGCAACAAAGCCCGTCTCGAAGTTGAGGTAGCCGAAGCTGTTACCGCCGGAAGGAGCAGTCTTGCTGAACTGGTCGACGACAGAGCCAGCGGGGATGTACGCGGAGTGAGCAGTGGTGTAGCTCAGGGCGCCATCCGCAGCAACGTAGACCTGCTGGCCACCGGGAACGATGACACCGAGGGAGAGCGTCTCGTCGCCGCCAGCGAAGACAGTGGTGTTGCCAGGAGGGCAGGCGGCGCCGACGGCCTCGGGGCAGTAGCTGGATGGTGGGCCGCCGCCGAGGTAGAACTTTCCACCACGAGCGGTCAGGGACTGGAGGTGAATGGGCGAAGCACTGCGGGCTGAGATGACGCCGAAGTAGCCAGGGCCGGAGGCCGGGGTGGGTGTCGGCTCAGGAGGAGCGTAGTAGGTGGTTGGGTGTGGAGGAGGAGCGTAGTAGGTGGTTGGGTGTGGAGGAGGAGCGTAGTAGGAAGGGTCCTGGGGTTTGGGAGGAGCGTAATAAGAAGGGTCCTGGGGCTTGGGAGGAGCGTAGTAGGAAGGGTCCTGGGGCTTGGGAGGAGCGTAGCACTCTCCTCCAGCGAGAGCACCAGCGACGAGACCTGCAAAAGCGAAAGCGTACTTCATTGTGATGGACGTAGCGACTGGAACGGATGCTATGAAAACAGGTAGTTGGTGGGAGGAGATACAGCGAGGCTGCCATGCATCTTTATACTCTCGAAGAGGGGTATCACAATACTGCCCTGCAGCATGCATCTCTCAACGCCGTTACCCCACTGAGCCATATCCGGACCGCGGCATCATCGTTTAAGTTTAACCGTTCTTGAGTATCTTGCACTAGCAACAGGGTGCGTGTATGGAGCGGTACTGCGGAGCATTGTATTGCATCGTTCCACACGCTGCTAAATCACAAACACGATGCTGATCGCCTCGTGTTCGCGGTACCAGAGGTCACCGGATCGGCATTGGTTGGCGATCGTAGGATTTGCGCTTGGGTGTCTTTAGCCTTAAGCGAGGCGCATCATTCGTACACTTGTACGAGGTTTCGATAGTCGTTGCTGGATGAGCGTTATGGAACATTCAGCATCCCAAGCAGGGCGATCGCAATGAGCAAATTCTACGTGGTTGTGCTGATGTCACAGACTCGTATCAGGGACCTCAAGCAATTTCTCCAGATCCCCGGCGTTGGAGAGAGGAGGACGTGAAGCTTAAAGTGACGTTGAAGCTCGTGTAGCCCCGCTTTGCAGCGCCGCAGCCGCAACCTTAACTCGCAGCGTGCCCTTTCCCCAAATCGTCCATTCCAAAAATAGCACGGGTGCTTCTTCGCTTCCTCGCCGCTTTCACACTGTTCAGACACCTGCGTTTTTTTGGTCCCAGTGTGTTCACGAGCATTGACCTTTGGCTGGTGTCGCTCGTGCGAGCCATGGTACGGTGAGGGTGACATTGCACGCAAATGGCTTATCAATACAGTGTACACTGCAACGGTGCAGTGGCGGTGTTAGCAAGCGAAAATTGCGGCTCTACAGACGTCTGTGACTTTGTGCGATGATGACTGATGCTGACTATCGTGTAGCCTCTTGTCGAAGTCGTCGAAGTGGGTCGAGCCCATCTTCTGCTGATCGCCGTTGGCGTGTTACCTGAAAGTCCAAGTTTAGGTCTTGGAGTGGTAATCATAGGCAGAGTGTTTTGGTGGCTTCAGTGTATGGGGTGAGTACGTGGAAGGACGAAATATCCCAATTGGAGCAGTTAATGCTTCATTCGATCGTACCTGCATAAGACTCGGCGTTCAAAGCGGTACTCAGTAGTGCAATTGAATTCTCTGGAACCCCACAGTATACCCTGACCCCTTCATTGTGAGTACGGCAGCCTATGGTTTGCCGCGCGTGCGTATGGAGGTTCTCAATCTTTCACAGGGAAGACTGAGATTAATGCACACATGCAACTTCAACAAACGTGCATGATTACATCCAGGTTCGCCAACGCTACGCCAACAGATCCATCGTATCTAACAAGGCCCTGCGCATAACAATTCCTCACATCCACAAGCATAGTTTGCCAGACGCAGTTCCAGCAGCGACCCAGTCCAATGTAGGATGGAACTTCGCCACTGATGGCACCGCAGTGATGCCATCACCACCTAATTGCGCTAGCTGCTGGCCCTTTCCAGTATAGATGTCGACGAAGCGGTTCATGTTGCCAATGCAGAAACGTTGTATGTTGTCTTGAGGGAATTGCTGCCATTGGGCTCGTAATCTGTTTAATCGTTAGCACCAAAGGCTTGGATATTGGTAAGGGAAGAAAGTGAGGAAGGACTGACATTGTTACCCATCGCCCAGTCTGGTTGTTGTGTGGAACGATGACCTTGGGCTTCATTTCTTGCTCCGTCAATTCATGCCCAGGCTTCCAGTCCTTACAATCCCCGAAATCGTAAATTTTCACCGTATCATCATAACTCGCGGTCGCAACCTGTCCCACAGAATTCCACGCCGCATGGCTTACACTCAATCGACTCTCGTGCTCGCCTACAAGCGCCGGTCCTCGCTCATCACCTGAACCAGTTATCTTGCGCAGATCCCAAAGTTTCAGCGTCCGGTCCAGCGACGCAGTGGCCACGAGATGCGGGTGCTGCGGATGCAGACTAAACCCACCGATCTTCTTGTCCGACAGCTGAAAGATTTGAGTGTCCATCACTTCGGTGCGCATATCGTACATGCCGAAGCGGCCGTCCAGGGTCGAGAAGTACAGCATGTTTGCGTCATCTTTCGAGATCTCGAGCCCGGAGAGTGGCTGGTCTTCATTGGGGTCTTGGGGCCCGTACACTTCGACTGCGACGCCTTTTGCGAGGTCGAGTTTCCGTATTGAGGAGTCGTACGACGCGGAGTACAGGGCGTTGGAATCGTGTGGGCTAAATTGAAAGGTGTGTATTGTTCGTGTGTGCGGTTTAAGGGTTGTGATCGTAGGCCCTTCTGTGTCGGCGTCTTCATCGTCTTCGACTTTGACTTCTGCAGCTTTTTGAGAGGCATCGCAGATTCCGAGGTTCCCCAGCTTGTCGCCAGCGAAAACGAGAGGCTTTTCTTCGGTAGGGTGCAGGCCCATGGCGTAGATGCGCTCTGGTGTGATCTTGATCTCGTTTGGCTCAAAGTCCTCCCAGAGCTGAAGCCCACTCATCTTCTCCCGCAGTACCTTCACATCCTTGTCTGTGATGTCGTTCGCGTCGTCGAAGTCAAAGGTGCGTTCGTACGGGTTTGCAGGGCCAACGATGCGCAAGAAGTTCCCACTCTGATCCCATGTCTTGCCCACAACGGTGATGTCGCCAAAGTTGAATGCATCGCTGATACGTTGCCTCTTTGCACGATCAGCCTCCTTGGTTGCGACGTACTCTTCCTCCGCCTTGCGCTTCGCTTTCTCGCTGTCGGCCTCGATGCCTTTGAGACGTGAGGATGTCCGTCGTGGGGTTACGTCCTCGACCTTGACCCTCTTCGCTGGGGCAGCTTTCTTCGGTTTGGGTTTTGAGGATGATGCTGCTTTCGATGTGGGCCCTAGACCGGCTTGCGCTGCCTCCATCTCGAGATTGCGCAGCAGCGCCTGCGTTTTCGCGATGTTCTCTTGCCTTTTGCGCTCATAGTCGCTAACCTCCGCTTTCTTTGCTTTCGCCATTTTGGCACAATAGTATAGGTTGCGGTCTAAGCGTGGTGATGATACTCAATGCGATCGTGCAGGCGCAAAACTGCAAAGCGCGTCAATGCTAGTTGTACGCGCAAAAGGGAAAACCCCAAGCAAAGCGGTATGCAATTGGTATACAAGCAACAATTAGAAAGGACAAGTCGATGATACAATGCTAGGCTCCTGTCAGGCACCCGATGGTGAGGAGAAGTGGTAGGCTGCAGTGTGGAGGTCTTGAGCTCGAAGTTAAAGTGGTGGCGTCACGCGTCAGTAAACCAGAACGCGTCCACGCGTCGATCACGTGGATACTTCAACATTTGAATAAGAATATAACAACAAATGTTTAGCATACGAGATCACACCCCTGCGATCATCGTCTCAAGAACAGCAAAGCGGCGTCGCTTGTAGCACAAAGATCTCCATTATGGATCCTGACATCTCTCAATCGCAGTGAACCCTTGTCTTGGCGTAGATGTCCGGAAGTTAGATCATCACTCCACATCGGAGCCACTTCGATCGGAACTTCATCCACAGCCACAATGCCTGCAACAACACGAATACCGTCCACGCTGCTCGGTGCAGTCCGTGCCAGCACATCAAGAGTAACGCCTCCCATCAGACAAAGATGCGCATACCACTCTTACGACTACGCACAACCGCCTCCATTCCCTCCTGCTGAGACCAAAATCCTATCGTCGGCATATGCACACGTACCCAACCATGGCTTCACAGTTGATGCGCTGAAGCTCGGGGCTAGGGATGCTGGGTACCTGGACGCTTCAACGAATCTCTTTCCTAGAGGTGTCTTCGATTTGATCAACTACCACCTCGTCACACAGCGATTGGCGCTGAAAGACTCCGTGCAGTTCCCAGAGGAGAAAGATGGAAAAAAGCTAGGCGTAGGAAGCAAAGTCAGGTCCTTGACTCTGGCGCGATTACGAGCAAACGAGCCAGTTTTGCATCGGTGGCAGGAGGTACATTTTCCAAAGCCCAAAGATGCGTCGTGTATGAACACATACTAACGGTATGACAAGGCACTAGCCATAATGGCACAGCCAACCTACATCCCGCCTTCGCTGCACGAACTCGCCGCGCTTGCCGACGAAATCTGGTTTCTCGCCGGCGATCAGAGCGTCGACACAAGCTGGTACACCAAGCGTGCGACTCTGTCCACCATCTACTCCACCACCGAAGTCTTTATGACGCAAGACACGTCAAAGAACTTTGTTGAGACAGAGCAGTTTTTGGATAACAGGCTGCAGGATTTGCAGACGGTTGGAGGGTTCATGGGGAAGCTGGGCGAGTGGGTGAATTACACGGGGCATAGTACGATTAATGTGCTTCGAAGTAAAGGGGTGAGGATATGAGGAGATTCAAGGAAAATCGTGCGAGGACGGTGTCAAGGCGATCGCCGTGGCGTTCGGACTTACTGTATACGATCGGAAAAAAGGTGTACAATATAACGGTGGGGTATACATGGTAAAATTCCAAGCCACACATAACCGTACACAAATCGATACACTGTTTACCACACCCATGCTTACCCAGAGAATCCGCAGTCTTAACAATCCGCTGGGCTCGCTAGCGGTTCCAACAAACGTTCTCTATCTCATTCACGCTCCGGACCACCATTCGAGGCTATTCCCCACTCCATCCTAAGCGCATCAACAATCCACTCCGTTCGCCATGAATGCGTCTCTTCAAAGACTCTCAACATCCGGATCACCTCCTGCCGCTCTGCGGGATTTGGCAGCAGAGGACCCCATATGAAAACCGTATGGCAGAGGACAATTAGCAACTGTACGTTCTGCATCGACGACTTGCACGCCGAGCATATAGCGCGTGCGTGCTGCAGGATCTTGCACTGAGAAGTACAAGTCAGTTTGACAAGAAGTGCGCTATTCAAGAGATGAGTGTGAAGGAGGGGGAACGTACGTCTGAGACGGAGAGCTTGTGAGGAACCCACCGGATGGGGAATCTCGAGTCTGGTTTGTATCGCAGAAGTAGGATGCATGAGAAGTGGTGGAAGACGTATGAAAGTACTTCCCAACACCAATCAGTGTCTTGCATGGTATAGAGGTAGGAGCAGCTCACCGTGCCAGTCCGCCGTAAACCAGATATCCGGAAACACATGCCCATCGTCCGCTGGTCCGCTTCCGATTGGATCGAACACATGCGGCCTGCTGTTCCGCCAGGCCTGATTCCTATCCCACAGCTCCTGCCACTGCGCCTCCTTCCTCACGGTCTCGCTCTGCGGGTATTGCGCTTTGAACCCGGAGAAGCAAAAGTTAGCCACACAAGCAGTGATCCACAGCATCTGATTCGCCCAGGCTGTCTCTATTCTTAACCACGCCAGCGAATGCGTGTCGCGCATGCAATCTGGCGTGGGAGAGAGCTGTAGTGAGAAGTCAATGTCGAGAGACTCCTGGTTGATGGTAGCGTTGTACAGACTCTGCCGTACGTAAAGCCAGAAGGCGGCGTCGCGCAGGGACGTCGCTGAGGGGTCAGCAAAGGGTGCGCTCATCGAGGCACGCAGGATGCTTGAAGTTCCTTTCAGGTGGTGTTTGTCGCGCGGACACGTACGGGATGGGGCTGGGAAAATGGTAAGCATGGGCATTCAACAACTACACATGGAGGAGGCGCACTGATTAGCTGGTCAGCAAAATGCAACAACAACACAGCCGCCAGTAACATCTCATCGTAGCTGGCAGGGCTCTCATTGAGACGGTTGATAAGCAGCGCGACGCAGCGCTCGTATGCCGCCTCAGCGACAACGTCTTCCCTGCGATGGCGCGCAGCGAAGCATAGCACGGCGTTCACGAGGATAGGACATGTTCTAGCCTTCTCTGACACAACTAGCGTGAATATACGCGCTGCGTTGGTGCAGTCTAGCCAGCGACCCAGGTGCCGTATGAAGTGGTGGAAGAGCTGCGCCTCATCGCGTGTGAGATTCATAGGCATATGTAGTGGCGAGTATTCTGTCGGGAGTTTCACCGTCGTAGACGCGGTACGCTCGTCCAGTGGCACTGGTGGTGATGGTGTCGATATCGGTAATATTCGAGCGCCGGACTGAGGTATGGTGAATCAAACGTGGAGTGAGCTATAGAATGCATAATTACAGTGACTGTTGTGTTCGAGTTGTATATCTATCAACCTGGTGAGAACAAGATGTAATGAGATCGTCACGGACAACTGTTCCGAACCAATCGCATCCGAGCTTTGCGAATGTTTATACAGAACCCACGAAGCAAGTTATCCACTTTGAAAATAACAAAAAAAGACGTTGTTAGCACAAAGTTAGTCATTCCACGGCACTCGCATGCCTCTAGACAACGTCAGCAGTGTCTTTGCGCAGCAAAGGCGCATGCGCAGTACTTCCGCAACATCTTTACTCGCCATCTCCATAAAGTAGTCCAACATTACCTTCCTCCCCATATGCATGCCCACTCTAAGTCAGCTAAAACTGCACAATGCCTGAGATTAGAGTCGGTAGTCAAAGCAGATGTGCCCAAGTCTTGTACCCTTAGAAGTACGCAAAAGACTACAATGCACTGTGCCTACAGTATACAACTGTCACGTATTTGCTAAATCTCCTCAACCTCCGTCAGGAAGGCAAACTGAGGGCAGCGCGCGTGAGCACATTCGCAAGACTAAGTAAATTGAGGCAGGTCAATTGGATAGAACAGTGTAGTCTCCAAATATATGGTAACGGATCTAAAAGTCGGTACGAACCTTGCTAAAGCTCGCGGTGTCAAGATCAGACGTATCAACAATCACATCAGATCTGGATCACATCCTTATCGATAGGTGATCAGACTTCTCTGCTGTATGTGCCCTCGTTCACAGACCACAGTATGGTCTGTTTGCCACCAATCACTAGATCAAGTATGCTTGATTTGATTGTTGACAAGTCTAGTCAAGATATGGAGTATTGCTAGTGTGGATATCAGAGGAAACGAGATGCACGGCAAGATGGGAAGTTGATAACGGAGGCTGTTGGAATTGCAGGCTTGCGGACAATGCCATGTATAAATAGCAGAGTGCGGGTCTTGTGCTTTAGGAAGCTCCAAAGGTGGACTTGGTACGCAGAGCACGATGGCTTCAAGCAACGGCGGCCCAGAACCGCCGTGGGATTGCAAGAAGCGTAGCAGAAGAATTTGTCTGCTTTCATGGTTTGTACAGCGGCTCTATTAGTCTAAGTGCGAAAGCCTCCAGAATGCTGTGTTGATTGCTGTGAACCTACCACGGTGTCTTGGGAGGGGTATGCTGTTAATAGATTACATGTGTGCGGACTCATTGACCAGTGCACTTATGCTTGCCCTGCTTGAAGACGTTTGCTGAGGATTGAAGACTCACAGTCGCCACTCAGTCTGCTGTGAGAATCTGGAGCATGTTGCAGACACCCTGCAACGACGGGGGACATCGGCTAGGATTTGGAAGAAGCTCGCGATCTTCAGTGCTGGCAGCCTTGTTGTATAGATCGCAGCATGCAACTAGGTCTGGACTGCGCAGTGTGAAGAGACCCCGTTTGCAGAATACAATGGTAAGTTGCCACTCATCCTGCTGCGCGAGTCTGGACAAAGATAGAAGCTGGCGCTCATCTATGCTGCGTGGGCGTGAAGATCGGAGCATAGCTGGGTGTGAGCATCTCTGCATAAGGAGACATCGCTGAATAACGAGGCTGTTACCGCCACTCACGCGCCACATACACACCACACAGCATTTGGCGACGAACGCAGTGTTTCCAGATGCAGGGGGCGGCCTCACGAACACGGAAGGTAGCGACTGACAACAGCCGCGGCGCGATTAGATACAAAGTACGAGAGTGCCGGCAATCGGAACCCCTGCATCGAAGCTGTGCCCAACATCGCAGTTGTACGCTCGCCACGTGGTTTCTGCCACACAGCACCGACTGGAGCGGTTGCGGCATCCAGAATCAAATGGGTGCGCTGTTCTTGATATCTTCGATGGTCGATCAGGAGAAAACTAGGGTGGAACGTTCGGCTGTCCTTGAAAAGCTCCAGCTGCTGCAGGTCATCACCGATGGCACGGCTCAGAGGCCCAATCGACGTGCGCTCGGTGTCGAGGTCCGAATATGCGTCAGGGTCTCCTCACACGGAGGGCATCAGACCGAAAGTGGAGTGTCCACCGCTGTCCCATCAGTCGAGTGCAGCAGGATCGAGGGTCAGCACACGAGCTTCCTCCAGCCACTGGGAGATGATGTTGCAAAGCTGAAGAGGGCAATGACATCAACTCTGCGTACGAGCCCTGGAGGACAGTTGGGCCCGGGTGTCGAATCCGTGTGTTCGATCTCGATCTGCAGGCCTCGACCGTTTGCACACAGCATCACCGGTTCGTGCCGCGGCGAAACGTCAAGCTCCTGTGCGCCTTGCGGTCTTGTACGCCCGTGGAAACGTCTGGAGCCGGGGCTGACAGTTTCCATCTGAACGGCGCTTGTCCAGAATGCCAGGGCACTGTGGCAGCGGCGCAGGGACACGAATGCCTGCCACAGCAGATCAGTTCGAGCCCTGACGGCTGGCGGGTGCAGCTGGAGGGCTCCTCGGGCGGTTGATGTCTCGCAGACTAGGGATCGATGCGTGAGAGTTCAATCGGGGGGTGCAGGCCAGAACATTTGCGATGGTTGCCGCATCGGGCGATTTCCTGTGTTTGAGAAGCGGCTCAATCGTCGATGCAGGCGAGGCTAGCCGATCCCCAGGCATGTTCTTGGCGAGGGCTGCAGGGGTGTTCCGATCTCACTGCCAGCATCCATCAACCTCAAGATCGTGCTGACTATGGCGAACTACTCGCGATGATGCCCCATATGGTTGCCGCTCAGGCGTCGTTTCGGCTGTCTTCTCCGAATAACTATACACTCGACGCTTTCCCACACGCCCGCCTGCATTCCGCACTCAGCACCGCACCCGCCGAAACCGACTGCGCAAACTTCTCTCCCGCGGACCTGAACACATACGATCGTGACCGAGCCAGCACCTATGGACGTTGCGCACACCCTGCACTCAGAGCCCACGTCCCGCCCCAGCAGCCGCAGAGCTCCGCGACATGAACGAGCGCCCGGGCACCGTTCCTGGTCCTGCGCCCGCAACACATCCCCGCCGTCCGCCAGCACACAAGTCTGTCTCACTGCGACACAGCCCGTCCGCCAAACCCCGGCGTGCTGCCTCCAACGTCGCTGTTGGCCGCCAGTCGACCACGCTGAGCACCTCGCCCAATGCCCCCGCCAGCGACAAGGCCAACCCGCCCTCGAGCATTTCGCCGCGCCTGCAGCTGAACAACCACAGCTCGGGAGAGAGCAGCGACGCCGCAGGTTGGTTTGAGAGGACCAACAACGATGCGAGCCACGACGCTTCCTTTTTCGACAACGACCCGCCCTTCCTGCTCCACAACTCGTCCTCCTCTGAGCGCACGCCACCAGACGGCCAGGGCTTGGGCATGCCTTCGCTGCCGTACCGTTCCAACCTGATGAACCTCGGCACCGATGGCAGCAGCACCGAGGACTTCCGCGGTGTTATCGACGATCTCACTATTGCAAACAAGAAGCTAAAGCAAAGGCTGAGGAAATACGAGAAGGTGTACGACGCCCACCTGCAAGAGGAGAAGCTGTTCGAGGTACGCTTCCACGGCCTGCCAGACCACAAGAAGAAGGAACTCGAGGAGACACTACGCAAGTTTGCTGCCAGCCTCGACGACTGCAGCGAACGTCCAGACATCTCGTATGCTCCCGCGCTGAACAAGGAGGTCACTGCCTCCTCGACATCTCGTTTCGCCGAATCTGGTTACGTCTCCATGTCTGCCTCTGGTCAGAACTCATCGACCCCGTCCTACGGCGCCTCAAACCAGAACACCGACAATCGAAGGATGACCAAGTCGGCGTACAACCGTCAACAGCAGAGCATCCACTCTTACCTCCACGACATCCCTCAAGGCCTGCTGCCTCGGGAGAATGCGCCAATGTCGGACAAGGCGAGAAAGAAGATGGTGGTGCGACGCTTGGAGCAGATCTTCGCCGGCAAACGCTCAGCGGCTGGAAGTCACCCCCAACCCATGCAGCAAGAGGAGGTTGCCCAGTCTGCAGCTACTGCCGACCGACATGAGAGGGAAGCAACTGGTCGAGGTCTCCGACCGGAGGGGCAGCGTACAGCTCTCATCATGCCCGAAGTAGCTGATACTGAAGGAGAAGAAGGCGGGTCTACCTTGCACATACCCGCACAGCAGCGCGTGAACGAGCAAGACTTTGCAGCTTCCGGTTCCGGCTCTCCTGATCAACGACCTACACGACCACTGGATTTGGACCCCTTCCGTGCTCAGGTCCCTGTTGCGAACATGGAATACTTCCGACATCTTGGTTTCTCGCCACCAGACATGACCACCAGTACAGAATCGCAAGAAGGACATGGCTGGATTTACCTCAACCTCCTCATCAACATGGCTCAGCTGCATACCCTCAATGTCACGCCTGACAACGTGAAGGATGCCCTCGCTGAGTACAGCACCAAGCTGGAATTGTCAAGCGATGGGCGCAAGATTCGATGGAAGGGAGGACATGACTTCAGTAAGAACAGCAGTGATGGTTCGCCCGAACAACTTGGTCTCAACTCGCCGTATCAGGCAGTGGCTGCGCAAAAGTCGCCCCAGAAGAGCTCCAAGACTGGTAACAGCACGAGTAATGAGAGCCGGTATGGAGGTTCAGAGCATCGCAGCCGTAAGGTCGCTCCTATCAGACAAGAGACGGAGACGAACAAATTCGCGTACAAGCCATTGTTCTACCGCAGAGAGAGCTCAGAAGAAGATTTGGCTTTCTACGATCCAACCGAGTCTACGAGCTCCCTTTTCCAGCCTCAGCAGCGCGGCGACTCCTCGGGATTGGGTAGTTCTGCCATGCAGAGCAACATGTCAGGCAAGAGGCGTGATGACGGACCAATGATCTTTTACAACAAAGCCAACTTCTGCACCGACCTTACGGGTGACCGAGCGGGAGCTTCCCTGACTCTGCCGGAGAACTATGAGACCATCACAAACCATCCTCTTGGTGCACAGCTCAACACAGAAACCAGCCACGGATCCGAGTTCTGGGAGCCCAGGGGTCCACTGAAAGACACGGCCATGGACGTAGACTCGAAGAACGGTACTCGAACGCCATCTATTCTCGAAACTCTTGGGTTCTCTCCTGCAGGTCTACAGAACCATACTGGTACCGAAAGCCCAGACGTCATGGACTTCGAGGCTTCGGGTTTGGGAGGTGTACAGCCGGATGACAACTTTTCCATCCGCGTACAACGTTCGCAGATCACAGCAGCACTCACGGAGATCCAAGCCACCCGCAGGTCAAGCTTGTACCCTTCGAAGATCCAAGCAATCTTGGGTGAGGAAGCGACGTCTCTAGATGCAAGGCGGCGTTCGACAACCCCCAAGAACACGATCAAGGAGGAGGTGGTTTCTGCGGTTCGTCAAGATATGCCGAGCTCCGTCCTGCCACCTCCATCCTTCTTCCCGTTCGACTCCGACTCTTCTGGTGAGGTTTCGGATGACGAAGAATCATCAGATGGCGGCTCTGATACCGGAGATGGTCCATCCACTGCTTTGCAGCTGCTCAACATTGCTCCTCCTGGTGCCAGAGTCGGCAGCGACCAGACCAAAGTCTCCTCAGAGGAGTCTGAATACTCCGAGGACGACGACGACGATGATGATGATGATGATGATGATGATGATGATGATGACAGCATCGATCTTCTGGCCACTGCTCGTCAACAAGATCCGGACACAGTGCGCGCATTCGAGCGCGAGTACGACGCTGCGGTTGCTGCAGACCGTGTAGCAGAGGAGGTTGTTGCTGGTAGCTCAGCAGCTACTGCAGGCGGTGGTAGTGGCTTTAACAGTCCTGCAAGCAAAGCCGGCGGCCTTGCCAGACAGGGAAGCAGTCGCAAGAGCACTCGTAACGCTCAAAGCACAAACAGCGAGGCAAGTCTCTCGCCGCGGGGCAAGAACTTGAAGCGCGCAAGGACCAGCGAGTCCATTACTACAGTAAGAAAGGATAGTCCCAAGGCACCAAAGAGTCAAAGGACTGAGTAGATTAGCCTTTTAGGGCTTTGTTGTATTGCATGGAAGCGTTCTTCGATGGTTTATTAGCATTGAACGGCGTTGGATTGGACGCAGATACCCCCCTGTTTTGTATAAGCAAGAGTCCAATAATTGAATAAAGCTATTACCAGGACATTGTTCTCGAAAATGATTCGTGAAGTTCTGTTCCGTGGGTTGAACGAGCCCTTCTCAAATCAGAGCCGCGGCTGACATATCGGCACGTGACTGCGCTAGAACTGAACCGTGGTTCCCTGCAGGCGGCCCGCTTGTCTTCACAGCCCCGGTGATTCCTTCTCTCCACCACTCCCTCACCCCGACACCCCACGCAAACACACACAACCTCGCCACAACTACCAGATACACCTCCACCCTCGCTTGTTCACCGCGACGTATACACAGCCGACAGCATGTCGTCGTCGGTGTTCTACAAGTTCAAGAACTCCAAGGAGCCGGAGCGCTATGCCTTCGACGGCAATGAGATCTCCGTGTTCGAGCTGAAGCGTGCGATCATCGAAGCCTCTGGCATGGCCAAGAGTACCGATCTCAATCTCCACATCTACCACGAAGACGAACCCAGCAAAGAGTATGACGACGACACAACAACGATACCGCGCACAAGCACCGTTATCGCCGTACGGCGGCCGGCAGCTCGTGGGTTCAGCAAGATCGCACGCTACGTCTCGGGCAAGCCCCCAGTACGTGCCATCAAGAAGGACGCAGCCCCGGTCGTGGCACCTCGTCCTAGTGGCGCAACCGAAACAGATGCGGAAGCCGCCTTCTTGGCAGAGTCTGCACAGGTCTGGGACGCACAGAAGGAATCGCTGTCACACGCAAAACCGGTCTACAACAAGAAGAAGCCCGTCAACGTCCCCAACTACGACCCACCGTCTGGCTACGTTTGTCGGCGGTGTGGTGTGAAGGGGCACTGGATCCAACAGTGTCCCGAGAACGACAACCCCGACTTCAAGCCAGTGCACTGCCCGAAGCGCACGACCGGAATCCCCAAATCTTTCCTCAAGGTCGTCGACAAGTCTGAGGTGGATGAAGACGCCAAGGGTGTGATGCTGAACGCCGATGGAGAGTATGTACAGGTCATGACGGACACAAAGACCTGGGAGAAGTTCCAAGAGAAGACACAAGCCACAAAGGCGCAGGCCGCCAACGCAGATGCAGCAAGCAAGGAGGTTCGCGAGCGTGGCCTTGAGTGCCCACTCGACAACAGGATGTTTGTGCAGCCCGTTAAGACAGCGTGCTGTGAGAGGACCTACTGCAACGATTGTATTGAGTCATCGCTAGCAGACAATGATCTTATTTGCCCCAATTGCGGAGAGGAGACGCTGATCGAATTCACACCTGACAAGGAAATGGAGGCCCGCATTCGCGACTTCGAGGCCGAAAAGGCAAAGGAAAAGGCAGAGGCGAAGGCGGAGAAGGAAGCAGCGGCAAAGCAGGAATTGGAGGCAGCAGAAGCAGCAGCAGCAAAAGCAGCAACTGAATCGGAAAATGCGAGTGCAAGCAATGTACCACACAATGAAACACCTGTTGATCCCTCCTCTGAGAAATCAAAGTCAGAGGAACCAACGTCTGATTCTGAGTCGAAAAAACGAAAGTCTCCTCCAACAGAGATCCAGCCACCAACCGCACCCAAGGCGATGCGTCAGCAACAGCAACCACCCCAGAACACTATGGAACAGGACTTCATCGCGCAGATGGAGGCGCTGAAGAACATGCCCATGAACATGCAGTCCATGCCGAACATGAACATGAACATGATGGGTAATAACGGCATGATGATGCCGGGCATGACCATGCCGTTCAACCCTGGCATGCAGAATATGATGCCTGGTATGATGAACAACAACATGATGCCGGGCATGATGGGCATGAACATGCAGAATGGTTTTAATCCTAACTTGCCTAACATGCAGATGATGGGCAACGGCAATATGAATGGAGGAGGGTTCGGGTTTAATGGTCAGAATGGAAATGGGCAGTTCAACGATGCGTATGATCGCCAGCCGGTCAATCCAAACAGGCAGAGGGGGAGGAAGCCTAGGGCGCCGGATTACAGGTATCTCTGAGCCTGAGACTGGACGGAGATGGGAGGTGGATTTGGTTTCATGAGGCTGAGAAGGCGTTCTTCTTTCATGTATTATCCTTTTAACGCATGTGGCTGGGTGGTCACTTTGGGTGGAGTTCTGTCCTTTATGGGGGTTTGAAGCACGGTATGTGCGCGCTTCGCGGCGTCGAAGTTGAAATCAATGAAACTATCAAATTCATTTCGAAACTCCTGAGTGTGGGTGACATAGGGCACGTTCATCCATACAGCGACCACAAACCATGCATCCTGACAGTATCCATGGTTGACAGATACACTCAGGAGACGTCCTGCATGAGTCGACAGAATCATCAACAACATTAGCACCGAGTAAGTGAGTTACACAGAACGTCGTAGTACCAGGATCACGTGGTCGCACAAAGCTACAAGCGAAATGCCATTCTTTCCTCTTCAGTCGACCTCCTCTCCTCTCTGATAACCTTCAACAACAGCCACCATGTCTAGATTACAACACGCACGGCCCTTGAGTCTCTCACTGCATGACTGTCTCAGTGGCTGCGATATACTCTTTCGACTTGGCTCACCTCACGAGCTTGGTTCGACAAATCGTGAGCATCCAGCAGAGCATGCGCCAGCCTCTGCATGATACTCACATACCACTTACTGTATTATCTCCAGCCGATTATGTCGTCGACATCCCAGCCTCAAAATCATAAGGCCACGTTGTCTCGTCCGTCAAGTTGAGCCGACTGATGTTGAAATCATCACGACCCAGGATAAGCCTTCAGCCTGCTGACATTCAGCTAGACCTCAAGGATGGTAATGGCTTCGACACTTTCCACTCCTGTAACATCACACGACGCTTTGTTTACACCCTTACATGGCTGGCGCGCAGACGGCAGATGAAGAGGTGCCGACTTCAAAATGCCATGAGACACAGGCTGTGGCGCTCGGCTTGGATCAGTCCAGCTAGCTTGTTGCGGTTTTTTCTGAGTCTTGTTGTAAGGTCATTGCTTCTGCACAGGCTCACCTGTCAACCGTTTTCCTTTTCCAAGCCTTCAGCTCCGTCATCGTTTCCACAAGGGATCCCTGTGTTGAACTCCGGTCCATCAACTGAAGGCCTCCGGACCTTGCTTTCCAACAATCCTATCTCGACTTTCACTCAACTCGTCCTCATACTTGGCATCTCTCGCATTGTTATGGTAACACCACCTGCACGACGCGCGTGGTTCTGAAACATGGGGTCTTCGGCGCGAACCGACAGAAATGGTGCCTGAATGCAGGGGTTGATTGGCTGCGTGTTCGAAATGACCTCAACGCCACCACCATTCATTTAACACTCGCAATGCCGATCCCGCAACCGGTTTACACCCCATCGCGTTCGTGACATCAGCTGCACTTCACGAAAGTAGCATTTATGAAGTTGGAGCTTGGGGAGGTGTCCGGTAATTGATATAAAATGTCCGTTAAGAAGTCGTCATGGTTTCTTATCCACTGTCCTTGATTCTGTCCGTCTTACTGTCATATTGCACATACTAGCATCGCACTGTTTCATAGCCTCATCTTTTTCTGGCATTATGAAGTCTTTAAAGAGAGCGTTCGCCAAGCTCAGGGCGAAGTCAACCAAGAAGACAACTACTCAGACACCCGCAATGGCATCGACAGCTTATGCACCTCCAGCTCCCGCAGCAGTAGAACGGAAGCAGCAACAGGTTTTGGCAGCCGATACTAGTGGCACATTGCAGCTCGCTCTCCAGAACAGGACTAACTCGAGCAACGTGTTTGCTTACATCACTGGGCTATCCATTGTCGACGGGAACAGGCCCATCTTCATTCAGGCCGACGGCAGGACCGTCTATTCCCCTCCATCACCTGAACATCCACTAGCCAACGTCGCAGCAGACGTTGCTATCCCCCTCGGCGCTCCAGGCAATACCGTGACCGCAACAATCCCCAAGATAGCCGGAGGTCGTATCTGGTTTGTAATCGACGCACGCCTAACATTCTTCGTAAACCCCGGCCCCAACATCGTCAATCCCAGCGTCACGAACCCATCTGATCCCAACTACAACCTGAACTGGACCTTTGCCGAGTTCACATACAACGACCAGCAACTCTTCGCAAATATCTCCTACGTCGACTTCATCAGCATCCCCGTTGCCCTCTCCCTTACTACAGCCTCCAGCGGCACCCTCAGCGTCCCAGGCATGGGCACTGACGGCTTCCAGCGCGTGGTCGATGAGATGCGCGCACAGACGCAGCGTGACGGGAAGCCGTGGGATCAGCTGATCTTCAGCATCAACGGGGTGCCGCTGCGCGTGCTCAATCCGACAAATCTGCTGGCCGAGAACGGGAACGCGTGGAGTAACTACTGGGACGGCTATGTGAGCGCGGTGTGGGAGAAGTACCGCAACGAAGACCTGACTATCAACACCCAAGCGGCCGCGGGTAATATCACGGGACGGGTGGTGGGGAATGAATTGCAACTCGGCGCCGCTGGCTCCTTTTCGCCGCCCAGCTCAGCAGATATCTTCACATGCTCCACCGGCCCATTCCAGACAGGTCAGAATCTGGCGCGCGACGGCGTTATTCCACGATTGGCGGCCGCATTCAACAGGTCTCAGTTGCTAAATACGCCGGGCAACCAATTCCCGAATGGTGGGAATCCGAGCGTGTACTACCAAGACGTGACGACGAATCATTATAGTCGGGCGGTGCATGCGGTGCAGAGAGATGGGAGGGGGTATGCATTTCCTTACGATGATGTTGTGCCGGATGGTGGACAAGACGTTGCGGGGACGCTGCATGCGGAGGATCCGCAGGTTTTCACTATTGCGGTTGGAGGGAACTAGCTGAGAGGTGAGTGGGAGTGGGGAAGTCGAGCATATGTACCCCTTCTAGTTTTCTTTTTTTGGCAGACGAAAGGGCAAATTGCACGCGGAGGTGTACATAGATCTCATCTAATATAATGGACCATTGCATTCTTGATTAGCCACTACAGCCATCTTCCTTGACGCCCTTGATGTCTTTCAGCTCAGTAGCACCGCCCCCTAGAGCACTGCTGCCCCGTACACCGTCCTCGGAATTCATACCAGCCATCGCCGTCTTTGCATTCGAAATAACTCTCCTTGCAGTTCCTGAGGCATTCGCATCCGGTGTAGTTGCAGAGTTCGCAGCCACTGGCGTGTGTGTCGCGGCAGTATTGCAGCGTGAGTTGGTAGAGATCGTATCCTGGCGGCTTTCGTCAGCGCCAAATCGACTATTCTTGTAGCGAAGGGGGGGGGGGGAAGAGTTGTCCTCTTGAGACGGAAGAAGGGGATTAGGATGGGGTGAGGTGGAGAATAGGCATGATTTACCCATGTTTGCGATTTCGGAAAAACAGTATATACCGCCTTTCCAGCACTTCTCGTATTGGACTGTCATGTTTGAAGGTTCCAAGGCAAGCTGGTCCATCGAAGGTGCCGAATCATGAGTAGGCGCGGCGAGACTCGTTGAGAGAACTGCCAGGAAGGCAAAGGGCTTCAATGATGTAGAGAAGCGCATGGTGAGGAACCCCCCAATGCTCGCTGGACTAAACTGATGTTGATGAAGTGCTGGAGCGAGGCAGCCCGGCGATCGTCCACGTTTATATGTATCTCACCTAACCGGGACTTGGAATCCAACGAGCACTCTGGAATAAGTCAGCCTTGTGCGGACACATGCACTATCGGGCATGCAACCACCCGTTGTCAGGTTCTGATGCGGCAATCGCACGAATCCACGGCGGCCTGTACCCTCGCTGAACGCGGTTGCACTGAAGTGTCAAACACGTCAGGTACGACGAGGCGAACTGATGTTGAACAAACATTGTAGACGCGCATGATCTAAAGGACAGTGATCAGTGAGAAAGCATGTCCAACCATGGAGGTATGTGGGGTCGAGAAGTGACTGGTGTTGTTTCCAGTGTTCTGCCAGTTAATTGAATAGGGTCCCTGGCGGTCGTACCAAGTTCAGTATTGAGGTTGTTCGCAGCCTGTACGCTATCATTCTCGACTTAATGACTATCAGAGAATGCAGGTTGGCGTGCCTTTGAGCCAGTGACATCTTCGTAGAACTAAAGTGTGTTCAGTGAAACGATGCGTGGCGCCCTGCACAATAGATGCTGATGCACGAGTCGTTGTGCTGGCCGTGCTGCACGTGTTGTGTTCTCTAGTAGGCAACTGCCTCGGGGGGCTAGAGCTGAATTTGTTTCTGCGAATGAGTGGTGACTGCAAGTCAGGCAGGCAGGTGCAATAGATGGACCGCAATCGTGGAAACGACATGTACGTGGGAAAGTACACCTGGCGGCTGACCAGGAAGTAATGACTAGATAGACTGGTTCCACAGGAGTAAATGCCTTGCTTGATAGGAATAAAACTAGCTAAGACATATCTCTCTTTCCATCTCTTATCATCGGGGATATCTCAAACGAACGGTGCGAAGACTTGTGAAGAAAATAAACCGCGTGACTTCGTACAACACCACCGAACACCAATAAACACCTCTTGTATGCCAATGCAGGCCCCCCAAGTGCACATGCACAACATTTGCGAAGTAAGCAAACCATGATCCCCTCATCACCCCCATCCCATCTAGACCATCTTGTCATGATATTGAAATTCCGGAGCGCCTCTTGGAGCACAATAACCGCGTGCTCATACCAGCACCCACTCGCTCCCCCTCTTGATGAACTTATCAAGCATCATCGTAACATCCGTCAGCACAAAGCGACAAATGTAAAACCCGAAGAACTCAGCGGCGTGGCGTGAAGACAGCTCAAGCCCGACGTGTGTGAGCGACGAGTGCTTGAGGCCGGGGTCTTCGACTTGGCGGGCGATTTGGTCTGTCCCATCATATTAGTTGATGTTCAGTAGTTTAAGTGAGGCGGTGAAAGGGGAGACTTACCGAGAACTTGAGCCGAATCGAACAACCGCGCCAAACTGCTCATGTAGCCCGAGTTCGGGCCCTCGAATGTCAGGCCCGACGTGTCTCGCTTCACGAAACGGATGGATGGCAGGCTGGTCATGGGCAGCGTCGTCATGTTCAATGAGTCCTTTGGAACATCACCGTTGCTGATCTTCGGACCGGCCATACCAGCCAGGTTCACGCCTGAGTTCTTGCTCCTCAGCTTGCGCCACGAAGTGAGGTAGCTCTTTCCCTGCGCCACAGCACGGCTCGTGCTGTTATCCTGCGAGCTGTGCATATTCCTCATACCCTCTCCGCCAGCCGTGCCGTCACCGACAGAAGTCGCATCTTTGAAAAGCGTCGACACGCTCTGCACGCCGACCTCGTTTCCAAGCTTCTTCGCAAGCTGTGCTTGGACCTGGTCAAGCACGACTTCAAAAGCTTGCATCTCCTCGAGAACAGCATCTGCGTCGAGTGTGTCCATGGACGCCATTTTCTGCAGCGCTGCGGTGAGGAGATCGCAGTTGGCGATCTTGTCTTCGACATTCTTGATCTTGACGCCCTTCACCCGCCAGATATCGCGCGGGACGAAGAGTTTGGTCGACAAATATCCGCCACGAGGATGCACAATAGTCTGGTAGAAGCAACGCATCAACCAAAACGGTCGTAGGAGGTACGTATCCGGGCATGGCTCTAAGGGTATCGGGGCATTTGCTACGGCTGGGCTTGGTGAGCCTGGCGAGAACGGCGAATGGATGTCGCTCTCGAACAGATGCATTCCTCCACTTGGCAGTCCATCGACGTTGAACGCGGGAAGACTGGGTGTAGGAAGTGGCGCTATGTTTGCGATACTCGGCTTGCGACCCGTGAGAGAAAACGTCGTACTTAGTGGTGTGCCGATTGAGGCATCCGAGCCGTCTGGGCTTGATATGGAGAGCGTTCTCTGCTTCAAACTCAATGACGATTTGTTCTTCCTGATGCCGAGGGCTGATGGCTTGGACTTTGGTGAGCCCGGTGCAAGACCCGATTCGTTCGAGATGGCATGGCTCAAGGCGGGCGTAGCAGGCGATATTGTTGCAGTCGTGTCAGCCGGACTATGAAGTGCAGGCAGTGGTGATGGAGCAGCAAGGCCTGTCTGTTGAGGCACTTGTGGCAGAGCTGGTGTTTTGAAAGTCAGATCTAGACTGGGTTGCGTGCTGCTGAACAGCATTGCAGCTGCAGACTTGGGCATCAGCGGGGCATCGAGGGGTGAGTTCTTCGCGGGCACCGAAGGTTTCTCCGTATGCGGCGGCGCAGCTACCGTCGGTAGGGATGTTTCGATTTTCAACGTTTTAGCGTTCTGTCCAGATAATCTCCGACTCCTCACAGAAGCAGCCTCTTTGGTTGCGGTAGTGGGTCGTGGCGTGGCCTCTGGATCGATGGGTTGTGCAGGTTGAAGTTCTGGGACCGAAGGTAGTGCACCTGGTGGAGGTGGAGGTGGAAGAGCTGGCAATGCACCAGAAGGAGCAGGCACCGGGGGAGGCGAGTGTAACGGCAGTGGTTTGGAGGCTGGCGGCTGCATGACCTCTGCCACTGTTGAGAGTGAAGTTCCTCCGGTAGTCCTGTGCGAGGACACTGAGCTGTTATAAGCGGAAAAGCCACTTGAGTCTGACTGCCGTGGCAACGAAGACTTCGTCTGTAGATCGAAATCGAACCCATCAAGCATGTACTCTCTGGTCATCTCGTCCAGCAGACGCTCCTCCTCTTCAGCCTCGTCATTGAGCATCAGCTCAGCGCTCTCCCGAACATGAGGTAATGTCTCATTCTGAAGCTGAGTCTCTTTGACTCGATATTTGGCTGCCGCAATAGCTTCTTCCCGCTCGGCTTCCCGTACCCTCTCCTTCGCCAGCTCAGTACTCCTCATTCTCGTCGAACCAAGTTCGTCCGGTGCTATACTCTCATCGTCAAACGGTTCGAAACCATCATAGTAGGCAGCCTCGACTGCGGCATCGAGGGCAGCATCGAACTCGGCTTCCGTCGCCCCGCTTGCATTCCTAATGTGCTTTCGACCGACTCCACCAGGGGACAGCGAGTGTACGGAAGACGAGCACGAAGATCCTCCAGACTCATCGATGGTGTCCAGCCACGAAGTCGACTCATTACTATGAGCGCGCTGGTGTCTGGACTGTGCTGGTTGCTGTGGTTGGAGTAACTTCTGCGACTCGAGCGGCTCTTTCGGCAATGTGGCGCTGAACAAAGGTGACTTGGACCGCTTGGGAGATAAAGGTGGAGGCATGTACGACCGGTCCATGGGTGATTCAAGCGGTAGGGTGGATCCTGCTAACCGCCCGGGCGGCGGCTGTAGGTGGAATTGCGAAGTCTGCATGTTTCTCTGGACATCACGAATAGCTGTGCTAATTACGGACTCGCGTTGACCTGCGAACTCGGGTTTTCGAAGGGGTAATTGGTAGGAAGAAGAAGGGGGCGGTGTTGGGTCTTTGAGGGGCAGATGTTCTGCAGAGCGGTCGTTGACGATTCTTGTCACGGTCGCTGTCTGGATCACGGCAGATTCGTCCTCGTCGTCCTCGTCATCCTCAAGCAGCATTGAGCGCTGCTCGTCGAGCGATTCACCGCTCATCGGCCGCGTGGGCAATGATTTTTCAGTACCGTTTGTATACCCTGGGTCTAGTCGACGGAGCTCCTCGATGCGGTTGGTGTATGTCACGCGCTGGTGGTGTTAGCATATAGAGCCAGCCTCCATTTAGGCGAGACCATCTCAAGCTACTCACAATCGCGTCCAGTTTCCGTCTATCCTCGTCCTGCGAGCTGCGGATCATGACCTGCTGGAGGAGCCTGCATGCGTCCTCGTACGCCTCCATGGCGCCCTCGAAGTTCTGCGCATTGTCGAGCAAGACTGCAGTGTTGGCCTTCTGCAACGCCCTGGATAGCATGGTCTTCTTGTCCTTCTCCCTGCGCTCTCGCGTGCGGGGAGGTGTGTCGTGGTGTGAATCGTCGAACCTCGAGCTGGTGCTCTCGCTCCTGTTGTGGTCCCTGCTTGTGCTCCTGTAGTGGCCCCTACTTTCGCTCCTGCTGTACGTGTCCCTGCTCTCGCTCCTCTGGTGGTCCCTCGAGGCAGATCGGCGGTGTCCCGCACTCGGCGCGCGAGTTTGGACAGTGTCTCGCGTTGATGCAGCGGGGGGTCGGCTTGCAGAGGGGGCTCGTGTAGCGCCAGCGCCGGGGTTGTGCCTTGCGTCCGGCTCCCCAACACCAAGAATGGCGGGCGAGCCCAGGGGCGAGCGTCCAAGGGCCCTGTCGACCTTGCTGCGCGACGGCGGCCGCTGGGCAGCCACAGTCAGGGGCGTCCGGGGCGTCCGGGGCTTCGAGTTGAAGTAGTCGGTGGACTGGACGGAACTGAAGACGCTGGGCGTGAACAAGCCCGCGGTGGAGGGCGAGGGTGCAGTCGATGCGCTGCTGGCCGAATTCGGGTCGTAGACGGTGGCGGACAGGAGCATGGGCGGCAGCGAGGGCAATTGTGGGGGTGGCGCGTTGATGTTGCCATGGAGTGCGGCGAGGGGCCCCGTGCTGCTTGAGCGAGAGGTGCTAAGCTTGCGCGCGGGGGACGCTGTCGTTGCTGTTGACTGCGACCAGCGGTTCACATTGGCGACGTCGTGGTGGGCGGCACTCGAGCGGCGTTGCGGGCGCTGTGAGGCTGTGGAGGAGGACGCGGCGTCGTGGTGGTGGTGGTGGTGGTGGTGGTGGTCTGTAGCGGTGTGGGGGTTCTCCGCGCTGGCATCAACACTGGCGTCGCCCTGCCTCAGCGAGAGCGAGGCCGACCGCTTGACGGTGACGACGGACGACGAGCTGATGGAGCCGGCTCGCGATTGACGGCGAAGGTCGGAGGTCCCCGCGGAGTTGCTGGGCGTGGGCTCTGCAGCGGCGGGCCTGGGTGCGCTCATGCTGGTCGCGGTGAGGCTGCTCAAGTGTCTCAGGCCAAGACGTGAGTAATGCACAGCATCGCGGCCTCGGTGCAGGAACGCGCTGGGCTGCGGCGACGTGGTACAGGCGCTGCGGGTGTTCGATGGGGCGGCCGTCCGTCTGCGGCTGCAATGCTCCCCTCAATGCTGGGACAGAGGAGACGAGGAGCACCGTGTATATGGGGAGGCTGCCAAGCTCCGTCTCGAGACAGTGCCCACAGGAGTTCGCAGCCAGGGGGGGCCCTTCTCAAACAAGAGCAGACTAGACGCACGCCATCGAGCCACCAGACCCCCTGTCGCTGTGGAGCTGCTCGCGATTGTCAAGAGAAGATCCGTACACGACACTCTCTATCTATGTGTCTATCCTTTTTGTGCTGCACAGAAGCCATTGATACTGGCCGCCTTGCTGCATGGAAGCATGCAGCTGTCCCTGACTGAAAGCTCGGATGTCCCTTTCCCCGCCTGCCGAGCGGCCCACGGCTGTCGACCTGCATGTCAGGGTCCAGCGCCATGCAGAAGACCAGAGTCCTGCGGCAAAGTCAAACACACACCTCTTGAATCCTATCTCAGGAGACCTCCTGCACATCCCAATCTGGCTGCCCAGGCTAAAACAGCTGCTACCGTACCTTCACTCACCCTCTAGCGTCGACCCAGCGACACGGTCGTTCTCTCGCCTGCCACTGACATGGCATCTTGGCACGGCTACCTGTTCCGATCGTGGCTTTTCTTTTAGCACTGCTTCTGGCGCATCTACGAAAACGTAGCGCAGAAGCAACGCCAGCACAGACGCAAACGAGAACTCGTGATGGTGGTCTCAATTATCTTCATCATTCGTGTTGATTCTTGACGCTGTCGACGGCGCGCGTTCTACACTTCGTAGTTCTCGTGCTGACCATGTTGTTCAGGCTGCTACAGCTGCAGCTCTGGTCTCACAAATCAACCATGATGTCTTCCTCTTCGATCCCATCGTCCCATGCGGTGTCCATCGCGTCGCCTGATGCACCCTGCCTCTTCTGCTGCCGCTTCAGGTTCTCGATGAACTCCTTGGTCAACGTCAACCGGTAGTCGGCATCCTTAACCTGATCAGCGAGTGCATTTGTTCGCAGCGTCTGCTCGAACAACGCCTGCTGCTGCTGCTTCTCCGACTTGGCGAGTGGCCCTTGTGTGGGGTCGAGGTAGAACCGCAGCACAATCCCTGCCTCGGGTTTATCTGTTTGCTCCAGCCGCGCGTTTAGGTACCCCTCCTCGATGAGCGTTTCGAGATACTGTGCGGTCTCGTCGGCGCTACCACCCACGTTTCTGGCAATGTTTGATACGGGGATTGCCGAGAACGTCCGTGACAGTCGCGAGACGTATGCCCTCATCTGGCTGTCCAGCACTGCTTTGACGAGACCGGTGTTGCCATCCTGGTGGTGTTATCAGCTTTTGTGCGAACAGTCCATGGCACACACGCTTACCTCTGCCCATGTCTGAGCACCCGCATTGATCTGTGCCTTCAGCTTTGGCATGTTGCTAAGGTGTGTGTACGCCTCTGCCACAGCCTCGTACGCCTTGGAGGCAGACCTGACTTGCTTGATCGCTGTTGCGTTGGCCGACCGCGGGATATTCTTAGCTTCCCCAGGCACCAGACAGCTCAGCAGCACCCATTTCTTGTAAGCCTCAAGCATCAGACCGTTGGCTACGTTAGCAGCCGGCATGACCAAAACGTGCTCTAGAAAGTGTCGTGCCTTGGTGAACTGTCGTAGACCGAGATATGCCATAGCTCCGAGGACGTAGTACTCCTGCACGTCTATGATTGTGACCTTGTCTGAATGTCCTGAGAGGCGGTGGATGTACTCTCCACTGCGCGCAACGTCTGCACATGGTACTGAGTACTCAAACCCTTCGCGAACGACAGTGGGGATATGTGAGGGTAGACTGTGGATGTAGTTGTCGAGAATGGGCTCGGCGGCGGCGTATGATCGGGTCTCGAGGCAGAGCCGCATGAAGTCGACGTGTGTGGAGGTGAAGGTGCCTGTCGTAGGGTCGAGGCGGATCATTGCTGATCGTATGGGTGCAATAGCCAGGCCGGGCTGCAACAAAAGTAAGTCTTATGCCTAATGTAAACTGGTGGCGTGCATTGACGTACTGATCCAGCGTTATGCGCAAGCGGTTCAACGTAATCAACCAGCTTCTTCCACTCCTGTCCAGCATACCGCATCTGTACTGGATCGAAGGTCTCCAAGAATAACACGAGCTTGTTCCATAACGCCCCCCCGGGCTGTGCTGAATCTGGCAAGGACTTCTTGTTGACGGCTGCGGCGATGCGGTGGCGGAGGGTGAAGGCGTAGGCTATTGAGTTGACTGCGGGGTTGAGAATCTAATTCTTGTCAGCCTGATCCAGAGCTACTTGGAGGCGTCGCTTACCTCCAGCACATCTTGTGGTGTATCTGCTTCCTTCAGCCAATGTGCTGCTGAGACGTTGTCGAGCTGCTTGACGAATTGCCGAGCTGCTTGATCGTACTTCTGACGCGACTTCAGCTCCTCACCCTCGGGCTGGAACTGCAGTAGCAATGTGGGAAGTTCGACTGTCATAATGCCATGTTTGTGGTCGTCTATCATGGTAAAGGCGGCGGTGTTGTGGGGGAGATGGCGATGTGGGGTGTTTGCCGCCTATTGTTGCTGTGCGCCGTCTTGTTGGATCGTAGAAAGAAAGTGCAGGGAGGGGGCTGTCAGAGGCCTTAGTATCGAAGTCAAATTTGAGTGACTGTGTCCAGAAGTTTTGGCGTGGGGAGACAATCGTCAAGTGGACATGGTCGGAGGTGAGCACACAGTGAAGCTACCGCAAGGCTACCATGGAGCATGGGCCAATACCCCACTATGACGGTAGCCTGTCAACTTGCTATTCACCACTACCAAACAAACTGATCATCGAATTTGAGATGTTCGTGTAATACCAGAACTGCTTGCAAGAGAACAGCATCTTAACGTTGACTCGTAGGTATCATCTCCACCCAAACGCCATGCAAGCACGTCGACGCCAATCCATCTAAATACCGAAATTCACAATCACCTCTTCTTCACAGCCTCCTCCATCTTCCTCACCAAGGCCTTCAACCCAATCCCCTTCTCGCAATTGCTCTCTAAATGCGCTTCCATCTTCTCCCTGACCTCTTTCATTCCCTTCAACACAGGCAATTTCCTGCCCTCCTCATCCTCCATATGCATCAGCGGATTGAGCAGCAAATCCAGGCACTCATGCCAAATCTCCGTCTGCCAGTACCTCTTCAGAGTCTCTTTAATCTTGTATGTCTTTGTCGCGCCAGCACCGAGCCCCGCCCCCTTTTCGGCAACAGTAGAGATATACTTCCCGAAAAGCAGGTTGTGCACGATGCCTGCTAGGCCGTGGTAGTCGATCTGATATGTCCAAGGACGCGCTTCGCGCATCTCGGCACAGTCCGCTTCGGTAGTGGGCCAGTCGGCGATGAACTGTACATCCGGCTTGAATGCCTTCATGTCGATGCCACGACCGAAGTCGATGAGCGAGATACCCTTGGATGCCCAGCCGTCACGGCCATCACGCTGGTAGACTGAGTCCCATTCGCCCTTCTGCAGAGCGTCGAAGCGTACAAGGATGTTGTCTGCTTTGAGGTCGCCGTGGATGATGCCTTTGGCATGGAGCGCTTCGACGGTGCGGAAGAGTTCGACGGTGAAGAACATGGCTAGTTGCTCGTCCATCACGCCGTTTTCGGCGCGGGCGATGTTGACGAGGTCGAGGAGTGTACCCTGGTCACGGAACTCTTCGATCAGGTAGCATTCATCCCGGAAGACATGCATTTCGTATGCGTGAACAATGGAGTCAGATGCTCGAGATACTCCGAGTCGGCGCTTTGCTTGTCGCATGACATAGAACTCCCATGGCGTGGGGGGATCTTCCATCTTCAGAGCTTCCAGAGACCGACGCTTGAGACCGAAGTCGCCCTTGCCCATTTGCGCGTGTGCGTTCTCATCCTCCTCGTCCTTCGGTGTGCTTTCGATGAGGTATACTGGAGCGAATGCTCCCTTGCCGAGCTCTCGTTTGACAGTGTACGTCCGATCCGATCCTTCAAACACGAGCTTAGGCGGAGCAGCCAGGTTCGTTATCGTCTTGTCCTGGGCATTGTTCTTTATCTTTTTTACCGCCTTTGTGTACTTTTGGATCTCAAGACCCTTTCCACTGACCGCCTCTGTGTCTGCAAAGTAGCCATCATAGCTGTCAAGAGGCGGCTGAATTTCTTGCAAGATCATGTTGCGGATATCTTCGCCCACCGGGTTGCATTGCATGTCCTGAATTATTGGTCCCGTGGGCTTCGGATCCCTGAACACAGCAGGCTTTGCGGCGAGAGGTTTTCGTGCTGGTTCATCAACAGTTGCGGCGAGAAGTTCACTGGGTGATGGCTCCGACTGCCTGAGTGACAGTTTCGTAATTTTACCTGGGCCATCAATAGCTTGTCCAAGGAGATCCTGGAAGGGGCTACTACCAGGCTCATCTTCATCCCCATCCTCGAAGATAATGAGGTCGCCCTTCGATCGTGATGGCGTCTTAGCGTTCAACTGTTCCTTTTGAGCGTAAGCAGTTGCAAAACCCAAAGATGACTCTGTCTTCTCTACGATTGGGGTCATGAAGGGTAGACGGTTGTTCGCAGCCTGCATTGAATCTCGGTATGGCCTCATTGGGTAGTTATGGTCTTCCGGTGGAACTGGTACGAAACGAGTGGGCAGTGATGCTGGTGCTTCCGGTGATGTGGGAGTTGTCACCTCCGGCTCATACTGCTCTTCCCAGTTGACCAACGGATGTGTCACCTGCTCGAAAGACTCGTCTTCTGAGTGTTCAGATTCGTCATTTGTTCGGGCGAAGCGGACAGTGTCGTTATTGTTGTCCTCGTCATCCTCCTCATCGTCTTTAGCGTCCTTGCTCTCAGTAAGGTCAGACCAAGCCGAAACACTTCTGACATCGGTGTTGTCAAGTTCTGTGTTTTCGACCTCCGTGTGGTCTGCTTCGCTGCCGCTGCCGCTGCCATCGTCGGAGTCGTTGTCACCGATCACTGTACCCAGTGTGAAGTCGCCGCCGACTGTCGTCTCGTCACCAAATTCGCTGCGAGTTGCTGTGCTTTCTGCACCACTTGTGTAGTCACTCTCATCATCTTCAGTGCTCACCTCTTCACTCTGTGGCTCTGCAACCTCCTCTTCAGGCTTATTCAACGGCTGGTTGAAGATCTCGTAGATATCATCCATCGCCTCCTTTGTGTGAAGAGTCATCGTAGCTTCACGACCGCCTTTCTTCCGGCGAACCTTTGATTTCTTCGAAGGCGAATCTAGCTTCGCTTGGACTGATCCACGTTAGAAAGGCTTATTTCCCACTCCTGCAGTACTCACTCGTTTGTGTTTCTCCGCTGATCTCCTTGACGTCCATGACTTGGATCTTACGGGTTCGGTTCGCGCGCTCTTCCTTCCGTGCCTTCTTAGCTGCCTTCGCCTTCTCAACGTCGGCTTGCGAAGGCGGCCTGTTCTCATCGTCGCCAGCCAGCACATCATCTTCGCCGCCTTTTAGAGGTACGGTCTGCGGCTTCGGAGGTTTCTGCGCATCTTGTTTGAGTCCTAGAGGTTCTTGCTTGGGTGCCAAAGGTGCGGGTTTGGGCTTAGGCAGCTGTGCAGCAGCAGCCTCTTCAGCGACCTTCCTGGCCTGCTCTTGTTCTTCGCGACGGATAGTTGCCCAGTCGCGGTCAAGCCAACCTCTGTGCCTAGCTCGCAGCTCTTCGAATGAGAACTCCACTGACATGGGATCTCTATGATTAGGATATACTTGCTCCAAGTCAACGAACACAACTTCGACTCGGCCTGTTTTCGGGTTGATGGCTTGCAACTGTTCACGCAGCGGGTGGGGTATGGATGTTTCGTCATTAAGATGTGATTTGGTCTGAATATACAAGGCAAGCGCCAACCAATTAGTCCTGCGATCGTAAATATATGAAGAGGGACATGCAGGCAGTGAACTCACCTCATCCTTGAAAATCATCATCTTGCCCGCACCCTTGTTGGTCTTTCCACCCTTCAGCGTCTCACCAGCCCAGGGTCGAGCCTCCTGTGTGTTTTCCTTCTTGCGGTCTGCGATTGTCCCAATGCTGTCCCAACCTTTGCCGCTCCCGCTCGAGCTTGTTCGTGCTGGCTCTCCCTCGTCAGAGAAGATGGCCATCTTGGGCTTGCCAGACTTTGGCTTTGCTGCCTTCGGCTGACTCTGGGCCTGCGGTTCGGGCGAGGCAGGGGCGAAAGGGTCGATCTTCGCAGCCAGAGCTGGGCGCACAGCGGGCAGAGCTGGGCTCGAGGGCTCGGGAACGTCCTGTGGTCGACTTTCGAAACGGTGCTGGAACTCGCCATACTTGCGGACCAAGCGTTCGGTTGGCCGCGCTTCCTTCTCAATGCCCAAGCTGTAGATCTCTTCGGCCTGGGAGAATCGCCCGGCCCCCTCAAGCCATGCTGCATACTCTTCGTAGTATAGCGCGAGCCCGTCGCCGATGTTGTGGCGCGCAAGAAACCTAAAGATCTCCTGCGGTGTGTCGGCGAAGAGTCTGATGTAGTGTAGCCAAAGTTTCAGATAGCGAGGGTCGTTCTTGTAGTGTGAGGACGACTGAAAGGCTTTTGTTGCGCGCTCGAGAAGCGGTCCAAGCTGCGATTGTTTATCGTTCTGTGCGGAGGGGTATGCGTCCAGTGTCCACTTCACGTATCGGTCGTAGATGTCGAGTGGGTCATCTGAGTCGTCGATGTTCATGAGCTCCTTCTCGAACTCTAATCGCCTTGCGCTGTGCGCATCTTGTGTTTGAAGCGGCGACGGTGTGTGACCTGGCTTTGCGCCTAGCGGTGGTGTGTAAAGTTGTGCGAGTGCTCTGGCAGAGCGGCCGCTGGGAATGGCCTGAATGTTTTCCTTCGAGTTTTCGATGACCTCGAAGTCGACAATGTCGTCGGAGCCCATGACGCCGGTGGGGTATCTCAAGAAAAGAAAGAATCCAAAACCAATGTACAGAAGGAGCCCAGTGCCTTACCTGGTGTCGTTGTCGTTGTGGCAGAAAGATGCGCGTGTGTCGAGGGTCTGGCGGGGCTCTTGTGTTGCACTCTCGCCGCGCCTTCCCCGATTGATTAGGGTTGCTGGGGCAACAACGACTGCCACGCTCTACATCTGGCATGTGAACTCAGCCAATGCCATGGGCCTGGGTTTCGCGCATTGTATAGATACTGCACAGTTTTTTTTAACGGATTTCCTTGTTCTGTTGCTGATTGACTGACAAATTACACCTGTACACGTTAGTACTCAACTTGAGTCCGGCTGAACAACTGGGATTCCAAAAGGGTCAGTAAACACCATGTAAATTCGTCCATACTCAAGGTACAAGCCTCCTGCATCTTGCAAGCGTTGGTCGACTGACATCAAATGCTGTGGTGATTCGCGTGACCCAAGTCCACCAAGTCCACCGAAGTTCATCCTCAGAGCGAACGATTCGTTGCCAATTGCAACAAAGATCTAGGGGGCTCAGAAAGACTTCGAATCGGAAAGCGAGACCGACGCCCTGGCGCACTATATTCGCTTTGTGAGGGATAATGTTGAGAGGACTATACTGCTGATGTCCCCCGCGTGCAGAGGAGAGCACTGGGACAAGCTCGAAAGAAGTTTACGTCTATTGGCCCAGCAGGTTGACTAAGGAGGACCGATGACAAGGGAAGAGCGGCTACCTTGTTATAGCTCCTAACAGTTCAGGGAGGGAGCACTTCGAAGGAACGCTAAGATGCACACGAAGCAAGGCGCGCCCCTAAAACACCTTGACAACAGCGCTTATAGCAGTCAATTTTCCTTCCGCACAGAAATGTAACCTAAGCAGGTACATGTGTTAGTGTCCAGGCGAAAACCTTTCTCAACACATTCGTCGTGGGGTAGATAACCATCGTAGCACATCACTAACCAAATACATAATAAATGGAAGTGCTCAACCTTTTCAATTACTCGCCGCTCACATCATAGTCATACACGATAATTCATGTCCCAAACCAACAAAAGAAACCCTCAACGCCATGCAAGAAGCATTTTGTACTCTCTCCGTTCAAATTCTTCCCAGATTCTCAGGGCATTCAATGCGTCTAGGCGCTCTGCCGAGCCTTCTCCGCACAAATCAACGCAATAATCCTGCTCAACTCCGCGCTCTGCGCAAACTGCTCCTGCTTCGTCTTCTCATCGACATCCTCGCTCGCCGCAATGTCGTTGGACACCGTCAGCATGCGGTTCTGCAGCGCGAGCAGCTTGGACAGAGTGTTGTCGAGGAACGGCGCGCTGAAGGTGATGTTTGTGGGTGATTGGCCCGAGTTGGGTAAGCGCATTTCGAGTTTCCTTGGTGGCTTCTTAGTCGCGGGTTTGGGTTGCTCGACGGCTTTTTGCTCAGGCTGGGACGGTGTCCTATTGAAATGATGTTAGTATGATGTAAAACTGGAAATGCTGTTGGTGGATAGCAAGAGTAGCACTGCTCCCGAAGAAACGACATGCAGTATCTATCTGCTGTGATAGATGACATGCGCACTGATCAGAGGAAGGAGTGGCTCAGCACCGACATGTCGATCGAAACGAACGTCGGTAGCGGAACATTGGATCTCAACGGCCACTAGCCATACCCAAAAGCACTAACGGGCGAGCGAACGTACCTTTCACGCTCAACAAAAGTCATGTTCTCCGCCATCTCAGCAACACGGTTCGCGATTCTCGACGCCATGATCGTGTAGGGCGATGCGTGCTGCTGGATGCCGTTTGCCACGCCGTTGGCGGTGCTCTGTGTCTTCTTGCCTGCTGTTGAGGCGGCTTTCTTGGGGCGCGAGGCCGCGGTTTTGGCGGATGTGCGGTTCACCGGCGCGGATGCTACTGAGGCAGGCATCTTGATGTGTGTGTGAGGTTTGTATTCAAGTATGTGTCTGAAAAGGGTTAATATTCCCTCAAGGTGACGGCTGTCGCGTGCATACGGCTGGGCATACGTCGAGCATACAGTACAGCCGCTTGCAGGTGGAGTGGACACTAACCTTGCAAATTGGATATCGAGAAGTAAAAATTGCGATGCAAGTGGAGGTGTTCAGTTCTTACGGTATCGAATTCAAGGTATATCACAAGATGTGAGCAACTACGGGGAAACGGGGATCCACGATATCTTGACTTGCTCCCAGCCCCAGAAGTTGGAAGAGGCGCCACAGAGCGACGTCATCGGGATGCATGAACAGGGGGTGCGACGGGATGCGATCATCCCAACTTGTGGAACCTCGAACTTGATCTCGACCGTTTGCTGAATACAAGGTGACGTTTGACGCCTCGGTCCTCGAAACGACGTTCGCGTGCGGTGATGGGCGACATCTGAGCTTACTTCTCAACTCTGACTTTTGCGACTACGACGACGACTACGATTGAACATGTCGCCTGCCATCAAGAAGAAGAAAGATGACCTCGGCGCTGGGCTGCGCGTGTCGAAGGACAACATTGCTGCGCATCCTGCGGGGCCACCGAAGTATGGCGAGTTGACGCAAGCGGAGAGAGCATTTACGCTAGCATCGACATTCTTGTCTGGAGTTTTGGCGTACGACACTTCAACCTTTCGAACATTGCGTCGTTCAGAGCTGACAGTGGCACAGTATCAGCGCATCGCAATTCCTGGGCGCGCCATTGAAGCTAATCGACCCCCAATTCTATGAAGGGTACATGGCTTATACGAAGGAATGCTTCGCCATCTTGATTACATGTCTGACCCAGTGGTGGGCGCCTACCGTTGTCAGGATCAGCGGAGATTCAAGTATGGTTGGTCAGCTCATCCAGAAGAAGGACGGGAGCCTACAGTGCAATTTCGCAGACCGTATGGTTTTGATGGCTAACCACCAGCTGTACACTGACTGGCTGTATATATGGTGGATTGCGTACACGAACAACATGCACGGCTTCATCTACATCATCTTGAAGGAATCGCTTAGAAACATCCCCATCATCGGCTGGAGCGCGCAATTCTACAACTTTATCTTCCTGGCCAGAAACTGGGAAGAGGATCAGCGCCGATTCAAGAAGGCTCTTTCGCGCCTCAACAATGCAACCCAGCCAATGTGGCTCATCATCTTTCCCGAAGGAACGAATCTGTCATCCACGACAAGAGAAAAGAGCAAGGCATGGGCTGCGAAGAACAATCTGGAAGACATGAAGCACCAGCTTCTGCCGCGGAGCACGGGACTGCGGTTTTGTTTGAATGAACTCAAAGATACGACGGAATGGTTGTATGACTGCACTATTGCATATGAGGGCGTGCCGCCCGGTCAGTTCGGTCAAGACATTTTCACGCTCCGCTCCACGTTCTTTGAAGGCCGTCCACCAAAGTCGGTCAACATGCACTGGCGCCGTTTCCACATTTCCGATATCCCCATCCAGAACACGAAAGCCTTCGAAGTCTGGCTGCGGAATCGCTGGCGAGAGAAGGATTACATGCTCGAATACTTCCAAAGGCATACTCGTTTCCCGGCTGAGGACTTCTGGAAAGACCACCTTGACATGGGCGACCGTAGTTCGCAAGGCTCACAAAGCCTACGGAGTGTTCCTAAGCCGGCTGTTCAGATCGAGACAGAAGTCAAGTCTGGCAACTGGAACGAATTTGTCAAGATCTTTGCCCCTATCAGCAGTGTCATGATGGCATTGACGGTCGCATATGGAGCTAATCCAGCAGACATCATACCTGGTGGGAAGGAGTTTTTCGAGCAGCACATGAAACAATTACTGGGAGGTGGCGGAGAAATGGGAGGACTTCCAAGTCCAGACCAATTGGAGAAGATGATCGAGGGCGCAGCAAAACTGGGAGCGGCGCAAGCTGCAGACCCACAGCAAGTCCCACAGGTAGCGGCACTCACACAAGAGAATTTGGCTAAGCTGGTAAAGGAGACAGCTATCAAGAACGGCGTGGTGATGCCCGGTGGAATGAGACGAGCCAGCACAGCACTACCACAAGCACCGACAAAGACCCTCGCAACACCTACAGCGGTGCCAACACGCGCGAAGAGTGCTGTTGTTACCCCTTTTTCAGCTCGGAAACCGGCTGGCGCTGCAGCGAAACCGAAGCCTGCGACTGCTGGGCCTGTAAAGCCAAAAGCTGCTCCTATCAAGCCTAAAGTGACCGCGAAACCCAACCCTACACCACCCACCGGGCCTATGAAGGAAGTCACGTTGGCATCTGGCGTTACAATCAAGGTCCCCGCGCCAGCTGTGGAAGATGCGAAGAAAACCGGCGCAACTACGATAAAAACAGCGAATGGGCTTACCGTTCAGATCGGGAAGAAAGACATCGAAAAGGCGCAAGAGAAGAACGGCGACACAGTCATGACGGCCTCCGGGATACCAATTAAGATCACCTCGGGAGGTGACATCGAAGTTGCAAAGAAACCGACACTAGCAAAGTCAAGCCTTGCACCAAAGCCTGTAGCCAAGAAGGTTGCACCTGCACCTGCAAAAGCACTACCGAAGCTCAATGGGACGACAAGCGCCCCGAAGAAGTTGCCTACGCCAGGACCGAAGAAGATTTCTACAAAGCCGTCGACTCCGCAGACGAAGGCGCCGCCGAAGTTGGCTACAAAATGAATATAAATTATGTGGTTTTGAATTGGCGTAGGACACAGAGCAGACATGCTCAGGCGTTGGATACCCGCACACTCTAGCATTCACGAACTTCACATGTAAATCATCCTTTTGATTATGAATTCGTACAATATCTCGTAGTCTTCAACCTCTTTCACCACGATATCGAAGTGGTACAAATACATCACAATGAGCCTTCCACAAGGCTACCCGCATCCAGATCCCAACTACTCACTGCGCTCCGGAAACGCACCCAGAAATGATCACCCGTCATCCTTGCATTTCTTCAGGGCATGCCGAAATACCCCTGCCAGCTCCTGTGCCACAGATACGTCATCGCGGGGGGGCGGCAATGGGCATCCCAGTTTCTTGAAACAGGATCGGGGGTTGTGGCGCGAAGGGGTGTCATTCGGCTGTCATCTGTGGAATCTCGAAGTTGAACTCTGAATTGGTCTTGATACCATCAGATAATCAATTACTTCAATTCGTCTTCGAAACCATCTGTCGTACCTCTTGACGGAGTTGAGACACTTTGAACTACCGATCAAGACACTTCAAGAATTACAACGATTACGACGAATACGACAAGATGGCAGGATTTATCCAGAACATCCTCTGGAACTCAGTCGAAGGCTTCGTCGATGCCGCAAAGAAGACAGGCGGTGCATACGCAGGCGATGCCCTGATCAAAGCAGGCGACATGATCGAAGGCGGAGGACGGAGTGTTGGAGGAGGTACGTCTACCGCATCAACCACCCCTTCATAAATCCAGAAACAATTCGCAGTGATCAAGGGGCAATTGGACTAATAGGAAATAGGCATCGAAAGAGCAGCCACGGGTTACGGCTCCAAGCTCTCAGGGCAAACCTACCAGCCCTCCTCAGCATCGAAGGCTCTACCCTCCACGGCGCGCAAACCAGCTGTCAAGCGCAGCAACTCGATGCCTGCGAATACCAAGCCGTCGGGTTCTGTTGCAGGCGGGCGATCGATCGCTGGGCCGACAAGTAACGTACCGCTTGGCGCGAAGAAGACAGTGGGTGGTGCGAAGAAAGCGGTTGGTGGTGTTGCGGGAGGAGCTACGAAGACTGTTGGAGGCGCCACGAATACGGCGACAAAGACCGTTGGTGGTGTGACTGGTGGAGCTACAAGAGGTGTCAACGGCGTTAGCAAGACCGCAGGAGGAGTTGTAGGCGGAGCTTCCAAGCCCGTAGGCGGCCTTGTTGGAGGCGCAACACGCAGCGTCGGTGGCCTCGCAGGCGGTGCAACAAAATCCGTCGGAGGTCTCGCAGGCGGAGCCACCAAGGCAACAGGAGGCGTCGTCAACAACGCAACCAAAGGCGTTGGCGGGATTGTATCCGGCGCCTCAAAACCCATCCACCACATCGGCTCGAACGCGCAAAAAGCCGTTCCCCAGGGCCTGCCCAAGCCATACAACAGCACCACCGCAGGCTCGAGCTACACAAACCCGTATCCCACGGCTAAGCAAGCGCCCGTCAAGCCTGGCATGAGCAAGCCCTTCACACCGCCCCAGGAGAATAAGAGTGAGCCTAAGCCGTACCCGGGGACGAATACGCTGCCGGGGCAGGGGGGTAAGACGCCCGTTAAGAGGACTTATAAGCCTGCGCCGACGTTGGGGAGCCAGGTTGCGCCGGGGCAGAAGATGACGCATATTGGAGCGTTTTGACTTGGTAGAGAAACTGATGAGAAATACGCACGTGTATGATAGATGTGTTGGATTGGTTATATTGATGGCGTTTAAGCGGTTGTACATTTGTTGCAAGGGCTTACCATGGTACAATGAAGTCGTTACTATAATAACGTACTGATTACAGTGTAGTTGTTGTACCAAAGAACACCTGGAGGTGTTTCATAGTGACGACCGAAAGCAACCATTCTCTCAGCCTCTGCGTGTGTGATCAGGAATTGCGATTGTAGTGAAGAAGACTGACTCACAATCCTTAGAGTCAGAATCCCTTCGGTATCAGAAACGAGGCTCAATATGCATTTCAAGAAGCGGCATCGGCCACTCTCCACGGGGATAAAAACTCTCCCCACAACGCCCCGCACAAGCTCAAAACTAAGCTTTTGCCACTAACTCACACCGGTAATAATTGTTGTTTATCACAAGTGACTCGCTGCTGGAGACCAATAATTCGCTGCAAGCTGACGCAGCAGGTCGTACGGCAATGGTTCTCCGGACGTCAAGCTTCAGTACAAAAGTCTTGTGCGAGTCTTGCAATGCTTAAATCCCCAGGCATCCCCACATTCATCTCTGGAGGTGTCCACATCGCTTTCGCATCCAGGAGACCCTCAATTATCCAGCGAGATGAAGCTCTTCTCCAAGAAGGCCGAGGAGCCGCAACTCAGCGCATCGGAGCATGCGACCGAGAAGGAGGTCACGCCTTCGAGAGTCGAAGATGGCCCTGCACAAACCACGAATACGTCGACCATCGATCCCGAGATGGAGAAGCGAGTGCGCCGGAAGCTGGACATGAATCTCATTCCACTGGTCTCAGCACTCTACTTGCGTGCGTCCTCCCACTCGTAACTCTCACTAAGTCCCTCTCTAACACATCCAAGTCGCCTTCCTCGACCGCTCAAACATAGGCAACGCGCGCATCGCCGGTATGGAAACCGACCTGCATTTCGCACCCGGCAACTACGACTGGCTCCTCACCATCTTCTACATCTCCTACATCTGCTTCGGCTTCCTGGCGATGATGTGGAAAGTCGTGCCGCCGCACTACTGGGCCGCGCTCTGCGTCTTCACGTGGGGTCTTGTCTCGACTGTGCAAGCAGCAGCCGACTCGTGGGGCGCGATGATGGCGCTGAGGTTCATTATGGGTGCTTCCGAGGTCGCATATGGGCCGGGTGTGCCGTTTCTGCTGTCGTTCTTTTATCTGAGGGATGAGCTGGGGTTGAGGAGTGGATTGTTCTTGAGCGCTGCGCCGTTGGCGAATACATTTGCTGGGGCGCTGGCGTATGCGATTACGAGTGGCAGTCCGTCGTTGGCGAAGTGGAGAGTGCTGTTCTTAGTTGAGGGGTTGCCGACTGTGGTGATGGCAGGTGTTGCGTTCTTCTTCTTGCCAGATAGTCCTGAGAAGGCGAAGTTTTTGAATGAGGAAGAGAGGGAGGTTGCGAGAGCCAGAGGGGTCAGACAAGCTGGTGAAGCTACCCGCATCGGCAGCATCAACTTCAAGGAGTTTTTCACGGGTCTGGCAGATCTCAAGGGTTGGATCTTGGGGCTGATGTACTTCTCTTGCAATGTCGCCTTCTCCTCTCTCCCGGTCTTCCTGCCGACAAGTAAGTACTACGGATTACTCCAGACTGCATTCGATGCTAACATATGCCACAGTTCTGAAAGAGATGGGCTTCAGCAGCGTCAATGCCCAGGGGTTGACAGCTCCTCCATTCTTCCTCTCTTTCCTCACCGTCATCGTTACATGCTACATTGCCGACCGCACACAACAGCGTGGAATCATGGTCGCGTCACTCACTGCAATCGGTGGCATTGGATACGTAATCCTGGCTACATCGCACTCTGTTGGTGCTAGATACTTTGGTGTATTTCTGGCTGCGGCTGGCGTCTTCCCTGCAATTGGTAACATTCTACCGTGGGTGACCAACAACCAGGGTTCAGACACTCGAAGAGGAGCCGGAATCGTGCTCCTGAATCTGATCGGGCAATGCGGTCCTCTGCTGGGTACGCGAATGTACCCCACAAGCGAAGGGCCGTACTATGTCAAGGGACAGTCTGTGTGTGCGGCGTTCTTGTTCTTCTGCTGCTTTCTGGCGCTCACGTTGAGGACGTTGCTCGTCTGGGAGAATAAGAAGCTTGACCAGAAATATGGAACTGTTGCTCAGCAGAGATTAACCATGCAGGAGGCGGCTGCGAGAGGCGAGGGTAAGGATGAGGAGGTCGCTGTGGAGAATTATGGCCCGCTATTCAGATACGTACTGTAGTGACCTTCTCAAATACCCAGGGTATCAAGGCAGTCTAATAATGCTCTTTCACAAAACCATCCATTTTTGGAAGCAGCGAAGTTTTGCGGCCAGCTATAGGCAGCTTCCTTGAGACATACGAAACTGTTGCAGGGTGTTTGGGAACTCCAAAGCTTCGAGGTACCAAAAGTCTGGTCGCCATCTGTGTTACAATTGCGAGGCGCGATATGACGAGTTGCGCACCTCTTGAACAGGACTTCACATGCGACCAACAGCTTATCATGTTGCAGATGGACGTAAGAGAAAGTGGATCAGTAGCGGCAGAGCCTTGCGTTCGCGCTTGCCGTCTGTGCTGGCCCAACACGGAAAGCGCTCGCGTGCAGTCACTTGCTTTTGGCAGTCATGCTCACCGTGAGGAAGGATCGGTTCAAGAACGTGCCTTCCAGGTGCGAGACGAACCATCACAATGACTACAACAACCAACATGTTGCACCTAAACCATCACATTGAACGCACAGAATTCATCAACCCCGGCGCAAAACCATGGTTCCCGTGTGGGGACTTAGTGATAAGCCAAACCCAAATAAGCGAAGCGTCTGGTCCATGCATCGAGGCAATGCCGTCACAGGTTTCAATCGCGAAGAACTCCAGGCTGTTCTAAGAGACTTCTCCTTCTCACCACCTCGCGCTGCCAATTGCGCGCACCGTGCTTCACAATCTGACGTTGTAGCTGAAGAGTACCGTCAAGACCGTCTTCAGCCTCGTTCCTCTCTCTTCTCGTTCGCAATGGCGCCGGGTGACCCATCACGTCCGTCTGGGCCCACGCCACTGATTGACGTCTCTGGCGATGCGCAGAACTCGCAGCAGCACGTAGCTGGCTCGTCTTCTGCTATTGGGAAAAAGAAGAAGCACCGCGGTGGCAAGAAGAGACGCAACCGTCGCCAGTCCTTCGCTGCGACTGCAGACATGAGCCATGGCGACGGCAACGATGACCGTCCAACTCTCGAGGACATAGCCGGCCATGGCAACTCTCGCGGCAGCACAAGCTTCTATGGCCTTTCACGCAACCTCAGCAATACGAGTCTCGAGAGCGAGGCGTTGCTGGATCACCGCGACCACCAGCCTGCGAGGCCTCGCCGACAGAGCATACCCACTAGCTCTATGTACGCGCCGCGACTCAGCCAGCAGTTCAACAACCCCCCTAGTCGTCTTAATGTACCTTCGTCTTACGGCAAGTCGAGGCTCTCGGGCACTCTCGAGGTTGGCTATAGCGATCACAACGACGACGATGCGGACGACCGGACACCATTGATGATGGGCTCTCCTCGGGACAACAGAAAGGGGAACAGCTATGGTACAAGTGCGGGAGGCATGGCTCCCAAGAAGCGAAGGCCCAGTACTGGCAGTGGCAAGCAGCGACCTGCTATATTCGGTCATCATTCGCAATCCAACATCAATGAGGGTTACGACGTCAACAACCCGCCTTCTGTGCCTGCAAGTCCTGTCTTCGAGGCCAACCCTGGGCTCGACGATGTTGCGCTTCCTATTGACTTGGAACATTCCCCTGAGCCAGGCAGGTCTCGAGATGCCTTGATCGACATCGACGAGCCTACTGAAGGATCGAGCTCAGCCTCTCCTAAGCAAGGCGACTTCCACCGTCGCATGACCCAATCATTTGCCGCCGACGACGATGTCTGCTTCCCGCATGAGGGCATGTCTGAGCTGGGGCAGCAAGACTACCTCAACGACCCAACAGGAGAACCGACCAGTCGCCGCCGCCGCCGCCGTTGGCCTGATCTTGATGTGTTGGCATCTTGGTCACACGAAGAGAAAGAGCAGCGAACCATGGAGGGCATCCGTCTTCGCAAAGTTAGCGAGCCACTTATGGTTGATGGTCGGCTGCGTCCCCGACAGCGTCAATGGCACCGTGAGGCCGACGATGCACCATTCCGCTTTACCTACTTCAACGAGACATTCGACAACACCATTCACAGTCAGACTATCAGCGAACTGCTGCAACCGGGACAGTCCTTCAGAGATCTTTTCATCCCAGATCCTGTTGTTCTCGAAGACAGCAGCGATGACGACTCAGATGCTGAGGATCATCTGCGTGCAAACACAAATGGCACTTTCAGGACCACCACACGATCACCCTCGAATACGAACGACAAAACGTCTTCGGGCGAGCAAACGCGTACGAGTACCCCACGGCCTCAAACAGAAGCCTCCAAGGGCAAGGACGACGATCACCAGAAGCGCTATGGGCCACGACCAGCGTGGTGGCTCGATGTTATGTCGCCCACTGAGACTGAGATGAAGGTCATCTCGAAGACCTTCGGTATCCACCCACTGACGTCCGAAGACATCCTTATGCAGGAGCAACGCGAAAAGGTGGAGCTGTTCAAGCACTACTACTTTATCAACTACCGCACTTTTGAACAAGATGAGAACAGCGAGGATTACCTGGAGCCTGTCAACCTGTACATCGTCGTCTTCCGAGAAGGTGTGATCAGTTTCCACTTCTCCATGACACCACACCCTGCCAATGTACGCCGCCGTATTCGACAGTTGTCCGACTACCTGGTACTCTCGCCCGACTGGATTTCGTATGCCATGATTGACGACATCACCGACGCTTACGCACCTATGATACAAAGCATCGAGGAAGAAGTCGATGACATTGACGAAGCTATCCTCCGTCTCCACAACGCCGATGATGAAGACAGCTCGGATTCGGACGACTACGACGAGAAGCAGGGTAAGGAGAAGAGCGGGCGTGATATGCTTCGTCGTGTTGGCGAATGCAGAAAGAAAGTCATGAGCTTGTACCGTCTGCTCGGTAACAAGGCCGATGTCATCAAGGGCTTCGCGAAGCGCTGCAACGAGCACTGGGACATTGCGCCTCGCAATGAGATCGGAATGTACCTGGGCGATATTCAGGATCACATTGTTACCATGACGGGTAACCTAAGTCATTACGAGAAGTAAGTTTGCCCACCCGGCCAAGTTAGAGTCTTTGCTCACAGATTGCAGTCTTCTGTCTCGTGCGCACAGCAACTACCTCGCGCAGATCAACATCCGCATGAACGAGCGTCAGGAGCAAACGTCCGATATTCTCGGCAAGCTTACCGTCCTCGGTACTATTGTCCTGCCCATGAACGTCGTCACTGGTATTTGGGGTATGAATTGCATCGTTCCTGGCCAGGACGTTGATAACCTTAACTGGTTCTTCGGCATCACTGGGTGTCTCGTTGGCTTCGGACTGCTTTGCTATATGATAGCGAAGAGGGTTTACGGCATTGTCTGATCGGTTATAGAGGTTGCACGCTTGCCTTTGTGGTGCATGCGCGGCGCTGGTGGTCTTGTATATCGCGTCGCCGTCTTTTTGCGACATTTGGATCAAATTAGGTTTACAGTGCACATGTGGCACAAGGAAGCCTGGCGTTGTAGGTGGCCATATATACCTTGGGTGTTTACTCTATCTGTACAGAATGGTTTCATCACTACAAATGGCTATTACTTGTTGAACGTCCCTCTCACACTGCTTGTCCATGCATAGCAGTAGAAGCCTTGGAACTGGTCCAACTATACGTAACGAGATCAAACTAGATCCCTGGCAGTTCGGAGGGTTTACAGGTAATTACTTCGCTTGAGAACATTGTCGAGGTGAAGGTCAGTGATTGATTGGTTTAACGTCCTATCTGAGTGAAGGTCAGTGAGGAAGTATATAACATGACGTTTGTCTCCAAGTCCGTGCGCGTACCTCGGTCCTTGACCAACCGATCGCTTCAAAGTCCACCACGCACCACGCGCCAACCTCGACCATGACAACAGTGGCAGACGACAGCACAGCAGCGAACTTCCGCTTCAAACGCCGCAAGGCTACACACACAAAGCGGGCACGCATAGACGACGACATCCCAAGCAAACCCAACAATCAAACCCCCGACACTGCAACAGCACACGATGCGCCGGACGCCGTACCAGATGAGGAAGAGCCGGTGCCAAACCTGAAGGAGATCCTACGCAATCGCAAGCGGCCCCGCGACCGCCTCAAGGATGCGACACGGAAACCAGGGCCTTCTCAGACTGAGCTCGTGCAGGCGGAAGCACCGCGGCCAGATCAGTATACAAGCCGATTCGTAGCACAGACCGGACAGGTGGTGGACAGCAGCGACCAGCAGATGTGAGTGAGCCAACTACTTCCCAATCTCGGCTGCACGGCTATATGTTAGTGGTAAGTGGTGATGAGCACAGGCTAATCCATCAGGACGGTGTATGTAGAAGCCCGCTTGGCTGAACAGAACTATCGCCAGTACGGCTGGCCCATACCCAAACATCTCCACTTGACCGTCGCCGCAATCGCGCCGGACCTCAAGCACACCTTCTCGAACCCTGTCCAGGCAACAGCAGCCAGCAGCGCCGTGGACGACGGCACCGAACACAGCAGTCGAGTAGCTGCAGGACAGGGGAAACTGGAGGAAGTAGACCTAGGTTCCGACGCCTTACGCACACACAAAGACTGGAGACGCTCGGAAGGCGATGCGCCAGCGCCAGCGCCGAAAGTCCGGCTAGGCAGGGACGGCAAACCTTACCGCGGCCGCAAGCGCCGAAACAGCGACGACATCCGAAGAGACCAGATGGTCGAAGCCGTCCTGCGCGAAGCAAAACGTACCCCTCTCCCCCCTTCACTCCTTCTCCATACCATCCCTCACTAACAGCTCGTAGTCGAGTTCTTTGACGAAGCACTGCCCGCCCCGCGCTACGCCGGCACCGACGACGACATGCTCGAGCGCTTCCGCACCGAGTATTTCGAATCCATCGAGGAGCGGCAGGCGCGCAAGCCTGCCATGCCACCCAACGCAAAGGATCAGCCCAAGGGGCCGAAGTTGGGCGGGAGCAGGAGTGCGAGGGCGGCTATGCGGGAGCGGGAAGAGGCTGCGGCCAAGGGGAACAAGAGGTAGAGTGCGTTATGTGGATTTCGCTTTGCTTTTGTGCTTGTTGCTGTTCCTTGGAGGTCATTGTACGAGTCGTACGAGATGTTGGACTGTGAGTGGGTATTAACGATGTGGACAGTGGGACAAGGGTCAACAATGGGAGGGTGCTGGAGCGGTGGGAGTGGAGGACTATGCAGGTTCAGGATTCGGCGTGGTATAACAAGTGAGAGATGGGCATTGCCTCTCGATGTAGGGTGCAGTTATCGGTCACACGGTGGACTCGAGTGAAACAGCAGTGGTTCGAGAACTAAGAAGACTTCCAGGGTTCGCCAGAACTGCTCGCCGGAAGTGGGAATGTCTGATCTTTTCGATCACTCGTCTCTTGTACTGTGGGCATACGCTATGCAAAGCCGCATACCCAATAAACAGGCTCAATCAACGACTGCCGCATCGTACACCCGTCGGTTGCTCTGCGCTGGAGCTCGAAGTAACCATCATTGAGCACAGGCTGAACATGAAGCGTTGACTTGAAGGAAATGGTATTGAGTAATCTACAGAGCCATTGAGCGATCAGCCACCTGGTGCAATGACTTCAGATCCCGAGAAAAGAGACAAGCACACATGTCTACACGCTCAGTTAAAGAGCACCATCCTTCCTCAAAGTCTCGTTGCCCCAGAACTCGCCATTCAGCGTTGTCAAACCGCCAGCCGGCTCACAGCTCTTCCTTCCGCTCAAGGGACCGGGAGATGGGACCTTGACGCCTCCAGCCGCGTATCCTCGGCCCTGCGAGTTGAGCGCAGCCTCGCCCTTGCTGCCCTGGTCCGCGCCGCTTCCGCTGGCAAGACCGGGACCGCCGGGCTGTGCACCGGTGGTCTCGGTAGCGTGCTTGAGGGCGTTGAGCAGCGATTGAGTGGTCTCGTAGGTCAGGTCCTCGTAGAAGTCGTCATTGATCTGGATCATGGGGGCGTTTGCGCAGGCGCCAAGGCATTCGACCTCTGTCATGGTGAAAAGGCCATCCTTGCTGGTCTGGCCATGGTGGATGCCCAGGGTGTCCTCGCAGGCCTTCATGACGGAGTCGCTGTTTCGGAGCATGCAGGGAGTCTGATCATGTCAGTTGATGCCTTGGAACCCGATTCCGTTCGTTCTTACCGTTGTGCAGACCTGGACGTGGTACTTGCCCACAGGGGTCCTGTTGTACATGGTGTAGAAGGTCGCAACCTCGTATACACGCATAGGAGGCATCTCCAATATCCGCGCAACCTCGTTCATGACGCTGATGCTGGTGAATCCGTGCTGTCGCTGTCCGAGATCGAGAAGGGGCATGACGGCGGCCTTCTTGTAGTTGGAGGGGTATCGCGAGACAATCTCCTTGATGAGCTGCTCATTCTGTTCGGTGAACTTGAAGGGAATCGACGGGTTGTTCTCTGGTGTGTCGCGGTGCTGCAAGCCGTGTTAGCAGTGCAATTGACGTCTGGAGCTCGTTCAAAGTAGGTACGTACAATCATGAGGTTGTCGCTTCGCGCAGGTCGGGAAACGCTGAAAGCGCGCCATTGGGGGCGCTGAACACGCAGGGCACGCGAGGTGCTGCGGCAGGCGAATGGTACCAGTTTCGAGGCCATCGTGGAGTGTGCGGGTTGGACTGGGGGCGACAGCGGCTTCGTGATGTCGACGATCCGCAACTTCTCGGTAGCAGCAACTTGATGTCTTGGCATCGTCCGTAATCATCCATCCCTGGCCGCGTGATTGGTCAAGCGGCCTTTGGCTACCTCTCTCTCCGACTTCAACCCTCGCAAAGTCCACTACATTGTGTCAAGGGGTGGTGCATTAGTCAACAATACTACTTCTTTCGAACATGGGATTCTACCACCGACAATAATCTCTAGAGCAATAATTTCTAGAGCGGACAGCGGTCGAGGTCTGCGCTTGAAGGCTACCATGCCTGCACGCCCACTGTCACCACCTGGTGGACAGCAGTGCCATTGTATTTCTTCAACATCGGTTTTCAGCCTTTCGCGTGCAGATGCGGCTTACTTTGCGATGGCACTACCAGGCTCTCACTCTCTCAGAGTATCTGTGGCCCTGATATAGCCACGATGCACTGCCAGACACGATGTTCGCAGCAGCGCACCCACGTTCGGCCTCGAAGCAGAGGCGAACCGCAAGGACCCACGTGACGACCACCCACTGAGGCGGTCAGAGACACAATGTTGGCAGCGGGGTATCCGCAGCCCTCTCTTCTCAGCGTTCCATGTCGATTCCAGAACCTCGATTGGCGCTTGCGCCTCACTTTTGTGGAGCAAGGCGAACAACCAACTATTCACACGTTTGTATTGCTGTCAATGCATGCAACTAACAGTGTCGACATGCAAAACACTAACGCGAATACATTCATGTGCTCCACTTCTCAGGTGGGAAGTCACATGGACAACGGGGCTCCATATAATCTGCTACTGCTACAACCGTGCAACAAGCACTAAACCTCCTCCTTGAGCGCACGACTAGCTCGTACTTTTCGAGATCCCCAACATGTGTAAGTTTACCTATACATATCGCGAATGTACCCACCGACACCAGGATCACGTCGACACAAGCTCATGCAGATACTTCAAGCAAAGGGGCGTACATTGCGACCCCGACAGTCTGAAGCACAAAGAACGAGGGACAATCGTAATTACTAAAAAGAAGAATGGACCATGTGACATGTGTATCCGGCAAGCTCAGAAGAAGAGGACAGAGAAGGAGGAGATTGCGGCGCTATTGAGAGAGCAGGAAGAAGCTGCGAAGGCGAACCAGGCTGAGGCCGAGACCTATAGAGTACAGCAGGCTGCCTGGGAAGATGAGCAGAGGAAAGAGAGGGGCTTGAAGCTAGCACGTCAGGTCCAAGAGGAGTTGGACAGAGAAAAGGCTGAACAGCTGCAACAGGAGGAGAATGAGCGAGCGAAGCAGGAAGAAAAGGCCAAACGCGATCAACAGGCTGAGCAGGAACGCATACAGCGCGGGAATGAGAAAGCCCGCAAAGCGAGACTCGATGCAGCGGAAGCCAGGCACAAAGCTGCTGAAGAGAAAGAGAAACGTGAAAAAGAAGAACAGGCTGAGGAAGATCGAGCAGAAGCGCGGCGACAGAAAGAGATGGCTGACCTTCAGGAGAAGCTGGCAAGGGAGGAAGAGGATGAGCGTGAGCGTAAGCGGCAAGAGAAGGTAAAGAAGGACGCTGCGAGCAAAGACGCCAAGCATCAGGAGGCGCTGAGACAATTGAAAGAGGAGGCCGACCGTAGGCGTAAGCAACAGGCAGAAGAAGATGAAGCTGAACGCCTTCGAGAGGAGCAACTCGAGAAGGAAAGGAAGGAACAGCAGGCTGCCGACGAACAGAAGAAACGTGACGAAGAAGCGGAACTCGCACGTCGACGTAAAGAGATAAGTGATCGCAATGAGGCACTGAGGAAAGCAGCGCAGGAAGCAGAGAAGCGTGAACGGGACGCCGAGCATGCAAAGAAGATTGCGCAAGCAAAAGCAGATGTTGAGGCTCAAGAAAGGGAGATGGAGGAATTGCAGCGCAAGTTAGCGCAACGAAGAGTTGTGTCTGAAACCGAGGCGACCTCTCCGCCGTCCACGGAGCCAGCAACTCCCACTCCCAAGCCGATATGTCCCACACCCAAGCCCCCTGTAAACTACGGCGAAATCATAGGTCACCATGGAACCCAAGAAATTGGATACGGCATGATCGGTAACCGGCGTATACCTCTCCACGAATCCCAGAAGAAATCCGAACAACCAAAGCCTCCAATTTCACCACCCGCCTCCAAGCAAGCACTTACTCCAATGGCTCGCCTGGGAGGACCGGTCCTTTCAAGCCCAAATGACTACAAGATCCAACCACCCAGCATCGCCGCCACACCATCTACACCAACGCCAGATTGGAGGAAGAACATGCGCCCAAGAGCAGGATCGAGGAGTATACCTGCGTCCGAGGCGGCAAGTCCAACCTCCGAACTAGCAGCGCGACTAGAGAAGCGACGGGCCTGGGAGGCTGAACAGGAGATATTAGAGGCAGAGAAAGCAAAGACGAGCCAAGAAAAGAGCGAACCAGGCTGGGAGATGGTGGACAAGACAACGGCTCCTGTCTCCACTCCCTCGAACCCTGCACCCCCTCTCCCTCCGCCCACGATGACGAAACCTTCCTCCCCTCCTCCAATAAAGCCGGCATGTCCTGCAGCAACGATAACGAAGCCTACCTCGCCACCACCTCCCCCGACCAAGACAAAACCCAAGCCACCGCCACCAGTCAAGCCGAAGCGCATCGCTAGCGCCTCCTCGCCTTCCACAACCCCCGTTCCCATCCCTATCCCCACCCCTCCCCCGATGCCCTCCCTACCAGCACGGACCCGTGTGGACTCAGCGGCCGCACCATCCGCAATGACAAGTAAAGAGGGTGAGGATGAGGATGAGGATGAGGATGAGGATGACGAGGGAGCATGTAGTGAGCAGGATAGGAGTGCGATGCGGACACAACGGCTGGACGACAAGTATGGAAAGCAGAGGAGGAGTGGGTGGAGAGGGAGAGGGGAGTGAAGTGGCATGAGGTGGATGTGTGATGTCGCAGGGGTTGGTAGTGGCATCAAGCTTTTATTTATGTTTAGATGTCTGAAGTCTGTATGTATATCTTGTACCTTTCAAAGGCTCTGCCGTACATCACTGTAGTGGTCTGAGTAGCCTGATGTATATGTGTTGTGTACCTGGCACCTGCGTTTGCTGACAGCCCTTTCTGCCGCATCAACATTTCAACTACTGCATACTTTTCTTTGCCAAAGCATGTGAATGTGACGGTCAGGAGACGTAGTACTCCCGCTGCAACGCCTCAGCAACGTACAGAACATCATGATCTGGGAACAGCTTGTCCTGTGCATCGTCTTCGAGATTGTCCAGGCACTCTGTGTAGGTCTTGCACTGTCGTGACTTAGTCAACACCCCAATGACTGCCTCCTGGGTGGAACATACCACGTGTGGATCGTACTCGGCGTACTTCAGAAACGCAGCGACCTTCCTCTTGAAATCGAGACTCGTCTCATTGAGGTTCGGATCGAACTTGCGTGCAAAGCCGCCCGCGTACCTATTCCCGTCAACACGTGTGCAATCCCTCGAGTGGAGTGAACGACTCACCCTCGAAGCTTCGCGCTGCTGTTCTCCCGCTTCATGACGTCCACCATCAGCCTAGCACTCACAGCATGATCCGCATGGTCATCCCTCCTATCCTCCTCATCCGGCACCCCAGTCTTATCGTCCAGCACACGAACCTCGGTGGCACCACTCTCCCTCAATATCCCCGCGAGCAGATCCTTGAGTGAATCGAGCGTGTACGTCGTGTTCCCGTCCGTAGTCGTGATCCTCTTGATATCGCCCTCGTACAACTTCCTCAGTGACTCGCCCTCATGCACACCATACCCGGAGCCAGCGGGCCCACCATCCGGCAGGCGCAGATAAACAATCTGCATATTGTCTGCCTCGTGATGCTTGCTCACCCGCACATCCGCGTCGCCGACTCGGACTGTGTTCGCCAACCATGTCTGGTTCCCCATCTCTGCACCGGTCATCCACGAGTACGCGGCTTCAACGCCTTGTTCCAGAGAGTGAGATTGGTTGGCCCCAAGGCCGCGGTCGCCAGACGTGAAGAGGACGGTGATGACGCATTTGTAGACGTACAGGTCGTGGAAGAGATCCGGGTTCTGGTAGAGGAGGGTGTCGGCTGGGTGCGCGGCGAAGCAGAGTGTGCCACTGCGTTAGTTAAGTAAGATGAGGGTACAAAGAAGCTGAGTACCTCCTACCCTGTGCAACTGGACATGTTGGAGGGCGTGGGGGTGGCTGGAGCACCCCTGGCTAAGGCGAAGAGCAAGGAGAGGGAAGTAACGAGGGAGTGGAGTGAGTGCATGATGGGAATGCAAGACGAGTGCAGCAGCAGCGAGAGTGGTTGTGGGAGGTGAGTGAGTGAGGTGTGTCGCAGAGAGCAATCAAGCGTTTGTGGCGAGTGAGACTTGATGCAGGAAGGAGACGCCACGAGGGTAGTGAGGGAAAGAGCAACTTCGGCCACAGTGGTCTCCTACTTCAACCCCCACCCTGGAGGTATTCAGACTACTCAGATCCGCCAGCCTACTTCCGATACCTCCCAACAATCTTCCTCCTCTTCTCAAATACATCCCCCGCCGCACTCCCGCTCCCCCTCGGCCCATCCTCGACCGGCCTCTTCCTGCTCTTCTCGAGACTCCCCTGTCCACTCCCGCCCTTCTTCTGCGTGAGCCTCTCGATCCTGTCAATGCCCGCGCCCAACCCTCTCCACTCCTCGCCACCAAAACCACCGGTCCTGCCTCTATCCGCCTTCCTCTGCTCCTTCTTACTCTTGGGCGCCAGGCGCGTGAAGTTGCTCTCCTCGTACTCGCGCCTCTCGTTCTCTTCCCGCCGCTCCTTTTCGGATTTCGTGTGTCGTCCGCCGTGCGTGATGGTGCTGCCGATTGAGGGCTCCGCGATGGGCGCAGAGGAGAGTTCGGTCGCGATGAACTCGTCAAGGGTGGAGGATTTGTTGGGGCGGCGGTCGCGGCGCTCGGCGCGGCCTTCGGTTGTGGGCATGGCCATGGGTGTGATCCTGGGTGGGCGGTAGATGCCGTCCTTTGCGGACTCACGGTCGCGTGCGGACGGCTCTTCTGGCTTTTCACGGAGAACAGCGGCTTTGTTGGGTGCGTAGGACATCTCGTCTTCCGAGTCGGCGGTCTGGTCTGAGGCGGCGGATTCGGCGTCGCTCTCGTCGGAGCCGGATCCTGTGTCGTTTCTGGACTTTCTCGCTCTCGGCTTTGCGGTCGCTTGCGCGGTGCGGCGGGCTGCGTCGTCTGCGCTGCGGATGATCTTGTCGATGTTGTACTTCAGCCGGTTCTCGAGTGGTCGCACGCCCTTTTCGAGGTAGATTCGGAGCTCGACAAGCTTCTGCACGACCTCATCTTGCGGGTGGAGTTGGTCGCTTTCGCCAGATGACCGTGCCCGCAGTTTGAGGAGTATGAGGAAGACGAGGTTCTGGAGGTAGGAGAGCAAGAGCTCGTTCTTGACGTCGAGCAGCGAAATGCCTTCTTTCGGCGGTAGAATGCCGTCCTGGGGCATGGCCTCGGTGGCAGACTGTATGGAAGTCGTGAGTGTCGCAAGGAGCGACTCTAGGGAGTTGTCGACCGCCATGGTATTACGGAATCCGTGGAGTTGTCGTTGTCGTTTTCGTTATCGCGTGTCGCGTGTCGCGTGTCGCATTCGAGCTGTCAAGAAATTTTTGGAGTTTCCCTATCGATAGGGATCGCGCTACTTTTGCCGCTAGTAGCGTCACCCTTCAGCAACCACACCCCGGCCTTGACGGCTTCGGACGTCCCCAGAGTTGAGCAGAGTTGAGCAGAGTTGAGCAGAGTTGAGCAGAGTTGAGCAAAGTTGAGCAGAGTTAAGCCAATTTGAGCAAATACGCTCCCGGGGAAGATGGTCAGCTACCCTGCATTCAATCCGCCCCACGATCAAAGGTTTCAATGGACTGCACTCATGACATGGCGACGCAAGAAAAGATATGTATTCAACCCTTAGGGGAAGGGCATCTCCCGTGCGTTCAACCACGCTTTGTGCCCAACCAGAACGCCGATATATGCAGTCAAAACGCAACTCACATCCCAAAATAATGCGCTTTACGCCAGTGTAAAGATGCAGCCACACTAATCCAAGTCCTCCGGCCTCTTGACCGGGCTGGCTCTTGCTGGAGACTCCACGCCTGCCGGTCCACTGACACCTGGTGCAAGCTGCAAGCTAGCCCTGATGCCCCTGTTCACGCTCACTGACGGGCTGCTGCCGCCGCGGTCTGGGTCAGCGGTGTTGACGGGCGCGTACTCTTCCTGGCCATCCAAGTGTGCTTTGAGCAGATGCTCCTCCCTCATCTTCTTGATCTTCATGTAGTTGTACAGCGCGATGCTGCCGATAGTGACGATCAGGCCTGTGAGGTTGATGGGCGTGAGCGGGTCGTTGAAGACGAGGTTTGCCGTGGTGATGGTTACGACCTCCTTGAAGATGCCGCAGATACTGAGTGTGACGACCGAGGTTCGCTTCAGCAGAGCAAATTCAGACGATGTCATCAGGAAGGCGAGACAGCCGGGGAAAATAAGGATGCCGACGCCAAGGGCTGTGCCTTCCTGGTCGAAGAGACGGGCAAGACCTTCCCGTAGAGCACCGAACCCCTCCACGGGAACGGCGAGAACGAATATGCTGATGAACATGACGGGCGCGAGGAAAAATATCGAGGAGAATGGGTTTGCGGTTGCAGGGTTACGGAGGAGGAGGATTTGGGTGAGGGACCAGCGGAAGCCAGAAGAGCAGGCCGAAGCCATGACGAGAATGAAGCCTAGGGCGTGGAAAGCGGTCTCGCCGGCGACCATCATGACGACGCCGACGGTCATGATTGCGATGATAAGCACAAGGCGCCATGAGGGCTGCTCGAGGCGGAAGAGGAAGGCGAAGATGAGCACGAAACCGAGTGCAGACGACTTGCACATTGCTGCTGCTGTTAGCTGCATTCAAAGATGCGACATCGATCACTTACTGAAGAAGGTCAGGGAGATAAACTTTAGACTCGTGTTGCCCAGGCCAATGTCCATGCCAGTCGCTGCACCACAGGGTCCTATCCGCGAAAAGTAGAACCACTTGGTCATGAGCGGCTTCTTGGGGTCTACTGGCTCCGCACGCGCGCCCGTCGCGTGGAGGTTGAGAGAGTCGTGTCGAGGTCGAAGGGAGGGCACCAGGAACAGTACGAGAGAGGCTAGCGAGAACTGCACCAGCATGTGCAGACACGTCGTGAACAGTGGGAAAGGAAAGATGTTTTGCGTTGCGCCGCCGCCCTTGTCGACCTTGAACATCCACTTGTTGTAGACGGATATCGATATCGAGAACAGGTACCTGCGGGCATGTTAGCAGCGACCCCTTGCAAAGCCAGGGTGGTCATCGTTACCACAGGCATATGAGGACGGCATTGACGAGCATCGAGCGGTACAGGCTCTGGTCGGCGAGCGCCTTCTCCTCCTTGGTGTACGCGGGGCCTGCATCGGGCACTATGCGGTTGTCGAGCAGCGTGTTCCTCCGCTTCCGCTTTGCGTTCTTGCGGCGCACCTTCTTCGTCAGCCCCGTCTCCTCGTCGTCGTCCAGCCCGTCGGCGCTCATGTCGTCGAGCTGGAAGTCGGTGCTGTCGCTGCGCGATCCACTGTCCGACGCGTTCCCCGAGCTGTCCTCCCCTTCCTCGGCAATGTGGTCGTCCCGCGGCGTCTTGCTCCTGCGCTTGCGCTCCTTCGTGCTCGTGGCGGCGGCGGCGGCGCCAGTGATCGAGGAGGATCGCCGTCTCGTCGACTGCTCCATGCCCCCAAACGTCGCACCCGTCGGCGTGGGCGGGTGGATGAGCTTCGCTACGTCCGCCGGGCCTCGCTTAGCAGCAGTAGTCTTGGTGGATGTTCGGCGAGGTGCGTGGTGGTGGTGGTGGAGGTCGTCGTCGTCGTCGTCGTCGTCGCCGCTGCTGAGGTCGGAGAGGCTGCTGGTCGAGGGAGGGTTCGAGAATGTGCGCAGCGGGAACTCATCGCCCGGGTGCAGCAACGTGTCAGACGGCGGTCTCGAAGCGGTGTCGTCGAGCCAGCGTGCTACGGCGGAGTCTGAAGTCATGTTTACCCCCGGCCTCGCGCCTGATTCGTCTAGTCCACTTGGCGATCAGATGAGCTGGGCCCGCGGAGAGTGCGGAGCTAGCATCAGGGGCTGGCGGGAGCATGCGCTGGCGATGATGTCGACGGAGCGCTGCTGCAGGTACAATGGCTGCAGACCTTGGAAGTGCGAAGCTCGCAGCGACGGGCGGCAGATCCTCTGAGATTCGGATCAAGGCTGTAACACTTCTGGCCTCGACCAGGGTACGGGCACGCTGGCAGTGAAACGCGCCCAATCGTCCAATGGGCAGCCCACGGGTCGCGTGCTCGTAATGAGCGGGGCAGCGTGCTGTGGCTGCTGTGGCTACGATAGCAGCACCTGGACCTGTCAGCGATGATGAGATGCATGTGGACACAGACACATGTAGCACCGCGAGTCTCATGATAGCACCGCGAGTCTCATGATAGCTGTTGAAGCTCGTGAATCAACGATCGTGTACTCAACAGTCATTCTTTGTATCTAGGATTGTACCTGATATTACATATCGATAGATGCGCCATAATGTCGACGCCAACGGGTATGCTTGTGGGATTTCCTCCGCATCCAAAACCCCCAATCAACGCCGTCCCATGCACATCAGTCCCTACAAATGAAAGAGGCCAAGACCATGCTTATGCTGCTGCAGGCGGTGCAACGGGCTGGCTCGGTAGTTGCTCAATCTGCCGTATCAAGAAGCTCTTCTCGTCTATGAACTGCTCGTCTTCCGTGCGGTCGTCGAGGAAGTTGGGCAGGAAGCGTAGCAGCTTCTCGCGGTTGCTGATCAATATTCGCTGCACGGCCATGGACTTGTTCGGGTTCGCGACAAAGACCTGGGGTGTTAGCATTGTGTCCTGGTAGCTACATGGACTGGGACGTACCTTGAACACATGGAACCCCTCGTAGTTGATCATCCGCCTGTCGTCCCGCAACAGCTTCATGATGATCTTGAGATGCTCGCCAGAGTCCACGTACTGCGTCATTACGCTGTAGTTTGCTCGATCAAGCAGAATCTCGCCCAGCAACTTGATAGATTGCCGCTTGGTTACGTAGCTTTCCGACGATATCAGCATGTTGTTGTATTTCGAGAAGAACATCTCAAAGTTCGTCTGTAGAAATGTGGCGACGAGTGGCTTGTGTTTGGTAAGGATTTCCTGTGGTCGTCAGTCATGCAACCCAGACGTCTGAGGGATACCCTTACTCTGAATGTATTGAATGCGTCCGCGCTGAGCTCAAATGCACCTTTGTCTATCCAGTCGAAGAATCTCCAAAATATGCCATTGCCGGACGCAGGTATGTCTGGATTGACATTGGCTAGATCCAATTGCTTCCCGTCCTCGTCGCCCTCGTCGTACAACAGCAATGCAGCAATTGCGTCGTATCTCAGAGCCTCGCGCAATACTCCTCCACATGGCATGGCGCTTTCCCGTCTGTCGTAACCTCTGCATAACGCTATTATGATATCTGGGCGGAATTGTACGATGTGGTGTAGCACTTGAGGGTCGGTTTGGCCGGCGGGCTTGTAGCGGAAGGCGGACGAGAAGACGACTTGTGCATCTTTGCGCGATTCGAACGGCAGTTTGTGTATGTTTATTGCTAGTATGTAGAGCAGGTCGTCGCTCAAAATCGCCGAGAGGAGCTGGAATACGAGTTCGGGATTGACTTCTGTATCTGTACAGTCGTTAGCGTTCCTTGTTGGCGTCAGAGAGTCCGCATGTGTGAAGCGTGGCTTAAGATATATAGGAAACGTGAGTAGTACCAGGCGTACCCTGAAGCCTCAACTTCATCTGCTGCAGGTCCCGAGCAAGCTCCTCTTCCAGCTAGCAATCGTCAGCAACGTTGGGCTCTTCGACTGCGGGGTACATTCACACCTTTGCATTGGGCTTGTCCTCCTGGCTAAGGCGGACTGTGAGGTCCTTGGTCGACCGTGTGAGCTCAGCATTGCTCTTCTGCTTGTTCCGGAATAAGAATGCCATATTGAGGGGAGGTCCAGTACGGAGGGGTGATATTCCAGAACGGGGGGAGGGAGGAGGGCTGTGGGCGCCAGACAGCTGCTATCTGGATGGCAAGAACATGCAGACGGTTCTGAGTTTGTTATGCCCGCGAAGGGGTGTTGTGGCGGTCGTTACAGGGGTAGTATGCAGTTTGTTGTTGCGCTGCTACTATGACGAAGTTCCAGCCCTACTGGCATACGTTGGGAAGGTGAAACCCTGCATAACTAGCGCTGGCATCCTTGCCCATCACCCGCTGCCACATGGAACCACATCCCACAAGATCACATTACAGAAGTTTACATGAGGAACATGAGTCAGTGTGTGGTGATTTGCTATTTGTGTATCTTTTCCGTCAAGGGTGAATCTATGTCTATGTACGTATTTATCTCTTCCGTATTATAATATTTCCTCCGTCACGCGAGCGCGATATCTCGCTCTAGTCGCGAAAGTATGCATGGTCGAGGACCTGTTCTAGTGAGCTTGAAATTCTGTGTGCTTTTTGCGGTTCTGCTTACCTTCAATGCTGTCATGCGTGCTCCGCTCTCGTACCGAACGAGTTCTGATACAAGCTCCTGCCCCTCTTCAGATACCCGTGGTAGCAGCTTACCCCAATGCTCCTCAGGATACTCGTAGAACTGCACTTTACCCCAGTCTGGGAACTTCGCGGCCTCCTAGTTGGCATTAGTCACTTCCTTTCTAGGGAGATTTCAGCACTTACGGGCCAGCGAGTCAATGTGGGCGTTCCCAGCTTCTTAAATATGCTCTGCAGCAACGCTAGGTCGCTTCCCAACTCTCCAGAGTCGAACAAAGTCGTGTGATCAGGATCCAGTATTTCGGCAACGGTACAGCCAGCCGCCCACAGGTCGAGACTGCAGTCGTATGCTTTGTTGCCAAACAGCAGCTCTGGTGGTCTGTAGCATGTTGTGCCTACATCTGTGATCTTTGCATCCGGCGCTTCGGAGCTCGGAGTGTCTGGCGCCCAGGCGATGCCAAAATCCGCAAGATAGGCTGGCCCATCGAGTGACTTTAGCAATATATTCGAAGGCTTGATGTCGCGGTGGATAATGCCGTGTTCGTGAATAAACGCGAGAGCAGAGAAAAGATCTTTCAGCCAGATCTTTATTTGTGTCTTTGCAAATTTTCCTTCTCTTAGTACAACACCCAAGTCCAGTGGCATGAATGGGAAGACCAGAACAAACCGACTGCCGTCCTCTCGGAAGGCGTCAATCAGTGGGATAACGTTGGGACATGCTGCCTTCTTCAAGATCTCGGCTTCGCGTCTCGAGTCGTGCGGCGGCTCCATCATCGATGGCGAGGTGATCTTGAGTGCAACAAATTTGGCCTTCGATGGTGCGTCTGTCGGAAAGTATCCATCATCATTCAAGGCAGGTGCCTTGTAGATGGCAGAAAAAAGACCTTCTCGGTAGTAGAGAGCATTCTGATACATGCCCACTGAGATTGCGCCAGGAGTGGGTACGTATTTCGTGTCCTGTCATTTGTCAGTTAAGATTGTAGTGATTACGTATGGGGTGTGTGGATGTTACCTCTGGAGTCGGGAACTGAAGGAACCGTGGAGGATAACTCGCAACTTTCTCGTCTATTGAACTTTGATATTCGTCCTAAAGCCTCGTTACTAACCAGCCGCCGAATAACGGTGTAGTTCTCGTACGATTGAGCAGACTTCGTCGTATATCCTGGTCTCGGCTACGATGGCTTCCTTGTGCGCATCATTTGCTGGTAGCAAAGGATTCGAAGCATGACAGGCGTCTATTCTGCGAAAGATTAGCTTGATGCAGGCCAGCATTGCAAACAAGTGATAAGAGAAAGTACACTGAAGTTTCGAGGGAGTTTATACACGGTTCGTAAGCACAACATGGTCCAGATCTCGATCAAGCTGCGTAACCTAGAGTTAGACAACGCTCGTTCCTGGCGCCGCCCGAGCAGACCGAGACACCAGGAAAATGAGGCGTTCAAGAGTCGTCTCTTGGGCAACAACAGCTTTTCTTGAGTCGTGATTTCGATATCGTATGAAAGCAGTAGTCCTTAACGAGGTGCTCCCTGTGCCAGGGTTCAGGGGTCTGTACATGGATGTGATAGTACTTGCATTTTCGTAACAGCACGCATGCGATCCGCAAAGCCAAAGCGTGCACGCCAGTCTTGAGAAGCCATTCGGACTGAAGAAGGAGTGAAGACTGCTGTTTTGTTTTCAGATTCACGAAGAGGCGGTCAGTGGAGTGAAGAAGGTCGAATTTGCCGAAATATCTAACGGCCCAAAGCAGCAGGGTCCACCAGCTTGGATTGACAGGTACCAGCGCATCTGTCTGCATTTCCCTGGCGGCCGCCCTATCCACGTCGACATCGCTCTCTCGCTGGGTTTGACCCCGCTTATAGTCTTTGGATCCTCGCTGGGGTACAACACGTTTATTATTTGTTTCCAAGGTTACGTCAATCCCGGCAAGCCCGCAGTCCTAGCCGCATCGCGTTACCCTCGAGCCCCAACCTCATTACGTACCGTCGAGGGAGCTCTCACGACACTCCACGAGCTTCCTGGAGCTGTATTCTTAGGCGGAATCATTGAGGTGTCCGCTTGTGACTGTGCGCGCATCCCCGCAGTTGCCATGGAGCTCCAGCGCAAAGAGTACCCAGCAGTGCTGGTGAGCTGCCATCACGCCCTCCCACCAGTGTCCCTTGTCGACTCACGCAATGTGTAGCAAGCCCTCTCGCCCGCGCAAGCCGTCGACGTCCTCAGTGGGCGCATGAGGCATGTGAACCAATTGAACACGCAGATCGCCGACTGGCTGCAGGTGCGTGAATCTCGGTAGACTCGCATCATGCCACGGTGCTCACCAATGCGCAGGAGCGGCGTCGCGTCGAAGAACAGTATGCCCAGGGACTGCGGAAGCTGGCGAACAGGCATCCACCGGACGATGCATCAGAATTGGGGTATGCGCGTGTACAAGATCATTCTGGGCGCATTGACTGACGCCCACCAGCATCTTCTCCGTGCCATGGCAGAAACTCGTGAGCGCAACCGGCGCCGTTGCCGAATCTCATGAGCGCCTTGCACGCAAGATTGAATCTGACGTCGAGCGACCTCTGCGCGAGTTTTATGCAAACGACCGAGAAGTACAGGCCATGGGCAACATGTCTGGGAACTTGGCCGCAATGGCGAAAGACGTCGACGCCGCGCGAAAGAAGTCAGAGAAACTCAGGGCCAAGGGCGCAAAAGCGAAACCTTCTGAGGTCGGCGAGGCAGCGCAAGAGGAGCAAAACGCCGAGCTCCAATGGGACTCGCAGGCACCATTCGTTTATGAGAAGCTGCAGGCAGTAGATGAGAGCCGACTCAACCACCTGCGGGATGCCCTTACACAATTCCAGACGCATGAGGTTGATCAAGTGGAGCGAAGCAGGGTTACGGCAGAGGAGACTCTCAACGTATTGCTGAACATAGAGACGGCAGACGAGATACAGACGTGGTCCTTGAGACTGCGAAGTGGAGACATCCCGCAGCCAAGTCGCAAGATGAGCATCGCCCCACCGGCGTCTCCAGCCAGGAATCTAGCGCCACCTCCAGTGCCATCAGCAGCTGGTCCTTCAGACGATGCTCGAAGCCAGAAGAGCGGTTCTAGTATGAACATATTTTAACCTTGAAGTGCCAACACTGACCAGGAACAGCTCAAGAAAAGCACAGCTCCAACCCTTTGAAGCGATTTGGTACCGTACTTGGGCGTCGAAGACAAAGTGCTCACCCATATGGCCGCGCATCTTCACCCGAACAGAAGTCATCCTCGAACCTCGGCTCAGCATTTGGATTTGGGAAGGGCAAGAACAAGGACAAGGATGTGCCCCCTCCCTCCACCGCAGACCGACCACGCTCACCCCTGAGGCGCCTTTCATCGAGACGCGAATCGGAAAGAGCACCATCGCCAGTACACCCTCCGCCTTCGAGAGACGTAGATGAGCCGAATGGATTCGGCACCACAGCCTCGAACGAAGTTGAGACGAACGCAGCCCCAGTCAATGGAGCTACGCAAGACTCGATACCAGAACTGAAAGAATCCCTGGCCCCTCCACCTACCACCGAACCTAAAGCGGAGCCTGAAAAAGATGCTGAAGGTTTCTCCGTGCCGCCGTCCACCCTCGACGCAATTACAGAAGCCGAGCGTGAGGCCGGATTGTAAGGAATTCCTTTATAGCATTGGGAGCTACGCACTGACAGTTCCCCAGTAGCCTGAGCGAAAGCAATTCCACACCTCAGTTCAAGCTCGACATTAGAAATGCACCAATCCAGGAAGAGGGAGAAGATAATGACGCTGCCATGGCCAGTGTGGTTAACACTCTGCGCGCGGTAGGTAACATCAAACTTCTGGGGATATTTCGGTCTAATGTGATCGTAGCAAGCCGCACAGCCCAAACGGAACAGCACACTTCGAGGACGCCGCGATGTTCGTAACACGATATTCTTGCCCAATCCCGCTGTACCAGAGTTGCAGAGCATAGGAGAGTCACCTGCACCGGCACTTCCTGCCACTGGGTCGTCTCCATCGAGTGCTACGTTCCCTTCTCCCAGCACACCTACAGTGTTCCCTCCACTCATTCCTCCTCCGCAGCCTGCTTCTCCAGTTTCCAAGCTTCCCCACAGAGCTTTGCTGTCTGATGAACATGCCGCACCAGCATCAGACACCCAGTCAATTCGATCGGGCCGGTCATTGAGCAGCTCCGCTAGCGCCACTGTCAAGCACCCGGACCTGCAGGAGCCAGGGTTGAACGCCTCACTCGTAGAGACCGTCAGTGCGTGGTTCGAACAAGGCAATGTTACCAAGGCCATGGTAATCGGGCAGGTGGCGCTCGCATTCAATCCCGTTGACATCTCAGCCGGGCCGTTTGGCACAGAACACATCCGCTTGGAAAACTTTCCTGTGCTCGAGAAGGTGGCGCCAAACCCTGCTTTCATCGAACAGATCCCTGATGACCCAGGAAACTACACTGTTGACTTGGCAAAGATCACGAAGACGTCAGTCGCTTTTCACTACCAGCTGCACATCGAAAACAGCAGCATCGCCGCACTCGCTCCTATCATCCTTACTCCACTGTGGAAAGCAGAACCAACCCAGGTCTCTGCCATCCTCAACTACTCACTGAACCCACAATTCGATCTGAGAGGTGCTTCCAGCGTCACGATCCGCAACTTGGTCCTTGTCATCCGCCTCGAACCCGGGTCCAAGGCTACATCATGCCAGTCCAAACCTGCCGGCACCTTCTCGCGCGACAAGGGGCTTATCTACTGGCGTCTAGGCGACGTGACACTCTCGCGTGACCAGCCTACGCAGAGCATCCGTGCGCGCTTCATCTCAGAAGGCGAAGCTAAGCCGGGTAACACAGAAGCTCGATGGGAGATCAGCGGGAGCGAGTCCCTCAGCTTGGGAAGTGGGCTGGGCGTTAGCTTGAGTGCGCCGGGTGAGAAGCAGGATGTTGAGGCTGATCCGTTTGCGGACGAGGATAATGTGGCATCTGCTGCGCCGAGCGTGCAGTGGAAGACTGTGCCGAGTGTTAAGCGGATCACGAGTGGTACGTACCTGGGCGTGTAAGAGTTGGATATTGTTGTACTGCTGCGTTTTAATTTATACCACTCGTGACTTCCTGTAGATGTTGTTAGTCGTGCCGTTCATTGCTAGACTTGTACTGCTCCTTCACCGCTACAACCATGTCTCTGTGCTCTGTGCTCAAGTTTCCAGATAGCCAGGTCAAGTATCAAACAATCCTGTCCGGAAGCATTTCCTGGCCATCGAGATCTATAACCTTGCCGTCTGTGCTCCGTCAGATTGTTGTTTAGCATCAACACTTCATCTGCCTGGGAAACGGTCACCGCCATTCTAGCCTAACTTGGGCACCAATTCGCATCGTCGTCGCAATATCCTCGGACCCTGACCACAAGCCGTTGTACACCTCCACACCTTTGCATCGATTTCAAAATACTGTGGACTCACGGTATTTGCTTGGTTAGATTTGTCTGATAACGTTCGATTTTCGGCCCTAACACCCCTAAACGGCGATAAGCGCAGCCGGATCAGACCATGTCCCCACTTGGTAGAAGAGCCCACGTGCGGTGTCAGGCCGGATCTACCCTTCCGGTGAAATATTGGCATCGCCGCCAAATACACCACTTTTTTCTTTTGATATTTCACGATCTTGAGTTGATGTTGATGGGGAGTGGGCTGTAGGTACCGGTATTACAGTTCTTGAAACATTCACAGGTCGCGTAGACTAGGGCTGGACGCCTGATGGGGATGGGTGTCTAGATTCACGGTGTTGCGAGGCGGAGGCCTAGATTGAGGGACGGCGATGCAAGACTTCGAGATGGACACAGCACCTAGATTTGGCAGTGTGGGGTAGGTACGCTCGGTGTTGTGAGATTCCACGGAGACCCCGAGAGGTACGGTTGCCTAGGTGAGTGATTGTTCTACGGGATTTATCTCGCAAATTGTAGGTGAGGGCAGTTGGGTTTTGAAAAGGACAGGCTGTCGCCGAGCTGTCACATAGCAGGCGTGTCAGATCGTGATGTATAGTGGCGGTGCGCATACAGGTGGCAATGTCGGCTGCAATTACATCTGCAATCGCTAGTGTATATTTCGAAGGCACGTGAAGTCAAGGCATATCGAGGGAATGAGGCTCTGTTGACCGAAGCACTGGTTACAGAGCGACTTCCCTGTTTCGAAGCCTTACCTGTTTGGCGAGAGATTGGAATCGTAGACACGGAGCTAGAGGAAGCTAGCAGTGCGAGAGGTCCCTGACGTTCAGCCACGACGCCGATTTGGTGCTGCCGAACAGCGCTTGCCGGTGGGTGTTGTGCAGGCGAGCGGCCAGAGCAGGTCGAGCGAGGCTCTTTGCAGCGCCGGCAGAGCAGACGATCACGATGCGCATGTTTCAATGTTGTCTACCGCGGAGCGCAAGGCTGCTCGACACGAAATGTGAGACTGAAGTCTGCTGAATGCCGACTCTCAGTGGTCGGAATTGCTCAGGCTTGGCAGTCCATGGTGACGTATGTAGGCCGTCCCTTCAGCGCGGTCGAAATCGTCCACCCAGGAGGCGCGCAGAATCTGGCGCCGTCTTGACCGTCCTGGTCTGATACGAATCGCGGTCTGTTCCTGCACACATCCTGCGCGTGCCTTTTTAGGGTTTCTCTCGCAAGTTTCTGGACCTACTGCGCGCAGATGCACTTGCGGTTGCCGCGTGCCGCTTAACTGTTCCAGTTCCCTGATGGTACTTGGATCCACAGGGGATTAGCCCACCATCCCAACTTGCCAATTCTTCTTGCTGCCAGCACCTCCCCGTCTGTCCAACTCCGGGCGCAAGCCGGCATTGCCCTCTTGCAGCCTCAGATTCCGCACTCTCTGCTCTGCTGCGCTGCGTTGCGTGGCTCCCTCGGACAGTCTAGCGGCGCGCATTTGGCCGTGTGCCTGGTTGCACCCTCGAACGCTTTTCATCGACGTCATCTCTCACATATTGCACCGCCGTACCATTCTAACATCCCATCGAATGTTCATACCACCCGGGCCGGGCCCTCTGAAACGACACATTCTCTCTTGCGCCATCGAGGGGGAGACAGGGGGATGCGACTGAGAATATGACCAGAGAACACCAGCCGCCGCCCTCGTCGACTGATGTCACCGCCTCTTCGACCAGCACGCCGCCCAACCCGCAGCACGCCTCGCCCAACGCACCACCACGCCCGTCGCTGCAGCGCCTGCCTCGCAGCGCCGCCGTGCCCAGGACGTCGCCCGCAGAGGACCCGCGCTCGCCTGGACCGCGCCCTGAGGACGACGATGAATCAGCCACGGAGACCGACACCGACATGAGCGAGGACGAGACCGAGACTGGCAACAATGACGCTGGGCCTCGCACACGCGCGGATATTGTGCCGCTGGGCAAAGCGTCGCCAGATGAGTTAGAGATTGAGCGTCTGCGCAACCTGCAGCTGAAGATCCTGCAGCAGCAGCAGCGCCAGCGCATGAGGAACATCTCAGGCAACACGGGCAATGCTGGCCTGGGTGCTCGGAGAGTATCACCAATCAAAGAGGAGCCCATGTCCGCCATGTCACCCACCCTCGAAGGAGCCTTCGCCAACACACCGAGCCCATTGCCAACAGGAGCAACTACGTCAACGGAGTCGACAGAATCGGCGAAGACCATCCGCGGAAGTGTGCCACCCACACCTGCTGGCCACCAGGCATTGAGGACCCCATCGTACCCGTTCCCTACGGTCCCCAACACACCACGATGGGCCTCGTCGTTCCACATGCCCTTCACCAGTCTGTCACCCACAGTGTCAGCCATCCATTCCAGGGAATGGACCGTGCCCAAGGACCGTGTCGCCTCAGAGTCGAGCACACCTGCTGCGTCGACTACACCGTTTGCGCCGGGCGAGAGGGCCCACTTCTTCTCTGAAGCTGAAGATCCTCGCTACCCCAGCCCCAACCTTTACGATTTGGTGCTACAGCTCGGCACTGAGCCTGGCCTTGCAGCATGGTGGACTGCCGTGACCACGATTATGAGAGAGCACTATGGTGCGGAAAGAGCAACACTAGCCGTGCCTGCAGATGCATCTGATATCGAGAACGTGCCTTGGGGCCAGAAGACCACCTACACTGTCACCTTCAGCGATGACAGCCCGCGTGCTGCGACATACCAGGAAGCATCAAATTCCAAGAACCACGCTATCAGAGTGCAGCAGCCCACCCCACAGTCAGAAGAAAGGCCACCAACTGTAATACCAGAAAGGAGGCCAAAGCTGTTCTCGCACCACTCCTTCGCCGGTCACGAGCGGCAAAAGGCTGAAGCAGCCTTCCCCGATTCTCCCACGCCTGTGATACCTGTTCGACCCAGAGGACCATTACGAGCTGTGAGTCATGCCCCGCAAGCGCCTGCAAGGGAACATCCTCTTAGGCAGGTCTCGCAGGCTTCCTTCGATGGATCGTCGTCACCGTTTCCAGGCATCATTAACACCTCCACTTGTGATCCGTCGTTTAGTGATCCGGATTTCTCAAGTGTCGGTGAAGAGCCACCAATGCCCACCGCTGTCTTCAGCGTACTACGCGCTCTCGATCACGAACCGGACGCTCTGATAGACAACACCGGTGTCAGTCGCGTCTTGGAACGAGGACGCTTGGTTACTTTGACACGAGACTACTCGACATCTATGTCGACTTCTCGTGAAGACCTGCTTGAGAAGGAGAAGGAGAAGTCAGAAGAAAACAAGCCATCAGCTGAGAAAGCTGGCACCATAGGACCAGAAGCACTCAAAGCCGGACGTGGCCATGTGGGACTTACCGCAAAACCAGGAAGTCTTGGTGTTGGCAATCTGGGATTACGACCTCGTTACGAAGAATACGAACAATACCCAGCGTCGCCGTGGGCACAGTCACCCGCTCCGTCGCCGGCGATACAAAACGATGCAGAAGCAAACCCTTTCTTTGCTACCAGCAATGTCGATGAGGACACATTCAACCCTTCCAAGTCTCCTCAAGACTACACCCAGTATGGTGTCGTCGAAGCAATCGGTGTAGACAGAGCGAGCACTGTCACCCACATTCCACTTATTCACCCTACTCTGTCTCAAGTCATGCATACTGCTGATACAGGTACACCAGCTCAGACACCAGACTTGTTCCACAGACAGTCTGAGCAATCATCACAAACTTCGACACAGCAAAAAGAAGGCTTCGTTCGCCGAGCTCCCATCGCCATCCTCTCCATCCTATCACCTATTGTCCCTTACCCTCGTAACCTTACCAACTCGCTCAAACACCTTGCACCCCATCTAGCGACATCGTTCTCGAACGCCTGGCAATTTACCAATGCCCAAGTCCAGGTCAACTCGGCGAGACAGCGGCGAACAATTGGACAAGGTCCCGGTAGCACCAACATCTCAGACCCCGAGAGTCTCGACGACCTTCTGCATCTGGATCTAGGAGACCTTTCGAACTCCACAGCTGGAAGTATTACTAGCCCTTCCGACTATTCTGGCCGTTCTAAGCACAGTCCTGGGGGCTCCATCACCGGCACACCTGGATGGGATGCCGCCTCTTTGGGTTTCTCAAGCAAGCATTCTATCAACAGCACACCTGGCCATCTTGCGGGGAGTGAGGCGGTCGAGAGCTACTTCGATGCAAAGAAGAAGACGACGAGGGCACCGAGCCAATCGAAGACAGCTGAGAAGAAAAACGAGAAAAGAGCTAGTGTCAATCCGGTCGTGGAGTACTACGAAGACGATGCCCTCACGCCAAAGAACGAGCAGGTAATCACCAAAGACGAGGGCTCGAATGCAGGAAAGAAAGCGCAACACCAACGTGGTCACTCGCTCCTGCATTCGTACGGTGCTGACTTCGGATCATCGTTCCAATCATTGCCGGTAGCAACCACTCCAGGAGGTCACGCACCTGCTTCTCCTGGACATGGAAGGAGAAACTCGATCACCGAGACTTTCGACATGCCGCCGCCGTCTGAAAGTCTGCTGCGCACAATCATCGATTCGCTGCCCGTGCAGATCTTCACAGCAGCACCTACTACCGGTGCAATTACATGGGTAAACTCAAAGTTCCTCATCTATGGAGGTCAAGACACTCGACAAGTCCTACAGGGTCCATGGGAATCGATTCATCCGGACGATCGCGAGTCGTATCTCGAACAGTGGAACATGTCGTTGCGTACAGGCCAACAGCTTCAGAAGAAGGTTCGCCTGAAGCGATTCGATAACTGCTACAGGTGGTTCTACGCTCGAGTGGCGCCTTTGAAGAATAAGCGACAACAGATCGTCCATTGGATCGGGACCAACATGGATATCCACGAGCAGCACCTCGCCGAATTGAACTCTGCTCGACAGCAAGAGACGGCTGCATCTGAGGCGAAGTACCGAGCGTTGGCAAACTCCAGTCCCCAGATCGTTTTCGTGGTGTCCAACCGCAGAGGGCTAACATTCTGCAACTCGCAGTGGACTACTTTCTCTGGTCAAGCAGAGAAGGAGGCGCTTGTTAACGGCTTCCTCGAGTATGTGCACCCTGACGATGTGATCAAGTGCAAGCTACCAGACATTGGGGAAGACGGATCTACAAACGTACCGACCTCGGTCCCACCAGAACACAGCCGCCACAACTCGCAGCACTCATCTTCATCTGACGACTCTTCGGAGACTGACAAGACGGTCACGAGTCCCGGCTCGACGCCCGACAAGATGGACATGCCTCAAGCAAAGCTGTCCAAACTAGCAAGCACGGGTATCTTGAAGGTTGCCAAGGATGCTGATGGTCGTGCTTCTTACTCTACGGAAGTACGGCTTCGCAATAAGGACGGCGAATACCGCTGGCACCTGGTCAGGATCCTGCTCGAAAAGGCGCTTGCTCAAGACAGTGCTGAAGAGAGCTGGTACGGCACTGCTACCGACATCAACGACCACAAGTTACTCGAGCAAACCTTAAAGGAGACTATGGATGCCAAGACAAGATTTTTAAGCAACATGTCCCACGAGATCCGTACGCCGCTCAACGGTATCTCAGGTATGGTCAACTTCCTCCAAGACAGCTCGCTAAACGCAGAACAGCTGGAGCATGTCAACATCATCAACGCCAGTACTGCCAGCTTGCTTAATCTGATTAACGACATCCTCGATCTCTCGAAGGTTGAGGCTGGTATGATCAAGTTGTCCATGGAATGGCTGCATCTGCCGTCGCTCTTGGAAGAGGTCAATGACCTTAACATGGGACTGGCTATTCAGAAGGGACTCGAGCTCAACTACCTGATGGAGGAAGGCGTACCTTCTATGGTAAAGGGCGACAAATTCCGTATTCGACAAGTCCTACTCAACGTTGTGGGTAACGCGATAAAGTTCACGCCAAAGGGTGAGATCTTTGTACGCTGCAAGCTGCAACCAGCAGAACGTTCCGGGCCGTTGAACGAGAACGAGACCATGGTACGATTCGAGGTGGTCGACACTGGACGTGGATTCACCGAGAGTGAAGCGAAGTACCTGTTCAAACGATTCAGCCAGATCGATGCGAGCAGCACAAGGCAGCACGGTGGTACGGGTCTTGGATTAGCCATCTCCATGCAGTTCGTTGAATTGCACGGAGGAAAGATGGATGCTCGCAGTGTGCCAGGCAAGGGCTCTACATTCTTCTTCACGATCAAGTTTGGCCTCCCTACACCAAACGACTTCCCGAAACCGTTGGTGGCAACGCCTCTCACACCGGCCACGGAGTTGGCGACTATTGTTCCGCCGCTGCCCGCAGTGCAACCGTCGCCCCTACAAAAGCCGGTGTTCCCACAGATCAGTGGCTCCGCACAGAACGCGCAGCTCAAGCGTATGTCCAGCATCTCGTCGGAACAGAGCGCCAAGTCTCCACCTGTTAGCTCAGCGGCATCGATCAGGTCGCAAGAGTCACCTTCGCTCTCCTCCGGTAGCTCGGATCACTCTCTGACAAGTGCAGCGCTTACTGGCAAGTCGAGCCTGCGGTCTGAGAGGTCGTCTGCTTCGTCTTTCCTTGCGGACAGCCGTCTTACAAGCCCGGATCCAGAGATCAATCTTTCGCTGCCTCCAAAACGAGCTGACAGCGAGGGCACAAAATCTACTGACTCACTAGCATCAGACAGTACCGCTCGCCCGTCAACTGCACCACCAGCTGCTGTTAAATCGCCTTTAGCTCAGCCACCGATGTACTCTATCCTGGTCGTTTGTCCTTTAGTGCATAGTAGGGAAGCTACAATCAGGCACATTAAGAATACTCTTCCGCAAGGCATCCCGCATCAGATCACCGGCGAAGAAAGCCTGATCAGCGCCCAAAGGATGCTTGGTGGTGACAATCCAGTCATCTTCACTCATGTCGTATTGGTTCTTCACGACACTGCAGAGGTGCATGCCATCATGGATCAGATCTTCAGTTCTGTCCACTACGGCAATACATCTGTCGTGGTAGTATCTGACCCGTCGCAAAAGAAGGAACTCATGAAAGAGGCATCGGTTTACGACTACGAACAACTTGCGGCAGATCGACGACTCCAGTTCATTTACCGACCATTGAAGCCTTCCAAGTTCGCTGTCATCTTTGATCCGGAAAAGCAACGCGAGTCTAGTACAGACCGCAATCAAGATACAGCACAGCAAGTGGTCGTCAGCCAAAAGCTTGTCTTTGAGGAGCTCAAGAGACGACTTGGCGGTAAGGGCCACAAGGTGTTGCTCGTTGAGGACAACCAAATCAATCAGACTGTAAGCATCTTTCCTCGTCTTGTATGTGTTTGTTTGCTAACACACGCCTAGGTGATTCTCAAGTTCCTTGCCAAGATTGATGTGACGACCGACACAGTTCTTGACGGCGTTCAATGCACAGAGACAGTTTTCTCAAAGCCGCCGGGGTACTACTCCATTATCTTGGTAAGTCATAACACTAGTCACGTGGTCGACTCGTACTGACAATCATGCAGTGCGACCTCCATATGCCAAACAAAGACGGCTACCAGGCCTGCAAAGAGATCAGACGCTGGGAGAAGAAGCACGGTTACCGCCGCCACCCGATCATCGCTCTCTCCGCCAACGTCCTTGGCGACGTCTACGCCAAGTGCGTGGAGGCTGGCTTCAACTCTTACGTCACGAAACCCGTTGCCTTCAAAGAACTTTCTCTCGTCATGACGAAATTTGTGGATCCTCCAGACCCGTCGAAACCCCCGGAACTGATGAAATTAAGAAAATCTTGAACACAGAAACGGCCGCTTTCTTCTACACTACAAATACCTTGCGCGCGAATTAGGCGGGCGTTGATAGGGACTTTTCACACGCAGCACTCGGAACACGTGTACCGACCGCAATTTCGCGACCGCAATAACGTACTATTCACCGACCGATTGGACGGTTTCACACGGTCATCAGGGATGATAAATGCATAGAAAGGAGGGTCGCAGTATATCCTCTGTTTTACTCGCGTTGGTTCAAAATCGTTTTTTTGCTGTTTTCGCGTTGCATCTTGGAGGGCTCAGGCTAGGGTCAAGGACATAATGTTTGGAACCGGCATCGTCATTGTGCATTGATCAAGGCATTGAGGGCGCTGGGCTGCAATGCATGGCGTTGCGTTGCTGTATCGAGAAGCTGTTTTGTTGTCTTGTTGAGATATATATCATGACTGTGCGTGCTTGTAGGATGGGTGGATACATGGGGCGGGATACAACGGGGAATGAGCTACGGCTTGGGGGTTGTCTAGGTATGTGCTATAGAGCTAGCTGGTGGGATGGAACGGAATACCAAGATCACAGCAAATAATCGCTTGTTGCCCCCTCTTTGCGCATTTTCGTGAATGACGTCTGATTGTGATAGAGAGTGGCATTGTGGCCAAGCACGTATCCATGCAAATCTGGGGTCCGCGGGCAACGGTCCTCCTAAGTGGCGATGATCTAATCGCGTGCATGCTTCAACTCGCAAGCCGCTTATCACGCGCACACCATGTCTTCTCCCCTTTGACATCATCTCAACAACGTCTGCGGACTTTCTAATCTCCCTTTCTCCGTGCCAGGCAACTGCGAAGGACCGGTTTCGCGTTTCACATCGCTGCCCAGACGCCGGAGCCTACCCAGGTAGCTCAAGCCTCGCCTCACGCCGAGACAAGACGACGTCCGACCGCGTGCAGTGCATCTTCCCCTTGTGAGACGCCACGACTCTCTTTTGACACGCTGCTCCCCGCGATGCGGCTCTTCACTACTGCTCTCGCGGTCCTGCCCGCCTTCGCATACGCGCAGAACCTCGACATCACCGTCACCAAGTCGGTTGAGTGCACGCGCAAGACCCAGAATGGCGACACCGTGCAGATGAAGTACAAGGGCACGCTCACAGACGGGACACAGTTCGACTCCAACTTCGACAGTGGCCGGCCGTTTGCGTTCAAGATCGGCGCCGGCCAGGTCATTGCCGGGTGGGACAAGGGCCTGTTGGGCATGTGTATTGGGGAGGGCAGAAAGTTGACCATCCCCCCGAACATGGCGTATGGGAGTCAGCGGGTTGGGCCGATTCCTGCGGGCAGCACGTTGAGTGAGTGTTTCTCGCCGGCGTGAGAGAGTGTGGCTAATCGTGGGCAGTCTTTGAGACCGAACTTCTTGGTATCACGGGCGTGAAGGCTGAGCCAGTTGATGAGACGCATCTTGGCAACGAGCCGGTTCTGCCTGGCAAGCCAACGCCTGCGCATTTGGATGAGGCACCTAAGACCGAGGCAGCGAAGGAAGAGACCACCATGCCTACACCTCCTGCCGAGGCATCCAGTTCTGTGGCATTTGCAGTACCCACTGCTGAACCGTCGAGCATCGCGAGCGCCAAGGGCAAACACCCCCTCGACGGCGAAGATGGTAATGGCGAATGCAACCTCCTCGGCGACTTCGCCCTGCTTGTCCAGGGCGCTCTGGGTCTGCTGGCCGTGTCATCCCTCGCGATCAAGAGGTTGAGGGAACACCCCCGCCGACCGATGAAGATCTGGTTCTTCGACGTGTCCAAGCAGGTCTTTGGTTCCGTGCTGCTGCATCTCGCGAACGTTCTCATGTCCATGTTGTCTTCCGGCCAATTCGACGTTCAAGCCCAGACACAACAAGCAGCACTCACCGCCGTAGCAGCCGAGAAGGGCGATGAGCCGAATCCGTGTTCGTTCTACCTGCTCAACCTAGCCATCGACGTAAGTTCCAACTACCCAATGAAGAACTGTGCAAATGCTCATCATCAATCCAGACAACAATCGGCATACCCATCCTCGTCCTCCTCCTCAAAATCTTCCACCGCGCCTTCCTCCTCACGCCCCTCGCCTCGCCCCCCGAATCCATCCGCAGCGGCAACTACGGCCACCCACCCCGCGCCACCTGGTGGCTCAAGCAATCCATAATCTACTTCCTGGGCCTGATCGGCATGAAGCTCTGCGTTCTCGCCATCTTCGCCCTACTCCCGTGGATTGCGTGGGTTGGAGATTGGGCGCTGCGATGGACAGAGGGCAATACCGCGCTGCAGATTACGTTCGTCATGTTTGTGTTTCCGCTGATTATGAATGCGCTGCAGTATTGGATTGTGGATGGGTTTATCAAGGATCCTGCTGGGCAAGAGTCGGGATACCAGGGTGTTGGAGGGGAGGATGAGGACGAGGATGATGATGAGTGGCTTGAAAGGCAGAGGAGGAGGCGTGAGGCGGGGATTGATGGAGACGACAGTGATGTGGAAGACGGTGAGAGCAGGGGGTTGAAGGAGGCGAATCCTACGGCCGTCCCGGCAAGGCAGCAGTATGACCCAGCAATTGATGGGGAGGGTAGCAGTAGGGAGGCGAGCAAGACTCGAACTGATTAGATTTTGTGGTTTTGGGTTCGGTATCGTTACGTTCAGATTGTCATTACAGCTCAGCATAGCAGCATTCAATATACCCATGCTGCACGTCATTCCTCTCTGACTTACCTTCAACATTTTCATTGGGCCTGACCGGATCTACGAAAGGCCACGTGAGCAGTCTCGTGTCTGGTGGGCGGTCACCTTCAACAAGCCGGACAAGCCTCGCGTAGACTCAGTCCGGCCAGCTGCAGGAGCATTCCACAAACTTCTCAACCAATCTGCCAAACCCGAGGACGAGAGTATGTTAGCGGAGAGTACAACGGCCGAAGCTTGCAATATATTTCACGATTGTGGTATCCGCACCCGCTAGTAGCACCATCGAAAGCCATCTGCGGCCACGTCGTCACTGGCTTTTGACATGTTCTATCGTTGAGGGAATGATTCGTGTATAAGAGGACGGCATGTTACCAATCTTTACCACTCGTACAGTCCGCACACTCGAAATCTTGCAAAGTTGCCCAAGATGAAGTCCACAGTGGGAGTAAGTCCACAACCCGTGGCTTCAACAGGTCGTCACACTCATGCAGATCGTCCTCGCTCTCGTCCACCTCTCAACCGCCTCCTCCATCCTCCTCCATCCTCCTCCCTCGCTAATATAACATCCCACTCGGCAGGCTCACTCTCTTCCCAACAGACTCCTGCCTCAGAGGCTTCGGCAAGGAGAAGTTCAAGGTTGACTTAGCCCCATTCCAGTTGCTACAACGGTGCAAGCGTTGACCAGTTGGTCACTGAGTTCAAGAGCTATGAGAGCACACCTGGTAGGAACGCGATTCCTGATGTTCACTGCATGATGAAGGCGTTTTTCGATGCCAATTGTCAGGGACAAGATGTGTCTAATGTCGGGATTAATAGGGGTTGTCCGCATGCTATCCAGAATCCTAAGAATGCGTTGTCTCTGTTCAAGACGGGAATGAGCTTTTGGTGGGAATTTTGCAATGTTGAGTTCATTGATGCCTGATATTAAGCTGTGGATGCTGCTTTATCGTGGAGGTATGTTCAACCACCCGGATGTGCGGGCGGAGATCATACTAGGTGTCTGCAGCTGCCGACTCAACTTCAAGTCCGTCACTTGCGTGTCATATCCACTGTAGCCGAACCTCGTGCTCCGGCTGCCATACTGCGATAGATATGGTAAACCGTGACTGAGTGAATCCTCTGGAGACATGTGTTGCACAAAACCTGAATGGACGCAACAGCTGCTCTCTACGCCGAAATTTTACTTTTGTGAATTGCTGCTGTCGGCACAGGTGCGACTGTGAGCGATCATCTGAATTGCCAGTAATATGCATATACGGGTACCTGTAGCCGACATAACTCAAAATCAAGTATTTTGGCGCTCTTTATGAACTTCCGAATGGCGGACAAAAGTGTAATCCGGGGCGTATCATTGGGTCCAGGTACCTATAGTACGTTATGTACTTTTCACAGTATATTCATAATGTAGCGCAGGCCGTGGAGTTTCCCGAAAGGGAGCTTTGTAGAATTAGAATTATAATGATTGTCAAAATGTACGAACCCCCCTGAATTTGAAACAGTGATGCAATCGGTACATCTGCACCATGGTAGAGTCGTGCGGACAAGCTTGTGAGTGGCTATTACCAACGTTGATGCCCTGCATGACGTCTACCAAGCTGTCACAACCGTCAACCAGACAATCAGCGACCACTCGGAAGCCTTCGCTTCTGTATGATGTAAAGGACTTCAGTAGCGAGCCAGATTCAGGGAGGTCTATACATTTTGGCAAGCGCCGATATCCACTATGGTCCCACAAGATGAATCCGGAAGGGGCAACCGTTGTAGCTAGCGTGTTGACTAATCCAACCTAAAACCGTCTACCTTTCATCTCAGTTGCTCGGTCCGGTACAAACAGCTTTCTCAATTTGGTGATTTGCGCGATCCACAGAACCAGCCTTATCGTGTGTCGAAACATTACCAAGCTGTTCAAAGCGGGCACGCGCCTGAGCTTGTCCCGAAACGCCACATTCACTGCTTGGCAGTCAGTTCGGTTATGACACAACGTGCGAGCTAGTATTGATAGTGAGACTTCCCCCGCATAGGATGCCGTCCTACCTGCGCCATCAGATAGGAGCGCATACCAGACAAGGGCGGGACTTTCCAGAAGTCGGAAAACTGGCCTTGGTGACGGCGCAGCGTAGTATCAACAATGTGGCTGAGATGCTATGAAGGGTAAGTCAGGAGGAAGGCAGAGATTGTGGACCTTCCCCAGGATTTCTACAGAGTTATAACAGCCCTGTCATGTTCCTTCCTCTCTCGTCGACAGTCATTCGTTTACTACCATTCGTTTCCATCACTCTCCGTCGCAACACACTTTCACTCCTTCACTGCGCTTTGCGGGTTAGACTATCTTCGACTTTCAGAATGCTCTATACATTGTTTGCGAAATGTATGGACCCCCCTAGGTTTTGGCACAGTGACTGTATGTAACACAGTATAGCATGCAGGGCACATACGTGAGTGGTTAATTGTTTTGGTGCCCTAAAGTATCCCACGTTCTGCCCTGCGTCCTACCACCCAGACTGTCACCCATCCTATCAACCAGCCTTAGCTAGCCACTCGGAAGCTCTTGCCCATCCAGGACAGTCAAATCCAATCCTTCCTGGTGGATAGAGACAATGATGCCATCGAATGTCGCGAGGAGCCTCCTCATTCCAATCCGCTTCAGTGTCCATCTTCGGGCAGAAATTGATGTTGGACCCCTTCAGAATAGAACATCGTCCTCTGGGCGACCCGTACCATGGCAAAATGATACTTCTTTGCGTTCTCGAAGTGTTTATTTGGTAGTCTTGAAGTGATCTGGCGTGATTCTGCAGTTCTCATCGTACAACCTTAAAGTGCCGGTGCACGGATCTCGTGAAAAAAGCCACAGACGTGATAGTGTGTATGTATCATAGGTACTTAGTGTGTCTTGTCAAATTTCGTATCAGACGACAAGAGATTGTGTGGTTTTAGGCAGGCTGGATACTGGAACCGATCCGCTTCTGTGTATCCACCCCGACACGAGCGTCTCCACGTCATTTACCTTTGCAAATCCTGAGTCTGCTAAACACCCGCCTCATAACCGTTTCGATAGCATGCTGAAACACGTATACAGGGGATCACAAGATAGCAGTGTCCTCAGTTACATGAGGGACCGAGTACTCGACTCCTGCTGGTAGTGCATGTGGAGCCATGCTCCCGACTGACCGAATCAGGCAGTGTCGTTGGAGCTTGGCTTCTCATCTCGCGAAGGTATATCGGTGTTTGCAAAATGTGCAGATACCCCTTGACCTTGGTACAGTGATACGTACAGTAGGTAAGTACCATGGTTCATGAGGGCGGACAGCCTTGTGAGTGGCCATTCACCACGTTGTTGCCCTGCAAGACATGTACCAGACTGTCAATTCTGTCAACAAAGATAGGAACAGCCACTTGGAAACCTTCATTCTTACATAACGTAAGTCTGTCGCAGTAATGAACCAAGTTCATGGGGGTCTGTACATTCCAGCAACCATTATAATTTAGCATACGCCGTCAATAGCAGCATGAAGTCCCTGGTTCGTAGGTAACAAAATCCTTGCAGACGCCGGAACAGACAAGTCAGCTTCTTCGTTTTCTAGACGACCTTGTGACCAAATCTGGCACCCCTGACGCACTGCTGCACCGTTGCGGCGAGTGCGGAAGCTAACCGATCTGTACGGCGGTAGGCTACGTGTGTTTTATTTGTTTACATGTTGTAATGGCACGATGTTGATCCCAGGTGCTTGGGTGAAAGGAAACGACGCATATGAATCTGGTATCCGCGCTACGGGTCCATCATGATTCATCGCACGCGACTCTCGCGCACACCGAGTGTGGGTTTATCGGCATGAGCAACTTGGACTCGTGTTATTGCCCCTGGTCTGATAGAATACGTTGTGCTTCCAATGCTTTGGGTCATGCAAAACATTTCTAGGAATGATTGGCAAAGCCCGTTAAGTGCCTCCTACCCTGTAATAACCCTACTCATTTGGGCATTTCTCTTGAGTCTGATAGTTCAGTTCCATCCTGTGAAAAAAAATCTGCTAACAGCAGTCTCTGATTCTCTTGCTTTACTTCCTACACGGCAAGTTCACTTCGAACAGATACGCCCAAGCCATGGTAAAAAATGTGTCGCAGCCCCGCAGCGATACAAAAAGGCCGACTCTTTCGACCCTCGGGTCCTAAAGGTTATATATGCCGCAACAGTAATGAACGAGGAGATTCATGCATGTAGTCGGCTTCGAATGCAACTAAGTGAAAACTTTGTACTGCTCCCATGATGATCTCATGAAAACAATAGCCTCCAGTCCGATGAAATTAAGCACTTCTCATGCATCGCCATGATTGACGTGAAACGTGAATGAGGATTTGTGGCGCCAAGCCTACAACGCCCAAATCTTCAAGGATAACAACCACAAGGTGCCATTCTGCCATACGAACATGATATTATCAAAGCAGGACAATACCTTACAGATAGCGCCTATGTAACATGCGAGGTTGCTTGCGTTCTGAAGGTAGAGTGAAGCTATCTGCGAGTACTTGCACGGTGACGCGCATTCCATAATTGTCTATCGGGCATGATGTTGGTCCAAGAGCCACAGACAACATGGCAAAAGCAGTATGGATAACTCCGTGTGAAAGATCCGTCATAAAACCAGCTGTTTCATATCGATATAGCTGTACTAAAAATCGTGCAATCAGAATAAAAATGAGTCTGACATTGCTCTTGTCACGGTTGATTGCATCATATTTGCTGAAGTCCACTTCGATAGATCTCATGATCCGGCATAGTGAACTTGACCTCCATACGACCTAGATGATTTCAACCTCTACCTCGTAACAGTCTCCGTATTTGAATAAGGACAGCTTCTCAAGCAATCTTTACCTTAGCCTGTCAGAAGTGTGACTTTCCAAATCCTGAATATTGGAAGACGAAAAGGCGTCATCATCATTCGACAGTAGGTAATTGCGGAAGACATATTCATGTCTTGGGACGTCGCCTCCCTCACAACAGAACGCTAAATGTTTCCAAGTAATTGTACACAAAGTCCTTATTGTTGAGTTCTGTAGCGGCGTGGGCCACTGTAGTACACTGATAGCTACGGTAAACGATAAAGTAGGACTATCGGGTCGATGGAATACTGCGCTGAGTTGCTATCTAGCTAGGATAAGACGATATATACTGGCCCTGACGCTGTCAGTAAAAACTAAATGACCACCTTCGTTACCCAACGAACTGCCGAGGTCCAACAGCTGATGAGGTCGCGCAATGTAACCCAGCCTTTTGCGACAGGCCTTGGGTTTATCGATACGTTGCTGCAACCACGTGCTCAGCATTTCGTAGCCCTCTTCACAGTCAGTAGTGGTGCACCATCTGTATCGGGCATCAGGCGAGTCGTTGCAACATATGTCGACAGTGGCTGAGCACTTCTCTGGAAGTGCATCATGAGGGTGGTGATGCATCTGCACCCAAGTGACATCCCTGTTCGCTGTATCGTTGGGCAGGTATAACTCGTACATACTGACGAAGAGCGGATGGCATTCCCTAGTGGTGTGTCCCATCACATGAACATACAGTTGCATGTGACACTCGGCCTCGCCTAAATAACCAGTCCTACCGCCATAGACTATCGCACAAAAGTGGCATCCTCCTTTAGCTGATTCGAGTAGACATTTGAGGATCGGGGTTGAGGTAATACCGAGGGTTGTCTTTGTATGACGTCTCTTCCCAGAAGCAATCCTGAGACTACGTGGTAGCAACACACGCGGTAGGAGAAAATATGCCCACCGCCAAAAGTCCTTCACAACAGCACCCTTAGCCTGCAACAGCCTTGCTTGAATCAAAGAAGCAAATAAGCTAGATTGTAGAGGATTACACTGTCTTTCCTCTTCAAGAGAAAGTAAACCCTAATATTTTGTTGTTATTATGTTATAGTCGTGCAACCAGGAGGCAAGGTGTTGGTGTTCGCAGTTTTAGTAAGGGAAAGTAGCTGTTCGCGGTGGGCTTATTTTCCCGCACCGCGTGCAACAGTACGACAGAGCGCAAATAGCTAATGTGGTGTTATATGCATACTACGACTAGGGCTGGTGTCCATGACGAGATGTGATTCTGAAGATGAGAGAAGTTGGAGCGCTTACGTGTATAAAGAGATTCGGGGCCCGGCTCAAGGTAGCAGCAAGGCAGCTCAGCCTTGCCAGTGCATGGGGAACGTGGTTAGGCGATTGACGCCATGAGTAAAACGGTGGATACCGAACAATGGCAGGTCGCCAGACCAATTGTACGCCTGTTTCGCCGTTACAAGGGAACCTGGTAACGATGTTGTTCATGCAGTGCTAGAATATCATAGTAGAGGTAAGCGCCCCGCCTGTGCACAGATTTGATCACTCAATCCCGGCACCTGGGCATCGGAACCACTGGCTGTCACTCGCAGCATTCTGAGGATTTCTCATAACGGAGTTGGGCGCAGTAATGATGCGCAACATGGGTGTAAATAGGTGGGGATTTCCACGTATGCAGGTGCGGCAGCACCTTCAGCCTCTCGTAGCGACAGCGAAGAAGACTGCCGCAGGATTCATGATGGTTCTTCTTGAGGCTAACGCCAACACAGGTGCTCTAATTGTTGCTACGGTCGGTATCAAGCGAATGTTTCTGCCCTTCCAGGCCTCCGGAGAAGACTGGGATGGTCCTATAGGTGCGCTTTTGCGACTCCAGTGGACATCATCGACTAATCATTGTGGTTATTGACGGAGGTGCTTCTGATTGTATCGTAGGCCTTCAACATAAGTGATGCAGCTCAAATGGTTTCTGTTGTTCGAGAGGGCCGTGGGGGAGAGGGTTGGCATCCGGGAGCGCCCCGCCACCTCGCCGACGCAAGGCGCTAGGCCTTGCGTATTCACCCTCGGCCGTTGGGCTTACGTTTAGCGTGGTCTCCTCATTGCCGGTACACGACCTCTTCCACCAGCGCCCACGTGCACTAAACACGTCGATTGCTGGTAGCGGCGGCGTTCCTCCCGTACAAAGTCGCGCCGGAGCTCTCTTTCCCTCTCGCAAAGTCTTCTATCCAAGGCGTTCGCAGTACTTACAACTTTGGGCCACAATGCTCAGCCTTCGCACTTTTGGTTGTCTCACATGTTTGACGCAAGTCGCTGTTCTGGGATGCAATGTGCAGACCAATAGCTCCCATCTGAAGGACTTTGTTCCAAAACGCGAGGTACTCTATGTCGGTGGACGATACACAAATATCATGGCAAGTCTTCAACTCGACTAGTTCTGAATTGCATCTTAAGACTGGAACTTAGGACAGTGCAATCAATTCCACATCACTGGCTATGGTTGGACAGATCTACGTCGAGAAGCTCTCTCCTAATCCAGCCCCGGCGAATCCACCACTTCCCATTATCTTCATTGCAGGCGCGGCTCAGAGTGGTACCAACTTCCTTGACACTCCAGATGGGCGGCCAGGATGGGCATCATATTTCATTTCCAAAGGTCACACAGTGTACCTATCAGACCAGCCAGCACGCGGCCGATCCTTCTGGCTTCCCGACCAAGGAAGTCTCGGAACCATTGGCTCCCCCAATTCTGTCTCTGACATCTTCACCGACGTAGCAAACAATGGCAACCAATGGCCGCAGGCGAAGCTTCACACGCAATGGCCTGGCACTGGTCGCATTGGCGACTCGACTTTCGATGCTTTTTACAGGAGCCAGCTACAGTTCCAAACCGACCGCTTCATCAGCGAAGAACAAAATGCGCAGGCGTATTCAGCTCTGGTAGACCTCGTAGGCCACTGTTATATAATCAGTCATTCTCAGGCGGGTGCATATGGTATGTTTCTCTAAACATTGTTTGTTTCACGGAAGCAGTTGACAATTGAGTAGGTTGGAGGGTTGGAGACATGCGCTCAGACCTCGTCAAGGGCATTGTGCAGCTCGAGCCGTCTGGTCCACCGTTCACCCTCCGTCCACCGTTTGGAAATGACCCAGCTTTCGCTTTTGGCCTTACCGATCTCGCAATTGGATACGAACCATCTGCAGGGAAGAATGCTGAAAAGATCGAAACGGTTATTGAGCCAGCGGTTGACGCCGACCACAACGAGTGCGTCATGCAAAAGTCTCCAGCGAAGCAATTGACGAACCTGGCCAGAATTCCAGAACTTGTTGTCACTGGCGAAGCATCGTTCCATGCGCCGTACGATTACTGCACTGTCAAGTACTTGGAGCAGGTCGGAGTAGACGTGGAGTATGCGGACCTGGGCAAGGAGGGCATACATGGTAACGGACACATGTTCTTCATGGAGAAGAACAATCTCGAAATTGCAGACCGCGTGTATCAATGGTTGCGTAAGCACTAGTTAACGTATAAAGGAGAACTAATGCTCTTGGCGGACATGCTTGCGATTCCCATCGATTCAGCCAATCTGATGCAGTCGCTTGCCTGTGACATAACGGGCGTAAAATTGACCCGAAGTCATCGCATCCTCTGAGCGCCGTCAATGTGGTTAGTACACCATCCTGCATGTCAACACGAAAACGCACCATAAATATAGGTTTGCAGCCTGCTTTACAAGGGACTTGCTGCAAATTTGTTGTTACACGGCCTGATTGAGAAAAGAACGGCGCTACAGAGTTGCAGTACATTCATCGCGGACACCTGGCGATGCGCGTAAACGCGCATCTATCTTTGAAGCTACGACTTAAATTGGGAGCGCCCGCCCAGCCACCCACTACTAGCACGACCCGCGTCAAGCCCAACCTCGCATGTACCGCATCCCAAACGCCTATTGAAGCGACCATGACAGGCTCTAGCGCGGAGTCGCCAGACTATCTCGCCAAGATGAATGATCCAGGGTTGGACCAGCGCGTCAGTATCGCGTTCATCGTGATTGATACGTTGTTCCTGCTGATGTTCTACGCGAGTCGGTACTTCAATCATAAGGCTGTAGGAACGCCTATGTTGGTATGTAACACGTTGTGTTATGTGCTTTGTATGGGGAGTGCGGCAACAGGGATCTGTGAGTTCTTCCCTTCATAACTTCTGGCATAAATCGTGTGCTGTGGACTTGGAGAGGACGATCCATCAATACGAAAGAAGAAAGAAGTGTACACATCGACATTCACCAGGGCTCGAGGTGAAATTGATAAACATGGAGCTGCTGTGGCTGGCATCAAAACTGTGATATTCAAGGAGTGAATAGCGGATACTGACGCTCGACAGTGATGGTCAAAATAGGCGGCGTAGGGTACCATGTTGCTGCCGTCCCAGTCACCACATTTCAGACCTGGCTGCAACTTTCCAAAGTCCTCGAGTTCACCTACACACCGGCCGTCATGTTTGCCAAACTTGCCGCTCTATTCCTCTACCACCAACTGTTCGAAGTCACAAGTTACCGCCGCATCATCATTGGTATCGGCGTGATCATTGTTCTTCAAGGTGTAGTCTCTCTCATTCTAGCGTTTTCGATTTGTCGGCCTTTCAGATACTTCTGGACCCAGGCGGTTGATCCGGACGATGGGACTTGTGGAGACGTGATGCTTTTTTACAAAAGCTACAGCATTCCTAGTCTGGTCACCGATGTAGCGATGCTGGTGCTTCCGTGGCCCATCCTCTTCAAGTTGCACATTCCCACGGCAGAAAAGATTGGCCTCATACTGACCTTTCTGGCTGCTTCGCTGTGAGTTGCCTACCTTGCCCCGGCGTGGGCCTGCGATTCGGGAAAATGATTGACATGACACAGGGGCATCATAACATGTGCGCTTCGCTTTGCAGTCTTCTTCACCGTGCCGCTCTTCTCCGATCCAACGTGGTACGCTTCAGGTGGTCCCATGATCTATGCTCTGGTCGAACCCTCCATCTACATGATAGCTAGTATACTGCCTACTACGCGGCATCTTTACCGGCGATTTCGCACAAAAGCGCGGCATGCTACGCAGTCGCGAAGTTGGAGAAGCGATGGTGGTCCGAAGGACAACAGCGGTCTTGATCAACCGGCCGAGCTCGAGCGCATTAAGAACAGTAATCCGAGTACTCGGCGAAACAAGCAACATCTCGATACGTGGCAGACAGATACATGTTCGTGTCAAGAAGAATTGACGTTGGAGGATCGGTATCAGACTCAGCAGCAGTGGAAGGTTCGAGACAGATCTGGAGTCGCTTCGTCACCGAGCGCAATAGAAGAGCATCCTTCCACAAGCAGCGGGACTACAAGGCCAGTTCAGGTCAGAACAAGAGTGATATAGTTAATCCTGCCAGTTGCATATCTGCTCTTTACCTTAGAAGAGCAGGCTTTTCTACTCTGTTCTTGTACTATAGCTCTAAGAAATATTTACCAAGTTGAAATAAACTGCTGCTAAGGGAAACTCCTCCATCCTATGCTTGAGTCCACTCGAGTCAATTCCTTTGAGTAGCCTACCTCCACACGACCCTCACGAGTAGGATCCGACTCGGTCGTTCGACCGCAACTTTGGCCCTGATTCGTCCCCTTCGGGCCTAGCGGCAAATTGACCCCTTTTTGTAGTCTATTTAGGTTTAGCTCTGTTGTGGCCTAACGGGCATATCCTCAGAATTACACTTATTGTCTCTTTGTCATGTCATGTACCTATATACATTTTTTGAGAAGAAAGAAAAAGATTGTATATCCTCTTTATCTAATTGCCTGCAGTGTTGATAGAGGACTTCTGCAATGACCACGTGGATGTAACGGGCTACGCCTGGTTAGCGCCTTGGCTAGCGCAAGCCTGAGCGCTTAGTACAGCTGGGTGCCAACACACGGCCGGCAGAACCTCATTCAACTCATCTGATCTTATCTGGCGTCTACCCTCAGGGTCAGCCCCTTACACCTACAACCATATCCACCCCAATACTGATGTGGTTCCTGAAGGTCTCAGCACACTGCTCCTTGTCTATTGCAAACTACCTCCTTGTCACCTGGACAAGGGTACTTCCAATTCCCCTCCAAAAGGGATACTTAATGATTCTGATACTGTAGTTTAGATAGAGTAGTTTTTCTGTATCCTTTTGTACAAGACCTATAGGCGTTGTTGAAGTCGTGTCTTAAGCAAAGCTCATAGACACTATTCGATTGGTTCTGTTACGATCCTACGTCCCACAATAGGACGACAGGCAATAAGTAACCACCAACCAAACACGGAAGCCTGGGGGAAGGTGCAGCAAGGCAAGGCCACCCGGCCGGCGCCTAGGGGATTGCGCTCAACCAAGCTGACCCACGTGACAGAGCTCGTCAATGAGCAATGTCACGTGAGCGCTCGTCAACGAGCATGGTACGATGCTCGTTGACGAACTGCAATCCATCCGGATTGGCCAGGACCAACTCTGCTCGTCAACAAGCGGATCTGGTGGACTGTATATATATGTGTAGGAACACAACCCTTATGGTTTGTGTTCAACCTCGTCAATTAAGTTTGTCATTGGATCTCAACCAACCTTCAAGCTAGACAGATTGCCTGTACTACTCATTGTTACCCCAAGCCATCGTTAGGTGTTTCACCCAGGCAACTTACCCCTACTGTTCCAGTACCAGAGCTCATCCTCAAGAACCAATTGAATAGTGCTTACGAGCTTTGCTTAAAGTACGACTTCAACAGGTTCTTGGGGATGAGCAGAGGTACAGAAAGCCGTCAGGGGTTGGTTATCACTGAGCACGCTTGGAGCGGCAAAGGTTTGACTGTGATAAACCGCTGTGATAATCAGGGGGTAGTTGTCTAGTCAAAGACCATGACGACTGGTTGCAATGAGTAGTACAGAGTGTACTGTCTGGCTCAAGAGCAGGTGAGATTCCAATAACAAAGTTGATTGACAAGGTTGAACACAATGCCATAAGGGCAGCGTGTCTACTTGCTTATATACTTGACAGGAGGATTGATTGTACTGCTCATATCAAGTATTGTCAGTGACTTGATACTCGGTCCAATCAAGCGTTGTCGTCGTGACCTCAATACTTGGTCCTTGGTGTCCTATTGATTGTTGTTGACGTGGGTCCTCTGCAAGTGGGTTGGTATATGGGTCTGTGACAATCGTTTGTGTACGAGATCCATGTTGTATCCACTGCAGTCCTTTTTGTACAATCTTGGTTTGTATAACAGATATTGCGAGTGTTGATTATACTGGGTATCACTGACGTGGCTTCACAGCTTGGTCAATCAATACTGCAGTTCCTTGGCTGCTCTTGTCTTGTTGCGTAGTCCTGTTTGTTCAGTGTTGTTTTGCGAGTTGTTCATGGATTGTAACACAATCATGAAGCCTTTCTCATCCATATTGTATGTGTGCTGTGCCTCAATGTTGTAGTATTTCATCTTTCCATCCAGCAACTTAAAGTAACGCGTATACTTGTCAGCAGAGTCAGCGGTGTGGCGATTGCAGTCCATTGAAGTGTGAGCCTCTCATTGTTGTGGTGGATAAAGCGGTCAACCCAGCTTTCCAAGACAGGCTCTTGAGCAATATTGCTTGCAAATTCTTGAACTATCTTGCGTGTAGGTGGAAGATGATCCTCTGTAAGCTAGTCAATATACTGCACAAGCTCTGCTTCTTGCTGTGGTTGAAGTTTGCGACATGTTATTGCATCCTCTTGATGCGACAGTGTTTCAAGCTGTACCTTGCATGTCAAAGTTGAGCGCACAACACCATGCTTTTTTGCTATCTTTGTCCATGGGATTTTGTTGCCTTGAGGTATATTTTTAACTTCTTCAACTGCTTCTTTGATACCTGTCATGGTTGTTGAGCTATGGTGTTGAGAAAAAGTGCTGCATATTGTGTTTGCGCGCGTTGGGTGACGGCACACGTTGGGTGCATGTGCACGGTAAGGCAACAACACCCACAAGGCTGACAAGCTGCGCCATTGTCTGAACATGCGGCTGAATGCCAGCGCGCCTATGTATCAAAGGAGCTCGTATTTTTTGAGCTATGGCCTGTGCGCAGAACACCAAGCTATGCTGCCTGTTCACATTGCCCATACAAGCTGTCACCAAAACAGTGAATTATCAACACAATTAATCATTTCTGGCTTGGTGAAGCTATTGGAAATAAGGCAAACTGTATACAGGCTTATTTTTTTTGGTGTTGCAGTCACCCATGAAAGTTGTTCTTGATGTGATGCCTGATAATCTGCCGCACCTGCTCAGGAATTGCATCCACCCATTGATTGATCACCTCAATAGGCATACGCTCCCATTCCTCCACCCACTGTTTCTCACACTGGTATTCTGTACAGCTTGGCATGAAGTCCTTTGTCACGTGTGTGAGAGGGGGCCAGCTGGGGATACCAACTGCTCTCTGTAAGGGGCGAGCCGCTGAGGGCAATATGCGATGTAGAACTTGATGGATTTGATAAGGGGCAAGTCCCAGAGCGGGACTTGCAGAATTCTAATACTCCCGCTTTGGAGGTTGCAGGCCCGCTCCGGAGATTGTACATCCGCTTCGGAGGTACTGAGGCCTGTGCTGTTGCCGAGGCGCTAACAATGGGCCTAGCCCATTACATCTCTGAGATGGATGGATTGGTAGAAGGAAGGTTCAGGCTTGTTGGAGATAGGGGTGTGAAAGAGACCAAGTGTAGGAATACCACAAGTGGTAGAAGTAATAAATGATAAAGAAGGGATCAAGTGTAGTAATACCACAAGGGATCAAGGAGGAGTGAGTTGAGGAGTGAAGTTGAAGTATTGAATTGAGTTGCAAGCATGAGTGAGAACTATCTAGAGGTGGGAAGAAGGGGGTTCATATATCTGGATGAGCAGCAAGCTGACAAATGCAAACTGACAAATGGGTGCTGATAAATGGGTGCTGACAAATGGGTGCTGACAAATGGATGCTAACACAAGTATAAGGACTGGTAGGGTTGTTGTTGGCTGCAAGCCATGTCAGGATGACACAACCCGTTAGACTTGTTGCAACACTATGAGTACTGGGGACCAAACATCTTGTGGACTCCTTGGTCCTTCCGCAAGGCTGTTGCGATTCTTGCCTTAAGCAAAGCTCATAAGCACTATTCAATTGGTTCTCAGGGATGAGCAGAGGTACAGAAAGCCGTAGGGGTTGACAGTCACCTTTGTAATAGTCAGGTAGTTGTTTAGTCAAAGACTGTGGCGACTGGTTGCAATGAGTAGTACAGAGTATACTGTCTGGCTCAAGAGCAAGTGAGATTCCAATAACAAAGTTGATTGACAAGGTTGAACACAATGCCATAAGGGTAGCGTGTCTATGTGCTATATACATGAGCAGAGGATTGCTCAGATTGCTCAGATTGCTTGTGTTGAGTATACTGACCGTGCTGAGTATACTGCTTGTACCAAGTATACTGCTTGTGCCAAGTGTTGCTGATGCAGCCCACTGCTCAGGTCGCTTGAGTTGCTCCACTGAGAGTGATGATCATACTGAGTGAAGATGCAGGACCGGTGAATCCGTTTGGGTTAGTGAATCTAACCAAGCGGCTCCGCGGACCTGATAAAATCAGTACGCCTGAAAATCATGCAGGATCGTCTCGCCCTCGAACATCAGTCGCGCACGATCACTTCCTGTGTCCTGGACATCTTCCAATCGATTTCTAGCACTGCTTGGGAATAAAGATCATGTCTGACAAAGGAGACAATTCATTTGACACCACATCGGCAGAACCCGAGTCAGATCTTACTGGATCTGAGGAGAAATGTCCTTATTGTCGACTCACTACGACTCTGGCCGAGAGCAGGCTCTACAGTGGCATAGAGGCGTGTCGTCATGGTGAGTACTATTACTATAAAGCCGGATCCTCAATGGAAAACCTCCAGACAGGATGCACCCAAGGCTGTCAGTTCTGTGCTCTGCTCTTAGATGCCGCTACAGCATGGAGAAAAGACCTCGATCCAAGGTATCCAGACTTCTTATCTTCAAAGATCAAGTACACACTTAATGGAAGGCCTCCATTCGACTTGTGGCTATGGGATCCAAATACCTCACATCGGAGCGTGGAGATTCATCACCATAAAGGTACGTAATCCAACCACTGTGCGAAGCCCATATTCAGAGACGACAGGCAGTGAGCAACGATGGAATCTATCCGAAATGGGGCATATATCAGGAGACACTTCCTCACCCGAGGCGATGGCTACCGCTCGTCGCTGGCTAGATGCGTGCAAGAACAAGCATGCTCTTTGTGAACGCAACACATACGGTCAGGAAGCTCCAAAGCGGATTTTGGAGATAGATGGCGAACATGTCAGACTCTGTGAGCGCTTCCAATCATGGCTTCCATACGCTTGTTTGAGCCACTGCTGGGGCTCGCGTGGGCCATTAATGAAGTTGAATTCTGGCACTTATTCTACTTTAAGGGCTGGGGTCTTACTGGCCACGCTGCCTAAGACATTCCGCGACGCAGCTTTTGTTTGCAGGCATCTTGGCATACGTTACATCTGGATTGATGCACTATGTAAGTTGAAGAGTATCCTGAAGGGCATGCAGATGAACTTATGCTATAAAACCTAGGCATCCTGCAAGACAGTGACGAAGACTGGGAAGAGGCTGCTGCTACAATGGCAGGTACTTACGAGGGCGCAGAGATAACGATCGCAGCAACTTGGTCACAGGATAGCGACAATGGCTTGTTCTCACGAGAACGCACCGATGCCCTGATGACTGATCGTGGCCTCTTTGTGCGTCAACGGCTGGCTTACTTCCCTGACTTTTGCGATCCTCTAGGCGACTCTTGGCCTTTGCTAGAACGCGCATGGGTCTTTCAGGAGCGAAAAATGTCTTCGCGTGTCCTTCACTTCGGCAAAGAGCAGCTCTTCTGGGAGTGTGATTCAGGCCGCGTCTCTGAGTGCTCCCATTCTGACAACGAATTCCGGAATCTCGAACCTTCGGACGAGGACTTCAGGTCGCCTGATGATGAGGATCCTGAAGATGCATGGAGGCGTGCAGTACAGCAGTACTCGACACTCAAGCTTACGTATGAGAAAGATCGTCTACCAGCAATTTCAGCTTATGCGAAAAGAATGCAGCAGCTTCGCCAGGGCGATGTCTATATCGCTGGTATGTGGTTGGACAGCCTTCTGACAGACCTGAGCTGGTCGTTCACACTTAACTCTGGCGAAAAGTTGGAGCCTCGTCCAGACAGAAAAGAAGCCTTCACGCCATCATGGTCTTGGATCTCAGTCTCGAAAGGGGTTTTCATCGGCCATCATGACCCACTGCCTTCACTCAAGCTCATTGATATTACATATGATATCACTGGGCATGATCACATCGGTCAGGTTTCAAGAGCTAGCCTTATACTTGAGGGATGCTTCGTCTGTGTAAGGCCCGCGCTAGAGGGATCCAACCCTCTTTACGTCATCCTAGACCAGGACGAATTTCGGGGGCACGCCCGGCCTTATGAATGGAGTTGGGATTTCGACGTTAAAACTGCTGTACCCCCTTTCCACAACGATGACACGTTCATTCTTCTAATCTTATCGAAAAATAGTGAAAGACTACCTGTACACTTCGGTCTCGTACTCCGCAAACTCGAGAGCGAACAATACGAACGTGTGGGCTCTATGGAATTCGCGCAGTGGAAAACCGAAGAGATCACATACGAGAACAAAAAGTTTCCATTGGATGATGTCATTGCATCTTTGCCTATTGGACGGTTCACCATCGTGTGACTGTACACTCTTTTCTCATGTTCCAGACATCCTGATGGTGAGGAACGCTTCAGCTAGATGTTTGTTATCAAACTTGCCATACTTAAGACCTATACATCTCACACATCAACTGTTGATCCATGAACCGGTTTCTTAGGTGTAGGATTGGCCTATCCTACCCATTATGAGGTGACGAGAGAGGCCATTCTCACGGGAAAATTGGCTCGATCCCGCTTAACGTGTTTCACAAGCGAGTTGCCCACCCAAGCGAGTTGCCCACCCAACACCACCTACACGCCTACGCAACGACCTTGCGCAACACCACAACAAAATTCAGTAGTTTGCAGGATAGTATAATATTATTCGGATGCATTGCTATCATCTGCATCTTCTATCTCTACTTTGCAAGTGCAGGAATTGTGTCCAGTCTCACCACAACGCCTGTAGTGTTGCTCTGCGCACACCCTCTTTGCAGGCATCTCCCCACTGCTATGCCCACCACCCTCCTTCTCAGCGACCAGGTCAGCTATCTCACCACTTGTTAAGGTCTCCTCTACCCTTACATAACGCCTTCTACAGCTTTTGCACTTTGTAGATGCTTCTACAGCATCTCAAAGGTGGCCCATTTCCTCCTGCATCAACACCATATTGTGGGCTATTTGCTGGGCGCCTTTAGAAAGCTGTCTAACTTGCTCATCAATTGAACTTGCAGGAGACCCCCTATGTTTTTGCATGCAATTTCAAAGTAGCGTAGATTGCGCCTCTATTTCACAGGCGTTGCACAGTGTCTTTGCCTCCCAAGCAACATCATCCTGTTGTGGTGGGGTCAGTGTGTGCAGTCGCACATCAAGCTTCAATAGCATGGCCTCTGGGTGTAATGACACAGGTAAGAGAGGACTCCGATATGGGTTCGAATCCGCTACAAGGTGTATGGGAGCACTGGGATAGATAGAACTAGGAGTAAACCTCTATTCCTATAGGTCTTGTACGAAAGGATACTCAAAAACTATCTACCATAACTATGTACACTGCCCTGCTTATATATCTAACAGCTCGATGTAGCTCGGGGGATACCAGTAGGTAGTAGGGTAGGGATCGGTTAGGAGTCGGATAGCAATCGTGTGAGTAGTATGAGGAAGAAACGGTTGGTACGGTTCTTACACTGGGTTGTAAGGCACTAGCCCAGCACCTCTAAAGCCTGTGCAGACATCCTCTGCAGTAAACACCTGGCTAAAAGCAGCTTTAAGGGCTGACAGGAAGGTTTCCTTGTTTGATATGATGGATGCAACTGCGTGCCAAGGCTGAGATCTTGTCGCTTTACTTGCGCTTCAATGGCAAGAAGCAGGCAACATCAAGTGGCTGCAATAGATGCAACAAGTGCGCAGGCAAACAGAGAGTGACAATCTTCTTCTCTTTGCAGAGATCCTGGATATTGGCTGAGCTGTGGCTCTCATGACCATTGATAATCAGCAGCCTATACACCCCAACAGGCTTTGCATGCGTATCAAAGTGGTGGAGCCAGGCAAGCGCCAGATTGTTGTTAGTTGTCATCCTGACATGGCTTGCAGCCAACAACAACCCTACCAGTCTTTATACTTGTGTTTGCACCTATTTGTCAGCTCCCATTTGTCAGCTCCCATTTGTCAGCTCCCATTTGTCAGCTTGCCACCCATCTAGGTATATGAACCCTCTTCTTCCCACCTCTAGATAGTTCTCACTCATGCTTGCAACTCAATTCAATTCACCTTTCAATTCCTTCCTCAACTCACTCTTTACTAATCCTATGTGGTATCCCTACACTTGATCGCTTCTTTATCACTTATCCTTTTTACCACTTGTGGTATCCCTACACTTGGTCTCCTCTACACCCTTATCTCCAACAAGCCTGAACCATCCTTCCACCAATCCTTCCATCTCAGAGAGCAGTTCGGAACTACTCATACATGCTGGCGGGGATGGTGTACTGCGTGCAGGTGATTGCCATTGAGAAGCTACTCCCGGGCTCACAGCACAGCACGCAGACAGAGCAGGACCGTGATTGCTTTTTAGAGATGCGGCACAAGTATCTAGCGGATGGCTCATTCAGCCCAATGAGCGAGATGATCAGCATGCTTGTGTACAGCAAGCATATTGGATTGAACGCCGGCAACTTGGGCAACGCACATTGGTCTCAGAACAAACAGAGGTTTTATCTAAACGGCTGGCCGATTGCTATCAGCCGCTTCCGCAAGATGGCGCAGGACTTGCTGGCTGAAACAGAGCAGATGCTGTGGGAGCTGTGCTGGGTGGACAAGGAGGAAGACCGCGTTGCAGTTGATCTCAAGCAAGTAGTTGATGACGTCACATTCACAAAACAAAGCACGTCGTTTGTCGACGCACCGGGCAACAAACTGCTAGGTGGACTGGACTGGATGCTCAAGCGGGCGATGAACACAAAAGGCGGATAGCAATTGAAGCGTGCAGACAGACAGTGGAGCGTCAAGGCAGTACGGTGGTACTTGTTGTACATGCAGCCGTTCAAGGAGTATCTGATACTGCAGGTGCTTGGAGGCAACTACAGCGACTACGTGTGGCACAATGCGCAGGGCATGTGGGATACTGGCCGGCTTACAAGGATACTGAACCGAGAGACTGGAAAGAGGCTAGGCGTCAAGCTACACACACTTGACTATCGATTTGCATTCACACAGCTTGTGTAGTCAATGGTGTTAGGGTTTTGTGTTGGAGGTTGGGGTAAGGTTTGTGAGGTTGGGCGATCATATAACGTTTTCCGAAACACCTTGTGCATGCCGCTAGGCATGAGGGGTCAACGCACGCCATCCGTCATTGATTCTCATACTAAATTACTATATAGAAGCGTGCAATCGCAGTTTCTACAACCTGAAAGACCTTCATTGATCATTTGAAGCTGCGATTGGCCTATTGCAATTGCATATTTGGTGTTATTGTTCTCCAATTCTGCCACATGCAGCACTCACAATGGGTGGAGATGGCCGACTCGTCAACCCCAAGAAGCAGCAACAGGTGCTTGATCATATAGCTGCTAAACAGAAAAATGAGGCTATTGCTACAGCAACGGGTCTCCATTGTAACACAATAGCAAAGATGCGCAGGAACCTGCAGTACTGTGGTGTTGCGTACCCGCCTTCATCAGTCAAGACTGGTAGACCTGCTGCACTTGTACAAGCCCACATTGATGCTCTTTGTAACGACGCAGGCCAGTAGGGAAGATGTCCAAAGTAAGTGTGAGTCCACTACGAGGCATATGGGAGTGCTGGGACGTTGAGAACACTAGGATTGAATTCCCTACACCTATAGGTCTTGTACGAAAGGATACAGAAAAACTACTCTATCTAACGACTGTGCCAAACTGATTAAGTATACAGTTTGGAGGGGAATTGGAACTACCCTTGTCCAGGGGACAAGGATGCAGTTTGCAACCGAAAAGGAGCGGTGTGCGGCAACCTGTAGGAATCACACCACTATCGTGGTGCTTTCGGTTGTAGGCGTTACACTCTTGCGCAATACGTCAACAACTACCCACAGGCATACCTATCAGAGATGCAGCACTATATTGAGAGTAACTTTGGTGTTGTTGTGAGCGTTTCACAGGTGTATTGCGCTCTAGAGAAGCTTTGATGGAGTTGCAAAGTTGCTTCAAAGGCAGCAAAAGAGCGTAGTGAGCCTCTCCGCCGTGTATTTGCTGCTTGTGTACAACACTTATACAAGGCCAAGCAAATAGTTGTGGTAGATGAGACTGCTTGCAATGAGCGTACTGGCAATTGCAAGTATGCCTGGTCACCAGTTGAACTGGTGTACAGCATGAAGCGTTCTGAGCGATGGAGCATTCTTCCTGCTATCACAATTGATGGCTACCTCTCCTTCACAATGGTACAAGGCTCCATAACATCTGAGATTTTCAAGCAATGGCTTACTCATGACGTACTGCCATACTGTGTACCTGGGTACTCTGTCTTGGTGATTGATAACACCTCTATCCACCAATTGCAACAAGTACACAATCTCTGTGCTGACTTTGGTGTCCAACTGGAGTACTTTCTGCCATACTCTCCTGACTACAACCCTATTGAGAAGAGCTTTAAGGTGTTGAAAAGCTGGATTAAGAGGAACTGGCAGCAAGCAGAGAGCTTTGATGACTACAGCAATTTTCTGTACTATGCTGTGACCCAGTCCTGTTGCAGAGTGAGCGTTCGGAGCTGGTTTGTGATGTGTGGGTATGGGGGATGAGCAAGACAGTGTTGCGCAACAACAAATAGTGATATTTTGATTCTAAAACATAGTAGCAAGAATCTACACATATAGATTAGTAAGGGTCTTGCTCCTTAGCTTTATTAGGTGCTGTAGTGCTTTTTTATTGTAGTTTGTGGTGCTGAGATTAAGCAGGAAATGAACTAACCTTGTCGCTGATCAGTCTATTGATCAAGCTCAACATCATCACCACCTTGCAGCGCACGCTCACGGCATTGCCGTAGTCTGTTAAGGCGTTGTTGAACACGCTCTTTCTGATCATTGTTGAGACCAGCGTAGTCTTTTCTCCATTGAGGAGCTCTTTGTCGAAGCTCAATGAGGTTGCCTGGGACAAGCTTGAAGACCGAGACCCAGTGAGGCATCTCCATCCCATTCCCTGCGCTGCTGCTCATGAGAGCGTTGATGTCGTACTTTGCTTGGGAGACTACTTGTTCTCTGATCAAATCAACAGCTGAGGCGTTCCAGTACTCGCGGGAGTACTCTAAGAAGTTGAGAGTATGATAGTGCATCTTGAGCGGAATCTCATAGTCAAAATCCACCCACACAGGCCTTGATGATGGTAGAGGAGTTTCCGATTGAGCTGTCGGTTGAGCTGCTGATTGTGAATTGCTACTCATTTGCTGCCGCTCCCGCATCAAGAAGAGCTGCTGCATCTGTCGGAGTTGATCATCCAACAATGGTGGCTTTGCTGCACGAACTTCCTCATCTTTCAGTTGCTTCTTATAAGTAAAGAGCGCCAGTTTGACTCAATCAGAAGGTCTGTCAATAGTACAATGACCGGCAGCTTCATCCTCCAGCCATGCAGTCACTTGGTGACTTGGCACAGGATGATGATTCTTGACAAGAACAAGGCGCAACCCATAGTCAGGCAACCAGCACATCTTCAGCCAGTTACTACAGAGCCTCTCTTCGCATTGCCATTGGTCTTATAGTGCAAGCAGCTTGCCAGAAGCTGCTTGCTCGTTACTCATTACACCAGCAAGTCCCGCCTCTTGGATGATAGTTGCAGTCACTGGCCGTGTACAAGTAGTTGGCATTGCTGCTGGTGTTACAACTGACAAAACAGCTGCAGAACCAGCTATGGAAGTAGCTGCCATATCCCTCAGTATGAGATCAAAATTGACACATAGTACCTTGCCGCTGTGGCGATTGTTGAAGCCCACATGCTTAGCAGTATGTATGAACGACGCCCATCCACAAAAATTGTCCCTTACTAATACTTTCTGCCGCCTATCGCCTTTATGCTGGTTGTACGGATAGACTGTAGCAGCAACGTTAACTACAGTAACTGCGCACGGCTGCAAATCCTCTACTGTCTCGTCGACCCATTGCCAAACGTCTCCCATCATTATCCCACGTACACGTACGCCCTTGCTACAATCAGAAGCTGCCAAAACTGCATCTATTGCAACTTCAAAGGCAGCACGATAGCGCACACTTGCAACAGGATGAAAGTCATCTGCAGACGGCTCGGCAGCTGGCTTGGCAGCTGACGCTGCCTCAACTTCATCCTCTGGGTTAGGGTCACCCAATTCCTCTATTCTAGCTTCCTCATCCTCGCTGTCGCGATCGCTAACGGCACCTAGTATTTTCTCCGCTTGTACGGCAGCCGCGAACTGGCTGGCTTGTGGTGCCTCAGCAGGCTTGCTACGCGTCGTACACGCTTTCATCTTCGGCTTCTGTAGGCGGCTTTTTGGCTGCTTCTCTGACTTCTTTGAGGTAGGATTGACACCAGCATCAAACTTCTGAGGTCTCTTCCGCTTGCGATTTGGTGTAGGTGTAGGTGTTGTGAGTGTGGCAGGGGGCTCCTGTGCAGCTGCTGATGCGGCAGAGGGCTTCTTTGAACGCGTTGATGGCATTATAACACTAAGAAAGCTCACGACACGTCAAAGTAGAGCCTCAGAAATGCTTCAAAACAATTTAGAAGTACTATCATGCCTACAGTATCTCAATCGTATGAGAATTTAGTAGGTGGAAGATGTTGTCGTCATCCCAAACCTGCCCCCGCACGCTAGCCGCATGCACAAGGTGTTTCGGAAAACACCCATATTCGGAGACGTTCCGAGATAACGGCCAGTGTTCGCTAGCGGTCCGTTGCAGTGTCTACCAGCGGCCCGTTGCAGTGTTTGCCAACGGCCCGCTGCACTGATAGTCCAGCTCATTCGGTTAGTTCGGTTTGCTTCACTGCTATTCCCTTCCACTATATAGTCCCGATCGATCCTCGCCATAGCCAAATAGACCAATCAAGACTCTCAACACTTCCACAGCCAGCGATCTAGGACCAACTCCGGTAAAGCTTCTATCTAAGGCGTACCAGTACAAGTGTTCCTTAAAGCTTCTCTCCAGCAAAGCTAGGGAAAAGGGCTTCATGTACGTGCCCAGACTATCCAGCAATAGCGTCATTTAACTCACAAGCGCCTCAGCTGCTGCCCATCGGACGTCGCTGTCTTTACGTTCGAGCCGCGCTGCGATGCGTTGCAGCAACTTGTCTGTGAGGTTGACCTGGCCTTGAAGCGCCTTAACTGCTGCCCATTGGACGTTGTCGTCTTTGTCTTCGAGCCGCACTGCGATGCGTTGCAACATCGTGTCTGGTAAGGTCTTGTGCTGGTGTCTCATGATGCGCAATATGTCAATGTGCAGCGCCGGAGAAACACGATTCTCCAACAGGGGAATACGACTTTTTGAGCGTTGAATGGAACTGTTGCTCGCCTGCGTAGACTCTCAAGAAGGACCAGACTTGCACTTTCAGATGCTTGATTCAGTGCATTGACCAGGACCTGTTCTGGACACTCCATCTCGCTAGCTAATTAAGTTGCAAGTTTGCGTTGAGCGGCACTCGAATAACAGCCACTGACTCAGTTGTACTTCTAGCTTTGCTCGGAATCTCACCAAAGTAGTCTCTTTCCGCCCGGTTACGCTCAAGCAATGCAGGACTAAGCGCTGATGCGTAGGACACAGGAGGTCACGCGGCTCCTTCTCAATCGCTTGAGAGAAGCTTAGTGCCTCCCCATCCCCATGATTATCGAGTAAGCCAGCAACGAAGCGCCAGAAGATATTATAACGAGAGTCTTATTTGTATCCTTGGAGAAAAGAGGCAGGTTCTGTCATGTCCCATTTCCCGTAGTTGAGTTGTAGGCAAGTGAGAGGTTCTCTATTTTCCCACTGTCGCACAAAATAGCGTGCCTTCTATGATAGAAAGGCGATGCGTCTTAGACCAATACTCGTCTGACCAATATGTTGAAAGAGGAGGCACAAATCCACCTACAAACCCATTTGAATATCACCTACTACAGACACGTTGTCATTGCTATATCGCGCGTCTACCTCAAAAGTAGTGGATTCAAGCGGGACTATGGTATTGGAGAAAAGACATCAAACAATCAGGCAAGCCACACGACGTGGATAGTGGGGTCCATATACGCACATGGACTAGAAGAAGCCCCTGCAGCCATAGAGGCCAGAGTTATGTATACTCTAGGTCGACTTTGATGATTATTGGGGTGATTCGCTTGAATGAACGTAGTGTTCGTCTGCTGCCTAGTGCTGGGAACGTTGACAAGTTGATGCAGGATGGTACATCATATTTTGTAGGAGGATTGGTATGAAGGCTTGCGCGTTGAACACAGCAGGTTGGATTGCGAAACGATGTCTTTGAGCAGGTTAGCTACGGGCATCAGGGCAGCCCCGGTGCAGCGACACCAAGTGACGAGGTGGAGAAAGACGATCAAATAGTCCCGCCTATAAACGAAATGCCTACCCTGCCCTCACCAGCGTCATAGTGTGCGGAGCAATTGGATCTTGACCATGGCTGGTCGTGAATAGATAAGGCTTCGAATTATTCGAGGGAAAGTAGGCGAAGATGAGGCCTTAACGGGCAGTGCTAGTATATAAGGGTTTCCTAAGCGTCCTCCAGAATCACCTCATAAGCCTTGCGAGAAATCGTAAAAGTTGGTCCGTTCGGCATCGCACCAGGCACCCGTGGGAAGACAGAGGCATCAACCACGCGAAGGTTGTCTACACCAATTACTCGAAATTTCGAGTCAACGCAGGAGCTCCGATCTCCTGCCGGACCCATGCGACAACTGCTGGAAGCATGATGACTGAACGCCTCGTCCATAAGAGCTTGATGCATCTCGACTGCCGGGTTTGGCGAAACCACCGTGTAAGGCAGTCCCGTATCGTCGTACGCCCGCATCAATAGACTGACACCTTCGGCCAGAGCTTGTAAATCTGTTTCCGAATTTTCAGCAAAGAAGTTGAAGTTGATCTCCGGAGCTTGTCGCGGATCTCTGGACCGAAGATGTATACTCCCCGAAGGATTGGCAGTCTGCATCCTCACGATCGAGGTTCCCCACATTTCCGGTACTGGTTGTCTGCGAGAGAACCCGGGATAGAAACCAGAATCACCCCAGCCGGCAGCGCTGAGGAAAAAGAGATCTGCATCATCGTCCCAGCTGACACTGCTGCGCCAGGTCAAGAAGAATGTCCCACCGGACAAGGAATAGGGACCAGTCCCGTTCGTCTCCCACTGAACGAAGCAGGGGTCCGATGCGTTGAAGGTCCTGGTGCAGGATACATTTGCAGTCTCTTGCCACGGAACTTCGGACTGTACGTGGATAGGTGTTTCGTAGTTGTCTTGCATGAAGTTGCCCTGACAAGATGTGAGCCGGAAGTACAGGAGACCCGATGTGCATGCGAGACTTACCACCGCCGGCAAGTCGACGATGACCGGTATATCAAGCCTCTCTAGTTCCTCGCGAGGCCCGATTCCGCTAAGCTTCAGGATCTGAGGAGTGTTGAATGTACCTCCCGCCACAATCACCTCTTTCTTTGCTCTAACAGTCCGCACGCCTTCTGGTTGCTGCGATGCATTGTACCTGGGATCCGCCGAGTACAGTCCTTCTCCGATCATGTACTCGACACCAATAGCTTTCGGCCGTCCGTCGCATTGCTCTAAAAGAACTCTTGTTGCCAGCGAATGAAGACTGATTGTTAAGGGGTACCCAGCTTCCACCACGCTATTGATATGCTTCCCGATGCTGCTCCTACTACCACTAGTGGGAGAGATAGCTAGCGGCAGCAAGAACGTCAGATTACTCGCGTAGCGATCAGGATCGACCCTATTGATGTCGCGGACGAGCAACTCAGCCAATTGCTGCACGTCTGCCGATTCGATGCCTTCGGTCTCGCGAATGATCGATGACACGAAGCGACCTACCTTCTCAGATGTGATTCCAGTCGTTATCAATGGATCCATCATACTGGACTAGATGTTTCATTACGCATCAGCGGCAATTGCCAGTGTGGATAAACCAGACTTACTTCAAGGTAACCATCGTAGCCATGTCCAGGTGTACCTTGGGGAACATACGTGCAATTTTCGAGCTCTATCAGGAACTTTCGCATGTTCTCGTGGCCCCAAGTCCCATCTCCAGTGAGGTTGGCGATGTAGTCCCACTCGTTGTCGGGTGCCCAGGCAAAGTTCATGGCGTTGACTTGGGAGCTACCACCGAGTGTAGCACCCCGCGGATAGAGAATGCCCAAGCTGATTTTGATTGACTCGTCAGCGACACATCGACTTGACGTTTCAATTGGGGCATGTACTCACGGCTGTGCATCTACTGGAGGGTCAAGACCTACGTAGTACGACCCATTGCCCCTCAGATATGCGTACTTTGGATCGCGATGAGCTTGAGTCTTGTTCGCGTAGTGTTCAACGAAGAAGCTCCAGGAGTGAGGAGGGCTCTCAGCGGCAACGGAATTTCTTCGTCAGTCATCAGCATATAGATGACAACTCATAAAGGAAACTTACAGGGAGGGAATCTCCTCGACAAAGTCAGTCGAGCCGTCGCCACCTGCTTCAATGAGGAAAACAGAGTACCCGCTCGTTGCTAGATTGGAACTTCGTCGTTCATAAGCACAGGACATTCGTTAAAACAACTTGAGTAAACTCAATGACCTACGCGAGCGATCCTCCGCCAGGCCCCGAACCTATAATAACGTAATCATACTCGACGGCGTCCGTCGTTGTTGCGATTCCACAGACTGCTAAAGCAGCAGAAATCAACAGATTCAGAATCATCGTCACTGCAAGGCTTGTGACTAAAAGTTTGAAGTTGGCGGAATGGAAGAAACGAGTAGAGTGAAGTGCAGCGGTGTGAACGAACGGGTTGTTCAGAAGACTAATGTCTAACGACAGATTTCTTCCGGTGCATCTTCTTAAGTACTCTGGTTATCCTTCGCTCTAGCTGCACTCGTACATCACACAACGCTAATAAAAGTGGCTGGAGGAGTGGCAGCAGTGAAAGCCGCAGCCTAAAGTCCGATTGAAAGCTCCTTGGAGTTAACAAAGTGGCCTTTCGCCGTCAGCACTAGTTGCTAGGGAGCCAGAAGTTTGTATCCAAATCATGTCTTACGTGTGTCCTGAACTGTCTAGACTCAGTTGTCTTTGTAGGTGAATCATAGAGTCCGAATTGGCCGATTCTATTGCCGTCGGTACGCAAGTTTTAGGGTTAGGGTTAGTAAGCGAGCCTTGGCAGGGTCCCAAAGCAGACACCAATGTGGCTGCCAAGTCAACCCCGCAGGGCTCGAACAAGTCTCAGCCTCACTATCTATCTTACTTGCATCACCACACGTCTACGCGTCCAGCGGCATATCTGGCGCCTTATGACGCCAAGATGCTCCACGTGTCTATAATGGAGCTGACGGTCGTCAGACGGGTGGACCTTTGTCCACAAAGCTAAATATGAAGAGGACCCCGATCCTAGAACGGATAGCAAACTGGACCACGGTACTAATACCCCGAGATGAGACCAGGAGAGATTCAATTTGAGTTTGTCGTTTCCGATCCCGTGTCGAACCCCAAACCCGGGAAGAGCCTGCAGATCCGGAGCCGATGTATGTACGGCAAGAACAAGCGTGAAGGGTCAAGGAGAACAGAGCGAGAGAAGAAGGTATTTGCGAAAGAGATGTCAACGATCATTGTGGCGCATTCAACACCGATCCTTCCGACCAGACCGTCACCGAGAGCTTTGATCGATGACTTCGTACCCATTCGCTTCGCGGGCCGCGGCATTGATTCTGAGGCTCAAGCGCTTCTCTTCAAAGCTTTCGTGCGCAACTTTCTCGACCGAGATGTTACGCCTCTCGATCGTTGTGTCGATCTCGACTGCCTTGAATCCTCGTCTTTCTCGTGGCTGTTTACCGACACGGCGTTTCTGCATTCCGTTTTGTGCGCTAGCTACGCCATCAGCGACTTCATGTCACCTCAGTGGAACGGCAACCCAAGTCGTAAGACCGTATTTCATCTCCAGAAAACGTTGTCATTATTACGTATCAAATTGCAAAACGAGTACGTGTATCAAGATGAGACGATCTTACGGGTCGTCATCAACCTCACGCTATTGGCTGCAGTATTTGGAGACTGGGTCGCAGCAACCGCACATCTCGAGGCCTTGCATAGAATCGTGTACCTCAGAGGGGAGATGGCGTTCCTGAGAACGAGACCGACCCTTCACTTCAAACTCGATCGGATTGACCTTGCATGGTCCCTCAGCTCTGGTCGAAGACCGTACTTCGTGCAGCCCGTCAAGTCTTGGGATTGCACAATAGCAGCCCCATACGCACCGCTACCCTCAAATCTTTACCGACCATCGGCAGACTGGGACTATCGAGTCGTGAATGTCTTCAAGGACTTTCAAAATCTCGCATTGAAGATCAATCGCAACAGACTCAGATTCGTCATTCACGATCCCTCAATCTTCCAGGGTGATCTCGCGTCCCTCCAGTCACGGCTGATATCCCTTGCCGACATTGTTGCCAAGCCCACCGAGAAATTGGTCCGTCTGGTCATGTTAGCCATGTTGACTACCACGTTTCGTATCCCGGGGCGTAGTATACCTTATGGTTGGGTAGTCGAGCAGCTGAGAGAGGCCTTCATCACTGCGAGTAGCGAAATTAGCTCGGATAAGAGTCTGCTGCTCTGGATGCTAATCATCACTTCCTTCACGGTAGCTAAAACGCATGACAAGTGGATACGGGACGCATGGATGGTTGTCGGAGCTGAACTGGAGTGGGCGGACGTTAAGGCACATCTTGTGAGGGTGATGTGGATTGAAATTGTGCACGATGAGCCCGGCGAGATGGCGTATCAACAATTGCAAACGTCAACATTTGCCGCCTAAACTCCAATCCTCCGTCCTCGTCCGACCCCGCGGCCATTTTATTGTCCCTCCGAAGCGAATTTTCAAGGCCATCGACATCCGCCCAAGCGAAATCGGGAACCGGCGCCCGAACGACGAGCGCGGCGCTCTCGATAGAGCTATACAGTGCATTTGCTAATGCTGCGATCACAGCGCAGCGGACTATCTCAGCGACCGGTCTCGCATTATGCGGCACTGCGTTGCAGTATGCCACTGTTACGATCTCCTTATACCCAGCCAATTGCTGACAGCTGTCAACGTTCGTAACAAGTCAAGCGCCGTAATTACAACGGGCCCACCTGTACGGCACAGCAAGCGGCATAGTTATTACAGATTACGTGACGTGCTCACTCCTTGGCAGTCAAGCAAGGCGGAACAGCACAGTACTGCTCACGACGCTCACGGCGAGCAAGTCAAGCAGCGCTCACGATGCTCACAGTGAGCACAGTAAGCAACCACATTCATTCAAGTATATAGATAGATCAGTAGAAATACAACTCGTACAGTCCGTGTTTAACCTTGTTAATTAACTTTGTTATTAGAATCTCAACCCAGCTCTTAAGCTAGACAGACAACCTTTATACTACTTATTGCTATCCTAATTGTTACAGTGTTGTACTAGGCAGCTACCCTAACCCCTTTAGCTTCCCGTAACTATATTTATCATTAAGAACTAATTAAATAGTGCTTACAAGCTTTGCTTAAAGTACAACTTTAACATTTTAAACACCCCTAAAGACAAGTACTACATTAGGTAACTAAGATACTCCTAGCAGCTCTTGCTCTTGTCAGATTGGATGGGTGTTCAATTGAGGTGCTATTCTCGATGATTGTCGATGGCTTGATTATGTTGTTCTTGTTCTACGTTCGAATTGAGGGTACATCATCGTGTGGTTACACCCAAGCCCCTTGTGTTACCATGCTGTGCCGCACGCCAGCCTTTGGCTTATATGGTCGTGAATCTGACACACCCCCTCAGCTTGGGAGTCGTCTCAAGCTGTCGATCTGTTGATTGATTCGGTCATAGGGAGAGCCTCGAGTCGGGCCTGTACCTCTTCCAATTGAACTTCCTTCAGTGTTAACTGGTTTCTCTCCACTATTCCAAGTTGGTCGAGAAAGTTCTCCCATCTGTTCGCTGGTAGAGGCTTTGTTAGCCCATCGGCGATCATCCGTTTTGTAGGAACGTATGTCACCATGATCTTACTGTGAGAGACCTCCTGTCGGAGCCAGTGATTGTGGATATCCACATGTCGCAGCTTAGTCTGTAGCTTAGCGACATCTTCAGTGACAAGGCGTATCCTTTGCTTATTGTCACAACTGATGCTTGCTGTTGAATTAGGTAGCGAGACTTGTAACTCTTTCTATAGTCCAGTAAGGTACAGTGCTTCTTTAGCAGCCTGTGACAGGGCGAGGAGTTCGGCTTCGGTTGTTGATGTAGTGATTGTATCCTGTTTGCTGGCTCTCCAGGCGACAAGTCCTCCGAAGAGTTTGAATACATATCCCTGGGAGCTCTTCCTGTCCTGTGTATTGTCGGCATATGACGCATCGCTAGCGATCTCGAGGCCGTCTCCTTGCCCAAGCTGCAATGCCTTTGATCTGGTATTCTGCAGATATAGCAGTACTCGGTCGGCCGCTTTGTGGTGCTCAGCGTTAGGATTGACAAGGAATCGGGCCAGCCGGGAGGTTGCAAAGGCTATATCTGGTCGAGTGGTGACTGCAGCAAAGAGGAGCGATCCAATCTTCCGTTGGTATCGATTTACCTCCGCAGCTGTGGCTAGTCCGGTGTTTGGTACGAGTTCCACGCTCGCCATTGGTGTATCGTGTTGTACGTCTAATTGTTCCGCCAGTCGGCTTATCTTTTCTACGTAGGACTGTTGTGATAGCTGTTTCAGCTTCTGTTTCCGGTCTCGGATGATTTCAATTCCAAGGAACCATTGTAGATCGTCGCCACCAGTTAGGGTATATTTTTGCTTAAGGGAGCCGACGATCTTGTGTGCTTCGTTCTCCTTGGATTTATGGTAGGCTAGGATAATATCGTCAACGTAGAAGAATATGATGACTCCGTTCTTGATCATGCCACACGGCTCGTGAGGTACCGTGCTGAAGCCAAGTTGTGTAAGCGATGAGGTGAATTCTTCTGCCAGAGGAGCGGAGAGATTCGCAGACCGTAGAGTGCTTTCTGAACCTTGAGGATCGTGCCTGGCTTCTGGTAACCACTTGGCATCCTCATGTATATCTCTCGGTCTATTGCTGCGTGAACGAAAGCATTGGTGAAGTCGTATTGTTTGAGTTCAAGGTCATGTTTAGCTGCGATGGCCGCCAGCATCCAGAATGAGCAGCCTGCCAGAGTTGCAGCGTAGGTGTCTTGGGAGGTAATGTTTCTTTGTTGGTCCCCTCTGACCACTAGTCGTGCTTTGCACTTATGAATAGGCAAATGGGGGTAAGGGTTAGGAAAAAAGTTGTTGACCTTTTCCGCTGATATTGTAGACCAAGACTCCAGGAGTTCAAACATGCCCTTGCCTTGTTATGAGGTGCTTTGGTTGTAGAGTTATTGCTGTCGAAAGGTGCAATCTTGGTGATTGACAGCCTAATTGGGTATAGTTGGCC